TACGGCAATATCACTCGCCAGTACTTATATATTTTCAATTTGTATATTATCAGTAATTCCGGATGATGTTTATCAAGGTAGAATCTACCAATTTTCTGTTGCCCCGATATATTCTTAATTACAGGCAATAAAAGGAGTTGGGGCTCCATGATTGGCTTTTTCGCAACTCTTTTATACTTCCATCCGCAGCTTACAGCTCTTACAATGACTATTAACCGAATCTGCGCATTACTGACGATTCGATCAAGCACATGGTTTTCGGAAGGGAGAATATGGATCTACACCGTCGTCCATTTTGTTAGTTTGAATTTGTTTAGGCCGGGTCGGCGCTTCTTTGTTGTGCTTTGGTGGTGTCAAGCGCAATCAGAATCACTGCGGCGTTGCCGCGATAAATTCTGTGATTGGAAAAAATACTAAAAATGAATGTTAATAATTTAGTTGAAATATTCCAGACGATTAATTGTATTCTTCTGCTTATTCCGTATTTTAGCGAATGCCGAATTGTGTTTGACGCAAAACAATTGGCATATATCTCAGAATGTGCCCCTAAACGACACCCAGTAGTTCGATTTTTGTGATAACTCTTGACTGACAACTTTTTAGATAACCGATTTTTGCAATAACTATGCGGCAGTTCTACCCATTACAACTTTTGCTATTAACATTTTAATAGTTATATATTTCAAGCTTCAGCGTAGTACAATTTATCACAAAATATTATCATGGATAAAGAAAAAGCAAAGCATGGAATATATTTAGAATATTATAATAAAATCCAAGAAGAAAACGGAATCCATTCTAATCGTTCAATCATTTGTCACGGCATTCTACATGTCGATTTATGATTTCACAAGTATTTGGATCAGAATTAATAATGTTAATTGATCAAATCAAGTGTTTAAAAATTCAACTGATGTTCAGGACATTTATGAGAGTTGGGAACCAAGTACAAAACGAATTATATTTTATTTGCGTCATGCGGAGATCCCACTTCACGTATTTTTCGTCTATTTCGTATTCTCGCCGGTTATAAGAAAACTTGTAATTAGTCTGTTCCAGCGGCGTTCGCTGCACAAAATCAATTCTCTAAATCCATATGTTAATAAAAAATAAACGTTCCATGTTTATCTTTTATAACAAAAACCAGAGATGTAATATTGACATTTCTCATAAATTATCACATTATTTCGTGAAAATCGGGACTTACTGTCATACCAACATGAATTAGTCATTCTTTTTTTTTAATTTGGGTTATTTCTTGAAAATTTTGTCTAATCTTAACTCCAAAATAGCCGATTAATTTTATGACTGATAGGTTTAAAGCTGACGCCAAAAGCATACTTCCTGTTTAGTTTTTTTTTTTTGAAAAAAAAAAAACATCATTGTAATTACTTTAGCTAGGCTAATTATGGGATTTATAATAGTATACAAAAGGTTGACGCTGGACCATCTTTTTGTCCAAATGACGTTTACACTTTTTGACTATTGTTACGCTTACTTTCATAAAAAAAGGTGTTTAAACTCATCGAAAAACAGTAATTTTGGAAAAACATCACTTTTCAGGCTGGAAGTAGATGTGACCATTTTGCCCAGTAACCCCTTATACCAAATTCAAGCTTTTCCATATTTTCGAATAAATAAATCCTATTAAATGAACAAGTTAAATAAGAATCTGAAACCACTAACTAATCTAGATTATGAATCTTTTAGAAAAGCTAAGAATCAAGGATTTCCGTGGTATCTTTATGAGTAACACATTGCCTGATATAATAAAAGATTTGAATCGTAATTACCGATACCTTTCACCTGTTCAATATTTGCCAAGCAGTGAATCCATATCAGAAAAAAATCAATTGAAACAATATCGCAAAATTGAAGAATGAAGAATTTATGAGGAACACTGTTTATCGGATTTGTAGCGTTTCTCTGCCGGCCCAGCTGAAATATAACGATTAAACCAATTCTCTAACTGAATCCACTTACGCCTGGTCCGCCAATTCAAGCGATTCCCAGAGTCACATCGAAACTGATTATTATACTATCTGGGCGGTGGTCAGCTATTTCTGCTAGTAGCATATTGGAAAAATCGTTGAAGACGAACATTTTCTTACTGACCGATATTCCGAGAAAATATCCGGACGAATTGAAAATTCCACTGGCCGAATCGCACGATGTTCCGATATAGTACCCAACTATAATTAACAATAAAGTTAAGAATTTAGACGTACTGAATCTGCCAGATATGACTCCATCTTTCCAGGTTGGTATTCTGTTTGGGCTGATGCCCAACTGCGAATAGTGCTGGTCGCGATACAGAGAATTGAATCCTTTCGGATTGAACGGGAACTCCCCGCCAATAATTTTGAAATTACGTCATACGCTTCTGAGATAGCGTGCACCGATGTCTGAAAAGTAATTTAAAACTAATTCAAATAATTGGAAAAAGCAAACCTGATAGTGTATTACTGGATCATACACAGAGTACAAAGCAACTGTCTCATAGAGCTTCAGAAGTGTACAAAACGGGCAAAAATATGCGTCATTTCGGCAAAAAGAGGTCCAGCGTAAACTTTTTTATACTATTATTAATGCCATAATTAGCATAGATAAAGTAATTATAATGACTTTTTTTTCAAAAAAAAAACTAAACAGGAAGTATGCTTTTGGCGTCAGCTTTAAACCTGTCAGTCATAAAATTAACCGGCTATTTTGGAGTTAAGATTAGACAAAATTTTCAAGAAATAACCCAAATTTAAAAAAAGAATGATTAATTCATGTTGGTATGACAGTAAGTCTCGATTTTCACGAAATAATGTGATGATTTATGAGAAATGTCAATATTACATCTCTGGTTTTTGTTATAATATATAAACATGGAACATTTATTTTTTATTAACATACGGACTTAGGGAATTGATTTTTTTGCGACAACCTTTTGTACAATACTATTGTTTAATTAGTTTAATTGCTCATTGCGCGACTGCGTAAAATTGATTATATGACAAAAAATGAGAGAGCGCGGATTGCGTCTTTAACCTATCCTTATACTTAGCCCGTGAATCTACACTTGGTTTTGCACTAACAAGAAAGGTCATTTCGCGTTTTGAAAAATAAAGAATTTGAAGAATCGTAATATTTTCGAGATCGCTTAAAACTCAAATTACTCAATGTCTGCAATAACATACTTTTTGTAGTATTCTCTTCTTGGAGACAACTACATGTTTTGAATGTTTTAATTAGTCTGCTTTATTAATTTTATTAGTCAAATAGTACTCAATGATTTTTATTTAAGTTGTGTGACCCAGTTTTTATGTTGGAAAACCTTTAATAACCACTCTGTCATTTTTTTAATGTGTGTGTCGTGACAAGCTAGTGTTCAGATTCTAGGGTTTTTTCCGTTTTTATCGATTAATGGACCTCATGCAATGAAAAAAAAAATAAAGAAAAATCGATTTTTTTCATTTGAATTCCCTATCCACGCACGTCGAAAATTACAAAAAATTGACGCGATATATCGTAATTCTCCGCTATTTATTTTCAAAGGCGCACGCGAAAAGTTGTGCGAGTCACGTTGCGAAGTCGGTACTGTAATTTTTTTAATGGCTGTTTTTTTTTCGATTTTTTAATTTTTTGAACGTTTAAAACGTTTTTTTTTGGAAATCTGTAAAAGTATTTTGTTTAACCAACGCTAAAGATTCATCAGAAGCAACATCGAGCGAAGTCTGCTTCAAATCAACAGAAATTTTACTATTTCACATAATAATTGGTATCTAAATGACGAAAAATCGACTTAAATTGTCGAATTAAGAGTACTTATATCAATAATAGTTTTTTTTCCTCGTTCTTCAAACCGTTACACATTCCCTCTTTAAAGTTTTCGAAAAATACGGAAAAATAGCACACAGAATGAAGAATAAAAAATTACAGTACCGACTTCGCAACGTGACTCGCACAACTTTTCGCGTGCGCCTTTGAAAATAAATAGCGGAGAATTACGATATATTGCGTCAATTTTTTTGTAATTTTCGACGTGCGTGCATAGGGAATTCAAATGAAAAAAATTGATTTTTAAAATTTTTTTCATTGCATGAATAGGTCCATAATTGAGGGTTATCTCGATCATCGTCACTCGTTCCTTTCTTATTTCAATGTTCTCGAATTCTAAAAAGCGAAACACGTCGTACCTGAACACATTAGACTTTCCCACGTGTGAAACTTGTGTGTATTTTCGAATAAGACAAACTTTGATTGTTTCGTAAAAGTGCGTGTACGCGACCATTGACTGATTGTCTGGATAATCACCAAAAAACTTTAAATAATTATTTACGAATAGCCAAACGTGGTTTTTTGAAAGCGGCAATTTTCTACGAACTTTCAATAATTCCAACATTTGGGTGGCCATATTTCTAAAAATGTTGATTTTGGAATCTAAAAATTGCATTATATTTTTTTAACGCTAGAAATTAAAGAACAACTCGATGACTTAGTGCCAATTGGCTCAAAAATATATGAAATTCGTTCAAGCCGAGATCACGATTTTCACGCTTTTTAGTCAACAACAGAAATTTTTAACAAGCAAAAAAGTAATGTTTAATTGAGATTTAATTAAGCTGCAACAATTTGGTTTCGTCTACGATTGGAGGATATTTGATTTTATCTTGAGATTTCCATTTTAATTTTTTAATGTTTGAAAAATTTTGAGCAAAATTTTATTACTATGCAATAAGTGCAAACGATGATTCAGTAAGGGCTATGTGCCATGAAATTTGCCTAAGGAAATATGAAACAAATGCCTTTTGAAGCATCGATTCCGCGTTTTTGAAAATAATTTTATGAAAGTAATAATATAATTTATATGTACGTGCCATACGTGCCAAATACGTGCCAAATCGCAATTATAACACATTGCTCCGCCTTTCGTCGAACCAATACACGACATTGTGGGGAACAACGGAATGGACTTGACCGAATCAATCGCGTTTTATTTTTCGGTTTTTTTGATGTTCAAATCAATTGTATTCAATGTCATATTCCTCTACGCAACTTATAAGCAACCAAAGAAAAGTGTTTCGTTTCGTTAAAACATTTAATCTAAAAATTTATTCTTTCAGGCTATTTGCCAATTGTTTATATTTATAATATGTCAGCTTCTGCAATCATCTTAGCTGTTATGGTACTATCCAATGTTTATCTTGGAGCCGTCTTACCGGATTCCATATATGGGGGTGATGTTCCTTTTAAATCGTTAGCCAATTATTATTTATTTTTTTTTAGCTTACCGAGACACCATTGGACCAGAATTGTCGCTTTTCGCCACATTCATTTATTTTCATCCTCAGCTGACATCGCTCGTGATGACTATCAATAGAATCTGCGCTTTATCAACTATTCGGACGAGTTCCTGGTTCTCTGTGAAGAGAGTTTGGATGTACACTGGCGCTCACGCGGTTAGCTCAGAAAATTCTTATAAAATAATTTTTCAAAACTTCAGCTGTTCAATTTAACTCTTCTTCTTATTCCATATTTTAGTCCATGTCAAGTCAAATTTGACGCTAAAAAATTGGCGTATATTTCAGGATGTGCTCCAAATGCGCACCCGGTATGAATTTTTTTTTTTTTAATATTAAATTCATTTAAAGAAATTAGGTTACGGTATTTTGCAATTCTTACGCGATTGCCCTACCCGTTACGTGTTTCTCATTGAATATTATGATTGTGATTTATTTCATGTTTCAAAGAACCCAATTTTATCAAAAAATTTTATCAATGCGAAGTAAAAGCGGGCAAAGTTTAATGCAATATGTTCCCGATAATATGCTCAAATCGCGGAAGAAAACCGAGAATATGCTTATTATTCAATCATTTGTTACTGCCATTTATATGTCAATATTCGATTTTACCAGCATCTGGATTCGACAAAATGCGGTAATTTGGCAATTAGCAGGTCCATTTTTAATTATTTTATTCAGGAATATTATCAAACCTTGGAATTAAGCACTAGACGCATTATTTATTATTTACGCTATGCAGCCATACCACTTCATGTATTTTTCGTATATTTTGTATTTTCTCCGATGACACGGCGGCTAGTAACAAACTTTTTTAAAGGAAGAACATCGCTCAGTAGCGTATCAGATGCCGTAAACAATAAAAATAATACAAAAGTAAGAAATTTTCAGTATTTTCATGGTTTTGAGTATTGAATTTGTGTGATTTTCAACGATTTTATTTTCTAACGAGGAAAATGCGCCCCACTGATAACATCCTCACGGCGCGCACTCAAAAAACTCAAATTTTTTTTTTCGAAATTTTCTGAATTTTTTTCGATTTTTTCGATGAAGTTTAACGTTGTTTGCTATTTTCAGGCAGTATTTCGAATATCTCGAAGCACTAATGATCCTCAAAGACAACTTCCGACAAGGGTTTTATGATGTTATAAAACGAGAGGTATATTTCCAAAAATGTATCTTTAAAACATTTTTCAATGTTTAGAGTGTTGTATTAATGGTGTCTACTGACACAGATGCACTATGTACTACTATGATTTTGTCTGTAAGTATTCGTCATATTCAATAGTCGATCGGTGGCGGAAGTATTTTATAAAACCCGAACATTTATGCTCGTTTCTGAATCAAATACAATCTGTGTGTGAGATCAATGAACACGATTGTGAAAATTATCCAAAATGGAATGAAAATGATGAAAGCAGGAACGTGTATTGGTGTCGCGACGCGGAGGAATATCAAAATCTCGAAAAGAAGCTTCATACATACGCAGACTGTAAATCATGTCATTCTTTTTTGTTGAAATAAACGAAAATTTACCAAATTGCGCGATGAAATATTGGTATCGAGGCCAAACAAAATGAAAAATCTGCGAGAAACGCTCGAATTTGATTCCTTGTGATAGGCCCTCTTGATAAATATTGTAAAAAACGCCAGAGAACCCGAAAATGTCAGTGATGAGAAGAAAAACGGCGAGAACGACCAGTTGGCCCCCATCCTATAAAAATATTTAAATACAATTTTTGATTTTGTCTTACTACCAAGTAGACGACCAGGAGGATGAGCGTGATCAGGAGCTGAATCCAAACAATCAGACATCTTTGGGCGCCGACCAACTGCATTTTAGCGCATTTCCCTTGAAATCCTGTAAAATTTCAGCATCTACTCAAATGTGACGATGTTCCATATTCAATTGTTGCCGTTGATGGTTGGCAAGACGTTGAAAAAGGATTTGCAGAATTACAAGATCAAAGTGAGTTGAGTATTCGAATTAAGATGATTAAAAATGAGTTATAGAGACATCGATAGTTATGATTAATTGTGGAGCTAATCGATCATTATCTCGACTTCAAATTCCCGCCCAAGCTACGATCTATGTCATCGATTCGCACCGTCCGTTTCACATTGAAAACGTGTTCGAGAACGATCAAGTACACATATTGGCTGATTCGCAAGAGATCGAAGAATTAAGGTACTCGTATATACATATTTACTCTGAAACGAAACATTCACACGTGGGAAATTTCGGGACACTATATGTGTGTGTTCTTTTTTAAGAATTAGAATTTCAGAATGCCGAACCCTGAGGAAATTATCCGCGAAGAGTCCGATGATGATACCGACGATGACGATGATCAATTTGGTGAAGCTTATGAGAATCGAATGGAGAAAATTCAGCGGAAGGCGATCAAAAGAGAGGAATTGCGACTTTGGGAGCGGAGGAGGCAAAATGTGCTATGGACGTACTATGAATCTGCGTGGTGTGGAGCCCCGGTGAATAAAATATTTCACATTTTGAAAGGAATTATGGAATTTTAGAGTTGCGTTAGGCTTCTTGAACTTGCCGCAGATCTTAATCGAACGTCAGCTGAGATTATGTGGTATGCCGCGGTTGGATTAAATAGTGTCTTTGTTGATCGCCTGGTATAGAGTTAAAGTTGAATTGATGAAAAATAGTTATGTTTTAGATTTCCATTGAATTATATACCGCAATTTGTGTTGATCGAATGAGGCCGTTTATACATAAATTTTCTCCAAAAACAATTTTGAATCAAGGAAAAGTCGATGATCTTCTTCATATTTCCTTTGCCAAGGAACTTCCCATCGCCCTTTACTCCCACTGGGATTTGTATAGCGCGATGATGGTTGATGAGTATTTTTCGATTAAAACCAAGAATTGGACCCAAAAAGGAGATATTAATATAAGGCATCTTCTTGCGAATCTTGGGTGAATTTTATATCGTCCCAGTTAAATATTAGGATTTTTTTTCTAGAATCACTCTTGCCGAAACTCGCCAAAAATTCGACGCATTGTCGACGGAACAGAAAAACGTAGTTGTTGAAATTTTAGAAAAAGAAATTGACTCGTCGTTCGCTACATTTTACGCACATTTGGGCTATTGTGGAAAATTGAATGCGGTGGATGTTGCGAGAGCGGTGGCTGTTCGAATGGAAATTCCGAAAGCGAAAAACGTGAGATTATAACAAATCGTTTTTTGTGACACTATTCAATTTGTAGGCAATGGATCGGTTCATGTCGGGCGGAATGATATTGAGGGCCTCAATTTCCGGTTCGAAACAACATCGCCAAAATATTATTCAGACTTTTGAAACATCCTGCCAAAGAACTCTTTTAGTCACGTGGAAAACTGTGGCAGCGGCGTTGAATCAATCAGAAATAATTCCCAATGGCCCATATTATTTGTTCTCATGCTCGCGGCCTATTGGTTTGTTTTTTTTTTTTTCAATGATGATGCTATGCAGATTTCGCAAAAACTCCTTTAAAAATCATTTTTAGAACAACCCAGTGCTAATTACGTCAATATTTAGGTTTTGTCTGTTTTTTTTTAAATTTTTCCCCAAAATCTGCATAGTACCATTGACTTAATTTAATGAATTTTAAAAAGTGAAGATAACCAAATAACCTATTACGCCTGCCGTAATCATAGTGAAAGACACTTTCATATGTGCTCAACCACAAAAGTCGCCCTATGACCATGCTTAATTAATGCATGCGTCTCTTAATTACCGTATCACCAAAGTTTTCGAAAATTAATTATTAGAAATTTCGAAAAAAAAAATAGTTAACAGCTATATAAAATAAATGTAATTTTTAATATATTATTCCCTAAATAATGTGGTGATTTTTTGATTGATTATGATAGTCAGAAGCAGACTATAAAAAAGAAAAATTACTTACAAAGATGTTTTTAGATGATGACATGGTTGAATCAAGACATTTTCTCTACAACACAATTGGATTTTTGATTCGAGCTTTTGCTTCGATGAAGAAAGGTATGGCAATTGGTGCATTTTGCATGAATAATTGAAAAAAAATTAAGGACGGTCAACTAAACCTTTGATCGGAATGTTCCCATTGACCGGAGAAAAAGCTGGATGGCTTATGGTAACCGGTGTGATGCCTTTAGCAACAGTTTACGATGATAATTTGATTAAAACATGCATTGGCCGAGCATTTGAACGAGTGAAAAAGATGGCTCCAAAACTGCGAATTCGAGACGATTTTTTCAATTCTGATAGTAATTTATAACAACATGTTCTTTTATTTATATTTAATTTTCAGTTATTTTGCTTAAAAGTGAGGATCGCACGAGATTTATTGATTGCCTTCAATCAATTTTCGAAGGAACTAACAACTAGATTAAATATGCATTGTGAATTTTTGTTGAATACGGGACTTAACATTTTCTATGTTTTTTTAAATTTTTTTTTTATTAAATAAAATGTATTGCTGACATTTTTTCTATCGTTTTCACCCGCTACACGCGACGGCTCATTTCTGTTTCTTCTCGTCTCTACTAACATGACAATGGCGAACTGTTCTGTTTTATCAAAATTTAAGGTGAAGCTTGGTAATTATAAAAATTCCGAGAAATATTGTAGGAAAGTTACTTTATCAAATCAACACCGGATGCTTTTCAATCACCGCAACATGTTGCTCTAAACGCGAAAGGGTCGATATTTTATGCGTTAAAGTATCAAATTGAGCCGAGAATTGAAGGTGAACCGCCGCAATTTATTTTGGCATTAGTTATTAACGAAATCTGCAAATACCATGTTCTTTCTGGTGATGTTAGAAAGGCATGTGGGATATTTAAAATATGAATTGAATTTCAGCACATTTCATTTGCGATTGACGAAGATTTTGAGATTTCTCGACTGGTTAGGATATTTGAAATGTACGTGTTGGGGGATAATCATGGTATTTAAAATTTAAATATTTATTTTAAAAATTATTTGAAGTCGTTGTTGTGGGATATGAGCCCGAGCGATATCATTTCACGCAAACCGTATTCCATCTTGACGTTTCTACCAAAAAGGCGCTGATAGTTGGAATAAGAACTCTAACAGTTTCTAGGGTCATTGGGCCGCCTTTCATAAGTAATCAACTTCTGAAGTAATTTCTAATTCTTTATAGATTTAAGTTTGCTCGATCGGGGCCGAATTCTTCTTTGCGGTGTTCGCAGTTCGGAATTTGGGAGAAATATTCGCCTTGCTATCAGCATTGCGGCGAATCCATTAGAAATGGACCTTAGAAAAGATGAGGATTTATCCGGTCTCGTTGAAGATTTCAATAAGTTCCTCTCGAGTGCAAATGGCGCCGAGAATGAGAAATTAATGTCAGTTTTTGTGCTAAGTATGGATGAGGAAAGTATTATTCTTCTACTCTCAAAGTAGGAATTTTGTTTTCGTTTCGAAACCATTTCGAAGATTTTAGTCTCGCAGAAGAAACAACGGAATCAATTTTAGTCACAAATAAGGTTGGGAAAATAAATAGAAAAGCTGGCACGTTTTCAATTGAAAATTTAGACAATTCCTCGGTTCAGTAAGAAATTTTATAATATTTGTAAAAAATAAATTAAGGTTTATAGGTGTAGTGATTGTTTAACCCTAGCGGCACTGAAAACCCTAAAAATTCGAAATGGTAGCGTTTGGATAAATGTTGCCGTTCCCGATTATGAAAAATTAAAAACGTTTTATTGGCGAGTTCGATTAATCTATGTTCGAATAGTTCTGTAAATTTTAAAATTTATATCGTTTTTCCTATTTTATTTTTTAGGCGAATTATGATAGCTTTGATGCATGGAGCATTAATAATGTCTAGGTTGGATAAAGGAACGTCGATTCATTTTCTGATGGTGCTATTTCGAAAGCTTTACGGGTTGATTTTTTGACCAATATCATATTTTATAAATAGTTTAGACCTGGAATGGTGCCATCGTACAGCCCAGCGAAATTATTCCATCTTTATTATTTGGATTTGAATAATCGACGGTTTTTGAAAGTTCCCCATCGTCCTAGATGTGAAGAAACTAGCGATGATCAGCAAGACAGCAATTTTAGTACTATGTTCGATGTCGATGCAAGAGGAGGAGTTCTGATTATTGATCAACCTAATTCGAACTTGCAGAATCACGCGTAACAGATAAAATTCTCAAAAATTTTGAAAGAACGGAGTTTTAAGGGTTTCATATTATCCAAATCCAACGCGACCACGAAGTTTACATCAAATTTCGATGTATACAGCTTACAGGTTTACATATAAATCATTGCTACCTTAAATTTTGTAATTTTAGAAATTATCCGGCTTTTGAGAAATCTAGTTTGCTTCGCCGAATGACCGGAATGCTTGAATGGAACTGGAAAATTAAATAATCTTTGATTTTTATATAATAGTTCAAAAATGAAGCAATAATATATGATTATTGGATTTTCTGAAAAAGAAAATAAAAGAAATGAGGATTTTTCGAATTTTTCTGTGCATTGTCCGCAAACACCATGACGCAATTTGTGAACATTTTTTGTAATCATTTTCCTTCGTTCATTCTCTCGTTGAAGTCATTTTTTGACCAAATGATCGGATTTTCATTTTGAATATTTTTTCAGAACGATGGCGGCAATGTTTAGCAATATTCGTTCCGGCGGTTCTGGATCCGGAAACATTGTTGAGTTCAAAGCTGGAAAATCAACCCTTGAACCCGGCAGTGCTGAAAACATGAAAAAAGTGGTTGCCAATCCAAAAAAGGGGCTTGTATATGTCAAACAAAGCAATGATATGCTTGTCCATTTCTGCTGGAAGGATCGAGAGACCGGAGAAGTGTCGGATGTAAGCAGAAATTTTAATTTCCAATCGTTATGAAATATATTTTCCAGGATCTTATTATTTTCCCTGGCGACACCGAGTTCAAACAAGTCAATGGTTGCCCAGATGGCAAAGTTTACATGCTCAAGTTCAAGTCTTCGAAAGAAATGAGACTTTACTGGCTCCAAGACGGAAATCCTGATGCCGATAAGGACCTCGTCAAGAAAGTTAACGATGCCTTGAACAAACCTCCGTCATCGAGACCAGTGGGTCGTGGAACTTCTTCCGATCGCTTGCAAGCAGGAGGAGGATTTCCAGCAAGTTTGGGAGAAGTAATTTAGTTTTGAAATTTTAACAAATACATATTTTGTTACCTTATAGGATTTTGGAGGACCGTTGGGAGGATTGGATCAAAGTCAACTCATTTCTTTGATTCAATCTCTTCAAGGAAACAATTCGAATGAATCGCTTCAAGCCTCTGGTACATTGAATGCCGGTTCTGAAACCGACGTGGACGCTTCTATGGGAACTGTAACCAATCAGCTTCCAATCAATGCTCCTCCGGTGTTCACGAATGCTCTTGGACCATCAACACAAGGAAACTCGATAACCCCGAATGATTTGACAAATATGCTTAAAAATTTGAAATCCAGTAGGCTTTAAAAATTCTCATTAGTTCAGTTCTAATGTTTAGCCACACAAGGGCCAACCAGAGTCAACGTATCACTTTCTGAGCAGCTTTCAACTCAGCCTGTCGTCGACACAGCTCAAGCGAACCGCGAGAGGCTCACTCCACATTTACCAGAAACGGAAAATGCACCGGAGAAAGAGCTGACTGAAACCATTCGTGCTGTTCCGTTCAAGCAAGCCGTTGACACACTCGGGCATGCTCTTCAAACCGGACAACTTGGACCAGTTCTTTCACAATTTGGCCTTAATGAGCAAACAATAAATTCCGCAGCTCAAGGCGATCTTCGAGGTTTTGCCAAAAACTTGACTATTGCTGAAGGCGGACCACTTCCACTAGGAGAAGGTAATTAAATCAATAAAAATTATTATAAAAATATCAATTACTTAGATACTGACGATAGCACTAAAGAGCCAGAAGCTAAACGAAACCGCCCTGATATGGAAGACATGGACATGGATTAAACCCAATCTCTTCACCCATTTATCATATATTTATTCGATACACTCCTCCTTCGTTTAACTTCAATGCTTGGTAATCTGTCTCTCTCTCTCTCTCTCTCTCTCTTTCCCTACTGCTGATAACACTTGACATGCTACATAAATGGTGTGATTGGTCAGATAGAACGATCAAACACTCGACATCTTTTATTTATTTGGCAAATTTTTTCTTAAATGAAGGGTTGTAAATTATTTGTGAAAACTGACTTGTGCACTAATATTTATAGTTCATATTAACTATTCTATATTGGTTTTTTGTTTAATTTTTGTTAGTATTATAGCAGAGTTTTTGAAGGTAACATGGGTTGTCAGTGCGTACTCGTCGGCGCTGGATATGTAGCGATTGCTGCGATTGTTTACCGCCTTCTTGGGGCGATTTTCAATATTGTGGGACCATATTTTATTTACTCCCCAATCGATTTGAAGAAACGCGCTGGAGCTTCCTGGGCTGGTAGGTTAATTGGAAATTCGAAACAAATGTTCGTGGCAATTTTAATTTCAATAAGAGATGGGCATTATTTTCGGTTTTCCGACATGGGGTGACAAGTCTGGAACATGCCATCGATAAGAAATTCGTTCTTTGTTTGTTTAGCGTTTTCTTGAATATTGCAGTTGTCACTGGAGCCACTGATGGTATCGGAAAGTCGTACGCGTTCGAATTGGCCCGTAGAGGATTTAATATTTATTTGGTGTCGAGAACTCAATCGAAATTAGATGAGACGAAGAAGGAAATCAATGAGAAATATAATGTTAATCATATTTATTCAAAAATTGAAGAAAGCAACATAATATTTAGGACGTTGAAATCCGTACGTATTCTTATGATTTCACCAATGCTGCCGTCACTGGTTACGAGGAACTATTGAAGGCTTTGAATAGCGTTGAAGTCGGAGTTCTTGTGAACAATGTTGGAATGAGCTACGAGTATCCAGAGGTCTTGCACAAGGTTGAAGGAGGAATTCAGAGATTAGCTAACATCACAACAATCAACACACTTCCACCAACTGTCGTAAGTTTTATTTTATTTTTAACTGGTTGAACTTTTAATCGAAAATGTCTAGCTATCCGCTGGAATTCTTCCACAAATGGTTGCGCGTAAGGCTGGTGTCATTGTTAACGTTGGCTCGTCTGCAGGTGCCAATCAAATGGACCTGTGGGCTGTTTATTCGGCCACAAAGGTAGATAGGAATGAGATGAAAAAGGTGTACATAGATTTTGCTTAGAAATATGTCTCGTGGCTCACAGCCATTCTCCGCAAAGAATATGCTAACCAGGGAATCACCATTCAAACAATTGCTCCGATGATGGTTGCCACAAAGATGAGCAAAGTCAAACGCACTTCGTTCTTCGCTCCGGACAGCGATCAGTTTGTCAAGTCCGCTGTTAAGACGATTGGAAACGCTGACGACACCACTGGTTATTTCTCGCACCAACTTCAACTGGAACTGATTTCCTTCATTCCGACTCCAATTCGCGATCGCTTGATGTCGAATATGAGCCGCGGAACTCGTGCCGCCGCCCTTCGCAAGAAGGAAAGAGAGGCCAAATCGCAATAAGCTTCTTGTTAAATGAGCTAAAAATATATTACTCAAATTTTCAAATATTTATGTTTAGAGAAGTTAAATAATAAAAGTTTCAAGCTATGCTTGGCTGGGCTACTTTTATTTCGCGGTCACCAACTTTCTGTATTTCCGACTTCCAAACTTTGTACAATTAGTGTTTATTATCAACCCGCGGCTACATTGTGGCTACCTTTAACATTCTACGTGTTTTTGCACAATTTTAAGAGAAACCGGTCGGCAGAAAAAAATTATGTCGTGCTATGGATGGAATTCAATTTTTCGATTTGTAAATACAAATAATTTCCAAACAGACCATTCGATAATTTTATTCATAATAATTATTACTTAAAGTTGTACAAAGAAATGAGCTAATGATGAGGTAAAATATAAGTAGTCACAGGGTGATGGAATATGCAAGAAAATATGGAAAAAAAATGATGGCAATACCCGATTCGCATCAATTTCTTACAGATTAGAGCAGTTTTGAAACAATAATGACAATAATTGGTAGGAAAACTGAGAAAAATTTATGAGTTGCCGACACAGGGCACTTGTGATGCGGTGAGACGTGGAATGCGGCGCATATTTCCGTTGATTTTTGCGAATGGAAATGATGTTTCTTGGATTTTTCCGGAGATTTCGCTGTCATTGTTCGGTTGGCTTCAAGCTCCTTTTTAAGGATATGATATGCGTATGGCAAATCGTAGCATGATGAGACCATTGAAAGAGCGGAGAGTTTCAAATTATGCTGTTGCTTGAATAATTCTAGCCTAAAGCACAATTAATTGGAATGGGTTTTATGTGGAGAATAGGATACTTGAATTTTTTGCGCTCTTCGCAATGCGTATTGCAAAAAGGGTCGAGAGCTTGGAGAGACACCGCCTGTGAGAGTAGAACAAAGATGTATTGGTGGCAAGTTGATGGTTTCTTTGGCGTCAGCGGAACGTAGGCGGCTTTCTAGAATTGTTCCAATTTATTCGAGAAACATGATTAAAAAATGGCTCAGAATGTGTACGAAGCACACGAGTGCGAAATAGAATCGGAAACAATGGCGGACGTCGTATATGGCCAATTGCGAGTGGCTACACCGAATTCAATTTCGACGCTACACATCCGTCCACCTACCGTAGTGCCTGTCGGATTGGCGGCGTTGAGGCTGGCCGCCGAGATGTCGACGATCATCCAGTGTAAGTGACCATGTGCGCCGTCGACGACAAGAAGTGTGAATTTTTCATCGGAGAGTTCTATAATTAATTTAACGATAGGATTGTTCAAATCGAAGATATTGAGAACAAACCAACGAAATTTCTTGTATGCCTATGATAATTCACATAATTCGTATGAATAGCAGACGATGTCCTCAATGAGCTGACACTCGGGGGCGATAATGTGCTCAATGCGGAAATTGTCAAATCGCCGAGAGGATCAAGGAAAATTGTAGATTTGCTCAACCGAATTTTCTGGCAGCACACATTTGAATTTAGCGCGCTCTGCTCATAGGAGATTGAGAGCCATGCATCAAGCTCGTCCAGTGGCAGGCGAGAGAGAATTGAATGCTTTTGAGGGATTGCTAGTTCTAAAGGCATTTGATTAATTTTATTATTTTTTTAAATGAGTTTTTCCTACTCTTCTTGAGCAAACTATGACAGTAATCGACATTTCCCTTAATACGTTGTTTCTCGATCGCGAACGGGTCGTTTCCGGCAACAATCAACGATAACCCGACGAGATCTGGGTTATTCTTTAATTTTTAAAATCTAATTTTTACTTACCATCCTCGAGCTCGTGTTTTAGCATGAATTCGGTTAGATCGAAATCTTCGTCGTTTGGAGTCTCAATTGGCTTTCGGCCCTTTCTAAAAACTAAAACCACCAATGGGTTCGGCCACGGGCGATAATTATCGGTTGGCTCGTAATCCTTGAGGATTTTGGTGTTTTTTGGGAAATCGACGGCCAGGTAGTTTAGAGTTCCGTAGCCGACATCAGTGAACAAGACAGTGTATTGATCGTCAAATTGTAGTTCGCTCCAGGTGATCTGAAAAAAGGGCCTTTCGTTTCAAATGAAAAGAAAACTTAGAAATACTTCTGGCCGCTTTCGAATTCTAAACGGCTCGACTGGTTCCATATCCGGATCAGCTTCCACAGCAGAAGTGTTTCCGCTGAAGTAGTCATGCTCACAAGCACGATAATGTCCTTAACAAGAAAATTATAATAGAATCGATGTCAGATGTGTATTTACCTGGAGAGGCTCGATAAGTGATGCGAGGAAATATATTAAGATTGCGCAAATATGCTGAATGGTAGGTTTTTACTCTGAAATATATCAGTATTTTTTGATAATTTTAATTTAGCAATTAGCTTTTACCGGAAAAGACGACTGGCGATTGAATGGAATGCTGCTAATTGCGGCGGACCACCGCATTCTATTTTTTTGGAGTTTCTCGCTGATGAGCAAAGTGCAGAACGCTGCTCGCCGAACCAAAATCTACATGAAAAGAAGAATGGTATTGTCTTGCTGTCAAATGTCATCTAATTGTTGCCAAATTGAGGGCAACCCGGTAATTATGCTCATCAAGATAAAATTTGACACCAACTGTCAACCACCCACCTTCTCGGCGCTGCGACAACCTCCTTGACGCGCTCAATGCACGCTTCCGTATCTCGGCATAATCCGGCGGCGACGGAGGCGATGAGAAGAATACCCAACAAGGTATACGGTACGCGGGTCATGGTTTAGTGCATAATCGAGTTTGAATGACTGAAAATAAAAAAATGTTTTTGGTGAATTATTAATGAGGAAAGGCAAACACTTTGGGTGCAAAAAAGAATGTCAAATCAGGCGTCGCCTGAATGCGTCAAATGGATGGAAATTTTGTGTTCAGTATGAGCGAAAAATGGGCGGGGTAAATAGATGCGGCAGAAGCTTCGGTCATGATTAATTAATATTTTGAACGATGGAATTTGAAATTGATCTTTGGGTTTCCGTGAAAGGAAATACAGAGATTGTTCTCAAACGGTTTTTGCGAAATCTTGTTAAATCTATTTATTTTTTGTTCGAAAAGCGAAAACCTAAGAGAAAACGGCCATACGCACACCTCTCAGCCGAATTTATTGCGCAAATTAGAGGCTCATTAGTCGGGCAGCATCTTCTGCGTTTTTTTTTTCATTTTGTTTTGTTATTGGTTTTGGTTATACGAGTGGTATCAAGATGCAAAAATATGAATGACTATACAAATCAATTGGTGCTTGAAATCGGTGTCATCTGTGACATTCAAGCACTTGTTTTCCATGGTGAGCTACTCGGAAGTGACGGATTGCGTAATCGACACAAACGATGACCTTTTTGGGGTGGGTGGTGGCACAAGAAAATGTAATTGTAGAGGGATGGATACGCGACAAATGATGGAATGCTCATTTGGATTTCAATAGATTTTGACGCCTGGTGATTGATGAGCAGAAGGATAGCAAAGTCAATTCATCAAATCATATTGCAACATTGATTTATTGTTTATGTTGATGCGTCGCATCGCGTTTAATTACAATTTTTATTGGATACGAATTGAGAGTGACAAATATTGAGCGGAAATTGAGGTGAAACCGGTGGAATGAACGAAAATCACATGAAAGCGAAAATTTGAAGAAAAATTGGGTTACTGTAAGCAAAGTCTGCAATTTTGCGACGCACCATCACACCTAATCAATAAAAATTTTATCGATGATTTGGCGAAGTGTAAAAAATTGAAATTACTCAATTTTATAAAATCTTGTAATTGACACATTGAATTATTTAGAAAATTACGGTGTACATCCAAGGCGCATGCAAAAAATTTTTTGTTTTGCGCCAAGATTTAAAACAGAATTTGACCTATTGAAATTTCTGTTGTTTGTCATCGACCTTTGCACTTTTTTAAAATCAATTGAATAATTCATCTATTTGAAAATATGTGAAAAGTTACTTTAAATCTGCATTTATACAACCATTCGTTGGAAAATGTATTTTTTTTACATTTTTTCAAATCTTTTTGTACAATATTACGAATGCTGCATTTTTTCTCAGGTATCAGCTATTGATTAAATTTTTTATGGGTTGGATAAATTATGAGCCGGGTGTTGAAAAAGAAAACAATTTTGCATCAAGTTATTTGCAAATTCAATTTCCGCGGAACTATACTAAAAATTTGTGTTAGCGTTGTCAATATTTCTGTTCCGAAACGTGGTGAGAGCGGCTATCGCAAAAAAATTAATAGTGAAACAATGAATGAAGACCGGATAAAAAGATAAGTACAGATATCTCGACACAAAAATTTAAAACAAATATTTGTGTTGAGATCTTCTTCATCATGTTGAAAAAGAAGTGTAGAAGCGAAACAAAAAATTGTTGGGTTGAACACGTTGCAACTCATTACAGTGGCTAATCCGGAGGAGAGGGTGGCAGCGGGGACCGTGCAGCGCTCGTATTTCATACATTCGCGCGAAGATCTGATATGTGCGCCAAAAGATCGAATGTCAACTAAGAAATTAAGAGGGCACACGCTAGTCGAGTGTAACTTTCGTCTCGGTTTTATTGAGCGATATGTGAAAATCAGATCGGTCATAAAGGTTTAATAGAAGAAGAAGATTCTGAAGGCGCGGATTAAGAGTCAAGAGGACGTAACGAATCGTCACGCTACCGCGCGACATCGGCGACGGCGGACACTCAAGTGTTTTGCCTCATTCGTCCAATTATTCCCAACATGGTATCTATGACCTGTTAAGATGGCGAAACGCCAGCATACATATGTGCGGAATAAAAAGAAGAAATGCAACGGACGGGCGAGACATGAATTTCATGCTCAAACGGACTTGATACCAAATTGAAGCCTTCTTAATTTGTACATTCGCGTGTGAAGCACAAGCAGCGAAAAACACAAGCGGAATGTACATAAAAATCGAATTTGATGATGCATGTGTGAAAAAAAGTAAAACGCCGGCTGCCGAAGAATTTCGGTGTGAACATATCGTGGAAGGTCGAATAATTGGCACCCTGAGTAGTTAATAGAGCTCGCCACACTCCTAGGCAACACGTGTTCGATAACCAATTCACATGCTAATTGAGTTGACATTCAAGTACCTACATTATCAAGGGTCAATTGCGACGAGAAAAAACGTATGGGAAGATTAGAGGGATATCAAAATAATTGTTGGCCAAAGTGCATGTTCACTAAATATTATAATACGTGTTTTTTGATGTTTTGCGTTATATTTGCCAAGTTTGTTGGCTATCGAGTTACCACCCGGATTCGAGTTATTTCCTTGAATAGGGTTTTGGCAAATGCAAAAGCCGCACGAAAAACACAAGTAAAAATGAAACAACAACGCTCGTATTTGATTGAATTGCATTGGAATGGGATGTGGCCGCGTGGCTCGTTTAGAACAAGAGGTCCTAAAATTTGATTTAAACAACCCTTGACTAGTCCGCCATCAAATTTTGTAGGAGATTATAATTAGAAGTACACGAGCGACGTGATGTGGGGAAGTGGGTGTCAAAAGGCTCATAATTTTGGCGCACTCGGGTGGTGGTAATGGTGCAACATGAGAGGATAATGAGCACACAAATCTCGTGGGATCCACCATCGCTCTCCTTCTTGAATAAGTGCTCATAATTGAAGCCGAAAGTTAAACGATTATGATGACTTATTAAAATTGGCCGCCGCTGCTGATGTTTGCAATGGCGACACGCTTCTGTGACTCTTCGCAAACAGGCGTTCGGTAATTCGGCCAAAATTTGAGGTGATTCGCAAATAAATAATAATAGTAATAATAATACGATTGGTTATAGTATTATAATAGTTAGAGGTCGGTGTCCAGAATTAGATGAAGTCATGTTGTTGTGGGAGCAAAGAAAAAGAAATTTGAATAATTGGATGCGCTTCATTTGCAATCTCCCCCGTTTTCCTTTTGATGGCGTCTAAAAAAGTACAACATCGTTGTTTGATGATGAATACGTCTAGGAAATTAAGAGCAGACGGCGCGTTAGGTCAAATGTGTTCTTACTGGCGTTCGAGGAAGAAATATGGAAACAGGAAAAAGCGTAATTGTCAACGAACCGAGTGGCCTCAAGGTTCCAGGGTGGTCGAATTTTTTTTCTATATAAAAATGTTATTATCAGCTTTTATGGTGTTTTAAAACAAATAATTAAATAATCGTAGTTTATTCGTTTTTAACTATAGTTTTTACTACCAACAATAGTGAAAAAAATATCTTCCGTTACGAATTTCAACATTCAATTCGGTCTATTAGAAACCACCCCTACTTTTTAACCCCCACCCCTGCTATTCCACCCCGACTTTTTAACCCCGACTTTTATTTATGATACCACCCCCCCCACTTTTTCACCCCCAATTTTTAGGTTTCACCCCTACTTTTTCACTGCACTTCAAAATTTGAAGTTTCTAACAGTAATGTTTAACAGTAAAATTTTACTGTTTTTAATATTTTCAATAATTCAAGTTATCAAGAGGAGATTCGCAGGACTGATGTCTAAATTAGATTTTTCAGAAACTATGTAGCGTTCTTATGAAAGGTTGACGTTTTGACAAAAGACGAAATTTTTCTGAACCGGGTTTTCCGAGAATAGTTAATTTCTTGTTAAAATTGTCAACCTTTCATAAGAACACTACATGTTGTCGGCGTCAAACGACTGAAGGGAGGCGGAGCCTTTAAATTCGCGAAATTAATGTAGATTTAAATTAATCGTTGACTGAATATTTAATGCGCGTACGCTATAATGCAATGGACGCAATCTCGCTGCCTCGAGACGCATTGGCACATAGCCAATTATTTTTTAAATTTCTTCAAGTCGTTTGACTTCGACAATAGTTCCTGAAAAATCGAATTTAGACATCAGTCCTGCGAATCTCCTCTTGATAACTTGAATTATTGAAAATATTAAAAAATTTTACTGTTAAACATTACTGTTAGAAACTTCAAATTTTGAAGTGCAGTGAAAAAGTAGGGGTGAAACCTAAAAATTGGGGGTGAAAAAGTGGGGGTGGTATCATAAATAAAAGTCGGGGTTAAAAAGTCGGGGTGGAATAGCAGGGGTGGGGGTTAAAAAGTAGGGGTGGTTTCTAATAGACCTTCAATCTCATTTTTTGCCCATTCTTTTTTCTCAAGAATTTTCCTAAATTTCTATGTGCCAACAAAACGAATTAGTTTACTATTTAGAAAATGTTTAAATTCATATCGGAATATTTTCTCACTATGTCAAAAACTACAGTTATTTACAAACGAATAACCAATGATGTTTTTATTATTTACATTAAAACACCCAAAAACGCAAATGTGTTATTTTCAACATTTTTTAAATTGGGAAAAATAATCTATACATACAAGTGTTGGGAAAAGAACACAATTTTAGATTTTGAATAGAACAAAGGAACGATAATTACGAAGTACATTTATAAAAATGTACAAGCGAGAAATTCGAATAAGTAGGAATTTTTGTCTTATTTTCCATTCAGGATTAAGATGGCGCGACTGGCACTGATTTTCATTGAATAATTAGCGGTATCTCGCCGCCTGTCGGCTTCTGTGCTGGCAGTCGCCACCTTTTGCCCAATTCATTTGAGCATGAAACGAGCGGAAGGTGGCGGTTGGTTTGTGAAGCAAGCAAGCAGCAATTAGAGACGGCGCAATTATGAGCGGCGCCATGTGCAAAACTGAAATCGCGAAGAATTGAAAAACTTATGAATATTTAATGGAAAAATGGGGGTGTTGGTGGCACGGCCCAAAGTAAATTGATAAGTGGCCGAGTATCGTTGTTGCTCAAGTGCCGCGCCCATAAATCTTCGAATTGACGCGGTTTTATATAAACGAGTCGGCGTCGGCAACACTCCCTTTTATCCGCGATTTATATGCGAGGCTTCGATTGTATAATTAACGATAACGCGGTGGAAAGAAAAAAAATGAGCGAGCTCATCGAATAATTAAGTGTCTCGTTTTTCTGCGCATCGCAAAATCGAGGGATTTTAGGGGAAACGTGTAATTTTTCCAATTTTCAGAGAATTCAACTTGATTCCCTCGCAAGACGATCAGATGTTCTTGGAAGTTTTTGATGTGATCAGAAAATGAAGATTATCATGCAAGGTTTCATTTTTGTTCGAAATTAAAAACGAATAATCGCGTGATTCTTGAAAAAAGACAAACATGTTAGACGCGCGTTGAGATTGTCAAACAAACCGTATATGTATTTTGGAACAGACCAACATTTAATTATTCATTCAAATCGTATCATATCCGGTGGAATTTGGCATATAATTATAATTTAATTTCTGCAATCGTTTCATTAACAACTTTTCATAAGTGAAATTATTTATGTTTCTCGAACTCTGTTAACTTTCGGAAAAAAGTTTAAAAAGAATAAGAAATATGTTTCGTAGTTGCGTTTTTCTTTTTATTCGGCAATTTCTTATATACAGTACCGCAGAAAAAGATACGAAATAATTAACTTTCTTCATAACTTTTGAACGAGTGGTCCAATTGGGGTGAAATTTTTAGCACTTATTTTTCATACATTTAAATGTTTAAAAGCACGTTCATATTATGGAAATTAATATTTTTCAAGTATAAATCGCAAAAAATCGAATTTTCAAAAAATCATGAAAATCGGTGAATAATTTCAAATGGCTGTAGAAACAAAATTAGATCGTCAAACATCAATCAATATTTTTTCAAGGTTTAATAAACCTAATACTTAGTCGCCATACCATTTGCTTCAATAGAAGCATAACATCTTTCAGGCATGAAAGGTACTAAGTGGTTTAGGGCCGCAGCCGGCAGGGCATGTCAAGCTTGCTCTAATTGTGAGAATTTTTCACTACAATTTTGAACAGTTTTTTTTTATTTAAACAACATTCGAACCCTTCTGAACGGTGTTCGATATGATTTGGGTCGGGAGATTGGCTCGGCCAGGTCATAGAGTTCACCCGAAGCAGCGCGATCCAATTCCTAACCAAGTGTGATAAGCGTTTTGGATCGTTGTCCTGTTGAAAAATCCAACCAGACCCAAGTTTCGAACGTCCAAATGGTAGCATATGGTCCTCTCTGATGTATTTGTACAAATTCTTGTTCATAATACCTTCTATTCAGCGCAGAGGACCAACGCTGATAGAAGAAAAACATTCCCATACCAGTACAGTTCCACCCCAATGCTTAACAGGTGGAACATGGTACTAGGGATGAAATATTTTTCCTGATCGATGTTGAACATGAGTTTTACCACCAGTTTCAACCATCATATACTTTGATTCGTCAATTCATAGGATGTTGGACCACTGTTTAATTGTCCAGCTGAGATGATCCTTTACACATCGCAATCGTGCCTTCTTAATTTGGCCGGGATTATTGGATTTTTCACCGGATGACGACCAAACAATCCAACATGGTGGAGACCACTTCTAACAGTCTCACTGCAAACCTATATCGGTTGTATCGTTCCAATTAGCAAAAAAGTGGCCTCAACTCCATAATGCTGCATAAGTCATCATCATCTGGTACTTGCCAGCCTCGGATTTTTTCTGCTCATCCTAATAATGACACAACCAATAGCTGGAGATGTTTTGGTGGTCTTCCTATTGGTTTTGATCGGTTTTGAGTTTTATTTGAAGAAAAGATGATCGAAATACTCGTTGCGAACAGTTTGGCCAGACCGAAAATCGACACCCCACATTCTCGGCCTCCATTAATCGCAATGCGACCAGCTTTAGATAATGTCTTAGACCCTTTTAGTAGACTCATCGTTAAAAATAACTAATATGATCACAAAGTATTGAAAACTAAAAAATATATTGAAAAAATATAGGAAAACTAAAACTTATCGATTTTTCCACTTTTTGCAGATTTCAAAAAATATCCCCTAACACGTATTTTTGCGAACTAGTGTAATTCACTTTACAATTTGTTTTAAAATTGTGTTTTTTACTTTCAGTAAAAATTTCACCCCGATCGGACAACTCGTTCAAAAGTTATGAGGAAAATTAATTATTTCGTATCTTTTTCTGCGGTACTGTAGTTCTGCTAAAAAACCGTTGAAGGTTTGCTAAAAAAAAATATTGCTACTCGTGTTAAGTTTTCTAAGAAATTATGTTGGAATTTCTTAAACTTTAAGACAATTTTTTTTAGCAAACCTTCTGCAAATTTTTAGCTGAAGCCTAAAAGAAATTATAAAAAGTTTGTAGGTATCTCACAATCTGTCACCGAGTATATAATTGGAAAGAATATTTCAACTTTTTTCAAACATTGATTTAGTATTTATTCTTTTAGAAAAATCTTGCTGAACAATTAGCATAGATTATGGTAGGTGGGCATTTGAAGAAGTTGATTGCTTGTGAGCAATGTTGATGGAACAGGAGCCGGAAGAGTTGAAGTTGGGAGCTGGTAGAGGTATGGTTGGTAGTCAGCGAGTAGGCTCTTCATATAATGAGGAGAGGTTGGATCCGGTGTGGTGAACACGGTTGGAATTGGTGCATCGAAAGCGGACTTGTAGTCAACGAGGGATGTGTCGGCCGAAAATGTCGATGGTTTGGCTAGAACCTCGATCGATGAAGGAGGCAGCTGTAATTTGACAGCAGCCGGCGCAGTTGGAGTTAAGGTGATCGGCTTTGGAATAATGGGTTGCATTTCGTTGGACTAAATTTTCAAAGTACACGAGCGTTGTTTGATATAGCTTTTACCTGAAGCAAAGCGTTCAACGCATCGATGTAATGAATGGCGGCATTCAAAATGCGCAGTTTGCTGACTCGTTTGGTGAATTGTCGTAGAGTTGGTAGATGTTGTTTCAAAACGAGGAATGCCTAGAAATTTTTTTAATTTTTCAAAAAATCATTCTATTGAGAAAACTCGCAATTTCTGCGCAAATTATAGTCTGTTTGTGAAAAATAGACTACCAGAATAAATTTTTTCTGTAAGATCTCGTTGTTCAGACGTGCTGCGATTCACGTTTATATTGTCGACGTCGTGCGATTGCGAAAAAGGGTAAAATGCAAAAAAAAGGGACAATAGCAGTGATCAAAATTTGTAGATTTACGAGTCTCTGCATGAGCATAGGTTAAAGGCACACACCGAGCACAAAGACCTCCAAGTTTTTTTTTTTAGCATTTAGCCACTTTCCGCAGTTGCGCGACTTTGACAATATATATAATTTTGAAAAAATAAAAATGAACGGTTGAGAAGTTTTCTAATTTTGAGACTATTTTTGTTACGGTAATTAAGTCCAATGTTCATTGACTCATACTTTTTGACTTGACTCATGATTTTTGACTTATAAAAATTGTATAATGATTTTTTATTCTTTGACTCATGATTTTTGACTAGTGATTTTTGACTATTTTTTTTTTGACTAACAATTTTTGACTAATGATTTTCTGAAATTTTTTAGTTGAGATTCCTGCAGTTTTTTCCAATATTCAATTGTGTTTTTTTGGCCAATATTGATGGGTAAGTAGCTGAAGGGTGGGGGGGGGGTGGAGGAATTGGGAGAAATGTTATTACTGAATGGGGGAAAGATTATTACTGAAAGGAAAAAAGTTCTTTTAACTTCTGTAAACATAAAAAATTATTTTCATGAAACTAACGGAGACTACTAAAAATATCAAATCATACATACCATTTGGCCCACTACGGATATTCGTTTAATGTTACAGTCGATTCCTTCGGTGGAGCTGGGCCTAAGCTTCTCTTTGATATCGATAAGCGGTGAAATGCCAAAAAAAACAATTTTTTATGCTTACAGAAGTTAAAAGAACTTTTTTCCTTTTAGTAATAATCTTTCCCCCATTTAGTAATAACTATAACGCGCAATAACGCGCACCACGACCCTATGCGTGTTGCTTGCAACTGTGTAGAGGTAGAGCAATAGGGGAACGACCCGAAAAATGGTGAACTATTCCTGAGCAGGATGAAGCCAGAGGAAACTCTGGTGGAAGTCCGCATCGGTTCTGACGTGCAAATCGATCGATAGACTTAGGTATAGGGCGAAAGAATTTCCTCTATTCATTAGTCAAAAATTGTTAGTCAAAAAAAAATAGTCAAAAATCATGAGTCAAAGAATAAAAAATCATGATACAATTTTTATGAGTCAAAAATCATGAGTCAATGAATATTGGCCGGTAATTAATTTTTTAAAGAGGGCCTCGCGGTAATCGATTTTAGAAGATTTATTGTCGGAGTTAAACGATTTGACGAAATTTTGTGCCAATGCGTCTCGAGACAGCAAGAAGTACGTGAGACTGCGTACATTGCATTATATTGTACGCGCATTTAATATTCAGTCAACGAAAAATTAAAATCTACGCTGATTTCGCGAATTTGAAGGCGCCGCTATATTAAACTATTACCATCACAAAAAACGAGCGCCTTGCATAATTGTAGACCATTTAAGTTTTTCGAGGCGGTAATTCAAATGTTTGAATTTTTCACATTTGAAATAGTGGGAATTCGCAAACTAACCGTAAAACGGCACAAGGCGCTTGTTTTTTTTCGTGAATATAACAAATACAAAAATCTAAACTGCTGTGTATTCACTCTGCTAACTTGGGTTTTAATCTACGTCGAAAAGTCTGTTCAAACGTTGCGGCGTTTCCCAGAGATGAGATCAGCTTTACCTGATTGACGGTATGCACTCTTGTCCGCTCTCTAGCGTTCCGTTTCGCAACAACGCCGGGCATTCTCTTCTTGTCTTCACGTTTTCTAAAACTTCAAATCGCTCGATTTTATTTCAATTATTTTTAAATTGATTACTTTCTTGGTTGTTCGATATTTGCGCGACGATCGATTTGATAAACGACGCCTTGATAGCTCATAAAGCAAGACAAAAAAGTAATTGACAAGAATATTCTGGTGAGCGGCGAATGAGCCGACTATGCCTTTACGCAGCCAATCATTTCACCTGTTCGGGTCCGGCTGGAAATTAATTGAATAAGTGATGAGGTGCGCAAGAGGGATTACGGTAATCGCATGACTTTTTATTATTCAAGAAAACCAAAACGAACAAGAATAGTACCCGTAGAAAGAATAAGAATTAACAATTAGAAAAAGGCACGTAAAATTAGATTTTTAAAGATGATCTGCGCCTAGAACATGTAACTGATAAGGATTGTGAGAAGCACCGAGAAAATTGTAACGCCTTTCGATGAGTTTTGCTCTTCCTTTTTGACCATCATCCAGCCTTCTTGTCCTTCTTCCATCGAGTATTCCTCTCCATCTAAAAAACTAATTAGTTAAAAAAATTTGTTTTAGATTTTATTTGACATGTACCATCTGCTTTTCCCAGTCTTGATTCGTCGTTGTCTCTGGCATAATCGTCATCAGTTTTCGGTGGAGTATGATCCCAATAATCGTCATCCGTTGATTCTTCTCTGAAATTATTAGAAAATTGAACTTAATTTAAATCATTTTGAAAATTTACATAGGATGCTGCTTGATTGTCTCGTCAACGGCTTTTTCAATCACTTTTGATATCACACTAATCACTTTTTCTTGTTCGGGACTCAATGGTTCTTCATTGCTCTCATCCATACTATTCTCATGGTCCATTGGTCTGGGAGTCGTTGCTTCCATATCATCAGATTCCGCAGAATCAATTTCCGGGTCTAACCAATTAAATTAGGACTTTCAATTATTCTTAAACGAACCTTGATCGTCATAAATATCCTTTGTGTGTCGATCTTCTTCCATGTTCTCACTGTTACCATGATGCTTGACATTTTCGACATAATCCATGTCTTCATCAACATCTACAAAAAAAACATGTTTTTTATTTATTTCACCATTTGGGTTCCCACCTGGATATTCCCATTGTTCTTCGACTTTGTCGTCCTCGTGTTCTTGTTCCTTCAATTTTCTCTGAGATTCCATTTCTTGCTGCTTGATTATTAGATGTTGGTGTTTCTTGAAAGAAATAAAAAACGAGATGTTTTTTAAAGATCCAGTCATACTTCATGCAGACGTCGTTGCTCGTCCCTAGCATTCTGCTCTTCGATCTGCTTTCGTCGCTCGAGTTCGTCCTGCTGCCGCTGCTGCTGTCGACGACGCTCGTCTTCGACACGACGTCGTTCAGCCTCGCGACGGGCAGTCTCCTAAACGCAAAAATTGCGATGACCCGGGCCAGTGTTCATTATATGTAGATGTGCGAGGGTGTTGATTGTGTTCGAAACAAGTGTCGGCGAACAGTTGTTCGATGTGGGTTTCTTTCGGCGCTCACCCTAATCAATAATCCTGGCCCAAACAGACCCAAATCAAATCAAAAGGCACATATCGACGAAACCAATCAAAATTAATCTTAATTGCTTCATAATTACCTCTCTCCAATATTGCGCATGCTGCTGCCTGCGTCTCTCCTCCTCAGCTGCTCGATCTTTAGCCTCTTTTTCTCTGCGTGCTTGCTCGGCGACACGTTTTTCGTACTCTCTCTTTCTCTGCTCGTCTAATCGTCTCGCCTCTTCGTTGTCTGAAAATCACATCGAGATTTTACTCGCGAGGCGCATTAATTATAAAAAATATACCAGGATAATGGGTCTGTGGTCGTTGAGTTGATGGCGCCTCTGTTGCTGATGGCTCCTGGGCTACTGAAAGTTGATGAATGTCAATTAGATAACGGTTTGTTGGAGTTACTTCTCGTCTGACAGCGATCGCCGGTGAAAACGCCGAGAAGGCAAATGCACGAATGCACTTTGGGTCGGTCCAAATCGAAAACGCACATTCCTCCATTCTCACATCTTAAGAATCCAATACAAGTATAATGTTTCAAACTTTGTTGGGTGATATTTCTGGCATATGAAGTAGTAGTAGTAGTAGTAGTATCTAATAGTGCGATTCGGTTTCGAATTTCACCTGTTACCAGTCACCGCATGTCACTTCCAATTATCAGAAGCCTGGTAGAAGAAAAGAAATTTGTTTCGCTTTACACTTTTCGCAACAAGCGTGTCAAGAAATCATTGTCGGTGTTGCTCGATGAAAACCGCAACAAGCGGCACGACATGTGTGTGCAAATACGAGTCTGGCTAGGCGAGATTTTCAATTGATTGCCTACCGTATCCTGCAGGCGGATTGCGGCGAGACGAGACCTTGTCCGGCGCCGACAACACTGTAAAATTGGCATACCGCCAAAAGCAGTAGTAATAGTAGTAATAACCGGCGCATTAACCCCTGGAAATTGGCGATGTGCAATTAGTTGAGGAACAATTAATCAATGAGGAACATACGAAAGAAGTAACGCGAGAAAAAAATAATGATAGCGGTTGTGGGATGATGAATCAGTGATGGAAGCACGACGACAGATACTGCGTGGCTTCGGCTCGATTGCACATACGCACGATGTGCGGCTCGCCCCGCGGGTGATCGCGTTGGTGAGGACAAGTGGCTCCTGAAGCGATGACGAAAAACTAAAAAGATGAACACACACACACACACACAGGACACGGGCGATGAAGCATCGAGGAGCCACAGCGGATTTTCGTAATATTCGACAACAGGTTTCGTTTTTCGAATTTATGGGCCTCATTGCGACAATTGCTTTGGGGCGTGCTTCTTCGAGAATTCCCACAGCCACTAGAGGCCGCGGAAAAAAAATGGATGTCGCCGAGTTGTTTGCATTAAAATTATGAGGTGCACGGACAGGTGCCAGATGCGCCCGACTAATACGGTCGGATTAGAATCAAAGATTAGAGAATGGCGTCGAATTACGACATTCAGGGTGTTAGACCGATAATGAATGAGAAATTTACTTGAAAGAAATAGCAGAATCAAATGATTATCCGAAATTTGATTTTTTTCAATATCTATACTCTTGATGTATTCAAGCATTTTCAGCCCCGCTTATTATGTAATTTGGGGAAAAGAGAAGAAGAAACAACAAATTCGATTAAATACACTGGATTGAAGCAAAGGGATGCGGATTAATGAGATTCACGCGCGAAGCGAGGACTGTGAAATCTCGACGCCTCGAAATTGATGAGTTGATACATAAACGCACGACGATAAGCAAGACGAATACACGGCTGGTCAACAACTATGCGGATGGACGACCGGCGCGGTTTAAAGTGAACCCGGCCCACGAGAACAACAGCTCTCGGATGGCGTTTTGGCAATCCGCCATTAATGCAGTGGGTCATCGGAAAGGTAGAGGTGGGCGGCACTAGGTACATCTTGTCCAAATGATGTTATAACATTCGGTTCGGCCTCGCTTCCAACGACCGTCAAAAATGTTGTCGGGAATTGTAAAAACTCAACAGCGGCGATGAGTATTAAATGTTGGCAGTGTTACGTGAAGGCACATTACGCGGGGCAATCGCGCCCATTTTTTGTAATATTTGTTCCTGAAAGTTGGTTAAGTAAGACAATCGCATTTGGCGTTTGATTTCTGACGATGGTTTTGAGGACATGGAAAAAGGTGCTGCTGAAGCGTATCATGAAATCGATACAAGGGTGACTAGGACGATGGAAATTGCACGGCAGATTCTGCACAAATTTGTTGAAAATGAACAAGGTGAGCGCTTCTTTTTGAATTCGAAACCGGCGTGTTTTTGAAACCGAATTTTTGCCTCAGATTGAGTGACAGCTGGTTTCGTTCGTCGAGCCATTAAAATTGGAAAGATTTTTTGAAAACTGGCAATTTGTGTTGAAAGAGACGAATTGGAAATTAAATATTTCGAAAAAAATTGTATAAATAGGATTATCTTGTATAATCCGAAAGAACTTTTTTTCTAAAAACTGATTTATATACGATTTTTGTTAAAGCTTCATCGAAACCCGAAACGAAAATTGAGCCGCCAATCAAAGTTCGATGCCCGGAGTCCAACGATGATCAATATGGTTAAAATTATAGGAAAAAGCTTTAGATAAAATTTCAATTTTCAAGATTTTACAACTAATTATGGGCAACGATTGGAACCGCTCGAAGATATCTCCAAATGGTTGTGCTAATTATGTATTTTCACAATTTAAAAGAAAAATCAACTGATTTCAGCAAAGTGACACCAGGGAAAATTGTTCGCCGTGCTCCAGATGAGTAAGACATCGTTCGGAAGATGAATATTTCAAATGGTTGTTCAGAATGTTCCCGAAAGCCTCCTTCGAAAGACAGGGGAATAAGCCAATTATGGTAATATTGGCGCAATTTTAAGGAAGCTAATCGAAGAAATTTTTAGCCATATTTAAATGATAGTCAATTGACGAATGAAAGCGAGAAAATGTGAGAATGAAAAAATATTGTAATTTTAAAAAAGCTTTGAAAATTTTTAGCCAGACAACCCTAGGGAAACGAACAATTTCTGATAATCCACTCTCATCACTCTCTGACGTTACTCAAATGTAATTAGGTGAAAAACGATAAAGCAAAAAATCTATTGAATTTAGATTCGATTCGAATTCGAAACCAGGACATAAGAGTCCGGATAAGTACTCGGAATAATATGATAGCTTTATATTTTGTCATTTATTTCCAGAATGTTTCCAGCAGCTTCATTTACAAGGCAACGACCGGAACGAAAGGTTTTCAACGTTTTTTATTTGTGCAACCAAATATGTCTTTTTTAGAATAGTCCGTCTGTCAATGAGAAGAAAGAATCGTTGAAGCCGCTGGCAGATGTTAGCAGAAAGTGGAAATATTTTAATGGAACCTTTTAAATTTGGCTTTAAAAATTTTCAGCATGGAGCCGAGAGCAAACCCTCATCAGCCTGACGTGATGTTCCCAGAAGCATCGTTCAAAAGAATTAAGCCACCAAAAAAGGTAAATTTTATCATTTTTAATAAAAATTCTAAAAAAAAATTTAGGTTGCGAGTAAAAGTGATTTCGAGAAAATGGATTCACTGAAACCTTTGGAGGATGTTAGCAAAATGTAAAATAATAATTTTTATTTTGAAACACGTTTCTTCCAATGCAGAAAATACTCGCGAGAGGTTTTTGGTATGAATCAACCGGACAACATGTTTCCAGAAGCGGCGTTCACGAGAATCAAACCGGAGAAAAAGGTTTTTGCACAAGTCGTAATCGAAAATTTCAATTTAATTCAGTTGAACAGCCCGTCACAAAAAGAGAAACAATCGTTGAAGCCGTTGGATGATATCAGCAAATTGTGAGTTCTTCGAGATTGAAAAACAATTTTTTTAATTGATTAAGAATGCATTCGAGGGAAGTCGTCAGTCCTCATCCGCCGGACACACTGTTCCCAGAAGCATCGTTTACGAGAATTAAACCTCCCAAAAAGGCAATTTCAATATATTTAAATGTTTTATTGGAAAATTTTCAGATTTCCAGCTCGACGGGGTATAAGAAGAGAGATTCTCTGAAGCCGCTTGCTGATGTTAGCAAAATGTGCGCTTTTTTTTTAAATTTTTTGAGAATTTGCAATTGCAGAATGCATTCTAGAGGCGCAATAAGTCCCCGCGCGCCTGATAGCATGTTTCCGGAAGCAGAATTCACTAGAATCAAGCCCGAGAAAAAACCAACGAGTCCATCGAAAACTGAGAAAATGTCATTAAAACCACTCTCGGATGTTAGTAAACTGTAAGCCAATCTTGGCTTTTATCAAAGTGCTGTTTAATTTGTAGAATGTATTCCAAAGAAATTACGGACCCGAAACCGCCGGACACATTATTCCCGGAGGCGAAGTTCACAAGACACGGCGACTTGAGACTTATGGTTCGGAAACCAAAAACAAATGGTTTTTATTAATATTCATATTCGCAATCAGAAGGAATCGTTTGCTACGAATTCTGCAATAAGCAACGAGTCGTCGAATGATAGTACAAGCCTCGCTGAAAATCTTCCGCAAGTTTTCTACTCGACCGATGGAAAATTAGCGATTGTTTTGATGAATGCCAATAAAACTAGTCAGATTGAATCCGAATTGGCAAAAGTTTGATTCCTATTTCTTTTTCAAAAATTTACATTTTTTTGTAGAAAGTTGCTCCATCGTTGGTTTATTCGCCGGAAATCTATGACAGTTCGGAAAAGTTTTCTTAAATTGAATATTGAAAAAAATTGGAATTTTGCAGTGTTTCCACATTTCCTCAGGTCCCGAAACAGCTTGAATCGAAGTGTGCGGTGAGTTTTTCATTTTTTTTAACTCGATATTTAAATTTATTGGTTTAGGCTGATATTGGCACAAAGATTGATGCTAATTTGATGATTGGACATCATCAGTTAAAAATCACTGGCGTTTTCCAAGGTGAAAAAATTTCGAAAGAGAATATCAAGAAAATTGCGGTCAATGGTCACTTGATAAGTTTTTGATCATTCTCAAGCATTACATTAGACGATTTATAATCAGGATCAAATGACGAAATGAAATAAACGTTCCATTAAACAATAAATGCTTTTCGTTTCTTTACTGTTTTCCCATCGGCGAATTAGAATGTACCTTGATTTAAATATTTATACTTGCTGTTAAAAAATACAAAATTGCACAATAGATCGAATGTGGACGGAAAAAAATTATTTCTTTGACCCATTGTCATCAACCCCAAAATTTCAAACCCTACCCGTGATTTTCCACCCCGAAAATTTAATTTTCTACCACCCACTAGTTTCCACCCCCAGATTTTGGCCTTCATTTTTATTTTTTTATTACCGGTCAATTTTTGACTTGAGTATTTAATTATGTTCTTTTGGCCAATTCCGTAAATTTTCCTAGAAATTGTCAGTGTTATATGGGGGAGGGGGTCTTAAGGGGTCCGAATTCGAAAGTTTTTTTAAATTTCAGAAAATGATTCTAAGTGTCCATTGTGTCAGAAAATGATGGTAAAACGTAAATCTTTTTACCAAATTTTCTGTTCTGCTCGATGGTCAAAATTTACGGTTTCTAACAGTAATTTTTACCTTAAATTTTTGTATTTATAATTGCAATAATTCAAGTTATCAAGAGGAGATTCGTAGAATTGTTGTCTAACTTTGATTTTTCAGAAACTATGTAGACTATCCTTATGAAAGAAAATTTTAACAAGTAATAAACTATTCTCGAAAAAGCAGATTCAGATAGACTTCGTATTTTGTAAGCGTTTATCTATTCCCACAATTTGCAATATTTCAAGTGTCTCATTGTGCAATTTTGTATCGAACTTCTTTGCAAGCCTTGCGCAAATCAAATACCTAAAATCTCTGTGACTGTTTGCTTTTTTTGACTTGTTCTCTCTTCCTGCAAATAATCTCAGTTTAATATAATCTTTAAATTTTAAAAGAAAAATTGCGGACCGAAAATTATTTTAAGAAAGAGTATACTCACAGATTAAAATTAAATTTACCACAGGATACGTAGAATATTGTAAAACAATCCATAAACTTGTCCAGTAAAGCCCTCAAAATCGCTCAATCTGTAAAATTTAATTTAAATAACTCGAATATTTCTCACGAATAATTAAAAAAAATTATTACATACTTTTTAAATTTACCAATGCTTGTTAATTTTGAGGAATTTTGACTAATATTCAAATTGCTAATCGTTCACGTGATATTCGCATTGATGTAGTTTGCTCATAGCTGACCTTGCGGCAATTCTTTTGTGAATAATTGCATAACAACCAGCGAGACAGTGTTGGAAATTTCGTTTTAGACGATATTCAAAATATCGTTTGCAAAACACCCGAAGACAATGACAGATTTGCGACTCGAAACGCCCCCCCCCCGAATGGTCGATGCTCTCGACTCCGCCCACATCGACTATACAAGGTCGGGCATAATTACCGGTAATTTTTTTTTGCGCCATGGTGACTCATGATGTCGCGTTTTTTTTGAGCGCTCACAATTTTTTTCCAGTTGTTTAATGTGTTTTCTATTGTTTTTCCAAGTTTCGGACAAAAATACTAATTTTCTGCCAAATGGTAAAGGCTAGTATCCATCGAGTCACTATTTGCTCGCTATTCGATCAAGGAGTCAAAATTCCCATGATCATCAAGCCCCTCAAACTCCATCCGAACACAGTTTATTCGACGATTCGCCGCTATCAGGAGACTGGAGGACTTGATGACAGGCTTGGGAGAGGAAGAAAAGTTTCTGTTACGACTCTAGCTTAGGTGAAAGCCGTGAAGAGTGAGACGAAACGCTCATCGGAGCCTCTCAACGATGGCTCATGAGATGGGAATGTCCCGAAGATCGACGACAAGGATTGTCAAAGATAAATTGAGTCTTACCACATATCGTGTGTGAAAAGCAGCTATTCTCTCTGCCGCCAATAAGCAAAAAATACCTCAAAAGGTAAAACTTCTTGTGGAGCGCACGCGAGTCGGCGAAAATTTGGTTACCGTGTTCTCCGACGAGAAACTTTTCACAGTCGAGCAAGAATTCAACTCCCGAAATCACAGGGTTCTTGCTACGACCTCCCAAGATGCTTTTGACAATGGCAGAACCATTCACACCACTTCCCATCCAGCCAGTGTGATGGTATTTGGCGCTATATGCTCCACGGGAAAGTGTCCGCTCGTATTCGTTGAAAAAGGCGTTAAAATCAACGAGGAAGTCTACGTTGACATTTTGAAGGATCACGTATTGCATTGGAGCCGAGATAATTTCAAAGGCCAACCGTGGGTGTTCCAACAAGATGGTGCCCCTGCTCACAAAGCTAATTTCACTCAAGAGTGGTGCAAAGCGAATTTTTCGAGTATCATCGCTTCAGACGACTGGTCAGCTTCTTCGCCGGATTTGAATCCGCTGAATTACTATGTCAGGGGAATTTTGCAGAAGAAGGTCTGTGCCACACCCCATTCAAGTGTTGAGGATTTAAAAAAGAAGTTGGTCGAGGAATGGGACAAGATGTCAGTGGAATACTTGCGTGCGGTGGTGGATGCCTACCCAAAACGTCTTCGAGCCGTCATCAAGCAGAAAGGTGGCCGAGTTGAACAACTTTAGTATTTATATGTTTGTTACTACCCAGATAAACTTTTAGTTGAATCTCAACTTATTCTGACTTTTACTTTTTGAAATACATCCGTTTGAACTTCTATCGGTAATTATGCCCGACCCTGTAAAAGCAGGGGATGCGGCTCAGATGGCGGACAATGGCGAGTTGTCTATCATCGAAACTTTCGGATCATGATTTACTGATCTCGTTAGGAATTCTCGCCTCCGACTCGGGTAGTCGGATCCAGCCCTTAAGTGGGTGGTCTGCAGTGTTGGGTTCAGGTGAAGCTAAACCTCTCGTTTGAAGCCTATCTAGTGAAGAGGGCTAGATGATAGATGGCGGACCGTTGTCCCCGTCCCCAGTGGTACCACTATCCCCTCCCCATAGATCTGAAAAAAGGAATGGTATGAAGATGAAAGAAACAGAAAATTGTAAGTGATATAAAGAATATTGGTTGAAAACAATTTGAATTAAACCTATAATTATTTCAACTATAATTAATTAAAATCCAATTTAAGAAGAATATATCGCAAAAAATCGTTAAAAATAGGGAAAAAATGAGTTAATTTTTTAAAAATCCAATTATTAAAAATCTCACAGTTAAACGCTGCACCTTTACCCTGTCGGCCGTATTATTTTTACATCATTTTTTTCTATTCTTTAATGTTTTTAACGATTTTTTGCGATATATTCTTTTAAAATTGGATTTAAATTAATTTTGTTTTTTTTACTGTATATTTTTGTAAATTAGTGGCTATTTAGGACTGAAAATTAATAAATGACTAATATTTTCCTAATTTTTAGGATTGTTTTATTTTTCGTCGATTTTTTGATCTATTGGTATTAAAAAGACGCCAGATCTGCGAATAAACAAGACTACAATGAAGCGAATTATTTTCTGTTGAATATCAATAATCAATAATTAATCATTGTAATTTTTTGACTACATTTTTTCTAATTTTATCATCGATTTGATTCGTGTCTCTTGTTAAGAGACTTCACTCATATTTTTTTCATTTCCCCGTGTGTTTTTGCTCGTTTCGCTCCGTTTATTTTTTGTCGACATCGATTTCCGGGTTTTCAGGGCGAGGAAAATTTTACGACGTCGACGTCAACTCGATTTTCATTTTCTGTTGCCGTCGTTCAACTTCCATCGTCTTCGACGTCGTCTGAAAGCCGCCTGCGCGTCTACCCGGTAAGTCCCGATTTCGTTCTGCTGTGTTCCGCTTTTATTTCCGAATTCTGCGTTTCCCTGTGTGCTCCTAGATTCGCCATGGCTAGCGTGAAATATTCCTTATTAGGAATTAGGGCAACTCTAGGAATGAAAGAGTGCTGCGGACAAAACTGTTGATTCGAACAATCCCATGCAATGGGCACACTTGAGGCCGATCGATGGCGGATTCTCGACAACGACATCTTCAACAAATGGATTTCAGCAACTTTGTGGTATTTATTAGAATTTTTAATTAGCTTCTTAATTGCTAGGTTTGATCTGTTGAGATTTCAATTAAATTTCGCTATTTTAAGATTTTATTAAGAGTTTTTAGATTATGATTAAAAGAAATTTTTTTAGAATTTTAACACATTTTCATATAGATTAACAGTTTCAATAATTAATTAGTTAATTATTTAATTAGTCAAGGAATATTTCACGCGTGTCGACGGAATTGCCCTACTCTCCCAAATTCTGCTTCCTTTCGCGATCAATTTGCGAAAGGATGATTTTTTGTTGAAGTTTTGCAATAAATGGTCTCGATTTACTGGATTTATCGAAACTGACGTCGGATTTTTGAAGAATTCGCGAATGTTTTCATGTTTTTTTATGCGAACTGCGCAGTTTTTCAATGAAATTTCGGCTTTCGATTATAAGAAAAAAATAATCTTGGCGAATATTTCGAAAATTTTTAAAAATGCTTCAAAAAAAATGAAACCTATTTTAAATCTTCTAAATCAATTGAATAATTTTTCCCGTTTTTGTCGAATTTTTATTCGACTATTTTATACTCAAAATTGCTTCAATTATGCTTAATTAAGGTAAAATTTGGCTTATACCAATTTTGATAATCGAGTTTCAGCGAAATTTTCGAATTTCAGAACGTTTCGTTGTTTTTTTCGTACAGATAAAGAATTTAGGCAATTTAACGCTGATAATTGAGTTAATTAGGATAATTAAGCGAATTTTGGGTTATGTTAATCACAAATTATGTAATTTAAGCGAAATTAGAGACTAATTTTGGTAGTTTCTAGTTTGAGCTTAAAAAATAATTCAACCTCTAGAATCTCGGTGTGTTTTGTTCACTAACTAATCAGTAATTAGCAAATTAATTAATTATTGATGGGATAGCTTGTAGAATGATATACTTGAAGTGGCGAGATCAAATTGGATTACTGTAGATTTGTGCTAGTGGTTGCAAATTTCGCAAAATTGAAAAACTTGGACATGTTTCTTTTCAAGACCTCTTCCGACTTCCACAGCAATCCGATTTCTGATCTCAAAGCTTTTTGTTTTGAAGTCGGAAATTTTTCCAAAAAAGTTAGTTTCCAGGATGTCAGTAAATCAAAACTATTTATTGCAAAAAGTCAACAATAAATGAAGGAAAATTTTAGAAAACGGTCGTGAAAAGGAAGGGGCCTCATAAAGAAGGTCATTTTGGGTGTCACTGGCGATTTTTCTCTAAATTTTCTTATATATATATATATATATATATATATATATATATATATATATATATATCTTATAATAATCTACGAAAAATCTTCTATCGACTGGTTTTATCCGCTACACTTATATGCGGACCCTCCCAACTTCAATCTTTTTGCAGAAAATCCATCATTTAGTCAAAAAATTGATAATAATTTAAATTCCCAAAATTTCGAAGTTTTGACATTTCATCGTAAAACCTAATTATTGACCTTAGTAATTGAGTGATTTCAAATCTGTACTTTTGTGCATACTCTATTAGAACAATTGTAGTAAACAGAGAAACAAAAATTTATTCATTGTCTAGTTTCATTAATACAAATATGAATAGTGGGCTACAAAAATGGGCTAAAACGACTTAACAATAACAATACTTTGTCAGAAATAGCTCTGTGACTTGAAATTTTATTTTAGGAATTCTAATTTTTTTCAATTTTTGAGTTTCACAATAAAAGTAAAAAAAAATTAATGATAGCAAAAAATTGAAGTTGAGAGGAGTCGAACCCTCATAAAAATGTAGCGGATAACACCAGTCGATAGAAAATATTTCGTAGATTATTATAAGAGAGAATTTAGAGAAAAATCGCCAAAGACACCAAAAATGACCTCCCTTATGAGTGGAGTTGGGCAAGTTCGTCGTCCAAGTCATGGAGAATCGGGGAGCACAGGGGAAAACACAGAATTCGGAAATGAAAGGGGTGGCAGGGCAGAGTTGGGGCTAGAGATGGGTAGAGGCCGCGCATTTGAAGAAAGAATCAAAGGGGATCTGATTACTTTTATTTCGAAAATTTGCGAAATGACCGTCTCTCCCACTTAGCGGCTCCTCGGATTTTTTCGTCGTCTCCTCCACCCCTCGTTTCCCGAGCCAAAATCGCAAAAAAAACGTAATGCACAAAACAGCAGAAAAATCGCCCTATTTTTGACCATTTTTGGGCAATTTAAATTTTGTTCGATTTTGCCAAAAATGGAAATTCGTAGTTTTTATGACCTCTCAGCCGGGTGTCAATAAGAATTGCACAACAGTCGACGCAATTTTACGGACTGATCAGGAATACTGTAAGTGGGCCGTGATGGCCTTTACAGTAATCCGTCTCAAACCATTACGTCAACTGAAATACAAGCTTAAAACCCTTCGGCCAAGAAATCAAACTACGAACTTCACTTTGACCTTCGCTACGAGACCCGTTCTCTCAGATGAGCGTGTGACAGGCAACCACAAGTTTTGATCTACAATCTACCCAGCAACATTACAAATTCGAACTACCCGCTGACCTACAAACGACCTTCTGGAACATCTCAATCGACGACAATTTGAAAATAAATTGACTGAAATAATGGAAAATACATAAATTGCCGACAAATGAGATACTCTAAACTCAATTTGACAACTATGAAGAATTATCGAAGCACGTCAATCACTGTGGAAATTTTGGGATTGAAAATAAATTGTTTGCGATTCGTATTGAGCGAAATTTATCTGAATTTTCTAAATGAATATTTAAAAGAAAATGCATAAAATCGTTTAAAATTAAACAAAATTGGGCGGGGTTCAAAAGTTCACCGTTTTTGGTCAATTTTACCAAAAAAATATCATAAGCTGAATAATTTCTTTACAAATTTGATTGGCGGCTGTCTGTCACTGAAACCTAACCTCATAAATTAATTACCTGTACTCCCCCACCTCCAAATCTCGATTCCCATCAAAATTCCTATTTTTTAGGGCTATTGCGTCTTTTTTTTTAATTTCAATAAGAAAAAATATGGTAATTTGATGGAAAGTCGATTATACTTAATTAAAATTTATGAGGATCTCCTCTTGCAAAAATAATGAATAAATTATCGCAATATCTCGAAAACCATCGAAATTCTAAATACCCGCCTTTCTCAAGATTTAAGCCAAAAAACCTTAATTCTAAAAATATCCTAATACTAAGCCGCAATTAAACACCTGAATCATCCCATCAATTAGAAAAATTAACCAGATTTATTAAAACGCGTAATTTGGTTGAAATAGTATTTTTTTTAACCATTGGAATGCCCTATATGAATTATCTATTGTGATTTTTTTGAATTGTAAAATTAGCTGATAGAACTCTAGTAAAACTAAAAAATACACCTTTAAAATTGTTTTAAGAAAACTCCACTCTTATATTTACCCTAAATTATAAAGCAGCTTAAACGGCAATGCGTAGAAAATTAAAAAAAGAAAAAAATTGACAAAATTTCATTGCAGATCGAAAGAAAAAAAGAAGAAAAAATGTTTATATTTTTTGCATTTTTTAAAAATTTTCTCTGCCACCTTCGAGAAACTATTAATATAACCTCTGACACAAAATAAGAATCAGTAAGCTAGCACAACCCAGATGATAATCCTACCAACCATTTCCTCAGTCCTTGTTGCTTTTTCTACTCTAAGAATGACCATTAGATCTCAATCGAAGAACCCAATCCTAATAAACCCTCGAACTATTTTTACCTGAAGCATTTTATTTTAAAATTTGCCAAAACCGAACCCCCTTTAAAATCCCACCATTTATTTCCTAAATGTTATCCCTAATTACTTTAATTACTCAAAACTCGAATCATTCGAAATAAAACGATTCCCGTAGCGAATGTCATCGTTTGGCAAAATCGAACAACATTCAAAAAGAGCAAAAATGGTCAAAAATTACGGGGTCATTTTCTTCAGCTGTTTTGTGCATCACGTTTTTCTTGGATTTTGACTCGGGAAAAAGCAAAGAGATTCGGACACGACCAGGGAAATCCGAGGAGCCAAATGATGTGCTACCGATCAAACCGCTTCGTGCCGGTGCAAATAAAACTCTGAAATTGCCAGCTATTCAAAAAATGCTTAAATTTTTATTATCTCACCTTCTGAGTTTTTGCGTCTACAACCCATGACGATTTGGTTTAATATTGTTTCAAAAGTTCTAAAAAAATCAATTTATTGTCTACATTTTGAAATAATAACAAACCTTCGACACTCCACATGGGACCATCAGTGCCGTCGCCACGGAAAATTCGTTGAGGCACTACCTGAAAAAGAAAAATTATTGTAAGAAGAAAACGGCATTAAATACAATAAATAAAACGATTTAAGTCATTCAAGAATGTTTCCTAAACGGAAATTGAGCAAGAAATTACGAAGGACGCGAAAACAAATCATCAAAATGCACACAAACGCCGACGACGATTATTGTTGAGAACTGAATTTGCAAAAGACGCAGACATCAAAACATCAATCGATATTGACAATTGGATATCAAAATACATACAAAAAATCAACGATTTCTAATCTGCGCAGGGCATTTTGGTTGTGCGCGTGTTTGCGTACACGGCATTTTACCGTACGCGCATTTAATAATTGGCCGCGAAATTGAATTTTCCGCCAACGATCGGCCATTTGAAACCGACAATAGACATTCAAGACTATCATCAATGAAAAAGATAGGAAGCATAAATATCAAGTGTTATAGAACTTTTCGTACATAGTAAAAAAAACCAAAATCACAATAAACGCTGATTAATTTATACAAAATACCAATTGCAAAAACATAACAAAATAAAAGAATGTATCAAAAAGTGCAATCGATAACCGAGTAAAAGAGATCAGTAGGTTAGATACGATTCTTTTTAGGGAAAAAAAATTAATGTTGTTATTCATTCGTCAGTCACGGCGTAGTCTGGATGCACACAAAGTGTCGGGTCATCTCCTTGTTCGACTTCGAGAAGACACGCTCGTCATGAATCAGACGGCGAATGACTCTCTTGCAGACCGTCTTCTGCACGAAGTAATCCTCTTCCGAACCAAGGTCTTCTTCAATCGTGTTGAGATACCAATCGACCAGCTCGCTCTGCTTCACACCTCCATAATCCTCATCGCCGAGTTTGTCTTCGTCGGCTCTCATATGAAGAATGAGCACATCCGACATTTTTTGTAATCCTCATATTTCAATTTCAGTTTCGCTGGGTCGATCTAAATTCCGTAATTGTGAATCGTTAACAAAATCAGTGATAACTGCCTTAGGCTTCAGATTCTCTGCATCCTCTCCATCATGCTCCATTCGTTCTTCCTCATTCTCTTTGTTCGCTTCCACAACGACAATATCTTTGTCGAAATCATCATCTTCAAGATCAACATCCGCTTTCTCTAAAATAATGCTCTCATTATTATTCAAAATAAATATTTTTAAAACAAAACCTAACAACCGACTTGTTGAGCAGTTTCGCCGCCTGATTCACATGCTCAGCTTTCACCTCGCGACCGCAATGAAGTCTCGCAAGAGCCTCGGAGAGTCGCACAAGCGATTCAAGTTGTCGTACAGTGATTCTCCATGACGAAGTTGCCGCATTATTGCTGTCCGACATACGAAGCTTTTTATAGTGGCGAACGAGTTAACAGCCTCGTCCGAAATCTTAAAAAAAAAACTCAACTTTTGAATTTTAATGTAAAAAAAAAGAAAAACGGAACCTTTGGCTTGAAGCATCTCGTACAAGCGATATACTAAGCGATAGCGATATACGGGCTCATTAATCGCTCGATGATTATCAAGAATTCTCCGCGCGATCGCATAATCGGTGACCTCATTGCACTCATCGACAAGCACAAAGAACAAATCGAAAAGCGACATAATCGGCGCCGACATCTGCACATTGTATTTGAGCGGCTTCGATCGATCGTACCTTCCACCGACCGGATTCGCAGCGGCAAGAATCGAGGCACGAGCGTTAAGCGTCGCTTTCACACCGGCCTGAATATCGCCCGAATGAAAAATTTCAGTGATTATTACTAGTCAAACCTTTGTGATCGAGATCGTTTGCTGCTCCATAGCCTCATGAATAGCCACCTGATCCTTCTGATCCATTTTGTCAAACTCGTCAATACAGACGACGCCTTTCCGGATGTGTAAATCGCGCGGGGGCTGAATTCCTCGATCGCCCTTAAAAAATCAATCAACTTGTGATTTCTAAACCAAAATTTCTTCCCCATACTTCAAAACTTGCGATTTCGCTGTCGATGGGTCGCCAACCAAACACAAATTGATATCACCACGAATTTTAAAGATTGAATTTCAACAAGTTTTCAACTTGCTTCCGAATTTTGAAAAAAAATCATACAAATTGTCGAATTAGTGCGGAATTCGACAATTTCAAAGGTGATCGATTGACGTAGCTCGCAAAAACCCATGACATTATACCCAAATATAACCCTACACCTAATTTCGAAAAACTGAAACCTACTGTCGGCATCGTGCGAAAAAAAAACTAAGTACGAGAATAGTTTTTTCAGCGCACCTGCCGAAAACACACTCAAACCTAACAATAAAAATATACAAAGCTTAAATCGATACTATGACCTAAATTTCAATCAACATTTAACTCAAACTCATCTAGCGCCTTAATAAGTTTAGCAATTAAACTTTAACTCAATCTCTATAATATAAAGTGTCACAAGCTCATTGACCTATCTTTCTAAGTTTCAAATAATTCAGAACCACAATAAAATCCTCAAGCATCTCTTGTTAGCTCTCATTCTCTAGTCTATTAGAATTTGTATCACCTTCTCTCAAATGAAGCCTCAAATGACGCCACACTACGTACGGAAACGAGGAACGCGTTACACAAAAAATCTGCCATATCCGTAAATTGTCACCAATTCTAGTTTATTTCTATTTCCACGACGACGATAAACCAGTAAAGTACATGAGTTTTGAATTTCGGGTCAAACATCGGAAAAATTCGAAAAATGGTGGAAAATGGCGCGACGGGGGAAGTGAGGGGGCGGCGGCATCGACCGGGTTCAGCGCGTTTCGACTCGCGAGTTCAGGAAACGAACAAGGAAACCGGAGGAGCCACGAGGAGAAAAAACCGCGTACCGCTATCGGATCATCCAGAATCTCAGCGACGCCGCTCCATTTTCTTTGTGATCCTCGAAACGGTTCGATTTTCGGCAATCATTCACCATTGTAGATTTCTAAAACACACAACATTAGAAAAAAATAACGTATTGAAATGTATGAAGTGGATGAAGATTATCCGGACTACAGGGTGTCATTTAAGTTCCCGCACAAAAGTTTGACGCCATGAAGAGCTTGGCTGTCGCACTTTTCGTGCACCAATACAATTTATTTTTGTTAAATAAGGTATATTTTACTTACTTTCCAAGTTTCACCTCATTCGGATGTGTTTCCGAGAAATGGCGAAGGCTAACATCCATCGCGTTTCCATTATCGAATTTCATAAGCAAAATGTGAGCCCGAGAGACATCATTCAACGGGTCGGTGTGCCTCGTAGAACGGTTTATGACACCATCAAACGATTCAAGGAGCTAAATACGACCAGTGACCGTCCCAGACAAGGAAGACTCGTCTCAGTAATCACTCCTCAGAAGATCAACGCCGTTAAATCGAGGATCAGGTGAAAACCCCACAGGAGCATGAGATAGATGGCGTCAGACATGGGAATGAGCATCTTCGCTATGGAACAAATCGTCAAAGCGAAGCTTGGACTGACCCCATATCGTGTCCAAAAAGCGGCAATTCTATCGGCCGTCAGCAAGCAGAGACGCTTCGAAAAAGCAAAACGACTTCTTGCTCGCACGCGGCCTGGAGAACACCTCGTCACTGTCTTCTCCGACGAGAAGCTGTTCAGTGTGGAGGCGGCATTCAACTCACAAAACCATTGAGTACTTGCCCAGACATCCCAGCAAGCTTCTGAGAAAGGAAGAACAATTCATCCAGCCTCACATCCTGCCAGTGTGATGGTTTTCGGTGCCATCTGCTCAACCGGGAAGTGCCCCCTGGTTTTCGTGGATCAGGGGGTGAAAATGAACAGAGAAGTCTACGTTCGGGACATTTTGGAGAATCATGTGATGCCCTGTACCCAAACGCATTTCGGTGGGCAGAAATGGGTCTTTCAACAGGACGGAGCACCCGCCCACACTGCCAAAACTACTCAGGAGTGGTGCCAGACCCATTTTCCCGACTTCATCAAGTCATCCGAATGGCCTGATCGCTCCCCAGACCCGAAACCGCTTGACTTTTCCGTGATGGGGTCTTGCAGGAGAAGGTCAACGCAAAACCCCACTCAAGTATAGAGGCTCTGAAGAAGACATTACTGGCGGAATGGGACAATCTTTCCATCGAACACCTGCGTACCACAGTCATATCCTACCCGAAGCGTCTCCGTGAAGTCATAGCTGCGAAAGAAGACCGAATCGAAAAGAGTTAAAAGATAATTATTTGTTATACTATAGAAAAAATATATTTCGAGTCTCGTTTGATTTGGACTTTTAGTTTCAGAAATATACGTCTTCAAAGTTGTGCGGGAACTTAAATGACACCCTGTATACAGGGTGGCTGAAAATTACCCGGACTAAAATTTCGAGCCTTCGTGAGGCGCACTGGTGCTTTTTCAGCTCAACGTTTTTTAATTTTTTTAATTAGCAATGTTTTTTTTACTATCTCTCAAATTTTCATGATAATTTTCTCGGTTTTAGCAAAATGGCGAAGCAAAATGCAAACCGATCCGCAATTATCGCATTACACAAGTCCGGAATAGGCACGTATGCAATTTGGAAGCATCTAAGAATTCCGAAAAGCACCGGCTACGATGCGATTTCTCGTTTCAAGGATCTTGGCACAATCCAGGACCGTGCAGGCATAGGAAAAAAAAACTACGGTGACGACTTCTTCGAACGTTAAGATCGTCCGAGACAGAATCAGACGAAATGCTCATCAGAGCATCAAAAAGATGGCTTCCGCCCTGAATATGTCACGAGCTTCAATGACAACCATTGTCAGAAAGAAGCTTAAGTTGACTCCTTATTGTGTCAAAAAAGCGGTCATCCTTTCTCAATCCAACAAGCTCAAACGGCACCAAAAGGCAAAATTCCTTTTGGCGCGCGCGCGGGTTGGGGAACATCTGTCGATGGTCTTTTCGGACGGGAAGCTGTTCACCGTGGAGGCCGAATTCAATTCGCAAAACCATCGAGTGCTTGCTCGAACGTCCGAGGAAGCTTCAGAACTCGGCCGGACGATTCATCGTACGTCGCACCCCGTCAGCGTCATGATTTTCGGTGCCATCTACTCCAATGGCAAATGTCCTCTGATTTTCGTGGAAAAGGGTGTCAAAATCGACAAGGACTACTAGGTCAATGAGATCATGAAGAAGAACTTGCTTCGTTGGGCCCAAAAACACATTTGTGGACAGCGATGGGTGTTCCAGCAGGACGGGACGCCAGCTCATACTGCAAAGTTTACGCAGGAGTGGTGCGCCAACAATTTACCCTCCTTCATCAAGTCAACAGAATTGCCAGCCTCTTCTCCTGACCTTAATCCGTTGGACTACTCCGTATGGGGGGTCTTACAGAGTAAGGTCCGTGCTATGCCCCACCCGAATTTGGACTCTCTAAAGAAAGCGCTGGTCGAGGAATGGGGCAAATTGTCGGTGGAATACCTGCGCGCCACGGTCGACGCATATCCGAAGCGTCTTCGCGCCGTCATCAGAAACCGCGGAGATCGAATCGGACAACGATAATCTATTTATGTTTGTTATTGTAAAAATAAGCTAAATATGAAATTTGAGTGTGTTTGAACAATTATTCACTGAAATACATTGGTTTTCATATAGTCCAAGTAATTTTCAGCCACCCTGTATAAAATGTTGCCTATGTTCAAATGATTAACAAATATGGTAATTTAAACGCGATGGGACATCTAGTAATTTCCTTATTTGGCTAGGGTCTATAACATTAAGCGGCTTTTCATAGCTAAGACGCGCGAAAAAACGTATTTGGCTGGCACTTCGAAACGTTTTTTTAGAAAGTTGATTAGTGAAATTTAGAAACAATATACCGAACATTTGGGATTTCACATCATAAAAAAATAATGGTCCCGTTATGGCACAAATTTCATTAACTATTTATGTAACTCTTAAAACATTTTTAGAAAATGTATAAATTTTTAAAAAATAATAATTGCTAGAAAGCATCTTACAAAAACAGGCGCCGCTTATCGATTGAATATAATAAAGTGAATATAAAAATCTGATTTAGAAAATAACCCCAATGTTTAGATTTAGCATAATTTTCCATAAACCCACAAGTCATTGTTATTTTAAAAAAATTTTCCACATATGCTTTTCTAATTGACCTCCCTGGGAAAGCTCAAGCTAAACCCTCAATTCTGAAGAATTATTTATTTGATAATCGTAAAGCCCCTAGTAAAATTAACAAAATTGTACACAAAAATAGCTATCTTATTGCGCATTTTTTAGAAAGCGTTCAGAAAATAGAGTTACACTATCCCAACATTCCTACTCAATTTTTGATATTCTATGATACTTCCTTCATTCGCCAAAACTCCATTAATTTACGTGACATTCACATTAAAACGATGGTTAAATTTATGCCAGTGATAATATCTTCAAACAGAATAGTTTTAAAAACGTTTCTATTCTAATTAAAGAAACTCGAAGTTTTTGTCCGGGTAATTTTCGACAGCTTTGTAGATACAAACCTTTGCTATTATCAGAAGAAACTGTCGATGTCGTGGCCAACACAAAAGACCAAATCGCCATCTGAAAATGAAAAACATTAAATTCTGTTTCTTTAACCACTATTTTTTTTAAATAAATCTTAACAAAAGTTATTTGCCTGGGATTTGTTAAAAACACTGGAAATTTCTAAGAAATACAGCAAAAAGGGTGCAACCAACTACAAACAAATCGATAAGACCGACGAATATTCGAATTTTGGCGCGCAAACGTGTTTGCGGAGTGTCGTCAAATTATATGTTTGCGTAACCTATCAGATACAGTACACCTAATGCAAAAGCACAACTACAAAATTCTTGCCAGATTTCCTACATCAAATTTAGCTCAATTCTTGCAATGCAAAAAAACGACAATTACACAACACTAAATTTAATTCTATACTCAACAAATTTAGTCGAGACGCTTTTCAATCACAATGAATGGCCCCCACTCAAAATCTTCTGTTTATGAGGTGGTAGCTATGCAAACGGGAACTTCACGGCAAACAAATGTAATTTTCAAATTCAGCGTAAAACTCCTAATCCGCAGAGGATATGTTTGTTATTGTAAATGCAATTAATAGATGTTCGCAAAATTCTAACGATGAACGGATAGTTGTTACTACAGTGTTTCAAAACGTGTTTAGTTACAGTAATCCGGCTACGACAACCAAACATTTTAAAAATTAAGCTCTCTGTTTTGACACCTCAACTTGGGTAATTGAACCTTTTATAAACGAAATTATTTAGTAACTAAATAATTTTGCAATTTTATATTCAAACTTTGCCAAAAAATGATACCATTGATCTTCGACTCCTCATCACCAATTCATCGCCTTCTTGCTCGTTGTCGATATTGGGCAGTGTGATTCCACCACTCAACGGACCATTCTCGGCAACAACTGCGCTCAGCCGCTCCTCCATTTGGATCTTTGCCTGCAAAAATAAATTTTCTATAAAAAGAAACGAAAATCGATTTTGATCAAAAACTAAGTAAAAAATGAGAAAACATTCAATTTTTTTCAAGATATAATAAATTTTTAGGCAAAAACTGACCAAATAAGAAATTTTCATTGGGACTTTTCACAATTTAAAATCAAAATTCAACTCACTTTCGGAAATTTTTTCTTATAAACACTCGTTCGATTGACAATTTCCAAGTTGAATTCGTTCACAAATTTCGCAGGACTTCTGAAATCGAAAATTTTACAAAAGAATTTCGAAAAAAAGCTTACGTCAAACTTCAACTTCTGGGATGATACAGAAATGAATTCAATGGCTGCGGTGTCGTCACGTCATCATAACTCTCATTACTATCATATCTACAATAATAAACCACTAACATAAAAATCAAAGGATTTCGATGAAAAACGCAATTTTCAAAGATTAGTTCTGAAATTGGTTACAAAATTGACAGATGCTTAGAAGTTTGGTGCCAAGAAATTTTTTCTTTAATATTTATTCAAAAATTCCAAAGTTTTCAAATGTCCAGGGTGAAAACAAAAAAGAATCTTTGAAATTAGAAAAGAAATCTATAAAAATTTAAATGCTCTTTTATACAATAATTCTAAAATTTCTTAAACTTTTTGTAGCAAATATAATTCTCACACGAAAAACTGGCATCTGCCACTTCGAAGAAATAAAAAAAACGCGATTTCTATTTTTTTTTCAAAAGCTCAAATTTCAGGTGCGTTTAAAAAATTTAGGAATAAACTTCCTTTATTGGTAATTAATCACATGTTATTGAAATTGAACACGCAAAAAAACCAGCTTGCGATGCGAAAAAAAAAACGTTTTTTGAAAGCACGAAAATTATTGAGAAACATACCGACTGGAAGCCTGTCGATCGGGTCCCACTCTCATATTATCAATCATTTCTCCAATATGCTCCGTCGACGAATATTGACTCTGAAAATGAGGTATATTCATTGAAAAAACCAATCCGGAAATTTTACAATATCTCAGGTAAATGAAAATCAGTCGGATTCGAAGAAAAATGAAGCATAAATTTAACTGATTTAATAGAAAAAATAATTGAAGTTGGGTTGAGAAAGAGCTTAAATTCGATTTTTCGATTTAAAAATCTCGATTAAAAAATCTTCGAAATCGATTGAATTATTTCTCACTTTCAATTTTTGAATAGTATTCGATTGATGTTTTGAATAATTTAAAACAGATTAATTTCGATTGAAAATGAAATTATTTTCGAAACCGATTGATTTTCATTTACCTGAGATTATCCATAGAATTTCCAATAGGAAAAGATTAATTCCGGAGCTGAATTTTGCCGGATCCCATTTGTTTTGAAACACAAGAGAAGCTGCTGAGTGATTTAATTGGAAGTAAAAATTCCCAAAGCCAGTCACAGAAGTGCAAAACTAGATATCAATTAAATAATTGTTTCGATTCCACCCAATTTCGGTGACGACCCTATTCATTGTCGCTGCTTCAAGAGCTGCCATCGATGACGGCCGAAATTCCTCGTTTCATTCGAATTTCAGTGTGTCTAAAAAATTAACATTTAAATGAAACTACATATTGAAAAACTGATATTTAGAGTGCAATTTAGTATTAAAATTTGTATGTTATTAAAATTTACTAGCAGAAAATAATTGTCAATTCGGTTGCCTCCACAATGAACTGTCCCGACGCCACTCCACCATGTGCCCTAGACTCCACAGGCAATTCTCTCCTGGGCCGGACCCTATGGATCACCGATGCGGGGTGTTGGTCCGCGTCTCGTGGCACGAGAAGCGCGGAACCCGTGCTGGCTCTCTCAAATCCGAGTTAACGAATGTTCTCGAGACACGCTCATAGTGATCGAAGATCAATTCATTGTGGAGACAGAGAAAACCGCGTGTTCAAAACAATTAAAAACTTTAAAAAAAATATGCGTACTCAAAAATTTGTGAAAATCGATAAAAAAGCCAACTTACACAATTATGAATTAGTGATTACAATTCAAAATAAGCAACAAATAAAATGGTTATGAATAAAATGGAAGATTACTGTAGACACAAATCATTATATAACTGAATTGACGAAATAATGCAGAATTTTTTTTCATTGTGGAAAATTTACATCTGCATTCAAAACTATTGCTTAAAAATAAGTTGTTAAACTAAAAGCAGACAATTCTTACGATCAACAATTAAAAAATTCAATAGCTTTGTTTAAATTCCGCTTCATTTTGCAATATTTCCTTATACTACTTACATTATCCTTTTTAACTCATATTTCGTTTTAGGTTTTCTCGACAAAGTAATCGACCATGGCCGTGAAAGAATTAAAATAAATGAGAGTTGCTGAATGTGGGTGTTATGTTGATGTGGAAAATTGAATATTCACGTGATTCGAATATTTTTTGCAGGAGTTTTCACACATAAAATACAATCGGATCTACGGCATTTGGCACAGACTTTAATGATATTTTTCATGAAATGTTGATTTGCTTTTTAAAATATCCAAAATGGATAAACATTTCTCTCTCTCTCAATGTTTGATTCCTTCTTGCTGTGCACTTTCGTTAAAAACATTTTTGTGTAAAAGTTTCAAGAAGATATATTTTATTGTTTCGAAAGAATGATGACAGTTGCCCTAAACCCGGAAGTAAAGGTGAAGCAGGTGCCCTACATCGGTACTCCAGCGATTCATTATTTCAGTTCGAAGTCATTTCAACAATGAAGTTAAACGGCATCATTGATCCTTCCACAGCTATTTCCGGCTCTTCCAACCTTGGTATGTTAATTAGTAATATCTAAATAATTTAAATGAAATTTAGTGGCTGATGTTATCAAGTTCCTTGTTTTGAACTTGACCCCTTACGCGCTCCTCATTATTGGGCTATGGAAGTTTGGAGAGTGCCCCATCGAACCAAAAATACCTGTATTGATGGCCGTTACCGGATTCATAATGATTGCTAACGATTTCTTTACTCTTTATATCCGTAGAAAGGTAAGATTATTTATCGTAATTTTTTAACATTTTAAGCATAGTTTTAGCACGCGGTAAAGAATGCTGAAGGCATCATTAATTATCCGCTCGGCATAAATATCATCAGATTCGGAGTCATGTTTGTTTACCTTGCATTGTAATAAAATATAATTATTCATTCATTTAATTCTATTTTTATAGATTCTTCGTTGGATTCATCTTCATTTACAGCAAATATTCTGAGCGCGAGAAATGTGATGCTTTGGCCTATACCACCGCTTTAATTGCTTTTGGTTTCATGTTTGTTGTATCGATCGCTGTTGTTTTACTCTCCTGTTGTCTCCTTTCCCTTGGATTGCTGGTCCAAAAATGCGAAAGCTCAGCATCAAATGTTTAAGGTTTTTATTCGATACAGATTAAGGTTTTTATTCGATACAGTAGATTAAATAAATTAGAAATATCATTTATTGAGTGACAATATTACGTAAAAATGTTGATGAAAGCTTCTCGAGCTTCTTGACATCTTGTAATTGGTTTGTACTATATTGGAGGCATACAATGTTATCTGTCACCTTCAACACCAATTTTCCGGCAGTGTGGTTGTATTTTGTAGAAAATCTGAAGACTCAAGTTACGAGAATGAATGGGCTAAAAATAATAAATACTGTAGATCGCGCGACCGCGGAAATTGGCTGAATACAAAAAAATCAATAGCAGTGATCTTGGCGTAAAATTGAAGTTTTTCGGGCCTAATCATAAGGATAGGTTAAAGGTGCACATTGCCCACCGAGAATTCTCTTTATTTTTTGACATTTTGAATATTTTCCGCATTCGCGAGAAAAAATTCAAATTTGAATTATCGCCTCGAAAAAGTGAGATGGACCACAGACACTGGTTTTTTGTGATGTAATATTTGAAATGGAAATTAAAATAAAAACATATACGCAACAAAGAAACATACACGTATCAGATTAATTTAAATAAACTTTAGTCAACTTAGTGAGTTTTTTTTTGAGTTAGCAGTTATAGAATTTAAAAATTTTACTGTATATTGGTGAATGGATGACCGGGGATCTGAGGCAGACCAGTTTTTTAAATCCACTCTTGATCTATGTTTCATCAATTTTTTATGTTTTTTGTCCACTTTCAAAAAAATGTTGTCCACTTTTGAGAATTGGACAAAAAAAAGATAAAAATTGAGAAAACATGGATCAAAAGTAAAAATACTGATCTGCCACATTCCTCTTCATAAATTTTCAAACGTGCATTGTTTAGGTATTAACAAAAGTGACCTGCATTTTTCCGGATTGGCTGCATGAAGTCTTTCAGCAGCTTTGGCAAACTCGTCCCAGCTTGTAAAATACGTCATTTCTGTAATCGAAAATTTAAATAAAACATTGGTTTATTTGTGAATATAAAAACATCCACTTGGAATTAATCAATTGAGAATGGCCGAAAATTATCTGAAAACTAGGCCATCACCAATGATTATAAAATAATTATTATATTTCGGAGTTCTACTTTTTCTTTTTACAATTGAAGTTAAAAATTAAATATAAAGCCAGAAAATTTTAGAATTAAAATGAGTATTAGGTCACAGAGATAGGCTATATGCACTGTATCAACATAGCTCATATGGTCGAACATTCTATATACGTAAAGCAAACAAGTGCGCTCTATTGCGAACGTAACTTCAAATTTCGAATTTAGCGTTTTCAAGAAAAATTGATGACGTTTATCCTGATTCTATGATTTTCAGCATAAAATATGTCGTTTTTACGTTTCAATAGATGAAATATATATTAATTATGTTTGAACCTTCAGTTTTTACAGTTTCTATTTAAAAAAAAAAACCACTTCTACTTATTATTTTTTGTGTTTATCATAATATTGATTTTTTTTCAATTTGAAGGCATATGGCTTTCGTGTGTGCTATCAGCGGCGAACCAACTGAAGATCCTGTGGTCTCCCCGGTTTCGGGGCACATATTCGATAGAAGACTGATTCTTAAATACATTGCTGAGAACGGAACGGATCCCGTCACCAATGGCGAACTGAACGAAAATCAGCTTGTTAGTGTAAAGCAAGCTGGCACTGGAACGGCCGTAAGAAATGTTTCTGGAACATCGATTCCGTCTCTTCTCAAAATGTTGCAAGACGAGTGGGATACTGTTATGCTTAATAGTTTTTCTCTTCGTCAACAACTTCAAGTCGCTCGTCAAGAACTTTCTCATTCATTATACCAGGTATTTAACTTTTCAATTTTATGACAACATAATTAATCCTGTAGCATGACGCCGCTTGCCGCGTTATCTGTCGGCTTTCCAAAGAACTGGCAGCAGCTAGAGAAGCGCTGTCGACTTTGAAACCCCAAACTACTTCCAAGTTTGACGATGATGTCAGCATGGACGAATCGGAAGATAACCAAGGAATCACGGATGCCATTGCTGCGAAACTTGAAGAAAAGTCGAAAGCCTTGACTGCTGAAAGAAAACAGCGTGGAAAAACGCTCCCAGAAGGGCTTGCCAAGCAAGAGGAAATGTCTGGGCTTAAACAAAAATCGACGCATACCGCTATCCATTCTACTGGAACTCCTGGAATTACCGCTCTTGATGTTCGTGGAGAACTCGCGTTGACTGGAGGCGTTGATAAGACTGCAGTTGTTTATAACTATGAGAAGGAGCAAGTTGTGCAAACTTTCAAGGGACATACGAAGAAGGTTAACGCTGTTGTCTTGCATCCAAATACAACAACAGCCATTTCCGCTTCTGCTGATTCGCACATTCGTGTCTGGAATGTTTCTGACAACGCTGCTAAAGCTGTTATTGATGTTCATCAAGCCGCTGTTACTGGTAAAAACCGTACGATAATTTTTACGCAAATTAATTTTTTTTAGATATATCGCTCAACGCTACAGGGGATTATATTCTGTCTTCTTCTGATGATTCTTACTGGGCGTTTAGCGACATCCACACCGGAAAAATCTTGTGTAAGGTTGCCTCTGACCAGGAGCAACCAGTAGCTATTCATTGCATTGAATTCCATCCTGATGGTCTTATTTTTGGTAGTTATGAAACAATAAATTTAAATAGTAACGTTTCATTTTAAAGGCACTGGTACCGCTGATGCCGTTGTTAAGATTTGGGATTTGAAAGGTCAGACGAATGCAGCCAACTTCCCTGGCCACACCGCCGCAGTTCGATCGATTGCATTCTCAGAGAATGGCTACTATCTAGCCACAGGATCGGACGATGGAGAAGTCAAATTGTGGGATTTGCGAAAACTGAAAAATTTGAAGACATTGGTCACTGAAGAGAAACAACCTGTAAGAACTTGAATCTCAAAAGTTTCAATATCTTCATGTTTATTTCAGATCAACAAAATAAGCTTCGACATGACTGGCACATTCCTTGCTATCGGAGGTCAAAAGGTGCAAGTCGTTCATGTGAAGAGTTGGACAGAAGTCGCCAAACTTTCTGATCATACAGCGGCGGTGACCGGAGTCAGATTTGGAACGAATGCCAGAAGTTTAATCACTAGCTCCATGGACAAGAGCCTCCGCGTTTTTTCCATTTAATCTGTTTTAACTTTATCACTAGTAAGACTCATTTCGTTCCATATATTGTACTCTGAATATTTTTTTAAAAACTATAAAACATTTATTTTTTCGAAGAATCTCAATTATTTATTCCTGTTTTGCGCACAATGTTATAAATTTTTAATCCAGAACTATTTATCTTATTATTTCCTTTCCTGGGTTTATTCCCTTTTATAATGTCTTTTCTTGGAACGCCATGACTTCACGTCAGTGTCTTGCAGGAGCTTGTAGACTTCGTTACTTGCTTGTGTATAATTCAGGAGGCTGTGCTGGAAATGTCCGGTTCATCCTGTAAGATTTAATCTTGTTTTGTAAATATTCTGAATTAGGATTAATTCAGCGAGGAAGCGATTAACGGAGTCGAATAGTTCTGGATTGGAAACGCCAGCCAAAAAGAAATCAGGCGCACTAGGTACTGTTAATTATACGCGTTTTCGTAGAAAACGGAATTTATGTAATAACACGCATAAACGTGACTTCCTGCCATTTTAATATGGAATCAAACGTTGGGAACTGTAAATATAAATGCAAAGTGAAGCATATAATTATAAATGGAGCCAGTCGTTGTGTTCTAAAACATTAGGATCGAATATACTCACATTGTCTGCGATATTTTTAATTTTCTATTTTCAGGTTTCTTAATCGCACCTTTTACAACATTAGTTGGAATGTTCCGGCCTGGACGTGAAGGAGAAAACGAATATGACGTAGAATATCAGCGCAGAGTTTTCGACAATGCTGATGGCGATGAGGAAAACGATGAATTATCCGTCATTTCAGGAATTCCCAAAAGGCGAAGCGTAAGTATTAAGAATTGTTTTTAGTTTTATGTGGTTTTTTCAAATTGTAGAATAATCACAATGAAATTGTATTTTTGAACGATGATAGCGGCGAAAGAGCGCAAGCGGGAATTGATGAAGAAACTGCCGATGATGGTGATGTGACTGTTGTGGAAAACACGAACGAAGGTTCTGATTGCGTGACTGTCATGGGCGCTATCAAAAGAAATACGGACGACGTGACTGTCCTGGGAACCGTCAAGAAAGACTTCGACGAAGATATACAGGTGCTAGAAGCCACCGTGTGCAAGGCACCACCGCCAGTTTTGGAGCGTACATTTGAGAGACAAATAGACAACGACGTTTCAGTAGTTTATGATTCGAAAGCAGTGAATCAAATAACGATTTAAATAGATTCAAATTCTTCTTTAGTTCCCAAACATCGAAAAAACCTCTGAGAAATTAAACGCGAAGAATGGTGATGGAGATGATGAAGATGTTCAAATTTTGTCTGACAATCTACATCATGTTGATTCTCTGACGACACGAGCTTTAAAAATTCAGAATGAGGCAAACTAAGGTAAATAAATTGACATGACGAAAAAATTTCAGATAATTCATCTTAACAGTGATACCGATGATGTAGTCTCAATTGCGTCATCAGGTTTGAGAAACCAAAAAATACGAAAAACTTTCTAATTTTAAGGAGTCGATGAAACTCTCTGTCCTGATGATAGCGTAAGCCGTTCTCAAACGCCGACAATGTTCAGTTGGAACGCAACAAGTTCGACAAAACCGATTCGAGATTATTGGCGAAGAGGCAGTTCTAAGAAAATCCCTACAAAAAGTAATTGCCGGTGTTGTAACCAATTTTTTCATTTTTTTTCCAGAAAAACCGATTCTTTTCGGTGAATCTTTGATTATTCCACGCAACTCCACTCCGTTCTACAAGAAATATTCAGAACGTGAATCAAACAAAGTAATAAGGCCCACTGCGCTCAGCAAATACGTCGAATATTTGTTGAATAATGAACTTCTTCCCGGAGGAATTCTTCCACCGTACGATTCCAATGCGAATAATTATACAAATCCAAATTTAGAAAAGCCGAACTGCCGAAAACAATACGATATTCGAAAAGTAATGAGCTTATTGAAAAGGCGAACAAAATTATGGAAAAATTACCAGAGTCGGGATCGAATACTCCTAGGTATTCTTTGAATGTAATTTGCCACGCGTTCACAATATTTTAGGAGCTCCGTAACATCGCATAGCGAGATGACTAGTCGAACTATGCACCGAACACCATCAGTTTCGTCGACGAGTAGCGCTTCTGATGCGAAATTGGCCGATTTACTGGCTAAAATGAACAAATGCGAGGTGTCTACAAGGCTATTAAATGAGAAGTATAAAAGGACGGAAGCTGGAGTGAATTTTGCGTCTCAAAGACATCATGCTCTAACCGAAGAGTATCGAATTCGAAGCACCGTGCGGATTCAGAGTAGAGATGAGATTGAAAAAAGTACTCGGGAAAAATTGGAAATGCAGGGCATATGTCTAAAATCGAAGAAAAAAGAAAGAGAAGAGTTTGTTGGTAGGATCGTTCTTCTACAAAGCGGAGTCATAAAATATTTTTAGAACTTCCGCTCGAGGCTGATTCAGTGTGTAATAAAGCGTGGACTCGTCAGTCTCCTGAAGAAGTCTTCGTTGAAGACTTTTCTATCAAAATCACACGAAAAGACTTGTGCACACTTTCTGGATTAGAATGGCTTAATGATGAAATCATAAACTTCTACCTTCAGTTGGTGACTAAAAGAAGCCAAGAAAACCAGAAATACCCAAAAGTAAACAATAGAATTTCATTTTATTTTTTAACTTCGCATTTCAGACTTACGCATGTAACACGTTTTTTTATGCAACACTATCTACAAAGGGTTATGCGAGTGTGAGACGATGGACTAGAAAAGTTGATATATTCTCATACGACATTTTGCTTGTACCAGTTCACCTGAAATTGCACTGGTGTATGGCTGTAATAGACTTTGGACAAAAGCGTATCGATTACTATGACTCTTTGTTTGGCCGAAATCAGCAATGCCTCAATAATTTGAAGTAGACTTCCTTAAAGTATTAAGAATGAAACAAATTTCTGAATTTCAGAGGCTACTTGGAAAGCGAATCTAAAGACAAAAAGGGTGTTGCGTTCGACTTTGACGGGTGGGAATTGACCCTTCGAACTGTAAGAAATTAACAGAATCCCATTAGAAGTACTTTAAATGATTTTTAGGATATTCCTCGTCAATTCAACGGCAGCGATTGTGGTGTATTCTCCTGTCAATTTGCGGAGTTCGCTTCTCGCCGCCTACCACCAATTTTCACACAAGAGCACATGCCATATTATCGCAAGCGAATGGTTTACGAAATTTGCACAAAAACGCTATTGTCATCGCTATAGGTGTTTTCTCTATATGATTATTATCTGCTATATAGATGTCTATCATTTCACGGTGAACTTGATTAAAAATCATTGTCGAAGTCACGTGGGCAGTTTAATCAAACAATGATGATGATGTTAATACGGTTTTTGCTATCCGTTGCAGGATCTATACACGGTGGCTAGACAATGTTATGTCTTTCACATAGAGTTGTTTTTAGTTAACAACAAAAAACCAAAAATTCTCTCTTTTTTATTGTGTGAATTTAACTAATCATCATTCTCGGGTTATCCATTCGTTCAAATCCGGCTTCTTACCTTTTTCTTTGTAGATCTCCTTTTTGAGGTATTTTCCATTCTATTCCTTGTGTCGATTCATTCTTACTTTTTTTTATACACCTGTGAATATATATTAATACTGCTTCTCCTTGATTTTTTGTTTATCTTTTTTCAAATATGAACAATTTGAATTTTCACATTTTTTTAAAGTTATTAATGGTTGGCGAATATCTTCCTATGAAAATTTTTATTTAAATGATGTTTTCATTAGTCTTCATAAATATTGAAGATGCATGACACTTCAAAAGACAGCGGTGCGAATTCCAATCATTTCAAAGACGGAATAATTGATCTTTTCGCCGGGACTTTAGGTATTTTTATGTGTTGGGAAAACATTCACGATTGTTGCAGGTGGCGTTGCCAATGTATACGCCGGTCAACCACTTGATACCGTCAAGGTTAAAGTTCAAACGTTTCCACATCTTTATTCGAACTGGGTTGTGTGTCTGAAGGATACATATAAACTCGATGGAATTCGAGGATTATACGCTGGTAATTGTTTATTTCAATATTTTCTCAAAATAATATCAATTTTGAAAAGTTAAACAAATTATTTTCTGCTTTTTAGGAACGTTGCCGGCGTTGGCGGCAAATGTTGCCGAAAATGCCGTCCTTTTTACCGCTTATGGATTTTGCCAAAAAACCGTTGGCAGCATTTTCGGGCACACCGACATTAAACATATGTCGCCTCTCGAAAACGCGTTCTCTGGTTCGCTGGCAGCCGTGTTCGCTGCGACCGTTTTGTGTCCCACTGAACTTGTTAAATGCCGGCTGCAAGCCGCTCGAGAGATGAATAAAATTTGGTAGGTCACGAGAAACGGTTTTATAACTTTAATGGCTGAAATTTGTCTAGCACCCCGATATCCGTCGTAAAAGACATTTTCAAGGAAAGTGGGCCCCGAGGGTTGTTCGTCGGTATGACCCCCACACTCGCAAGAGAGGTTCGTAATTTACAGCTAAAACAGGTTAATATGGGATTACCATTATAGGTTCCTGGTTATTTCTGCTTTTTTGGTGCTTATGAAACCACTCGATATCTTCTTACAAAGCCTGGACAAAAGAAGGATGAAATTGGACTTTTAAAAACGGCGATTTCGGGATCGATCGGAGGAATGGCACTTTGGACAGCAATTTATCCTGCCGACGTTGTGAAATCAAGAATGCAGGTTACAGGAAAAGGAAGCTTCTTTTCGACACTGATTGCAGTTTTCAAAGAAACTGGTAATTAATTTTAATATATTTTAAGATATAAAAAAATAATGCTCGACGTAAATAGCTAAGATTTTGTCTGTTTCAGGTCTCCGTGGACTTTATAAAGGACTTTTGCCTACAAATCTTCGCACTTGTTTTGCTTCTGGATGTCTTTTTGTCGCTTACGAAGAATCGCGAAAACTAATGCATATGATTTTTTAATATTCCTTCAATTTGTGGGTCTCTTTGTCATTTGTTGAACATTTTCTCTGTTAACCCGTTGTTTTTTTAGTTTCATAAAGCTTGCCATTCACTAAAAATTTCTATATTAGCATTTGGTTATGACTCCATTATTACATTTTTGTTGCTCTTTTTCATAATTTTCATTAGAGTTTTGTAGTTTTTATGATTTTTTACCGATTTGGACATATCATAACGCGACAAATCAGATATTTCTCGGTGGAAAAGTTTTACAAGGTTTGGTTTTGTTAGGTGTATGTTTTGTTAAAATAATAAACGCGTTGTTAATTTTATCTGTGAAATGGTTGTTTGTTTGGAATTTAATAATTCTCACTTCATTGATTGAACTTGGATGCGGAAGTTTGATGATTTGGCGCTAATTCCCTTTTCGACTTGAAAGGAGAAACGAGTTCATTTCTCTTTTGCGCTTTCATAACGATCAAGTTGTTTGTTCCTTCATTATTCCTGTGTATTATGTAACACTTCGACTTCTAAACTTTAAAACGTCAATTTGAAACGTTTGAACTCCCCATTATTACTTTATTTAAATGTAAAAATTTTTGCGTATTCCTTTGAAATGGCCGTGGCCGTGACGATGTATGTTTCTAGGTCACATTAAAACTTCCAAGTCGTCAATTTTTAGTTACATCAAATCCTAAACTAAGAATATTTATTTAAAAAACACGCTCATATAAACATTGTGTGGCATGAGAAATGCATGTCGTTTTTGTTACAATATATATTTGCGAAAACTTTGTCATTTCGAAATTTTTCGCAATTCTCTATCCGAATTTCGTCAACGTAATAGACGTTTTTAGGTACCAGTAGTTGGAAATTCGCGAGTTTCAACGACATCCCGAAAGGCTCAGCTTCTGAAATTTTCTAAAAAACAACATCAGAAGATATCCGATTATTTGAAACTAATGGCGACTCCTGAGATTGAAGCGGTTTGTCTTTTTTGGAATATTTTTGTTGATATCTTTTTACAGCAACTTGCTCCACTTCGAGCGTCGGTGAAGGAATACGGTGATCTCGTTCGTAAGCTGAAAGCTGATGGAGCACCAAAGATTGATGTGGACAAAGCAGTCGTCGAGCTAAAAGCTAGAAAGAAGGTTCTAGAAGAGACCGAGATTGCTCTAGCTCCAAAGGAAGCCTCTTTTGATCGTCTAAAACTTGAAGATTTGCTTAAACGCCGTTTCTTCTATGATCAATCGTTTGCTATTTATGGAGGAGTCACCGGATTGTTTGTAGAAATATTAATCGTCTTATTAATTCGTAATATTTAGGTACGACTTTGGTCCAATGGGATGCGCTCTGAAAGCAAACATGCTCCAGGAATGGAGAAAACATTTCATTTTGGAAGAAGGAATGCTTGAGGTTGATTGTACCTCGCTTACCCCGGAACCTGTTTTGAAAGCTTCTGGTCATGTGGAACGATTTGCTGATTGGATGGTTAAAGACACCAAAAATGGAGAATGCTTTAGAGCAGACCATTTGATCAAAAACAGCATCGAGAAATTGCTAAACGTGAGGAGTAGAGTTATTTTCATTTTTTGATTAGCTATATCAGGACAAGAAAACCAGTGCCGACGTAAAGAAAGATTGTGAAGATGTATTAGCTCGCCTCGAGGGATTCGATGATAAAGACATGCACGAGGTTATTACTCGCTTCAATTTCAAGTCGCCAATCACTGGAAACGATTTAACCGAGCCAATTGCTTTTAATCTCATGTTTCCAACACAAATTGGACCCACTGGCGATTTTAAAGCCTTTTTGAGACCTGAAACGGCGCAGGGAATTTTCGTGAACTTCAAAAGACTTCTCGAATTCAATCAAGGAAAATTGCCGTTTGCTGCTGCTCAAATCGGACTTGGATTCAGAAATGAGATTTCGCCAAGACAAGGATTGATTAGAGTTCGCGAGTTCACCATGTGCGAAATTGAGCACTTTGTTGATCCATCGGATAAGAGCTTGGCAAAGTTCCGAAAAGTCGCTGATGAGAAATTGGTTCTCTTCTCAGCATGCAATCAAATGGATGGTCAAGCCGCTCGCGAAATGAGCATTGGTGAAGCTGTTGAAAAGAAAATTGTAGCGAATGAGACCCTTGGTTATTACATGGCACGATGCCACCAATTTCTTATCAAAGTTGGAATTGATCCACGTCGTTTGCGTTTCCGCCAACATTTGGCTAATGAAATGGCACATTATGCTCAAGATTGCTGGGATGCTGAAATTTTAACATCTTACGGATGGATCGAGTGCGTTGGAAATGCTGATCGTGCTTGCTATGACCTTCAACAACATTACAAGGCTACAAATGTAAAGCTTGTGGCTGAAAAGAAACTTGAAAAACCAATGGATGTCTCCGTTACCGAAGCTACTCCAAATATGGCTGTTCTGGGAAAGACATTTAAGAAAGATGCGAAGAAAGTTCAGGTGGCCTTATCTCAACTTGATGAAAAACAAGTTGCTGAATTAGAAGCTGAACTTCTTAGCAAAAAGTGTGATTTAAAAATAATATTTTTATATCAAAAACGATTTCAGAATTTATAATCTCTCTATTGATGGAAACAATGTGGCACTTACTCCGGAGCACGTCACCATAAAAAAATACACCAAAACGGTAATAATGTTTCTGTATGGTTCCCAAAGAAAATTATTTCAGCTTCACGTGCAAGAAATCACGCCATCTGTAATTGAACCTTCTTATGGAATTGGAAGAATAATGTATTCTCTTTTGGAGCACTCTTTTCGTCAGCGTGAAGGCGATGAGCAAAGAACTGTAAGAGTGATTCCATTATTTCTTTTAAAAAAATTCATTCAGTTCTTGGCTTTCAAACCGTTGGTTGCGCCAATTAAATGCTCTATTTTGCCAATTTCTGCTAACGAAAAACTAGTTCCACTGATTGAGCTGGTCAAAAATGAACTATCCAAGTTTGAGATGAGCTACAAAGTGGTAAGTACTCTATTCTCTCCGTATCTCAAAAGCGATTTTTTTTTTCAGGACGACAGCTCCGGCTCAATTGGTCGTCGTTATGCTAGAACTGATGAGATCGGAATTCCATTTGGCGTCACTGTGGACTTCGAATCTGAGAAGACACCCCACACCGTTACTGTTCGTCATGCTGAAACAATGGCGCAGATCCGTTTGGAGATTTCCGAGCTTGGACGTCTCATTTCCGATTTGTGCTCCTCTAGACTTCAGTGGTCTGACGCGGAAGCTAAATATCCCAAATTTGAAGCGAATGCAGAATAATTAAATATTTTCATTGGTTTTTGTATAAGGTGTTGCCTTCATTGTTTTCGGTTGGTTTCTCTTTTAAATGTTATCTGGTTTTGAAATCTTAACTATTTAATAAATGCCACGTTCTTTACTATCAATGTAATTAACACATGTTCGTACATTGTGTCATATCTTTAGAGACCAGTTCCACTACAATTTGTAATACTCAGATGATTGGTGTTGTCGGATTTTTTATTTATGGTAGAGAGGTATGTTTCTCATTAATATCAACATTTCGCAAATATTTTAGAATGAGAGACTTTTTGACTCGGTGAATCCAAAATATTCTCAGCAAGTAATTGACATTGAAAAGTTCGTATATTGCTCGTTGGATATCATCGACGAGAAAGTGCAAAAAGCGAACGAAATGTATCTTGGACAGCTTTTCAGTAATCAAAATTATAGAGTAAGATTTTTCCTCATTACTATTATTACTTCATTTGCAGACTTTTGGATATGTAACAAACACCGGCGTACGAATGGTTCTTGTCGTTGATTCGACGACTGCAGCTTCCCTCAAAGATCAGGAAATTCGATTGATCTTTAAACGATTTCATGGATATTATTGTAACACAATCTCGAATCCGTTCTACGAAATTGGTGAACCAATGAAGTCGAAGTAGGAGAAAGAATAGAACTGTAGTCTATAATACTATATTTAGATGGCTAGATGACGGAATCACGGATTTATATTCACATTCGGATTAACTCATAATTATCAGTCAAAGTGTAAATAAAGTCTAATTTATTAAAAGTCTAACTGTATGCATTACTTGATTAAACATATCATATAATATTTTTTGTCATGTATAGCGTCCTGTTAGTTAAATAATCTTAGAATGGACGATATTGGCGGGTTCAGTGGAGTAGTAAAACTTTCAAACGTTTCTGATTTCATTGCGCCAAACTTGGATTGCATCATACCTCTTGAAACGAAACGCGTGAAAAAAGCGGAACCTACGGTACAAATTCGGACAAAAGAAGAGCGGAAAAAACCGAAAATTGAATCGATCAAAATTTCTTTGGCTGATTGTTTAGCTTGTAATGGTTGTATTACGAGTGCGGAAACTGTTTTAATAGAGGAACAATCGCTCTCAAAGTAATTAATTAAATTTGTTTTTTTTTAATCGAGGATTTAAGGGTCTGGGAATCTGTCGCCACTTTCCGATTGTCGATTGTCACGGTTAGTCCTCAAGCAGTATGTTCGATAGCAGCGAAACTCGCAATACCGGTAGAGGAAACTGCGCGAAGAATTTCTCGATTCTTTATTTCACGAGGAGTTCGACATGTTGTTGACTCGTCATTTGGACGGCAGTTCTGTTTATCACTTCTCATGGAGGAAATGGAATCGGTGCCTTCAACTAGTCGACCGTTGCTTTCTTCGGCTTGCCCAGGGTTTGTATGCTACGCCGAAAAGAGCCAAGGAGAGCTTTTAGTACCGCGAATAAGCAAAATCCGGTTTGGTTTTTTTTGCTCAAAAGAAAGTAATTTATTATAAATTCAGCTCCCCGCAGGCGGTCACAGGCGCTCTTGTCAAAAACTATTTGGCGTTGAAATACAAAATTGAACCGTGCCAAATTTTTCACGCAACTGTTATGCCGTGCTTCGACAAGAAGCTTGAAGCATCGCGTGAGCAATTCCTAGTACCCGGAACCAAAATTCGGGAGACCGATTGCGTCGTGAGCACAGGTTGTTATTAGAATGATGGAATAATGACACGATATGGGTTTCTAGCTGAATTGTTTCATGAGCTTTCTCAATTTGATATCTTCGAGTCGGCAAACAAATTGGTTCAACCTGAAGGTTGGCTCGGGGACTTATCCAGAGGTTTTTTTTTAAATTTGTTTCCCCAAATCTTATTATTTCTTTATAGGTCATTTAATTGGTGAGAGCGGAGGGTCTTCAGGCGGTTATGCTTATCGAGTGGCCATGGATTATGCTTCCAAGTATAATGGAACTATAAACACTTCCCAATTGTACTGTATATGCCACCAAAGATTGAATATTCTTTAAGTTTAGAAACAAAAACATGGAACTGCTTGAAGTTTTAGCGGGCGACGAGATTCTTTTAAGGGTGGCAAAGGTTTACGGTTTTCGAAGCATTCAGAATCTCGTAAGGAAAATGAAGGCAAATAAGATTGTCTATGATTACGTCGAAATAATGGCATGTCCTGGGGGTTGGTTTATATTTGAAAAAAATATTAATTGAATTCGTATTTTCGGTTGCACCAATGGTGGCGGACAGATTAGATATGATACCGTGACGGAGAGAGAGAACAAATTGGAGCAACTAAATTCTTCTTACGACAATCTTCCTAGAAAAGAAGATTCTTTTAAAATGATGAAGTTTAAAAGGTTTTCTTTCATTTAATTTTTTAATTTAATTTAGGGATTTGGTGGACGAATGGCAACAACTGAATCCAAATTGGAAACAGCTTTTGTTCACAGATTACGCAGCCGTTAAGACCAATATTTCTCAGACGTTGAAGTGGTAGATTAATAAAAACAATTTATTTCAACGAAAAACAAATTAACAAAAAGCCAACAAAAACAATGGGAGCATTAAATATTGATAGTTTTGAAGACGTTAAATCCGTCAATTGAAGTATTAATGGCAAGCCCTGGGATCTGTGGGTGCCAATGAACTTCCTTAACTTCTTTTTGTCCCATATGAACGAACATAAGCTGGGGCGGAACACCTTCGATTGTGTTAGCTCCGTCAGCTTCAGTCGCAATGTCCCAAATAGTGGTTTGGTCGTCTTCGCTGGATGCCATAAAAGTTGTAGTCTCCTTAATTGAAATATAAGTGAAAATATTCTTCCTAGAATAATACTTGTGGATGCCATTCCACGGAGGTGATTGGACCACTGTGATACTTGAACCTAGCCACTGGTTGGCCGAATTGAATAGTTTTTAAACTCCAGATTTTGAGTTCGCCGTCATCTCCGCCTGACACAATAAGATTATCGTGCCGATTCCAAGAAATCACGTTAACATCGGAGTCGTGCGCCTTAAAACGATTTGAAATTTGAAAAATGGGATTATTACCTTGTTCACAGTGCAGACACAAGCTTCTTTAGGATTCGCGCGAGTGTCCCACAATTTTATAGATTGATCAGAAGAACAGGATGCAAGGAGACCGTTTTCAGTTGGAGACCACGCCAGATCTTCAATACTTTCTAAAAAGTGGCATTATAAGAATTGGCAAAATTGATTGTTGTAGAATTACTTTTATGTCCCGTTAGTGGAGTTGATCCAACTGCCCACTCTCCTCCTTCCTTCATTTGCCAAATGAAAATTTTTCGAATAATATCACCGGTTGCTAAATCTCCTTTTTTCAATGATGACCACGCCAATCCGTATCCTTCTTTTCCAGTTCCATTATGTGTGAATAGAGAACGCTGAAATATAATAAAGAAAAATTTAATTACTCAATATTTTTACCCCTTTCATTTCTTGGGATTGTTTTCCTCCTTTCATCAAATGAACTGAATTTAAGGCTTCTGTGATATTCCAAATTTGAACTCGGCCTTGAGCATTCCAACAAGCACAGACCGTGCTATCTCCAAGGCGCTCCGCACGAACGCGATTTATACTTCCAAAATGGGGAATAATCATGCCGTGCATAATTGGTTCTCGTTTCTTAATAGATTCTTCATCCTCATCTTCCGATTCATCTTCACTGGTATCACTGTCATCACCTTTAGCTTCTTTCGGTGGCTAGAGATTCAGTTTTATTAAAAATTATTACATTTCCCATTTTACCCTCATTTCCGATAAATTTTTCAAGCCCATGACTACAATTTCGTTGTCTCGGTCTTTTTCAGCTTGAGTTCCACTGACAATATAGCATTCCGCAGGAAAAGTTGTACGATTTTCGCCGAGACCATCAGGAACAACGTCAAAAGAAAGGCAAGGCCAGTCAGTAGTAAAAGTATGGAAGACTTTGTAAACACTTGGATCAAAATCCAGACCTTCTCCTTTTTTAAGAGGACGCGAAAGTCCAGGGATATACGCCTACAATTAATAGGTTCAACCTGGAGGATTACTTGAAATTACCTGTTTCTCTTCTTCCTCTACCTCATCTCCTTCGTCTTCGCTAGATTCTTCAGACTCGGATTCATCTTCGATCTCCTCCTCTTTCATCTCAACATCATTAGCATCAGTCATGTCACCTTAAAAAGTATCATTAATGAACCAGAATAAATAAGGTTGGATAATATCCATAATGTCAATGTATACACAACGGTGAGTAATACTAACTGGTCGAAATAATTTAATTATAAACGTTTGAATAGGACCATTATTTATTGAAAACTGGGAAATTCCTAAAATTTCAATTTATAACTGGTTCCTCTTTGCGTAAAGTTTCGTGTATCCGCAGAGTGTCAATGTGGTGTATGCAGATGGCGATGTTTGCGTACTCTTATTTTTTAATAGGAGAATGCCGGCAAATTCATTTTTCATTTTACCGATTGCTTACTAATTGTATGATAAATTACATCGTTTAGTTATTCAATATGTAATCTATTTTAAACAACAACTTGTTTCACGAATTGCTCTATGATTGTGCCATGAAATTTTTGTTTATTATTTATTGTTTATAATAGCTTATAAGTTTTCAGGTAAAAGTAAACATAAATCATGGCATGTCTTGAAGATGAACTGGCATTGTAAGCTTAATTGCTATTGACTATAATTTATTCTTGATTATCGCTTTACAGATTTGAGAGTGAAATAGCTCAGATTGAAAAATCGAATCCTCAGGTTGAGCCAAAGGGTGGATACGAGAATGCTACCATTTCAGCTGCACCTGAGCCTGCTGAAAGCAGCTCGTCAAAATCTGCAGCTTCACATAGTGCTCCGCAATCATATTTATCGTCTTCTCCATTTATTGCTAATTCCTTGGGAAAACCTCCCATGCCACCGGCAAATCTTTTATCACGGCAAAGTTCTTCTCAGCTACAACCTCCAGCACCTGTTAGTTGTCTTTATTACATAAATACATAACGTTAAAATATTATAGCCTCCTACAATCAATCGAAATATGGCTTCAGCTACTATCGAAGGAGCACCGACGCTTTATGAAACTCCTGCTATCAATTCGATTCCTGTTGAAATGCTTCGAACTCAAGCCTTGCAGTCAGACATTGATAAAATGCATTTCAAGCGCCAAACAGATCCTCTTAAAAAACGAATAAAAGAGCAACAGACGAAGAAAAAATTTGTTCGAAGCGGTGGCGGCCAGGTATGGGAAGATTCGTCGTTAGCAGAATGGGATGAAAACGATTTTCGCATTTTTTGCGGTGATTTGGGAAATGAGGTAAGTGTCTTACGTCATTCTATCCTAAAATAATTGTTAAGGTTTCTGACGAGCTTCTCGCAAAGGCTTTTAGGAAGTACCCAAGTTTTCAAAAGGCAAAAGTGATTCGCGAATCTCGATCAAACAAGAGCAAAGGATACGGCTTTGTATCTTTCCGCGAATCTGATGTATGCTCTAAACTTCTATTATAATTTAGTCATTGATTTTTTAGGATTATGTACGCGCGATGCGTGAGATGGATGGAAAATATGTTGGAAATCGCCCAATCAAACTTCGAAAATCCACATGGAAGGAAAGAAATATTGATGTTATCAAGAAAAAGAATCAGAAAAAGAAAGAGCTTGGGATCATCATTTAAGTTTACCGTGTGTCATAATAATTTCGTCTTATAATGAACGATTTTATTTAAGCATTGTTATAGTTGATTTCTTTGGATGCTGATCCGCTTACTGATTATTTAATATTGGTTTTACGCTGAAATCCTATCGTTTGTTGTTTTTTCTTGTCTTTAATATTTTACATCCCTAAATGACTCAAGACATCGTAAATTAATATGTACAAGTGTCCTCATCCGTAAGTCGTATATCAGTTGCGTAGGTCGCAAGGTGAAATTCAAGGGCCATCAAAAGGCGCCGCTGTCAAAAGTTTGGGCAGCGGATTAAGATACGAGTAGGTATCTTCCTGTCTGTTTTTTTCGTGCCTCGTTGCGCAATCAGGCAGGTCGTCTTTCGGCAAATTCGATGATACTAGGATGGGTTAGTAGCGTTGTACAACCGAATGTGTTAGTCAATATTTGAAGGCGGTCGAGTTCAAGGTGCCGGTAGTGTCGCTTAACTTTTTATGTCAAGTGGAATTACATGACATACTTCATATTGCCGCTAAAATCGAGAAAATACAATTGTAATGACGAGATATTTCGAATGAATTAAAATTTATGAAGAAATTTCCCACTTTGTTTCTCGTAAATGAAAAGTGATTGGCTAAACGTTTCTTTTCCATATGTGGTTAAATTCCCCATAATTCAGTGAAACACTTCAAAACATAAAAATACTCTATTTCTAACATAAGCTAATTAGTCTCAATATTATGCATGACATTCTAGACGATAAGTACCGTGTTTAAACTCGAAACCATATCCACGTTATGCAATAAGTTGGTAGAGATGACGCAACAAACTGTAGACAAAACAATAATTGCGCAACTTATCATGAACTGTGCACCGTCAACCCGATTAGAATGGTCCCCCGGATTGAGTGATTGACCGCAACAAGTGTTTAACATGATTAGGTGTGTGCTCGAAGGAGCCTCCTCACTGCACCACACGGCTGATTGATGAGCGTACAAGATTCACACTTGTTACACTCGATGTTGTTGTTGATTACGGATGATTGAAAATTTGTTAATTCTGACCACTATAATTGTTAGAGCAAGAAAGCGAATGATTCGCTCGTGAAGTGCTTCGAGAGTGTCGCAGAAATGTTAGCTTTGAGTGGGCTCTGGGTTACGGTAGAAATTATTTTTCCATATTGTTGTTAACTTAAAAATTAAAATTTGCCATGCATTAATTTTTTATTTAATAAAAATATGTGATGACTAAAAATTAATTACAGATGTCCGGAGAAGACGAAGAAAAACTCTTCCTTGAATTGGTTGATTTCATTTCGCCAACGGCTCTGTAGGTGCCTTAGAAGTGCTTACTTCATTAAGAATTACAGATTGACTGTAAGAAGAGCTGCTCTTGAATACATCACTGGTGTAAGTGCTTCCCTAGATGGGTCAGCAGGGCAATTCTTTTCGCGGTCGGATTTTGCAATGGCTAAAGCAATCTGTAATCTATGCGAAGCAACAGCCTCGGATCGCACACAGACTCTCGCAGCTCTCACTAATTTCACGTCGGGTTCCGCTGAAGCTGCAAATTTTGTGTTGACTAAAACAAAATGCATTGAACTGTCGTACACGGCAACAGTGACAAATGTAAGAGAATGAAATTTGATATGATTGTCAAGTAGTCTGATACTTGTTTAGGTTGTGTATGCATCAGTCGCTTCTCGACTCCTCGCTAATGTTTCTCGTCATTTTCCTGACCGGTTTGATGAGAAACTACGAAAATTTAACGAAGATTATACATTTGCATTGCTTAGTGAGTTTTAAAGAATTGCACATTGAAAAAAAAAACATTTAGTCTTGTCCCATGAAATATCTTTTGCATTCTGTTTTTTCTTTTTTTTTTTAACTAGTAACACCCGTAACCAAGGTTTCAATTAGTTTGTAACGCTGTCCTGACACAATTAATTAATTTATTTGTCGGCGTTTTTTCTTGCGTTGGAAGGACGACGGTATTTTTTCTTCTTTAGTACGTTCGGGCTATTCGAGTTGAAAACGACTACAGTATGAGCATAGGAGTAATTAGACTCATAATCAATTGATATATTTTTGTTTAATGCGATAATAAAATTAATCCGCTCAATGGCGGCACCTCTTTATGACGGGTAATTTAAAGAAATTTAATATACATAAAAGAAAATTGAAGATTGGAAATAATAATTGACAAACTTTGACCACCTAGATCTTCAAGAACTCGTGATTAAAATTATCAATAAATTGGAGCCATTTCACATGGGCTCGAAAATGAATTGAATTACTTTTCAAATTTTCAGAATCTCCTAGTTTGCATTTCTCGTGTTCCCTTTAATTACCTCCTATCTTGCATTTTTCGTGTGCCCATATTCAGTTCCCTTTCGAATCCTTATTACGTTAAGTACACATTCCAAGTGATAACAGGAAAAGACATAAAGGGTTGGTTTCTTGGATGCATATCTTTGGAAGCGTTTCTTTTATCAATAATCGAGGTAATTTCATAAGATTTATGATAGACTTGCGCCGTAAAAATCTGTGTTTGCATGGCTAATCGGGCGGCTATAAAAAATCGTCATACACCGTTGGTGATAACCGTAATTGATAACCACAACACTCGCATTCAATTAGGGTAAAACAGTTGCGCGCAAAAAGTTAATCGCCTGAAATATTTTTGGCGACCCCCAAATTAGGTGACACCCTTGAAAAATATTTGATAAGCAATTTACAACTAATTTATCAAGTTTTGGTCGCTTCTCGTGATTGAATTAACGCCGATGAAAACGGGCGTTGGAAGCTGCAACATTTAACACATAATTGATAATTAATACACTGATACGACATTTTTTCATGGAAATTTTCAAGAAGAGCAACCATTGGTTTCCCATGACGATGTTTATCGCAAGATATACAGTATATTTTTATTATCGCTAGTGTCAATCTCGTACCGGACATGAATGGACCATGTTGGTTTTTTTCCTGATAATCCTGTTGCAGATGAGATCAAAAAAAGTGTTGAGTCGGATGATGAGGAGCGTGCAAAGTTTATCGGATTCATCATTGTCAACTTGACTGTTCTTCCATTGGTTCGTGAGCGATTTGTCAAAGGAAATTGTAAGACAAATATTATTAGTCGTGCTAAAATAAGGTTGCAGCGAAACTCCTTCCGATCGTTTATGAACTTCTACTTAACGCAAAAACTAAAGAGATTCGGGAGTGCGCGGCAGATATTCTACGCAATTTGGCTTTTGATGATGGTAAGTCTCTTAAAAATAACAGATACAATCTGCTAGATCTGCTATTAATAGCGCGTTCGTCTTCAACGACGCCGCGTAAGGCCAATTTTCGTAAATTTTATGGTTTTTTTGTCAACAGGGAGTGTGTATATATTCGTTTGACACTTTATTAGGTCTTCTCCTTTTCGGCGTGGTCGGCACTCATCAAAAAATATGCGGCCTGGTTGGCCAAGGTTTTAACAACCGTTTTATGGGGTTTCATTGAGACGCCGAATTACGGTAACCGAGTAGATCATAAAGTGCATTATTGCTGAATGAGATACTGACACACGATGGCGGCGATTGAAAAATCGGATAGGATATTTGATTTGACACATTAATCAATCTCGTTTACGAGTTTGTGGGTCCTTCCAATCAGCGCGCGAATCACTGCATATCACCAACGAGCGTGTACGGTAGGAAATTCGGCGCGAGAGGCGCCACTTCAAACACTCGCCGACCTACACACAAAGACGCGCACACAAAGCTGTATACCGTATCAATCGACAGAGACACCCGTCATCAAATGGTTGAGATGATCATCAATTTATTGTCAGTTCGTCGTCTTCTCTGTTTGTTAAACGCTTATTAATGACCTTATCAACTTGTGGTGACAGAATGGATACGAAAGGGGTTCTGTGTTCTGCTAATTCGACTTCCGTCACTTTTTGACGGGACGAAGATAATGAACTTCGGATGTATGTGTTTCCTGCAGAAACATGCAAATTTTGTTTGAAAACGACGATGCTGAGCTTGATTTTTGCATGTCTTTTTAGCGAATCACATTTATTGAAAAATTAGGTTTCGCGCAAAATCTGACATGTTTCAAATTGTGGTGACATATTTGGTGGCGATCAAGTGCCACTTGAGAAATCAGTCTAATTTGTGCAAGCAAATGAGCATCCCACCAGAAGAATACGACGGAGAGGGCGATGATGATGAAGAAGGAGAAGAAGTCTTCTACACGATGTTTATATAATCCGAACTACTTGACCTTTATGGCTGTCAGCTTGTTACTTGTCAACGGGGAATCGTTCCCTCTTGTTTTTCTTAATCCGTCACCAGATACTTTGATGCACAAATAAGTCATGGTGCTCATAATGTTCCTCTGTCATGTCAACCGCCGCGCAACACCTGGTTTCTAGAGATAAAATCGGCGGAAAGACTAAGACTGAGCCGAAAACTCGTTAAATTGGAGGTTGATTGTCTGATGATTGTAACGAGAGAGAGAGAGAGAGATGAGATGCTAATTGACTTCTGACTGGTGAGTAGTTAACTGTTGCTTGTAATTGGATACATGACACGTGTTTCGGGCGCATCTACCACCGGCCTTTTGATGATTTGCCGCCAAGTCACTTGAGATTGTCGGCAGGCTACTTACTTACATAGGTTGGCTAGCTTTGTACGGTGAACAGTTGAGAAAATTATTATTGTCGATATTCGAACAAGAATATGTCATATTCAAAAAATGCATATCCCGAAATTTTGTTGTTCTAAATGGTTCCTCTTTTCCAACATAGTTGCTCTGCTTTTTTATTAACATTTCAAAATTTAATAATTTATGGCTACCTTGCTCCCACTTCAAGATGGAAATACTTGACAGAAATTGTCAAAAGGTCAAACAAGACCTCCAGTATTGAGCGGTATCAATCAACGCCAGTGTTCACTAGGGATTCAATAAATCAGTGAAGGCCAAATACGCTGGCGTCTACCATGTACATACGCGTGTATGTATTACACACACCGACCGACCGCATCGAATTGCGTTGCTGATTGATTCGTCCGGTTGAGTGTTGCCTTCTCGTCGTCGCTTTTTTTTTCATTGCCTGTCTTCTTCCACCAGTACTGTCATGGTCATTTGGTGACAAGAGTTTCCGCGCATGTCATAATTTATCATTTTACGGACTTTTTTTTGCATACGGGAGGTCCCTCGGTATTCTAAAAATAGTAGCAGAAAGCGTGTTGATTGTACATTTGGTAATATTTGCACAGTTTGTTGCGAGAGCCTACCTGACGACGACCGACCGTTCGGTAGTGTTTAATTAATGATGATAAACGCTGAAGAAATCGTCGCTTTCAACGAGAATTTGTTAATATGTGTTGACAGCCGTGTCGTTTGTTTCGCGGAGACCCATCGATCATAACAGATTCATCGTCGCTTGTTCGCCTGTCAGCCAGGAGGAAGGAGGGTACACGAAAAAGCAACAAGTGTTACATGGGTCGACGGCAAACATGTGTCGAAAAGCACACGTCTTGCGGGGTGTTTTTTGTCGTGTGCCCGAAACGCTGAAGAGCGATTTAGAGGTGTCATGTCGGCGAGAAAAAATTACAGTAGGAAAACTCACGATGAGCAACTTTTTCACTTTGCTTGGTGTCGCTTTGGAAGTTCAAATTAAATGGGTCTATTAGAAACCACCCCTACTTTTTAACCCCCACCCCTGCTATTCCACCCCGACTTTTTAACCCCGACTTTTATTTATGATACCACCCCCACTTTTTCACCCCCAATTTTTAGGTTTCACCCCTACTTTTTCACTGCACTTCAAAATTTGAAGTTTCTAACAGTAATGTTTAACAGTAAAATGTTTTTAATATTTTCAATAATTCAAGTTATCAAGAGGAGATTCGCAGGACTGATGTCTAAATTACATTTTTCAGAAACTATTGTCGAAGTCAAACGACTTGAAGAAATTTAAAAAATAATTGGCTATGTGCCAATGCGTCTCGAGGCAGCGAGATTGCGTCCATTGCATTATAGCGTACGCGCATTAAATATTCAGTCAACGATTAATTTAAATCTACATTAATTTCGCGAATTTAAAGGCCCCGCCTCCCTTCAGTCGTTTGACGCCGACAACATGTAGTGTTCTTATGAAAGGTTGACAATTTTAACAAGAAATTAACTATTCTCGGAAAACCCGGTTCAGAAAAATTTCGTCTTTTGTCAAAACGTCAACCTTTCATAAGAACGCTACATAGTTTCTGAAAAATCTAATTTAGACATCAGTCCTGCGAATCTCCTCTTGATAACTTGAATTATTGAAAATATTAAAAACAGTAAAATTTTACTGTTAAACATTACTGTTAGAAACTTCAAATTTTTAAGTGCAGTGAAAAAGTAGGGGTGAAACCTAAAAATTGGGGGTGAAAAAGTGGGGGTGGTATCATAAATAAAAGTCGGGGTTAAAAAGTCGGGGTGGAATAGCAGGGGTGGGGGTTAAAAAGTAGGGGTGGTTTCTAATAGACCAATTAAAGGAGAGTATTTGGTTCATAATTAATCACATAGCTAACTAATAGGCTTCGATGGAACTACCAAATTTGTTTTTTATATGTTTATAAGAAGTAGTGCTTCCTTTTTTTGCATATGTGTTTAATATTCCCTTTCAGCGGCATTTTGCAACGTTTCAAAGTCCCGATGCGCGAACGTTTGCGTGTGTGTGTGTGTGTGTGTGTGTGTGTGTGTGTGTGTGTGTGTGTGTGTGTGTGTGTGTGTGTGTGTGTGTGTGTGTGTGTGTGTGTGTGTGTGTGTGTGTGTGTGTGTGTGTGTGTGTGTGTGTGTGTGTGTGTGTGTGTGTGTGTGTGTGTGTGTGTGTGTGTGTGTGTGTGTGTGTGTGTGTGTGTGTGTGTGTGTGTGTGTGTGTGTGTGTGTGTGTGTGTGTGTGTGTGTGTGTGTGTGTGTGTTATCATTATTTGCTTTCTTTTCCTTACCGATGAGATAATTGATGTTGTCCTACCAGCGAGTTGTTCTGCGGCCGTATACACTCATATGGAAGCGGTCAATCAACGCAGCTCGTTTTCAAACGGAAGTAGTTGACACGCAATCTGAACAAGGCGTTTTAACGACTGTGTTAAAGTTGTCGCCCTTGTCGTTTGGTTATTCTGCGCAGATTGGAATGTCTTTGGCCGGTTCGTCCCTTGGAGTTTCTTCGTTTGTTACACTCTCGAGAGGTACATATGTTAATTAGTGTGATAGGCGGCCGAAATTGAGTGTCCATATATCAAACGGTGGTCGTGTCAAAAGGACGGCACCTGTTTCTCGGGAGCCCGCGTTACCTGGTGTCGTGTCGTGTTTGATATATGGGGTTGGCGGGTAGTTCAGAGCATTGGCGCGGGAAATGGATATGTCAGTTATCAGTGTGATTGCTTGTCGCCGCGACAAGATAAGTGTGTTTTGCAAAGTGAATCAACTCGCCGGCTGCGGTGTTTGTTGTGGTAGGCGGTTTAAAGCCCCCCCCCTTCCACACAGACACTCCACCCATTCCATCTTCACGAAAAGATTTTTTGTCGTCTCGAGACAGCTCATTCAGCCCGACAATTATGAGCTATTGACTTGGGCTCATCATCATAAAACAAACGACGCTATTGCGCGAAAATGTAAGAAAAACATCAGAGCCACGCATCTCTTATCAGGCAACATAATCTTGGGAATAGTGCTGGTTTCTTGCTAAACCTTGCGCCAAGGCGTGTCGATTGAGTTTAACGATTCTGGAAATAGATATGATCTCCAAGAGGTTACTGTAGGCTGTTAAATGAAGCAGAAGCAAAAGTTATGTTATATTGACAGGTAGTACAATGCATAAATCCGCGTGCTACTTGCCATTTCTGAATCTGAAGCACACCCTTCGTGCAGACTGTATAGATTTGAACAGAACCGATCGCATTTCGTGCCGTCAAATAATGCTTATTCTTGTCTGCCTCGACAAGTGTTGTGTGTGTGTGTGTGTGTGAACACGTGTTTGAAATATGAGCCATGAATGAATGCGTCCCACCTTGCCGATAACTGTAAGCCGCGGATATTGTCGCCAATTGGCGGCGAAAAGGATAAACAAGAAGGCAATTTCAATTACACGAAGAGGAACTCAAAGCGCGCGGTGGTGGGCCCAATTTGTGAGCAATTTGACACACAATTTCGTCAAAAATGCATTCCTCTAGTGGCGGTTCTCCCTTGAGACCTGCAGAGACAGCCTAATAGAGCTTCGTGTTGATGAAGAACAAGAAGAGAAAACCAAGTGATTTAACGCCTAATTTGTGGTCCCTTGGGTTGTTTCAACTACGGTAGATTTTTCACTACGGTAGTGAGCATTTGGTTTTCCCGAATATCAGTGGGGTTTTATGGAATCGTAAACGGCGATTTTATCGATTTTAGAGCCTGACACGGGTAGAAACAATTTATGTGAGTCTGTTTAAACAAATCGATGGGGTGGTCGCACTTAATGATGGCAACCAACTGCTCACTGAAAGGAATCATAGTGTTCTCATATTAACTTGATAGTTTAAATTGTTTAATGAGCAGGTTCGTCTCATGCATGTTTAGCAATTTGATCCGCGCACATGTGTTGCGCCAGTTGCCAAATTGGTGCCTCCGAGGAGGTCATAATATAATTTGAAACGGCCGCCCGACATGCGCTAGTTTTATTGTTATCAAATTATTCATGAGAAAATGCCATCTGTAATTGTTTTAGGCTTACACGTGCAGCTCCTTGACACCAATGATGATTATCTTGTGGCGGTTCTCGCGCCATTGATGGATGTTAATGATAATTTGGACGAGGAAGAGATCGCCAAGCTGCCTCTCAGATTGCAGTATTATGAAAAATCGAGAGACGAAAATCCTACTGTGCGGCAGAAATTGATCGAGGCACTTTTTCAGGTATGCAGTTTTTTTTAAAGTTTTTACGCGCATATCTTCTAATTTGATCTCTCCGCTTGATTAACAGTTGAAAGAAGATAGGAATCAAATCGAAACCGGTGTGAATTACAGCTCTGTGCGACTAAGCATGGTCGTCAGGTTCTACGCGCGAAAGGAGTTTACGCGGCGATGCGCGAGCTCGACAAGTCTGGCGAAACGGAATCCGGTGAGGAATCGGAACGCGCGAAAACGCTGCTAAGCTCTCAGCAGGAGCATACACTTCATGCGCTCATTGGCATTCTGATCAGGTACGAGTCCGAAATGGACGTCGACCCGAGCCTTGAAACGATTCGCCATCTTGGAGCGGAGTAAGAGCTTGTTCAATTTTGTGCATCGTTGAATTTTTTAATCGAATGACCAAGAAATTTTTGCTTGAATATTTCAAGATTCTCTCCTCATCATGTTTTGTGAAAAATCACACAATATATGATCTAGGTCCGTGTTTGCTTGTTGGTTTCTCATTTGTACCGTTGTTTCAATTTGTTATTTTTTCTGTTTCTCTTCATATTTCTCGCCAATCCAATAAATTGATCAATTTTTTTGTATAGCATGTATTCTCGTTTGCATGTTGCTCCTCCTCGTTATCAAAAATTTCGCTTGCATCGAAAGTGTGAAATTACATGACTCTTAAACAGAAGCAAACGTTTGTGATGATAAGCAAACGATGAATTGAATTTTTCGAGCACAAATGAAAAATCGTCCCGAAAATTTTTCCATTAAGTTTTATGAACACTGACATAAGAAAAAACAACAAGATTCGGGGTTTTACGGGCGGCGCGCATTAAGAAGACGTAAAATTTTTAGCGGCCGAGCACTTTGGTTGCTATTGGAGAACAAAAGGTTTGCTTAGCGCCAGGTGTCAGTCGGATTACGGTAGCAGCAAGGTTTTAAGTCGATCCTGGCAGGATAGAAATTGAAAAATTGCGTATTACTACCGTATTTCCGACTGGCATGTGGAAAACACAACCATAATCATAACAATAATAAGGCGCGCCAGCAGCGACACCATCGGTGTGAGAGACATCGCCCCGCTGGAGTCTCGGCGCAAAATCGCCACGCCCTCTTTTCGCGAGTCGACCAATCAGCGCGCGCTGATGGGCGGAGCCACGACGGGTGTGGTGTTGTGCGAGATGATGATGAGAGTGAGGCGCCGGGCTATTTCCACACCAAACACACACTCGCACCTCCCGCCCTTCACCGGGGTTTTCGTACGTTGATGAATTTCTATTTTTCTTTGATCTCGCTTCTCATTTTACAATTTATTATCAGCCAAGTTTAGTCCGATTTTTAGTAGTAGTTTGCACCGTTCTTCGGAATGGCGTTTCCGTTCCAATTACGGCCTGAGCTTGCACTGTTTCCATTTATGGCGGGGCTTGGTGCGAATCCAGGAGGACCCAACGGTGCAGGCTCCATGATGCCAATGTTGCCTCTGGATTTTGGCGCCCCCGGTCCGGCTGGCGGACCACCAGAAGATGATGGAGTGGTCGATGAGCCAAAAGTGGAACTAGATGACAAAGAGCTCTGGCAGGAGTTCTCCCAGTGTGGAACGGAGATGGTGATAACTAAAAGCGGAAGGTAAGCAGTTGTGAGGTTACGGTAGCTTGACATGTGAAAACTCAAGACGAAGTTAGAGTGAAATTTCACACGTTTTCCGCCAATTCAATTGGCGAGGCGTTTAAATTTAATTTCTAGCCACCGTACACCCGTCAAAAAGGAGCTGGAGCAGTTTTTATTTCCATTTTGAAATTGTGTTCCTCTTGCAGAAGAATATTCCCCGCCTATCGCGTGCGATTAAGTGGTCTCGACAAGAAAAGTAAATACATTCTTCTTATGGATCTGGTACCCGCCGACGAATGCCGATACAAATTCAATAATAGCAGGTACCGTAAGTTTGCAATGTGCGTTTCGAATATTTGAAGAAGGAGGCGATAATTTCATTAAAATGTGTGAACTGATAACAAAAGAATTGATTTCGTTAAAAAAGTGAGAACAAGAATTGATAGGAGGTTTATACACCTCTTCTACCGGAAATGTTTGCAAAGTGGTTTTAAATAATTCTTAATACGGAACGAAGGTATCAGTTTCAATGTTTGTTGAAAGTCGCACTTTAAAGCATTAGCGGATAGCGAAACGCAATATATGTTTCTCTCAATTAACTTCAGTTCTAATTTCTTTTAATTTTCTAATTTCTAACTAGTCGGGTTATTAAAGATTTAGTCTACTATAAAACGTCATTCAGTTTGAAAATTTTAGATGGATGGTTGCTGGCAAAGCAGATCCAGAAATGCCGAAACGAATGTACATACATCCAGATTCTCCAGCAACAGGTAACTAAATTTGATAACAATCACGCGCGCATACATTGTGATCGTTACAGGCGAACACTGGATGGCGAAGGGAGCAAATTTCCACAAATTAAAATTAACGAATAACATTTCGGATAAACATGGCTATGTGAGTATTTCCCAGGCACTACCGTATACCTTGCTGCTTTCTTTCATATTCATAAATGAAAAGGGACGACGCAGCGCATCCTTTATTGTGTTTTGCCGAAAACGAAAAGCCACCCACTTCCCTTTCACCATTTAATTTGTAGCTGCGAGTCAAATTTCGCGCTTTTGTGCATCTTATGGATATTTGAGATTTCCGGAAATTGAGATGGTCCCTTCTTTCTTTATTTCTTGAGACAGCAAAGCGGTGGAGGGGTGACTTTGCTTTTTTGGGTGCGCGATTTGTCGGTTTCAGATGACACTTTGTCTCCCCTCCCGTTGCTGCGCATTGGAAATTCAATCCAAAATCCGGTGTGCGAACGAAATAATTTTGCAGACAATCCTCAATTCCATGCACAAATATCAACCAAGGCTTCATGTGGTTCGCTGTTCCGACATTCGAAATCTTCCATATTGTACATTCAAAACCTTCGTGTTTCGGGAAACGGAGTTTATCGCTGTGACCGCCTATCAAAACGAGAAGGTTAGTTGTGGACTACTGTAATATGTCACTCTGGCAGGCAGTTTTGCGCAATTTTTATTTATATGTGTGCCTTTCTATATAAGGGAGGAGGGATATAAGCGATTAAAGTGTCATGTTACCAAGTGTTGGGCAAATATTGAAAAGGCACGAAAGTTGACAATGACGCGTTACTGTGGGTTACTGTAGTTAATTGTTGCGCGTGGCGCTGCGCCAATACCCATAAAAGAAGAGACCAATTATCGATTTTGCAGGTCACGCAACTCAAAATCGATCACAACCCTTTCGCCAAGGGTTTTCGCGACGCAGGTGCCGGTAAGCGCGAGAAAAAACGTCAGCTTCATCGTGCTAATGGATGTGCGCCAAACGGAACGGACACGGAAAGCCCATCGGACAAGTCCTCATCTCTTCCAACGCATTCCCCTTATCCCTCTGAATCCGCATCCGAGGATGATGAACCGCATCCGAAACGGATGAAAACGTGTGATGAGAAGCCGGCAAGTACTACGCCTGTGGGGCCATTTGGTCCGTTTCGGTCTCCGCCGTTTTGTCTACCTAATATGGATTTAATGCTTCCCAACATGGACCTTCTCAGCCAATGGCAATTGGCTTTGTTTCAAAACCAACTACTCACCTCTCCTTCTTCCATGACTAAAATTAAATCCGATTCCGAATCAACGCCGGCCAAGAAAAGTTTTGATGTGCGAGATCTGTTGGCGAAGCCATAGTACGTTTTACTTTCATTCAAAAGGCCGAATTATGTTTTGGAAGCAAGTGAACTTAGACTATTTAATTTTTGAACGAATCTTGCGTTGATTGTTCTGCGAATTGCAGCATAATTTAGCCAATCAAACAAGGTTTTTATTTTTGAAAAACCCGACCAATGTGAGGGTTTCACTCGTTTATAGTCATTTTCCTTATTGATAGTTTCTTTTCCGTTCCATTGGTCTCAAACACTACACAATGTACTATATTTTTCCTCACAGTCTTTATAAAGCGGGCTTCCCATTTTCGGAATTTTTTTTAGGCTTTTAGGATATGAATCCCTCGATTTTCATCTGGTCCCATCCTATTATTTACTCATATTGTCTCTTCTGCACTCATTCCTTTCCCAGTGATCCCCCATGCAGAAATTTAGTTTTCTTCCGTCCATTTCTATACATATTAATTTATATGCAACATTTTGTACAGAATAATAATAATAACGATAATAATTATAATTAATAATTAAAAATAAAAATTTCCGCTGGTGTAAGGAAATTTTGGTTGGTGTCAATGCGACTTTAGTCAAAAGAGATGGGCGCAAAAGAGTCGGTCATCGATGCGGAGCCCATTGAAGTCGTCGCACTTGATTGAGCTTGCAGTTGCTGCTGCTGACTACGACGAACACATGTTGCCATTTCCGAATTCACTTCGCGCAATAGCTCACTTTGGCGCGTTATTTCCTGCCAAAGGCATAACACATTATTTTCTAATTACTACAATGTCCACAAAGTAATAATAATGTTAAGTTCTCAATTCGTTTCAAAACGAGAATCAAGTGTACCTCAGATGATGCTCCAACCAATGCCCACGCTTTCAAAGAGTGACTACGACAAAACAGAAGTAGCAGCACATCAATATCGACGGTCTCGCAGCATCCGTATTCTTCGCCAAACGTTTTCCTGCAACCATTTTCTTCGCCAACGACAATTATTATTATTATGCCGCGGAGGCGGCACTCAACGATCCGAATGTTAGCGTTATTATCGTTTCCTGCAGCAGCAGGCGGGTGACATGAGTTATGAGCTGTGCTACTCCTTTTTGCTTGTTTCCGCCCAAAATAGTCCGACTACCGTATCATCGTATTTGTTAACATAGCCGCCGCCAACACCGCCGAAGCCGCGCAATGGGAAAAATGTTAAGCACAAACACAACAAGTGAATGTATGTGTGTCGAAACACGACTAAAATTGATATAGTGCTAGGAGCGACACGAAAACTGACGAAATTTTTCAGGAGGCTCGCCTCGACAAGTGTTAGTGCAAATAATCACGGTTTTTCTTATTCGCCTACGAGCGATGCACACAGTGGGTGCCTGTGCGACGCCGCGCGAAATTTGACACAAATACGCTTACAGTAATCCGACACCTGATGCCTCCTGACTGGATGAGGGCGGTGGTGACGCGAGATCAAAAAGGGATTGAGGTCATAAAATTGCAGTTCTTTTCTAGTGAAACTCATAAAGTATTGCCATCGAATTTCGCTCTCTCCTACCGTAACTGCAGTGTCAAACTTGAAAATAAAAGTATGTGATGTTTACTGCGTTAATTGGATGTAGTTACTAAACTCTTTGTTTTTGCAACCAGCCTCCTTAGTTTAATCAATAAGGCGTAGCTAATAACGATAACACATGTGGCCTTGCTAAGCAAACTATCACATTGTACCGTACATGACCAAACATAGAATGGGCGTGGTCAGCATATTTGCTCGGCACACAAATCATCACGAGCCTAATCTGCGGCGTATCCCCCAGAAGCCGCAAAAATGAACAAACCTGAGTGCTCGCACCGAGTTCAATGCCTGTTTGTATCGCTTGTTGGCGAGTAGCAGGACAAGGGAATCACAAGAATCACTGGTACAACTCATATCCATTCTACTTGCTCGTTGGTCTTCTGATGCACACATAAGAAGCTCCCGGTGATGTTCGAGAATGGCCGGAGAAAGGGAGTAGGTCTGAAAGAAAGTCGTTAATGTTTTCCTCTATTTATGATCAAAATCCTTGTTGCCGACACGTTCAATGCGCGGAAACAATTACGTCGACCCCGGCGACAGCCGTCTCAGCCTAATTATCAGATCATCCTTGAGTCACACCATAGCGGCGCCGCCGCCTGTCACATCATACCAATAATTGGTGTGCAATAAGAACTGCGAAATTCCAATATTCGGCAATTATGCGAAATATTCTAGTGAGGGTTCGAAATACGTTTTCGAAAAAATTTATATTGCCGACCAACATAATCAATCTAAACATTTGCGCGAAAATTCAGCGTAAAACATCACAGAACTTGACACCAAAAATTCCTTCGTCAAATTTTTGTCGAACATCGTGTCAGTCAGTCATCTCGATAAATTGAAACTGGCATGTCATCTGATCACTATCTTTCCACCTTGCCTTTTTTAATGCAATTAGCGGAGAAAAGTGTTCATCAAAGCGTGGTGTGGTGGCTTCTTAACAATCAAAAATTCGAGATGGGGGTTATTCTTTGGTATATAATGTATATTTGGCGCATAATATATACTTTTCATGAATCGTTATTATAGCGCATCGACGGATTACTGTACAACAATTATTCTTGGATTATGCGAGCGCACGAGGTCTTTCCCTATTCGTTCGTTTTTACCATAAATCCGTAAAGATCCAAAAATCGACCAAAAAATCCAACATTTACGAGCTTCCATAAGTTTTGTCGGAAATAATGAGAGCTCGTAAACGACGAGTGACTCAAATTTATGCATTTCCGTCCGACGGCGCCCCTTCGCTTTTACGACATACAAATCGTGGTTTTTGAAATTTGACCAACTACAGTAATCATGTGGAAAGCATATTTTATGAGCTTTAATGGATGCGATTAAGAGCTCCAAAATGAAAGGAACACAAATGTTATTTTTTTTTGCTAGACACATTTTTTGGATGTCTAATGCCAAATAATTTTTATTCGAAAATTTAGAATTTCCCGTCCTCACAACCTAATGTATTCCTACCGTATATGTGTCATTTGGAAGGGAAACTCAACAACTCAGCGGCCGGCCATCAATCATTCGCACCATAGTTATATGACAACAGCGCAACGCGTTTCCTGCTTTTGATGATGAATTTGGACATGAAAAGCCGAAACAACAGGAAAAAGGCCCCCCTAATCTAACAGCGTGACAGGCTCATTACCCAAGAACAACGATTTTTCCGCTTCATTACCTGTGAGCCGGTCGAGTTTTTCACAGAGTCCGTCATGTCTTTCAATGAATCGCTCATGAGCATCACCTGGAAGACGAGTTTATTCAGTAGCTTGCCTAGGTCCAGCTCCTAAACATTAGGGATCCTATAATAAATATTTTTATTTTTTTACATTTGTCCAGCTCAGTGATGAACTCGATCCTCCAAGTGCAGAGAGTTTGTAAGCGGAACGAAGCGCATTTATAGCCTGTAATTATTCGTCGTAGCAACAACAAATCACTGTGGCAATCTTGACACGCCATCTGACAACTTTCGTCACGAACAATACATACTGATCTTAATCGCTAAACACAATTTGTCTACCTTCTGACACTGTTCCCGTCGTTCTCTAAATGTCTCCCAGTGCTCTTTGAGTTCATTGAGTGCTAATTTCAGTCTTGACGACATAGAAGTATTCCGCAACTAGAAATATGTATATGCCTAAGCAATGCAGACAATTCAGATTGGAAACTCACAAATTGTTCGGTAACGAAAAGAAAAGGAAAATCGACGACATTACACAATCCTTCCTGAGCTACACCAAAACTTCGGGATAGCGAACGATTTGTAACCAAGTGGGAGGCATCGCGTAGTAGCGCACATACTTTTTGACAACATGCCTAAAAAAACATGATGACGTGAAACTATGAGATGGCTCAAACAATTTAAGCGCTTATGAATTGAATCTTTAAACCAATGTCTGATGTTTTCGTAAATTACCTTGTACAATTGCGTCGACAAAAGCGTCGCATACGCTGTCAAACTTCCGTCCGTCGTTTCATTAAGTTCATTCACAATTGCGGAAAATTCCCGTTCGACCTTAAAATCCACATGATGAGCACATTGAATTCTGAGTGTCCTTGGTCGATTTGGATAATAATCCGATGCCATCATCGAGGCATTGCTGTACGCACAAACAGAAGAACCGTCAACCGAGTTGTTTTCTTCTTCAAGACGATCATTTTCGCTACAAAATTTTGAGAGAAAATCATGAATAGTTAGTTGAAACAATTACGTCATCTGTGAAGATGTAGATACAACATTATGCGATATTCTGCTCCTTAAATCGTCTTCACCGCCAATTTCTCCCCTTGATCTACTATATCCAGACTCTCGTGTTCTTAGCTCGTCCACATCTTCCTCATCGTCATCCGATGGACATGGTGTTTTCTCATCCTCTTCAATCTCCTCCTCGTCAATGAGTCTCTTGCTCAAATCATCACTTTCACTGCGATCTTCATTCAATTCGAGTTCGTCATCATCTTCAAGCTCCTCCTCCTCTTCTTCTTCCTCTCTATTACGATCTTCCAGGTTATCGTCCTTATCCCTGGTCGGTCGCATCGTTGACAACCATCCAAAGCAACTGTCAGCGGTTTCCGAGACGCTATCATGCTCAGCCTCCAAGAAGTCAAACTCTTTGAATACTCTTGGAAAGGAGCCCGTAATGCCAGATTGCGACGGATCGGGAAGCGACATAGTTGAAGCAACTTCTTGAGAAGATGCACAAACGCGCTCTGTAGAAGAAGCATTGCTTCCCAACTCGGATTTTGAAAAGACAAGAGATGTTGATGATGGAAGACCGATGCGAAGACCGGAAGCCGATAAAATTCCAACCAAGCGATCGCGCACACGAACCTGAAGCAGAAACAGTTCATAATTTTTAAAGGAGGAATTCTTATAAGATTACATGTGCTGGAGGCATTCTTTTCAAACTCGTACTTGCACCGCTAATCTCGGCAATTTTGTCTTTTCTCAACATTTTCGGACTTCCGTTTGTCGTGGTGTCATCAGATGATACATCATTGTGGAACAAATTGGAAATGTCCAAATTAAATTCGACGTTTCCAGTGGGTTCCTTAATTATATTGTGTAATATTTACGCAATCATCAGAACCGCACCTCATTTCTCCATTTCTCCACAATAACTTTAAAAATTTGAGCTGTTTCTTGCCAATGAATGCCTTGAATGTGCCTCGAAATGTTGCGAACAACCTGGAAAATTCATGTCGGTATACATCAAAAACAATAATGGGGATTAAAATGTCGTTAACCTTTGATTGAAAGGTAGATCTAGCGAGATGAGCGAATTAAACTATTGCGCAATTTCTTTATTGCGATATTGAAGATCGACATGTCTTTATTTGGTAATTATTGTGTTCTCGGTTTCAAACTAACAATTTGCGTACTGGAATTTTGTAATTATTCTTTAATTCCAGATATTATTCTTAATGTGCTTTTCGTTATTATACGTTATAAAAAGTGGTTTGAAAGCACTAAGATATAGTCTAAAAACGCCATATTTATTATGGAGACATTCCAAATAATCGCCGCAATTGAGAAATTTCAAATTATCTCCCTTTCATAAATTGAATAGCTTGGCGCGCACCTATAATAAATCTCTTTGATGGCAGTCGACTCGAAACATGTGCCAACAGCTGATCAGATATGGTCAATAAAATCGCGGCCGGCCGAAATAATTATGAACACGCATGTGTGCGCATGTTTCACCCGCTGCCATTACCAATAAGAAAGATGTCGCCCATCTCTTTTGAAATACGAGAAACTTGACATATGCTAACCTGCGCATTTATGAGCAACGGGGAAACGCTGTGATGATTATGTTGAAGAAGAAGATAAATCATATGGAGAACAAAGCCGCACAATGACGGCCATCCACGCTCAAGCATCTGGAGCATATATATAATATTAAAACCAGTAGAAATAATTATTACTAACTTCGGAAAGAAGGCATAGAATTGAATCAGCGTTCAATGAAATGCATCCGTCACAAATATATTGAAGCACACACTTCATAAATTGTTGAGAATCTTTCGTAAAAGATTTCACAGCGTATTGTTTCATAACCTGTAGAAACACAAATATTTTTTTTCGAAAAAATATTGTCAAAGACGGGTGAAATTAATGCTACTAAATGGGAGTTTCGAGGGAGAAAAACATATGAAACTACACTACAAAGCATACCGTTGAGAGATGAATAAATGGATGATCTGAAGGAGCGTTAGGTTGTTGAGTTTTGATAATCTCATCGCAAAACTGAAAAAAATTCATATTTGTTTTTATTGTTATCATCATCGCAAAAAAAACAAGCGCTTTGTGTAATTGTGGACCATCGCACTCTTGAGTCGATAATTCTAATTAGAATTTAATCAGTGGGAACTTGGATACAGTACTCTGGATAACCTGCAAAGCAAAAACACCGGCGCAGAGAACTCGTTTTTTTGTGAATGTATTAGATGTACAGGTAATCCGGACTACGCGATGAAAATATTTTTGTGTATTAAGGCCTACCAATGAAATAGCATGTGCAACTTCGATGCATAACGAGTTTGGTTGATCAAAATTGAGCATCAAATAAGGAAGAGTGTGGCTGACAAACAGAGCAATTCCACCAGTGCCTTAAAATTTATATGCTTGTTTCTCGATGATTTAATTTCTATTAACCTCCAACAATTTCTTCTGTTAATACATCGCATAACTTGACCATTGCCTGGATGGATGCTTCATACGCACCAGGAATGATGGCACCTGTAGAGAAAAATCAAGCTCATCACTTCGCAACATGTCGCAACAAATTAATGTCTTGAATCGAACGGTTTCAATATCCGTTCAGACAATGTATGTCCATTAATCGAATATAGTACAGAATCGTTTGAGATTTAGAGTGTGTATATCGTTCAACCGCATCTACTGTCGTGTTCATAGCCATAAAACTTCAGGGCCTGTTATCAGTTAATTCAATCTTGAGGTTTTTTGAGGAACGCGAACACTTCGCGACAAAAGGTAAACGTGGGGATTTATTATGACAGGTGCCCAAAAAATCTTTTCAAAATTTTCAGCAACGTAAGTATTGGAAAAAGGCGGAAACGACTTATTATTCATATTATTAATTAACATAGTTTTCGCTCACAATAATCACAAACCTTTTGTAACAAGTGCTATAATTCCATTAAAATTTTTCCATTCCAACTGTGCAACCAGCTTATCAACTTTTGCTAGACATTGTAACTTTTTGGTGGTCGGAAGATCGAGCGACTTGTTCAGAAGTTGTAAAGCTAATAGAAACTCATTATCAATGCTACTTTCCATTATGGAAATTGCAATAGAGCATATTTGCATCCTTGCAATAATTTCCTGGAATATAAATGAAAATGTACTTATTAATCTTTTTTCACACTTCTCCAGCTTCAATATCACTCTGCAACTGTTCAGCACTTTTACTTCGCACTAGACCTTCTGGAGAAGTAGGAGAAAGTGCTTCTTGATCCGAAACCAGAAGTGAAAGTCGAGCATCTAAAAATAATTTTTTAGTGTAACCTGGAATTGAACTATTACATTCGCAAAAAAACGAGCACCCGATTTATGTTGAGTTAGCTTCGCAGATTTTATAATAGAGTAAGGTGTTCGAATTCCCACTGCTTAAATTGAATTTCCGTCTCGAAAAAGTGCGATGGTCCACAATTATGTAAGGCGCTCGTTTTTTTGGCGATGTTAATTACTCTTTCGATCATGTTGCTGAACTCTGGAGCATATAACGGACTGTCGAACTAGTGCTGGGGTATATGAAGTAGAACGCATATGTGTCGGTGAGGTGACTTGCCGAAGTAAAGCTTCACCTTCATTGGGACTCTAAGCATACATAATTTTTTTAATAACACAGCTTGGAAAAACATGTGAGAGATGATCAGTACAATCGATGAGGCAAATGAGAAGATCGGTTACATATGCTTGCGTTTCTTCGTGTTGCTCACCGGCTGTTTCGACAAGTCTTGACATCAACGATGGAATCCATGGTCCAGGAGGTTGGCCCAAAGCAGAAACAATCTGATATGAGAACATATTTTTTTAAGGCAGAATATGCTACTTGAAAACAACGTCCTGCAATGTGTCTATTGGATGACGATAACGCCATTTTCATGGCTAGCTGTGTCCAAATTACGTCAAGCATCGGCATTCTTGAAAACATGAGCCTCACGATCATTTGTACCGTGTACAAAAGTTGAGTGGCGCTAGCGACTCGCCAGTTTTTAGGAGCAGTGTCCTCATTCGCCCACAAAGGTGTGTCCATACTAAACAATTTGTAGAAAAATAAAAAAATGGTGGAAAAATACTTTTCACTTAAGCAAAACAAAACCGCAGAGAGAAGATCAGACATTGAAGCGAGCAAAGAAGGCGCTGACAACATCTTTCGGTATTCATCTGCAGTTGCCCGAGCAAATGAAGGCGATTCACCGCGACAAACACCGACGGCAATTTCTCCAATGACTTCGTTCGTTTCAGTGCCGTAAATCATTTCGTTTTTCAGAAGAATAGCCGAAGCTAAAGAGACGTAGCCTTTGTCGACGAATCTCATTATCACATTAATAATTGTTTGACGAGCATGTCGGCATAATGCTGGTCGAAGTGAATCCAATCGAAGTATTGATGAATGGAAAAGCAATGCTGCATATTCCGCCCATTGAACAGAACATTTAGTGCGAATTATGTCGCAAATCAGAAGCAACCCAACTTCACTCCTGAAAATTGCATTGTTTAATTTTTCTCGGACATTACGTACTTCGAATAAATCTGCACTGGCTGAGAAATAGGAGGCAGAAAATTGCTCAGCGGCGAGTAGTGTCCTCCGTATGCAGGCATCGGTAACAGTCGAACACCATCACGGCTCGGTTCTTCCCTCTCAACGTTCACTTCTCTGTTATCAGTATTGGTACAATCCTTGCGTTCTATAGATTCGTCCCGCCATCGGTAGTACGGTGGAATTTCACATCTTTCAAGAGAAATACGATTCGTATCCTAATAATAAAAATGTTTACCAAAATGAGAATGTTCATATTCTTACATGTGACGTGGAGAGCCATTCCAGCAAAATCGACGAAATTCGAGTTCCAACGACTTGCGAGATCATAACGCATATCCTTTTGGTTACTGGTAGAAGTGCTTCATGAGAAAGCAATGTTGTTGTGTAGAAAAAGTTCAAAATCGCCGGCAGATTTGCGGGAAAAGATATTGCCAAAGACATCCAGACATCGCTTAGTTCCTTCTCAAAATCGGAAGATAACGTAGCTGTCAAATACAGCAAATTGTTAAGCACTAATTGAGTTGCTTCTTCAGAACCCCAGCCTCGTGGACCCTCTGCAGCTTCTTCGACGACATTTTGATCAACCAGTTCCAAGTTGGCTATCCATGGTTGCAAAAGAGACAGCAAATGCGCCTTGTTTGAACATTTCGGGTCTTCTAGTCGATATGATACCTCTGAAGTTCGAACAATATTATGCTGTCGGATTTAAATCATACCGCTGAAAATTGTTACAGTCCAATGAGGATATGTATTGGCCAACCTGTGGCATACATCATGCTGCTCAATAGGGAGCATGTGACCACCACAATACGGTTCCTTCAAAAAAAAACTTATGCATTAAAATTAATTTCTAAATTTTACCGTAGTCACATCTTTCCGCATCTGAACAGTGGGCATATGCTGTTGTGCAGGTGACGTTGATTGAAATTGAAGACCATCCAGAAATTGTTTTCTCAATATTTCGATCATATGCAGGGCACAATCAGTAACAGTTGTAACTGATAGCATTGATTGACACAGAACAAAAAGTGATACGAATTCACAAGGAATATCTCGTCGAGAGAAAACGCGTACGAGCGCTCTGAAGCAACGGCATGCAACATGAGAAGATTGGGTATAGCATTGGGTCATAAGCCAATCCAAAAGATTTGACGATTCGTTTAATTCAAGCATCCACGCAAGCATTTCCTCCACTTCTGATTGCATCTGAAATACCCAACTGGATAACAACGTTGAGCTTTGCAAACCGTCGGATTCGTTGAAACAATAAGTTTCTCAAGCCATCCATATAAATTTCCATCTTCACCAATTGTTTTAGAAGCATCAAAAATAGGACCACAACAAAGAACTCTCGTCATTGCCAAAACCGACTTCTGCTCAACATATGAACCAAACTAAAATTAATTGACAAATTGTTCAAATTCACCAGAAAAGATTTACATCTCGATCTCTAAACTTTCGGTCTGCTGCAATTGCTTTCGAACACCAGTTGATAAAAAGATAAAATAGACTTTGCCGACGATCTTCGGAGAATAGCGCTGAAAAGTTTAAATTTAAAGTTGCAAAAGATTTAACCGCAATACTATGTCTAGCAACATGAGGCGTCGAATCAATTATAAGATGAATTAATTTAGCGAAATGAAGACGAAGCTTAGTGACGACATTGACATCCCGGTCCTATAGTTAAAAAAAAAACATTTAAAAATGAAAAGATAATAATAGCACATTATCACTTTCCAAATTGATTCTCATTGAATCGATGAAATCGATAATGTGAATGTTGAGCGTATAATCATTGTTAGACGGTGACACAGTCATTAAAAGTCCTCGAAAAACAGCAATTTCTAACACACGAATAACTTGAAGTCGCAGCAAATCTTTCCGTTTTCTTCTTCGAATATTTGTCTCCACTTTTTTCTCCATCGCTTCTCGAAGAATTCCACAATTTTTGAGTTCTTCAAGGAGCATTTCGAAGACTAAAGGGTTAATAGAACCAACTCCTAAATAAAACGTTTTTCAAACTACGGGTAATAAATATACCAAGAACAACACTATCACGAATGTCAGTCATGTTTTCCCATCGCAATATCGTGCAAGTCTTTGCAATCAACTGCGACAGCGAGTTTGGAACAGGATTTCGAGAAGATCGGAGTGATGCCGATACGGATCGCAAGACGTCAGTAGGACCGTCAAAACTAAAAAAAATATGCATGAAATTGGAAAAATCAACACAAAATTCACGAATTTGTTGGACTGAAACTCCTCTGAGCCAAATTGTACGGAGCCGGAGCAAGCGCACAGCACATAATTAAATATTTCTGCCAAAGTGCCAAACATGCCTCATGGCCAAGCTGTTCTCCACAAATTAAGGACGATCCTTTACTTTTCGAACCCCGCAAAAGAGAAGATCTGCTCTCGTTTTGTGGATTGCTGGAAAAATAAACATCGGATCAGTAGTCGAGGAATCGGAATCACCAGGTCTCTGACTATTTACTTTTACAAATTAAAAAATACTACTATATTACTTAGGATCAACATATCCTGAGACTGCATTCAGGCGCGAAAATAATGTTGGCCACGCTGAAGCCACTGCTGTTGGACACCGCGCCAAAATATGTTTCATTTCGGCATAACCGCTCAAAGCACATCCCCACGGATCCCATTGAAGATACTCATTTCCACGATCGCTATTTACCTATTAAAAATGTTGTAAATTTTGAAAAAATAGTCGTGTTGTTCGATACCAAGTTATTATCAGTCTCAATCATTGAAATTTTATCGCAAACTGACGCAAAGTCCATGCTCCAAGCCATCTAAATCCAAGTGTTTTTTTTTTTTTCATATAAATTACATTTTCCTTACTCTTTCTTTCAGAGGAACATGTTCAATATATTTTTTAACAACATAAGGAGTTGCTTGATCCAGAACCGTAATCAGAGGGGTGTCCGTATTTTCAATTCCGAGTATATCAATTAGTATTTTTACTTCTCTCATGAGTTGAATTGCAATTTTCCGCGGAGTAGATCTCGTTTGACACAAATAAACAATGGTCAACCCTTCGATTGCATGCAAAACGCTCTGAACGCCACCAGGAGTTGATGACGACATAGAAGCGGCTCCATGAGAATGAGTTGGGGTAGTAGTCACTGATGCCGTCATGGGTATCGAATGAAGAGATGACGATTCCGGTAACGAGCACAATGAAGCTGATGGCTGATGAGGAGATGATCCAGAGGAAATCGTGTTTGGCGAACTCGTCGACTGTCCATGAGTAGTAGTTGGACTCGTTGTGTCAGTTTTCTGAGACTCCTGTCTTTTTTCCGTGATCACAGCTATTTTCCAGGTCGTCAAAAGTTGAAGAAGTAGTCTGAGCGAGTCATCCAGGACTTGGGGATAAAAATCCGAAATTTGAGATTGAATTAAAGAAATTTGTGCGATGAAAATCTGTTCTCTCCATTCCGGAAATTCTCCAATTATTGTCTGTAGAGTCAAACCAGACATATTTCGTAGCTCTTCATCGATGTGCACTGTCAGCCTTGTTAGAATATCCACAAGTTCCTAAGGATCAAATTTTGCAAAATAAGTGAAAAGTATGAGTAAGAAAACTCACAATATGAGTCATCGGCTCGGGTAAAAGTCGCGGAATTGCTGCGATGCATGTGCGAAACAAGTCAAGTTTTGGCTTTGCGTCACCACTGAAAATATTAATATTAATCTAAATAGAATGGCTTCTGAAAATTGATATTTTTTATTATTATTATAGCGACCTGATAAGCTCATCCGGTTCTTTTCCGCGATTTTGAACTGTCGGAAGCATCAATGGCTTTCCAATCTGAAACAGCAACATATTCGTTAATTTATCTTCGTTCAAATGTACATACTTGTGTGTCTAGTGTTCTTAAAATACCGTCGAAGGCTTTTCTACACTGTGGATAAAACTGGTCAATTCCGATTGACCTTGATATTTCCAGTGTCAGAGGCTTGGTGATATACTGCTTCTTTCGAATTTTGTGCACTGTTCCGCTAGCAGATGGTCCCATGGCTTTTGGCATCGCAGGAGGGTCATCTTTCTGTTGTAGGCCGTCGGCAATAACCATCAAAGCCCGAATACCAACGTTCATACGTTCAGCATAAAGTGATCGTTGACTTCTATTTACACACAGCAAATCAAAAATGATTTCTTTAAACGCGAAATCCAGCTTTTGATTCGAAATGAAGTGTATTATTTTGACGAAAATGTTTAAAGGTGCATCTCGCGGAACGATATATCTGTTTCCTTTTGGAAATAAGCTGCCACAGATTGACTCAAGTCTTGAGCGAGTTGCAGCATTTCCATCACAATTATTTCGAATCATATACACCCTATATAAATTATTTTTTGTACATATTCTAATTACAATTACCATAACAGTCTGTAAAGGCTTTCGAGTGCAACTCTAGCTACTTGCAAATCACGATTTTTCAAATGTGAGAGACAAACGTTGAGAAAAGGAACCCAATTCGCTAAGAAAAAATGTTTTTGGCTGACACAAAGTAAACACGTTTGAAGAGGAAAAGCGGCCTGAAATATTAAAGTTGGAATTGAAATGTTTTGAGGAATCGCATATTACCAATTTGTGCTGTTTTCTTGAAGTCATATCATTTGTTGTTGTATATAGTTTCTGTACAAGGGATATTAATGCCGGAATGTTAGTTTCTCTCTTAATTTGGGCTGCCACTGGCAACAGAATTTCTACAAGAAGGCCCATAATAGCATGTTTTACATCCTTATCCTTTGCTTCAAGCATCAAGCTCGCAAGATCGTCTAGGAACTTCACACCAACTTCAAAGTCGTGAACTTGATTCGTCTGTAAATAGAGTTCTATGCATTATTATTTGTATTTACTAATAACCTTAATTTTTACAAACTTCATAGCCATTATCAACGCTATTATTTGATGTGAAGCCACTTGTGAAGTTTCCTTTTTTAGTTCATTTATATATGTCATAAATATTCTATGAATATTTGAAAAATACGTCATCGATAGCACACCAATGACTTCACCATAAGTTTCCGCAACTACTAAATGATTAGTGTTGTTCACGGCCAACGTTGTTCTTAAAGTCTATTATGGATTTCACGTCTATTTACGACTTACGGGTCACGGTATTGCACATTTTTGAAACAAATATCCAATATTTTGCGAATTTGTGAATCACACTGAGCCATATGAAATTCAACTTGAGGAAGAATTTCAATAAGAACCAGACAGAACAGATAGTTAACTGCGAGAAGCTTCTTTGTTAATTTCTGACGACTTTCAGAACTAAAATGAGAAAATAGCTACACGCATTGAAATCTGAAATCCTACTTTGAAGTCTGTGTATTAATCTGAGCGCTTAAGTTTTCAACATATTTTTCATGCCATGAAAGTAAAATTTTTAAAACTGTTGGCAAGCATGCTTCCGATACACCGTATAATGTTTGACAAAGATTATCGAAATAGGGATCGCCACCACGTTGAAGAGTTTTGTTTAATAATTTTTCCTACAACAAATTTTCAATTAAGATTTAAACCATATTGTAAAATATTTCTCACCAACGGTTCATCAGTTACAACAGAATGCAATTTTCTTTCAAATATATTGAAGAGATCCAACAGCACTGACTGCCCGACGAAGCTTCCGCTGGTTTGCGTCAAATCGAGCGGACCCAAGGCTACCATTCGAGTTCCACCCCATGGAAGTTCACAAGTTGCAATTCTAAAGTCGTTTATCTACAATAGAAACATTGAAATAACTATAACTTGTCAGAATTTCCTCGAGTCGCCAATGTGCCAGGATCACTTTTTCGTCGGCTCATTCTTTCCTTTTTTGGTACTAACATTTTTCACTCTATAAAATGTATAAATTAATTTTCTGTGTTATGAATTAAAAATATAATGAAGCGAACTCATGAACGTAATGGATTAAAAAAACGAACGGAGCAAATGCGCTCTGGCGCAAACTGAGCTCTGCTTAGTATCACATTGGAAAATCTCCAAACAGTGGGAAATTTCTTGTGAAAAATTAGACGAGAGGATATTTATTTTAGAGAAGATATATAGAGATTTTTGATTTATATCGGTGTGATCTGGAATAAAGCTATGATAATTACTTAACTTTCTTAATAATCATGCTGGAAAAGTGATGGTTTAACCATATGCGATATAGGAAGAAAATATGTTTCGGGGACGTATTTATATGAAACATACAATATTAATTCACCTCGCAATCCTCTTGTTTATGAACATATTTTATCAAAAATAGTCGAAATAGTCAGTTTTAGCGAGTTTTTTTATTCAATGAGCTAAAAATGTTGACATTTTTTCAAGAATCGTGAATATACACATCAAAACTGTTGCACCATGATCTTGCAATAACCTTCGGATTTGTCTAGTATAATATGCAGTGATAACTCTGATAACTCAAAACCAATGGGATCCGACAAAATTCAGCTTCGGAAGCAACCCGATCCGCTTGGTAACTTGTCGAATTCTATTGGATATTTGCCGAATCTGATTCGAATTGAAAAATTTGAACAAAACGGATTCGAATAGTAACCAATCGGATCCGACAATTTTCCAGTCTTATCCGTAGAATTTCCAATCACATAAGATTGATTCGAGAGCTGAATTTTGCCGAATCCGATTGTTTTTGTGTTACCAGAGAACTACTCCAGGTTGCATGGAAAAATCTGTTCACTTCGTACTATATGATTGACAATGTATACCATATATGGTTTATCGACTTCCTCTCAAGTTCTTGCGATGTCAAGCTTCTGAAAACCAATATCGAATATGCTTTATTCCACAAGAGCCACGTGTAAGAAAAATAAATTTTTTTTTCATGGTCATATTTCGAACAGCTGTTTCAAATTATGTCGCCAAACCAATAAAACTACTTAAATGGCCTATTCTCACTTTCAATTCTCACTAATCTTTAAACTGCCAAAAGTCAAACGAAACACTCACATTTTCAAGAATGGTGAGAAAATGTCATTTGATGAGATGAAATCTTTTTTGGCATTGGAACAATCAACTGAATTTTGACCCAACTGATTGAAAAAAAAAAATATGTATTCGATGTTCTCCATAAATCATTCATTTCTTGCGTCAGGCTTTAAAAAGATTAAGAAACAACCAACCCTCCAAAATTTCTAAGAAAAAACATTGGAATGCGATGTGAGGATTATACTCTGACTTTACTCACGCTTTTTGTACTCAAATTGTTGGGCCCAGTTCAATAAAATTTATGCAAGTGCGGAAACGAACAATTTTTCATGGAAAAATCCTTAAATCGTTTTTTTAAAGAAAGCGCCGAGTTAGTTTAAGCTATAGACATTTCTCCATGAAACCTATTCCTACAATGAAAACTCTAAAAAATTTATCTTTTTATGCTCGCATGCCGAAAAAATACAAAAAATTCTCACATTGATTATAAAAACTCCTACCATGAATATAATGAATATTTTTTCCGCTTGTCATTTGACACAATGCCCAACTTTTCAAACATTTTTCTCAATGTGTCACTTTGAGTTCGTCTTCTCTATTGTGGGAAGTTTTTGAAGTTTTTCTTTCAAATTTATTCGCAGTAACAATTTTCCGGTCTGAACAAAGACGGAAACATTTTAAAAAGTCCTGCAATTTTTGATACCATAAGAACATTTTTCAATATACAAAAAGTGTCAACCACTCAAGAAAAAATTTACTACAAGTATTCGTTCTTTATAGTCTTTGGACTATTGAGTCATTTGAACATGGAAATAAATTTTTTATGAGATCTTACACTACTTTGTATAAACTAATTGACATGTTGTTCATTTTTTGTTTATTGAAATAAGCATCTTAACGTTAAATCTCCGCCCAAAAGCAATAAATAAGTCGTCTGTGATGTTTTACCACCATCGCAAACATTTCCTGCGTTGAATAATTCTGAGAAAATCTGTCACGCACAGAAGATTCATAGAGTGTTCCAGAAGCTCAAATTTACGAGCTGGGAGTTTTCTATTTTCTCGCCCGCCACTGTCAAACCTATTATTTCATTCATTTTTCACACTTCAAACGTGATGTGTATGTTTTTTTTTCATTTTGATACGAAAAATGACGATATAAAATCGATCAGAGTTGATTATTGAAAACAAACTGTGCTCGATTTTTTACCACTTGTCTTTTTCAGACTACGAAATGTACAAAATCCACCGCGATGGACATGATAACGAAGAACAACAGAAGAAATTGACGAGGAAGGTAGGAGGTTAATCTTAAAACTTAATTTGTTAATAATAAAGACGAAGCTAAATGTACACTAGACATTTCATTAGAAATTATATATTTTAATTTAATATTAATTTCTATTAAAATTGATATTTTAATAGTTTTATTTATAAACCGGGCCGCTATGTAATTTGTAATCGAATGACTAAAACATTGGACGAGCTCACATAAATCGAGCAACTTCTCAAATTTCCTCATCGTTTTCGGGCTCAATTTTATTTATTCCACCTTCAATTTGACTAAAACACACACACACACTTACATAGATAGCACTTGGCCTTATTGGCGCGAAATCGGGCATTCGGCAAAATTATATGAATGCATTTTTTGATTATTTCGATGAAAATGGTTTACCACCACCAAAAAGTGGAAAAGTCGCTGCAAAACGTGTCCGGTTTGATCTTCCCCGAGTGAGTAGGTTATTTTAATTCGAAATAACATTAACCTTTGCAGAAGTCAAAAGTCTCTGAAGAAGATATTGAGAACACTACAACTAAGGTAATGACATACATCATGAATTAATAAAATTAATGAATGCATTATAGATTGCAACAATTCTAATCAACGATGAAACGGAAGACCAACAAAAAATGGAGCGAAAAAAAAGAACGCAGGAGGATATGGTGGCGGACTTTGTTAAAATTTTGGAGCAAATGAGTAATATATAATTTCGTCTTCAAATAATGCAATTAAAAATTTTAGTGAATCCCCGCCAAGCCGTAACTTCGTTTTTTTCCGCGGCAATGGGTGTAACAGCTATCACAGTTTCTCTGATTTATTTCGGAAACCTTCCTGTCTCTGCTACCAACGCGAAAAGTTTGGATTTAGTTCTATTAATCTACGGTATAATGTAATTACAATTCAATCGAAATTTGAGTTTCTCAGGAATTTTGCAAATCGTTTTGGCAACAGCATTTTTCATAACTTGTATGCAGACAACAATCGCCGTTTCCAAAGGAGTCAAAGACGCATTTCAAATTATTGTTGGTCTTTTTGTAGCTTTGATATATGTTGCGGTTTCGCTGATAAGTTTAGCGGTTGGAATACTCGGTAAGTTTACGCAAATGCTAAACATTAACAATAAAAATTACTTTTATAGGATTTTACAAAACCCTTTGCATCGTATCATTTGTGGAATATGAGGATCAACTATCCCATTTTTTCTGTCCACCGCCGTTGTTCTATACATCCCTTGTAATGTTCATTCTCCACATCGTACTCATCGTAGCCAAGTGTTGTTGCTGTAAATAATTTATTTTACTGGTAATCGAAAAGTCACCATTTTCGAAGTAATCTTTACATTATTTTAGTTGTAATTTAATTTCTTGGCGTAAACTGTTTTGATCAACCTCCTTCCATTTGAAATTCAAATAATTTAGAGAATTTATTCATTCATAAGAAGAAAAAAGGATAAAATGTATGAATCGTTTAAAACAGTGCACATTAAAAATAACTCCATAAAAAGGATATTCACATTATCTGGAAACGGCAAGGGGGAGGGTAAGTTGAAACGCATTTTGCATTTTAATTATTAACAAAATAGAGATCGAAATTTACATACAAAAAAACGAAAAGGAAGAAAAAATAAGGGAAGGTGAGAATATAGAACGACTACAGAATACAATGCCTAAAAAAGACCAGATATGACTGTTTTTGTTTTTTTTTTTTTGAATTTTGTATGAATTTAACATTCATAGAAAAACCCGCAAAACTTTAAAACCGTAACGAACATAGACGGCTACTAGTTGATTTCCCTAACAAGGGACATAATAAATTAATGTCGATTTCGACAATATCACTTAAAATACATAGGGACAAAAATACGAACTAGCGAATACTAAAAGGAAAAATTGTATGCCGATTATAGAAGCTCTCCATCCTCCATTTCCATATCAATAAAAACCGGTGGTGGCGGAGGCGGAGGGGCAAAACGCAAGTTTAGTGGTGGTTCGGGCGGCGAGCATGTGGGCGGCGATGGATCTTGCGAGTGTTGGCGTTGTCTGAAGGCTATAAGTGATGAAATTTGCACACTCATCCATTACCCCTACCTATTGTCCATTTCCATACATATTTTCTGATACGCCGACGGCGAAGAATGCCTAGGTTTGAGTACGTCGCTCGTGCCATGTTTCTGTGTCATTGTTGTTGCTTCAACTTGCTTCAAATACGCAGATTTTTTAGAGCCAGCATGACGGTCGTCTGAAATTCGGCAATTAAAAAATTAATAAAAATTATCTATTACACAGCGAAGCCGAAATATGAGTAGATGACGAAATTGACGTGCTACTTGAAGATTCAGTTCTACTCCGTTTTAAACTGCAAAAAATAAAAGTTTTCCATATCCTCAAACATTTGAATACCTCATTTCGTACTCGTGTTTAACTCCTCCATGACCACGTTTCGGTAATTTAGAATCCGCATGATCGTTGCCGATTGGATATAAATATTCAGAATAACTACCGTTGGAAGATGGACGGTCGGGTCTCCGATCTTCATTATAGAATTGTCGTTCTGACTTATTATCGCCGTTTGAGTGCGGACGTTGCAGACGACGATATTCGCTTGTATGCGTTTTTTCAAAATAACGATCTCTGTGAGAATGTTGGCGTTCCAAATGGCGTTTCCCATTCAATTCTTGGCGATCGATATGATTATCACTGTTGAATTCAACTTTTTCATTCATCTCATATATTTTCTCTGAATGGCGTTCGCCTCCGTTGGAATGTGGCCGTTCCTCAATATGAATCCGAGAACGATGATAATTTTGAGAATGACGATTATGACTACTTTGCTCTGACTGTGAATTTGAGCGCGAATGGTTTATTTCAGACGACATTCCTGCAATTATAATCATAAAACTACTGCTTCTTTAAATTTTCAAACCATGACGAGAACTAGGATAGGAAGAATTGTGTTGGCTGTGTGACCTATGAGAAGTATCAACATGCATTCCCTCCTTCTTCTGTTTTTCTAACTGTTTTTTCAGCTCAGCGGGATTTTGTACGTCTGGTAGAAAACTTTGTCTAGGGCTCGTTGTGGTTATAACAGCTGCCGCAGCAGCTAAATTGCTCTTCTGCCTTTCCTTGTACGTCGTCATATCAATTTTCTTGGGAGCTGTTAGCATCGGAGCTGCCGGAGGTGGAGGCAGAGTTGAAGAAACAACTGGGCTCGGTTCAAAAACTAAAAGAAAACACAATCTTCATATATCAATATGAAAATAGTGTTACTTTTCACTTTTCCTTTAGTGTCAATTTTTTTCAGAGAACCAATATGAAGTTCAGGATGCTTGCTAAATACGTCGAGAAACTCATCCACCATTTCTAAAAATAAAAATGAAAAACTAATTAACTGGAAAAAATTGTGTTCACCTTTTAGCTTTTCAGCGGTTAAATGTGGATCTCCTTTACGGTACCAGTTATCAGCGTAATTTGGCGGTGCAATCTCAGACATTTTCAAGTCGTGAAAGAAACAGGCTATTTCCAAACAAGCTGCTCCAATTGCTGAACACGAGTACCTTAAACTCCAATCAGTGACCATTAAGCTGAAAAATTTTATGTTATAAAATAACACTACTGTGTAAACTCACACATCTGTCGCCAAATAATATGCTGTCCGAACCATATCTTTATATACACCTTTTCCACGTTCAATTTCATGCATTAAATGAAGTAAAAACTGGTGAGGTAGCTCCACGTTCATGTCAAAAGCCAATGTGCGCAACACACAGTTTTCCAAAGCAGTTATCAGTTCACAAGCGCTTAGGAAATGCTAAATCAAAAAAAAAAAAATAAATAGAACCCTCACATTTGGGATTAATCTTACCGCTTCTGATTGGAACGTTTTTTGATGTGGATACTTTAGTTGCCACCAAGTGTTTACAATATATTTAAGCTTCCTGGGACTGTCCTCATTTTTTCCAGCTAAAAATAAACATGCTGCTGCGACATCCTATATCAAAACCATATCAGTTCAATTGACTTTTTTTTTAAACGATTACCCTGTAATCAAGTCTTTTGAACGAATGGAATTTGAAGAAGCGGTTCAAGATGACCGCAGCGACACCAGTAGCCAAGCTAAAAAATAATTATTACGAAAATTTACAAAAAACAGTCATACTGATCCCCCTTGGCATGTGTTAAGTTTATAACCATCTCAGACAAAAATTTGCAAGCTTTCTGGCGATTATAGAGTTCCTCTTCATATGTCATTCCATCTTGTCGACTGCCAGTGTTGATGATAAGCTAAATCGAGAAGCATAAATTTTTGAAAATGTATAGAAACGATAATCAAGCTATTTCATTCATGTAAAAACGAGCGCCCTCTGTGATTTGCAGGTTAATAAGAAGCTCTACAGTTGCAAAGTGTTCTTTTTGTTGTGCTAATAGTGCATCGCAATAAAACTAGTGTCTTGAATAAATGTGGACCATCGGATTTTTCGAAGGCGGTAATTCACATTTTAATTTAAACAGTGGATATTCAATAAACTACAGATAATCTGCGAAGTCAACTTATCCTAATTCGGCGTAGGGTGCTCGTTTTTGTGACTTTACTAAATATTTTGATTTTACTTACATCTTCTTTCGAAAAATGCCAAGGGAAAAGTGACCGTCCATATTTTTTCCCTTTATCGGAATGAAAATTCGTGTTGAGCGACATGCTACAGGCAAACCCCACTGAAAAATAATTCTTTTGAAGAGATCATTTTCATCAATTAAATCAAGGATCAATATGAATTTTATAGAAGTTTAATTTCTGAGTGACAAGATCTAAGTAAAAAAAAACAAAACTATATTACACATTTAAATTAAAAAAAAACATTTTTAAATGTGAAAGAGACGAAAAAACCCGGAATCCGCAATACTAGCGGAAAACACAACGAAATATTGAGAGATTCTTGAGTACCGCGACGCATTAGTCACGCGAGGCGTTAGCACGATGGAGCGGGTTTGCGAAACATAGCCAGACATAAAACCAAAAACGGGATTGAATGGTTCTTTCACAATGTTACCGGCGCACTAACCCATGCTCAATATTTCTCCACCCACTTTTAGTACCTATGTGCTCTTGGTAAACTAACCATATATTGATGTGCTAAATATTGGGCAAAATAATATATACATATCGCACATTGTCAATCAAAGAGAATGTGTTCTTTGTTTTCCCGATGTGTGTGTTGTTTCCGCAGCGTCAATTATTATTTTCTTTCCCATCTCAATAGCGCTAATTCCTTGAAATAATGCGAAATCTCAATGGTTTAGTGGGGAAAATCCATGAATAATGGCGTCAATTTCTTCTTGGGGCGCGGGTACTCAAACAGATCGACCCGCGCCACCCAAATGGACGTTCAGTCGCGAAGAGGTCCTTTAAAATAAAAGTTTCTGAATAAGATAGAATTTTAGATGCAGCTTTCCGCTAGTCAACGCGATGGAATGAGTGCCGAAGAAGAATTGTGTCATCGACAACAAGCCGCCAGCTTCATTCAAGAAATGGTTGACGCTCTTAATCAAAATATGAAAGATCAAAGGGGAAGGATGTATGTTATCTTTTTTTATATGAATAGTTTTTAAAAATTTAGAACACAACTTGGCATGTGTGTCGCCAATGTTCATATGCATAGATTCTTCTATTTTCACTCGTTTAAAAGATTTGACTACAAGGTGTTGTTGTTTTATACCAAAAAATATTTTCGAAACAATTAATTTAAAAAATTTTCTAGGATGTTGCAGCAGCTTGTATATTTTTATCAGGAAAAAGTGAAGAAAGTCCGCGGAAATTAACTCATGTAGTCTCCGTTTGGCAAGAAAAAAAGATGAAAAAACCATTTTCTTCTGAAACGGTTTTAACATTTAAATTTATTTAAAAAATAAATATTATTTCAGCATCGCATAGAAGCCTGCCAGTTCATTGTGACATTGGAGAGTTGTATTCTTCAAACAATAGGTTAGAAACATTTGAACAAATTCATATAATATTTCATGATTAGCGTTTGACTTAAACGTCGATCTCCCACATCAACATGTGATAAAAATCATGGAGTCGTTTGATAAAAGTAAGAACCAATTTTGCTATAAATAACCTCAAAGTAAGGTTTCTTTGAAGATGGATATCGAAAGAAGATTACAAATTGTGCGTATTATTTTGCCACCGACGTGTAAGTGAATTAACGTCGGATATATATTGAAAATATTTTATAGATTATGCGTCATGGATTGGGCACTTAGGTATTCATGTACATCAATTGCCGTAGCAGTTGTACATTTGGTGGCAATATTTGCGGATTTTAAAGTATGGTTTAAAATTTTCTCTTAAAACTAAGATTATTTAAAGATGGAATCATTATTTCCCGCGGATCCGAGCAAGAAATGGTTTTCGCATTTTGACGAAGAAATGACGGAGGAAAAGCTTATCGGTATTACCAGTTGTAAACTGAATTTTTAATTTTTACTAATTTAGAAATGGAAAACGACTTTATGCGGGTGTACCAGTCATGCTCACACCTTCACTATGCGTCTAAAATAGGTAATTGAAAATAAAAAATCCTTTCAAAATGAATACAATTCAGCTGCGATAGCTCAAAATCAGAAAAGTATATCGCGAGCGACGGATGATTCATCGAGAGTAAATAATGCCTATAAAGATAGACGACCACAAAGGAGCCCTCGACAACAGAACTTTACTACTGACTATGAGCGGAAGAATGAGGATAACGGCCGATGGAGAGATGATCGTCCCAGACATGGCATTAGCTATCTTCACAAAGAGGAGCAGCAAGTCGAAAAGTAATTAATCGTCAAATATGCTCGTTAATTAATTATTTTTAGAAGTTTTAGTTATGATCGAGAGTTGGCTAAAGAAGATGAGCGTCGAAAACGTGAAAATGAGAAAATATCGGGGAATATGTAAGTAAATATCTATTTATTATTTTTTTTTCTGAAATTTTTATTCAAGACCGGAAAAAAGACAGAAGATTGGCCCTCTTTCGGCAAACTTTGTTTCGTCAACTACTCCGTCCGATGGCAAAGAGAAAGAATGGGTCAAAAGCCAGTATAAGCGTCCAGACAAATCATTTTCACCATTAACGAGGTATGTTTAATTCTGAAAAAAAAAAACGTATTTTGGGCTTATGGAAATACGTCTGAAATAACAACGTGTGTTCGGTTTCAAACGATCTGTGGGTGGCGAGAAATTTAAGGTCGCAAAACCAGGGTAGATCTCCACATTTGTATATTTACGTACTGGCAAAATACTTAAAAAAAAAAACAAAGACACACGTCTCTTTGCCTCGATACACAATGGCACGGAGCCAAATTAAAAAAAAATTTCGATTAGTCGTTTGAAACTGACAATATATTTCTAGTAAACATGAATCATCAAGTACACTTTCTCCACCACCCGTCCCGCCCGCCATGGCTTCTGCAGTGGTGGACATGGATCTCGAAGATGGAGAGCTTAAATAGTTGTGGATATCTTTTTTTCCTGTACTTCTTTTCCCAAATCCTTTGTTGGTATTTTTGCAATTTCACTTATTAGAAACTTTGTAAACGATTTCTTCTCGTTTCGTTTATTTTTATTCAATTGTCTTTTTTGGGTAATAATTTATTAAAACTTTATTATTGCGCATATTCTAATCTAAATTAGGTTGTTTCTTTTTTCTATTGAGTTTGTGCTTGTGTCAGTATTCTGTTTGTTTATGTTTAGTTTTCTAGGTTTACTATTACTATTCTGTCTGTAAATATACTTCCTGCAAGCGTAAAAATGATTTGGAGAAACGAAGAAAAACAGGTGTCCCCAAAACATACATATATTGAATTTGTTGTTTTTCTGTGTTATTGATTCATTGAATTTTATAATATCTTTGTTGTTTTTCTATTTATACATATTTGTTGCGATGAACACTTTGAATTGAAACTAGTAATCATAACACTACAATTACTGTGAATACGAAATGACAGCAAGAATTAATAACACTATTACTACCACGAATAATGGATTGGCTGTTTTTGCTGATGTATTATACCAGGGTATGGGATAGTAGTTCGGAGCAGATTGGCCGTTTGAGGATCCTTGGTAAGTAGGAATTTGATTAATTGGCAGCTTGGAGGCTTCGCGAGCAAACACCTGTACCAATATTTTTTCGTATTCAAAAAAAGTAATTTCTTACTTGAGGATGATTGCAGCTTCCTCCTTTACAACAACAAAAATAGCATGGCCCGTTCTCCGTATTGACCATGCTGCATCCTTGTGAATTGATGAAGCCAGGACCATCACCACATATAGCCCCTCCAATACGAATAGGAAAATTGCTTGCGCATCCAAAGTTGGCCTGTTGTGTAGCCGGCATATAGCTGAAAATTAAATTAATGATGATAATCCTGTATGCCTTCTCTGGTAACTTAAAACCAATCGGATCCATCAAAATTCTGCCCCGGAATCAACCATATCCGATTGGTTATTTCTCGAATCCGATTTTGAAAATATAACCACCTAACCATATATCGATGTGAATTGAAATATTAAAAAAAATTGAAATATTAAAAAAATCACATTCGAATAATTACCAATCGGATTCGAAGAAAATCTAATCGTATCCGACAATTTTCCAATCGGATCCGATAATTTTCCAATCGAATCCATTAATTTTCCAATCTTATCCGCAGAATTTCCAATCAGATAAAATTGATTCTCTGGTAACTCAAAACCGATCGGATCCGACAAAATTCCGCTCCGGAATCAACCTTATCCGATTGGTAATTCTACGGATAAGATTGGAAAATTGTCGTATCCGAATGGTTTTTTGGATATTTTCAGATCCGATTAGATTTTCTTCGAATCCGATTGGTGAATATTCATTGGTAATTATTCGAATCCGTTTTGTTTTAATATTTCAATTCGAATCCGATTCGACAAATAACCAATCTAATCCGTAGAATTACCAATCGGATAAAGTTGATTCCGGGGCCGAATTTTGTCGGATCCGATTGGTTTTGAGCTACCAGAGACGTTGATCAATAAATTGATGCGTTTATTTTTAGTTTAAAATTGAAAATACCTCGTGAAATACATGGGACGTTTATTTACAATCTGTGCTGGTTAAAAACTACAATCGTCATTTTCAAGTCGATTCAATTTCTATTGAGAATGTGAAGTACTTATGAATTTCAATGCGCCGGAAACAAGTTGAAATTGTTTGCACATTTTAGCCGCTTGTCTGTCAGCAAAAAATCAAAAATTATAACATAAATTTTAATTTGTGTATTTCTTAGAAAAGATGATGTAAATACGTTATGCCTGTTTTCGCGTTTAATTTGTTCTAATAAGAATTTGAAATCCATGAATGAACCATGTGACAGAAAAAACAGAATCCACACTAATGAGATGCGCGTTACACATTCTATCTGTAAGATGCGACAATTGGCACTCCGTAGAATGATGTCATACTTGAAAGCTATTTCAACCATGTATTCTTGGTCGGCTAGAAATATTATTGACAAATTTAGATTAATTTTGGACAATAAATGTAAAAATTATCGCCGAGTAACACTAATAATGTGCCACTCTAAATATATAAATGGCGGCTGCTCTTCTGTATACATATTCAAGTGGAGTCAACTTGGAATTTAACATTCAAAATTTGAAATCCGATACTTACGACACAGTACACCAATCGCGATTGATTGCCGTTCCACATGCCTGATTTTGAAAACCACCACTCATTGTACTTAATTGATATTGCCCTAAGAGTTAAAATATAAAAATGCATTAAAACAGTTACACTCACCATAGTAACAATTTCCGTTGGGCTGTGGCGGACATGATAAAGTTTTATTTATATTATAAAAAATCAGGAATATACTAGAAATCGTTTGAATATTTATCATATTTGCCCAAATATTTACAGCGTGCGCACACCAGCCGAAGGAAATGTGAATTGATTATTTGGTATTATCAAAAGGACAGGGCGTGGCCTTTCGTATTCAGCTTTTTTTGTATGCTTAACCGAGCAATATAGTAATTTAGTACAATTCGTACATATATTTAGTACAACTTTATGATATATGATGTATAAATTGATAAACGATAACATGTCTGAATAGTTAATAATGTATTGAACAAAAGCGTCAAAATATACGAATGAACTTGATTTGATTAATGAAACCTTATTAATATTATTTAGAGGGAAATTCGGTCCATTGTCACTAATGTTCGACCATCAGCTTTCCGCTATTCCTTTCGATTATTTCCCCGCTAAAAATAGTAAATAATAAATGAATTGGAATTTCGAATAGTTTGGCATTTTGCAACAGAAAAGACTATAAAATTTAACAAAGAAAATTATCTACAAAATGGACACATTTCTCAGGTTTTCATTCAAAGATAATGTCCCATTTACTTGTCAGCCACATTTATCAGTAGCCAGATAAACTTTCTCATCAAATAGAAATCCCAACGCTAACGATTTCCCACAACTCCTTTTTACTAATATTTGGTTCGTAGCGCTTACAAGCTTAAATAATTATTTTACAATAATAGAAAAAAAAAACGAGAGAGTGATAGTTTAACCGCATGTATTATTTCAAGAGCTTATCCCCCGTCCGAATCAAGTTTTGAGTAGTGGTAGTGGTGGTGGCAAAATGAGAAGATCACGTTGGAAAAATGATTATATTGCTGAAAAATGACAAATGTGTCGTAGGATCCTGCGTTTTGTACGCAATACTAAGAGGCAGTTACCGTAATCATCGAACCGATTTACGGGGACTTTTAAATTTCGTATATTCATTTTTTTTCGCTCAATTTTTCAATTTTCTTTCGAATGTTTTTTTTTTATTTAAAATTTGTAGAAACCGATTTTAATTATTTATTTATCAGAATATGCATTTTTAAACCACATTTATCGATGTTTTTTGGTAAAAACAACAGTAGTTTAAAAAATAACATTTTTTGTCGTTAATAAAATCAATTATTCGTGTTTTGCACTTAATATAGTCGGCGTCCGGCGTCTGATGTACGTGGGTAGATTTACGCGCTTGCGTGTGTGAAATAACCTGTTAGTCCGTGCGAGACCATTTCGAAAGATGCATGCCCGTAAATCTACCCGCGTACAGCAGTTGCCGGACGCCGACTATACGCGTTTCTATTATTTCGTTTCTTATTCTTCATTTACAAAATAATTTTTAGAGCGAAAAAATCTTCACAATGATTCCCAACTCAAATCTACAAATGGAAAATTAATAGATAAGTATATACTTGCTGTTAAAAATACAAAAAATGCACAATAGATCGAATGTGGACGGAAAATTTATTTATTTTTCGTCAATTTCTTGATCTATCGTGTTTTATTGGTAATAAAAAGACGCCAGTTCTGCGAATAAACAAGACTACAATGAAGCGAATTATTTTCTGTTCAATATCGATAATAAATAATTAATCATAGTAATTTTTTTTGACTACTTTTTTTCTAATTTTATCATCGATTTGATTTTTGTCTCTTGTTATGAGACTTCACTCATATTTTTTTCATTCCCCCGTGTTTTTGCTCGTTTGTCGTTGTTTTTCAAGCACTATTTTTCGGCTTTCAGATCAAAATGATTGATAGGCGAATCCGCCAAGGCTGAACAATAAGCATCGCTTCACTTCTCTTCTTTCTTTGAGTCCCGTCCGGAATGTACAAGCTACGATTACCTCCGGAAAATCGTGAACAGTTTGCTTGAATTAATTTTTTTATGAAATTCTGATTTTACGTATTACAGTTAGAAAACGAAAATTTGTTTAAGAAAGTTTCGGTGCGAGACCAATCTGATCCGAATTGGGAAAATTTTTCAAAAGGATGCGCAAAATTACGAATCGGATCCGACAATTTTACAATCTTGCAAATTTCCTGGTCCCATCGACGTCTACGTTTTGAATTCGCTCACTTAGTTACTTAAATATTGCAATTGGCTGAACAACGTCGAAAATTGAGATTTTTATCTAAAAATCCAGCAAACCCCCAAAATTTCCATTCAATATTAAATTGAATTAATATATGAAATGGGAGTGTATAGCAATGCGCAAATATAGCAGTGATGTGGGGAAAACGGAAATTTCGGCAAATTGCCGAAAAAAATTTCAAGTCAAATTCTAAATTTTAAAAAAGCTAAAAATTAATTACAGTTATGGTAACTCAAAACCAATCGGATCTGACAAATTTCGACTCTGGAATCAACCTTATGCAATTGATAATTCTATAGATAAGATTGGAAAATTTTCGTATCCGATTAGATTTTCTTCGAATCTGATTGGTAATTATTCGATTCCGTTTTGTTTTAATATTTCAATTCGAATCGGATCTGACAAATTACCAATCGGATCCGAAAATACCCAAAAAAAACCAATCGGATTGAAGGTTGATTCCAGGACGAATTTTGTCTGATCCGATTGGTTTTGAGTTACCAGAGAATCGTTTCATTTTGAAGAATGTTTTATGCAACACATGTAGAAAATTGTGCCAGTGCCCGCCCTTCTCGTCAACCGACGTGTTTTGCTGCCGGAATTAATCAGAATAAAATAGCATCATTTTAACCCCTTTGTTAGTGAAATGAAAGGTGTTAATTGTGAAGTAGAAGAGATCTTCTTGATGTGACCCTTTTTAAATGTCTTGCACACTGTTTAAATGTTTTTTTTACCAATCTATTACTTATTATCTTGTAGGTAAATTGAAAAGTGTTAAATGTTGTCACGTGTAGGCTGACCTGATCGAGCCGTGAGGGCAGCGTAAGGAGCAGAATCCACGCGATTGTGGAGTACTGCAAGGAAACGAGCGGTGCGAGAGGCAAACGAAAGCAAGCAAGTGCGAAAAAATGTAAACGAAAAAACAAGCGTAAACCCAAAAAAACTGAATGCGAGCGCGCATTAAAATCAATTAAAGAAAACGGAATCTTTTACCTAATTTTGTGAAGAAAATCATAGAGTTTTAACGTAGAAATCAACCAAAATATTCATTTTTGATGTTGAAAAATTCACGTATTATTTTGTGAAGTTTCTACTGTTTTCCCCCTTTGTTCTGAAACAACTTTGGTAAATGAAACATAATAGTCCTTGAAAATAATTTTTTCAATCGAAATCGAATAAAAATTAATCGGTTTCGAATTATTCAAAAATTCGAATCGAATACGATTTCAACATTAAAAATAGAAAATAAATCAATAGATTTCGTTTATTCTTAAATCGAAAAAAAAAAACAAGATTTTAAATGGAATTTCAATTTTCAGAAGAATACAATCGGTCCGCTTTTTTCCATTCCATTTGGTTTTTTTTTCAAAATAATTTCAAATTGGTTTTTATTTCTTCGTAAAATTAATTACTTAATCCGTCTATGCTTATATGTCACACTACTGCCGCGCTATTGCTTGCTTGAATGCGATGATGGCAATTATGACCACGCCCAGTATTTCGGAGCGGTTCTACTATTTAATTCCGTGTTTTTATCCTATTTTTTTTCATTGTTTTTCTTAAAATTATTGTTTTAGGTTGAGCAAACACGCAAATGGAAATAAAATTGGTATTAACATGACGCTGTGTGCAGCTACTATTCAGGAAATCCCGTGCTATTAGATAGGAACTTAAAGTTCCGAACTTTGATCAAAGTAAAATGATTTGAAATAATCTAAAAGTGATTAAACTACGAGTAAGTTTTTTTTTAATTTGTCGCTTATAATATTAGTATTTATAGTCTCAATTATTTCTTGAGTTCGACAAACCCGCAATTATAAAAAACATCAAGCAGACCAACACAAAAAGGTAAGCAATTGTGTAAAAATTATTTAAATAATCTTACCCAATAGATGGAACGATTATTGTATTGTAGATGTAGATGTGGAGATCGGCAATTCTTTTCTTCTACTTTGATTCATCTTGTCGGTCTCGACGGAAACCGTTTGCAGGTTAAAAGCGTATTTAGTATATTTGATAGAAATTTATTGATTTGCGGACGATGCAGAATAATGAAAACTCATTTCGTAAACAAGAAAAGGAAATAGTCGATGTTGACCAGCACTTTGAGAAACTGCAAAACAAAAAATAAAATTATAAATTGAATATTCAAAACTGGGGAAAGTTTATAATTTTGGGGTACGGTACACAAAGTCCGTAAACACGTTAACTATGAATGCACACTAACAGAACTTTAAAATTTTTCCACTTTTCGTTATTTTATTCGTCTTTTATTGAATTTTTCTGAATTTTTACCTCAAATTTACCAATGTCTTTGACATTCTTCAATTCGTCTATTCCGGCAGTGATTGCATTGAGAATAACGTCGGCTACGAAGAAAAATCCAAAAACAATAATGAAGAATAACGGGGCACCGTATACAAAAGCTTTCAACAAGACTTGTGTGTTTCGCGGCGTATGCTCGTCATTTGTTTTCCCCATTCTTCCACGCTTCTTGTTTCTTCTCCTTTGGTGCATTCTTTTCTTTTGCTTCATCACCCGTCTTCCTTTTCCTCTTCGGAAGGTCTTCATCCACTTCTTTCTCTTCTCAACTTCACTTGGTTCCGACGAATACAGAGAATATGGGGTTTCAGTCGATGTAATGCATTCACAGGTTTGCTTGGTGTGACGAGTTCCGTACTTCTCTCGGCGCCAGTTCTCAAGGATCTCTTCGTGGCGTTCTTCCATTCGCCTCATCATCGTTGCCTCTTACGCCTCCTCCAGCGCCATTCTTTGGTCGTAGGCATTGGGAAAATACCGAATTTCGAAGAATCGATAAATCAGGAAGCATACCCAGACGATGGCTATCCAGTACGCGGTTTGTCGGTACAACACCACCGCCCTTTCGGCTCAACCGTCCTCTTCATCATTCTCATTTTTCTGAAATTTAAGCGATTATTGATTGATTTTTAATACTAATCTGTTACGAGGAAATGTGGGTTGGGGAAAGCAGCGCATTGCCCTTCGCCTTGGTAGAATACACTATATTTCGTCCGTCTCACATTCGCTGAAATGTATCGTTGTTATGCATTATAATTATTGCAGCGTATACCTGTTGATTTACGGGATGACAGTACCCGTTTACCGCCCGTTTGCAGATCGGGAGCAATGGATCGCACTCAATCTGGTCTACAAACGGGCGGCCAAAATTAACCAACAGTGAGTTGGGCGTAACTGAAAATATATCGTATTAAATGCGAATGAATAAAATTTGTTACTTGAAGGACACGGCCACCCCAGCACACACGTGCAGTTTTCGATGTTTTCCGGGCACTCGAAATATCCAGTCTCGCCTCTGTGACACGCCGGATTGATAAATAGCGGGTGCACCCCGTCTGGGCACACAACCGGCTCCTCATAAGGCCCTAAAACGTATCTGTTAAGAAGTCGTGAGTTTTCTATTGAATCATTCATGAAATTGCTAACTTCGCAACATAATCCGATGTCAGTGCAAAATCCGAGAAGCTCACCGTTGCCCATCTCTGGATTTCAGGTCTTAAAACCCGCCATTGTCCCGGCTTCGCATCGACGGAATGGTCGAATGAGGCTACCCCCATATCAGACATCCAGCAAACCCGAGCAACAAACGTCGCCCGTGGTATTGTAGTATGCGCTGTAAACGTCGATTAAAAGTTTAATTTTCAGAATATCAATTATTTTGGGATGAGCCTCCTTCTCCAACCATCTCCTTGATGAGATGAGCACAATCCATGTCCTCAGTGCACGAGACCGATGGCTTATTGGCGGGAGCAACATCATTGAACTGGAAAAACTGGAGAATTCCGCAGAATCTGTCAACCTCGTCGGTAGCGTCCAAGCAGTCAAAATTTTCACACTCGGCGCGGGTTTTACAGATTTTAACTCCAAGCTCGTTGAGAAGATTCGTTGCCGCGTATGCATTCAGGTGAATTGGAACTCACTATTGAAACAACTGGTGCGATCCGATATCTCAAGTTTAAGGTTAACAAGGTAGTCGCAAAATTGCTTCGGACCACAATCCGAATTTGATGCGCATTGTGGCAAATCTTCCAAAGTTGCTGTAATATGCGCTGAATTAAAGTTATTTCAGTAGTTGGTACTTGTATATAAGAATGAATTGTGATTCAACGATGTCGGATGCACCATCACTGAAAATGATGATTATAAGATGGGTGAGTTTTCGATTTTGATTGTGAAGATCAATCGTGTACGAAACTGCGATAAAATTGAAATTGAAATTGTAAACCATATTGATAAGAAAAAATTTAAAAAAAAACGATAAAAATAGTAAGATAGATAAAAATTTCCAACAATATGTTTCTTTTTGTAAATATAGATTTTTTAAGTTAGACTTATTAATGAAATAAAAAAATGTATAAAACAATAATTTTTTCAATGTACATAAGGTGGGGGAAAAATGCAATTTTTTCATAAATATATAGTCGGCGTCCGGCGACTGTTGTACGCGGGTAGATTTACGCGCGTGCGCCTTGGAAAGGTCTCACCGCGCGTAAATACTTATTTTGCAGTTTTCACGTGAACTGCTTCATTTTTCTTGATGAGTTTCACATTTCCTTGAATTTCCAACGTCATCTGATTGAAAAATTATCGAAATGGTCCATAAAATTTTAAATAACCTGTTGGTCCTTGCGAGACCATTTCGAAAGACGCATTCCGTAAATCTACCCGCGTACAGCAGTCGCCAGACGCCGACTATAGAATCTTTAAATTAGACATAAAATTAAAATTTCGACATTTTTTGTAAAAATAAATACATTTTATGATTAACTCCCGGACCCTCTATACAGAAACGAATTATTGTGGTCTAATTTTTCAGGGTTATTTTGTACAGCAGCGGGTTTTCTAATTTTTAATGAAATGAAATTATTTTTAAAACATTTTCGATATAAGTTACAAATTAGGCTGAGTCGAAATGATGTTTAAAATTTCTTGAATTTCTTCAAACTTTTTTTGCTCAAGAAAATTTCGCGAACCCCAACCCACCAGTCCAACTCGGTTCATTTTTTTGTTTTCTCCCCCTCTAACTTTACTAAATAAAAACAAGATAAACACGTACAACAACAGTCCTCAAGCTATCTAAATCACGAATAAATAGAATAATTGATAAATTCCACTACTCACTGCAGCAACTCGGTTCTAGCAGGCCAGGTGGCTGCAAGCATAACAGGTTTTTATCCGTACACCAGCCACCTAATACACACATCTGATCAGGCAAACAGAATGAATATGATATGATCACTTAGTCACTTAGTCACTTAGTCGGTTCGTCTTTCGCCTGTTGAGGCGCGAACCACAGCTTTCCAAGCTTTTCGGTCCTTGGATTGGGTGGACCAGGGGGTGATAACGGCTCCTTCAGCTGTTCTTGTAGTGATCTCCTTCCGAAGCGAGTCCGACCATCTCATGGGAGGCCTTCCTCTTGGCCGGGTTCAATTCCACGGCCGCCACTCCATTAGAAGAGTAGTCCATCTTCTATATGTTCTTCTAGCAACGTGTCCAGCCCAGGTCATCTTCCTCTTCGTGATGTGGTGTAGGGGGTCCCGAACTTTAGACATGATGCGGATGTCCTCTCGATGAAGATCTTGTTCACGTTGTTGTGATAACGTGATGCCAACCAATCTTCGCTCAAGCGCAGCGTGACTAATTCGGACTCTTTCGGTAAGAGCTTTGGTGAAGGTCCAAGTCTCTGATCCGTAAGTCAGCGCTGGGAGAACGATGGGTTTTGTTACAGGAAATCAAATCGGTGGTGTTCTTGATTCCATTAAACGCTGCCCAAGCTGCTCTTCTCCTTCGGAAGATCTCCTTGACTAGCTCGTTTTTGGGGGTGAGTAGTCTTCCAAGGTACACGTATTCGTCAACATCGTCAATGATACTGACCGAATTCTGGTGCGTTAGGGTAACCTTGGCGGAGTCTGTGAAGGGGTTACGTAGGACTTTGGTCTCTCCAGCGTTAATCTGGAGCCCTACTTGTTCGCATCTCGCAACCATCTCACTTAGCATCTCGGATGCCGCTTGCGGACTGTGCGCTATAAGCACGACGTCGTCTGCAAACCGCAGTTGTGTGAGGTTCGGCCATTCACTCGTAATCCTGGAGTGTTCGTATTGTCTTCTGCGTCGCTTTTGAATTGACTCCAAGACAATTCACGGAAAACTTGCTCCAGGCACGCGGAGAAAAGGTTCGGCGAGATTGGGTCACCTTGCCTTACTCCTCTTCGAACAGGTATCTCTACCTGTCGATGGAATGGCGTGATGCTTGTGGAACAGTCAGAGTAACAACTTTGGAGTAGCTGGATATACGCTTCTTCAACGCCTTGGTCTCTTAGGCTCTGCCACACTGCTGAATGCTCAACACTGTCGAACGCCTTCTTGAAATCAACGAAGACAAGTGTGAGTGGGATTTGATATTCTCGTCCCACTTCTAGCAGTCTTTGGACAGAGTGGATGTGATCCACCGTTGAGAAGCCCTTGCGGAACCCAGCTTGTTCTACAGGTTGATTGGCTTCTAGTTTACTCCTGATTCTATTCAAGATGCATTTTGTGAAAGCCTTGTATACAGTACCGCTCAAAAGGTTGGAAACATTTGGTTTTTTGGGCATAACTTTTTTGAAACCAAACTTTTTTCCATGAACTTTTTTTTCCGATTGTTTCTTATGCAATTGCCGATATAATGAGCTATTAGACATGATTCGTACTTACCAAATAAGGATTTTAAGCCATTTTTTCAGAAATCGCTAAAATCACATTTTTTTGGATATTCAATTTAAGTCGGTTTTTTTTACCGGAAAGGTAGTTTATTAACACAAAATCATTGGAAACTAAAATTATAAGGTTAATACTTTATTGTAAAACCTCGGGAGTCAATAACAGCCTGGCACCTGCGAGGCATGGAGTCGATCAAGTTGTCGATGACCGAGAGTGGAATCTTTTTCCATTCTTCTTCCAATTGTCGGAACTTTTCGTTCGAATTTGTGGTGGTTCTGCTTGCCACTCTTTTCTCCAACTCTTCCCACAAGTGCTCGATGGGATTGAAGTCCGGGGATTGACATTGCCAGTCCATAATCTTGATGTGCTGACTTGCGAACCAATCCTCAATTGATGAATATTAAAGAAAAAAAGCGAATTTTCTTAATTTCACAAATTTGGAAGTGTGCTTTGGGTCGTTGTCCTGTTGGTAAACACAACCATGACTCATTGGCTTAAAATGCGGCAACATCTGCTTCTTCAGGATCTCCTTATAGACGAAGCAATCCATGATTGTTTTCACATGGTGAAGCCTTTTCCGGAAAAGGCACTCCCAATCATGCAATTGCCTCCCCCGTGCTTTTCGGTAGGAGTTTGATACTTGGGATTGTATCTACATAGAACCTACAGGACGGCGGACAGATTGAATTCCGTCACTTCCAACGAGCATTCATCCGACCAAAGAACACCATTCCAGTCAAATCGCGTCCAATTCAGATGTTGCTTAGCTCACTCGACCTGGCGTCGTCTATTCTTCTCCTAAATGAACGGTTTCTTCACTGGTTATCTTCCGAGCAATCCTGCCACTGATAAACGGCGTTTGATTGTTGATACCGAAACAGGCGATGGAAAATTCGCAAAAACTCTGCGCTGGATCGCCGGTGCCGTCATTCGCGGGTTGAATTTGGAAGCTCGTACAATGCTTCTATCAGTCGCATGATCTGTCACGCGTGAACGACCAATATGGTGCTTCTTTGGGACCCCTCCTTGAGTTTCCCATCTTTTCAAACATTTGAAAATGCAAGATTTTGTGACATCAAACTGGGCGGCCAACATCTGTAGGGTTGCACCTGTTTGACGCCCTGCGTAAATTGCCCGTTGTTGTTCAACAGTCAAGTTCCGCTTTTTTTTCGATAGTGGACATGTCTAAAATTACAAAAATAACAACGGTGTGGCGACCAAATTAAACACTCTTCTATTATAAAATAGTTTATTAATAATATAAGAAATAGTTTAATTTGGCGGTGGTTCTGTGTTGTTGCGTAGACGGTCTGATGACTGGCGTATATGACGGAGTAGAGCGAGACGGCGATCGAATGCGAACGAGAAAGAGAATGGGAATCAGAATGAGCGGCAGGACCCTTCTATCATGCCCTTTTATTCTGGTCTTATCGCGTGACCTCTTTTGGTCCAGTCGTAAATCATATTTGTTCCCTCCGTAGGGGATCTTATCTGTGCCAGCTGGTGGCACAGATCCTTTTATGACCGCGGACGCGACAAACGGCATGCAAAAAACAGCACAGAAAAATAGTAAAAAACTTTTGAAAAAAAAAAAGTTGAAAAAAGTGATTTTTGAAAAAAAATGAAAAAGTCCACAAAAACTTTAGACATAATTGCGTATGATAGGACTACCGTACCAATAATCTTCTGATTATGTTTATCAATATCTCTGAAAGTTTCACCTCGATCCATACGTTTTCGATCAAGTTATGCCCAAAAAACCAAAAGTTTCCAACCTTTTGAGCGGTACTGTAGAACAGGGAGTACCGTGATTGGCCTGTAGTTCTCCAGGGAGTATCTATCACCTTTCTTGATGATGATAGTTGTCTCTGACTTGGTCCACAGTCTCGGTATTGATCCAGTTTCTAGGTAGCGGTTAAATCGGTCCGTTATCAGCGCGATAGTGTTTTCGTGGCAGCATTTGAGGAAGTCTGCGCTTATTTTATCACTACCAGCTGATTTCCCATTTGGGAAGGACCGAAGTGCCGAAACGATCTCCTCTCGTAGAAATGGAAGGGGCCTATCCTTGACTTGCGTTGTCGTAGGCGTAGGCGCTTGTGGGTCTCTACTCGCAAAGAGCTTCGTGTAGAACGATTCCACTTCCTTCTCCATTTCTGTTCTAGAGGTGAGAGTTCTGCCTGTAGTAGAGCATTTGAGGCATGGAATCAGTGATTTGTATTCGTTCATGTCTCGAGCTACTCTCTTCAAGCTTTTGCGTTGATCGGCTGCTCCTAGTAACCGGGAATTGGTGAACTCCTTGTGATCTCGTTCGATTGCTTCTCGGCACTGTTTTGAGAGGTTCTTGAAATTGGGATCGGACCTGCTCATGTTTCGTCTGCGCGAGAGCAATTGTTGTGTTTCGACAGAGATCCTATTGGTCCGGTGGTTTGATGGTTTAACAATGGTTTGGTCTTGTAGTTTCCTGAGTAGCGTTGTTAGATTAGAGTAATCTTCGTCAACGCTGTTGGCTACTGGAAGACTAACAATCGAGCTTATTGTTTTAGCCATCTCCGGGTCCAATACTTTCTTCGGCGCCTTTCTCTTTCTGCTTTTATCGTACTTCAGCCAATTTATGTTGAAGTGGATGTTCGCACGGAGAAGGCGGTGGTCGCTTCCTACTGTGAATGATGGTAGCACCGAAGTATCTGTTACAGACCTCCCGTTGGCGAGGATGTGATCGATTTCGTGCTTGAAGAGGCCATCTGGACTTATGAAAGTCCAACGCTTATGGGCTGGCTTTTGGAAAAGCGAGTTTGTGTGCCATAAACGGTTTGTTTCACAGAAGGTCGCGAGGAGTTCACCAGCGTCATTGCGCGGTTCCATCGAATTGACTCCGATGAACCGCTCATTCTCATTACTTCTGGCCCCTACGCGTGCGTTGAAGTCACCGATGACTAGCTTGTAGTCGCTCCTACAAGAACGGTAAGCTTCTTCCACAGCGTCATAGATTGTTCAATTTCTTCAGGATCGGCGTCGGCGGTTGGGGCATAAACTTGCATGACTGTGCATTTAAGCTTATTTCCAACCTTGAATGTTAGCATGCCGATCCTGTGGCTAAGAAATCTTACTTGTTCTATACGGGGAGCGAGGGTGCTATTAACTACGAAGCCGACCCCTCCAACAACAGAAGTTTCATGACGTTTGCCTAGGAAAATCGCTGTCCCATCAACGTGTTTCATATGTTCTTCAGTTGGCCTTTTCGTCTCGCTGAGTCCAATGATATCGAATTTGATTCGATTGAGTTCATTGAGGAGCTCAGAGAGTCTGATTTCTGTAGCGAGCGATCTACAGTTGAAAGTACCAATTCTGAAGTGAACTTTTCCTGTTTTTGGGGGCGATTTTCCATTAACCGAGACCAGACAGTTGCCATCAGGCCTGGGTTGCTCCCGTTCTGCTTGTCCTGTAACTGTCAATCCAGGGGCAGAGCTCGGGTCCGGGACATTTCTTCGCTTTATACTGTTTTTAGCGGACTGGGTCCCTGTTTACTTCTTCCGGCTTGCTAGGCCGAATCGAAGCCGCCCGGATGAGGAGTATTCGACTCTACCCTCGGCCTGCGTGGGACAGTGTACTGATTAGCCTGAGCATGTTCCACTGGGGTGACGAAATCCCCAGTTATGTAGAGGAGCATGAACAGTTTATCTTCTTCGCCACGAAGAGGCTCAGTAACAGAAGAAGAAAAAAAATTGAAATTGTGAATATGATTGACTCATCCCATAGAACCTCTTCAAAAGAGAACAGAACCAAAAAGGAGAGAAGAACGAAGAATCTCATTCCAATTATAAATTGAAGACAACTGATCACTGGTGAAATAATTAATTAGAAGTAGATTCACACGTATATTTTTCATAATGTCATTTTCCTGCGAGATTTGTATTTTTTAATCATTTCTATTTTTACGGGAAATCGTTGGCATTTTATTCATATTCAATTTTGACAATTTAATAATCGGAAAACATATTATAAAAATAACGGCTAACTACTGAAGTCGTCAGAGATGTAGCTATAAAATCAATTTATTTAATAAAGTTTTTCGATAGAATTCGGTCGATCGATAATGAATTGACACATGTATCCTACTTTCACCATCGCGCTGTATTAAATGTGATCATTTTTTAAATTTAAACCAATTGAAAACGAACTGTACATTCCTCAAAAGTTTGTTTTTTTGTGAGGACGATGAGTTGTCCTGGCGGACCAGGGGAATAATGGTGATTCCATAAAGACCAATAGAAATCATAAGTTGGGTTGTTGACAGCCCAAGTATTGTAGTAAAATAGATTATCACTCATCATAAAGACATCAAGGTAGTAGTTCCAACCGTCTTTGGCGATCGCTGAAAATGAATATCTTAATCTTTGGACATATTCACAATTTTTGTTCTTTTCGTAGTTGCAATGAATTGTAGTCGACATTCTTACCGCCTAATAGTTTAAATTCCTCTACACTTTCAGGCTCACTTATCATTCCAGGTAAATTCGAGCAGTGCTTACAGATACTTTTTCCTATACGTCTTTCACATGCTGATATCGATACAGACCATGGATAAAGGGCTTCAAGGCCTATAAAGTGTGACATTATAATATTTTATGTGTGGTAAATGACCTTATGACATTTCATGTAAAATTTGATTGATTTTTTAAAGGACCATCGAGGAATTCAGCCCCCGCGCGATTTATATATCCGGAAAGGCGTCGTCTACTGCTGGATTGACGGCCGCTGTTGTGAAAGACGAAGAGTCTTTCGAATTTGTCATTGAAGCTGGAACGTTGATGCTTGCGGATAATGGAGTTTGCTGTATTGACGAGTTTGACAATATGGATCAGAAGGATCAGGTGGCTATTCATGAGGCTATGGAGCAGCAAGCGATCTCGATCACAAAGGTTTGACTAGTATTTATTTAATTTTTCATTCGGGCAATATTCAGACCGGTGTGAAAGCGACGCTTAATGCTCGTGCTTCGATTCTTGCCGCTGCGAATCCGGTCGGTGGAAGGTACGATCGATCGAAACCGCTCAAATACAATGTGCAGATGTCGGCGCCGATTATGTCGCGTTTCGATTTGTTCTTTGTGCTTGTCGATGAGTGCAATGAGGCCACCGATTATGCGATCGCGCGGAGAATTCTTGATAATCATCAAGCGATTAATGAGCACGTGCCGCGGGCGACGCCCTACAAAATTGACGATATCAAGAAGTATATCGCTTTTGCGAGATGCTTCAAGCCAAAGGTTCGGATTTTCGTTTTTTTACATTAAAATTAAAAAGTTGAGTTTTTTAGGGTTCTCGAAGTCGAACAAGGAGATGACCCGACACTTTGTGTGCATCCAGACTACGCCGTGACTGACGAATGAATAACAACATTAATTTTTTTTCTCTAAAAAGAATCGTATCTAACCTACTGATCTCTTTTACTCGGTTATCGATTGCACTTTTTGATACATTCTTTTATTTTGTTATGTTTTTGCAATTGGTATTTTGTATAAATTAATCAGCGTTTATAGTGATTTTGGTTTTTTTTACTATGTACGAAAAGTTCTATAACACTTGATATTTATGCTTCCTATCTTTTTCATTGATGATAGTCTTGAATGTCTTGTCGGTTTCAAATGGCCGATCGTTGGCGGAAAATTCAATTTCGCGGCCAATTATTAAATGCGCGTACGGTAAAATGCCGTGTACGCAAACACGCGCACAACCAAAATGCCCTGCGCAGATTAGAAATCGTTGATTTTTTGTATGTATTTTGATATCCAATTGTCAATATCGATTGATGTTTTGATGTCTGCGTCTTTTGCAAATTCAGTTCTCAACAATAATCGTCGTCGGCGTTTGTGTGCATTTTGATGATTTGTTTTCGCGTCCTTCGTAATTTCTTGCTCAATTTCCGTTTAGGAAACATTCTTGAATGACTTAAATCGTTTTATTTATTGTATTTAATGCCGTTTTCTTCTTACAATAATTTTTCTTTTTCAGGTAGTGCCTCTACAAGTTTTCCGTGGCGACGGCACTGATGGTCCCATGTGGAGTGTCGAAGGTTTGTTATTATTTCAAAATGTAGACAATAAATTGATTTTTTTTAGAACTTTTGAAACAATATTAAACCAAATCGTCATGGGTTGTAGACGCAAAAACTCTGAAGGTGAGATAATAAAAATTTAAGCATTTTTTGAATAGCTGGCAATTTCAGAGTTTTATTTGCACCGGCACGAAGCGGTTTGATCGGTAGCACATCATTTGGCTCCTCGGATTTCCCTGGTCGTGTCCGAATCTCTTTGCTTTTTCCCGAGTCAAAATCCAAGAAAAACGTGATGCACAAAACAGCTGAAGAAAATGACCCCGTAATTTTTGACCATTTTTGCTCTTTTTGAATTTTGTTCGATTTTGCCTAACGATGACATTCGCTACGGGAATCGTTTTATTTCGAATGATTCTAGTTTTGAGTAATTAAAGTAATTAGGGATAACATTTAGGAAATAAATGGTGGGATTTTAAAGGGGTTTCGGTTTTGGCAAATTTTAAAATAAAATGCTTCAGGTAAAAATAGTTCGAGGGTTTATTAGAATTGGGTTCTTCGATTGAGATCTAATGGTCATTCTTAGAGGGGAAAAAGCAATAAGGACTGAGGAAATGATTGGTAGGATTATCATCAGGGTTGTGCTAGCTTACCGGTTCTTATTTTGTGTCGGGGGTTATATTAATAATTTAGGGGGCAGTAAAATAAAAAAATATTTTTTTTTCTTTTTTCTTTCGATCTGCAATGAAATTTTGTCAATTTTTTCTTTTTTAATTTTCTACGCATTACCGTTTAAGCTGCTTGATAATTTAGGGTAATTATAAGAGTGGAGTTTTCTTAAAATAATTTTAAAGGTGTATTTTTTGTTTTACTGGAGTTCTAATCAGCAAATTTTACAATTCAAAAAATCACTATAAATAATTCATTTAGGACATTACAATGGTAAAAAAAATACTTTTTCAACCAAATTGCGCGTTTTAATAAATCTGGTTAATTTTTCTAATTGATTGGATGATTTAGGTGTTTAATTGCGGTTTAATATTAGGATATTTTTAGAATTAAGGTTTTGAGCTTTTTTGAGTCTTGAGAAAAGCGGGTATTTAGAATTTCGATGGTTTTCGGGCTATTGCGATCGGAGATTCTCTTAAATTTTAATTAAAAATAATCGACTTTCCATCTAATTCTTATTGAAATATAAAAAAAGACGCAAGAGCCCTAAAAAATAGGAATTTTGATGGGAATCGAGATTTGGAGGTGGGGGAGTACAGGTAATTAATTTATGAGGTTAGGTTTCATTGACAGACAGCCGCCAATCAAATTTGTAAAGAAATTATTCAGCTTATGATATATTTTGTTGGTAAAATTGACCAAAAACGGTGAATTTTTGAACCCCGCCCAATTTTGTTTAATTTTAAACGATTTTATGCATTTTCTTTCAAATATTCATTTAGAAAATTCAGATAAATTTCGCTCAATACGAATCTCAAACAATTTATTTTCAATCCCAAAATTTCCACAGTGATTGACGTGCTTCGATAATTCTTCATAGTTGTCAAATTGAGTCTAGAGTATCTCATTTGTCGGCAATTTATGTAATTTCCACTATTTCAGTCAATTTATTTTCAAATTTTCGTCGATTGAGATGTTCCAGAAGGTCGTTTGTAGGTCAGCGGGTAGTTCGAATTTGTGATGTTGCTGGGTAGATTGTAGATCAAAACTTGTGGTTGCCTGTCACACGCTCATCTGAGAGAACGGGTCTCGTAGCGAAGGTCAAAGAGAAGTTCGTAGTTTGATTTCTTGGTCGAAGGGTTTTAAGCTTGTATTTCAGTTGACGTAATGGTTTGAGACGGATTACTGTAAAGGCCATCACGGCCCACTTACAGTATTCCTGATCAGTCCGTAAAATTGCGTCGACTGTTGTGCAATTCTTATTGACACCCGGCTGAGAGGTCATAAAAACTACGAATTTCCATTTTTGGCAAAATCGAACAAAATTCAAATTGCCCAAAAATGGTCAAAAATAGGGCGATTTTTCTGCTGTTTTGTGCATTACGTATTTTTTGCGATTTTGGCTCGGGAAACGAGGGGTGGAGGAGACGACGAAAAAATCCGAGGAGCCGCTAAGTGGGAGAGACGGTCATTTCGCAAATTTTCGAAATAAAAGTAATCAGATCCCCTTTGATTCTTTCTTCAAATGCGCGGCCTCTACCCATCTTTAGCCCCAACTCCGCCCTGCCAACCCCCCTTTCATTTCCGCATTCTGTGTTTTCCCTTGTGCTCCCCGATTCTCCATGACTTGGGCGACGAACTTGCCCAACTCCACTCATAAGGGAGGTCATTTTTGGTGTCTTTGGCGATTTTTCTCTAAATTCTCTCTTATAATAATCTACGAAATATTTTCTATCGACTGGTGTTATCCGCTACATTTTTATGAGGTTTCGACTCCTCTCAACTTCAATTTTTTGCTATCATTAATTTTTTTTACTTTTATTGTGAAACTCAAAAATTGAAAAAAATTAGAATTCCTAAAATAAAATTTCAAGTCACAGAGCTATTTCTGACAAAGTATTGTTATTGTTAAAAGTCGTTTTAGCCCATTTTTGTAGCCCACTATTCATATTTGTATTAATGAAACTAGACAATGAATAAATTTTTGTTTCTCTGTTTACTACAATTGTTCTAATAGAGTATGCACAAAAGTACAGATTTGAAATCACTCAATTACTAAGGTCAATAATTAGGTTTTACGATGAAATGTCAAAACTTCGAAATTTTGGGAATTTAAATTATTATCAATTTTTTGACTAATTGATGGATTTTCAGCAAAAAGATTAAAATGTAGAGCTCTATTGAATGAATAATGATAGCAAAAAATTGAAGTTGGGAGGGGCCGAACCCGCATAAAATGTAGCGGATAAAACCAGTCGATAGAAAATTTTTCGTAGATTATTATAAGAGAAAATTTAGAGAAAAATCGCCAATGACAGCCAAAATGACCTCCTTATGAAGCCCCTTCCATTTCACGACCATTTTCTAAAATTTTCCTTCATTTTGTTGTTGACTTTTTACAATAAATAGCTTTGATTTACTGACATCCTGGAAACTAACTTTTTTGGAAAAATTTCCGACTTCAAAACAAAAAGCTTTGAGATCAAAAATCGGATTACTGTGGATGTCGCAAGAGGTCTTGAACAGAAACATGTCCAAGATTTTCAATTTTGCAAAATTTGCAACCATTAGCACAAACCTATAGTAATCCAATTTGATCTCTCCACTTCAAGTATACCATTCTACAAGCTATCCCATCAATAATTAATAATTAATTTGCTAATTACTGATTAGTTAGTGAACAAAACACACCGAGATTCTAGAGGTTGAATTATTTTTTAAGCTCAAACTAGAAACTACCAAAATTAGTCTCAAATTTAGCTTGAATTACATAATTTGTGATTAACATAACAATTCTTTATCTAAACGACAAAAACAACGAAACGTTCTGAAATTCGAAAATTTCGCTGAAACTCAATTATCAAAATTAGTATAAGCCAAATTTTACCTTAATTAAGCATAATTGAAGCAATTTTGAGTATAAAATAGTCGAAAATCTTGTAAAAAAAAATTCGACAAAAATGCGAAAAATTATTCAATTGATTTAGAAGATTTAAAATATGTTGACTTTTTTAAAGCATTTTTTAAAAGTGGTTGCAAATTTCTTTTTTTCGAAATATTCGTCAAGATTTTTTTCTTACAATCGAAAGCCGAAATTTCATTTAAAAACTGCGCAGTTCGCATTAAAAAAAACATGAAAAAATTCGAGAATGCTTTGAAAATCCGACGTCAGTTTCGATAAATCCAGACGATTTATTGCAAAACTTCAACAAAAATCGAAAAATGAGCAGAAAATTCGCAAATTGGTCGCTAAAGGAAGCAACATTTGGGAGAGTTGGGCAATTCCGTCGACACGCGTGAAATATTCCTCGACAAATTAAATAATTAACTAATTAATTATTGAAACTGTTAATCTATATGAAAATGGGTTAAAATTCTTAAAAAAATTTCTTTTAATCATAATCTAAAAATTCGTAATAAGAGCTTAAAATAATAGCGAAATTTAATAGAAATCGCAACAGATCAAACCTAGCAATTAAGAAGCTAATTAAAAATTCTAATAAATACCACAAAGTTGCTGAAATCCATTTGTTGAAGATGTCGTTGTCGAGAATTCGAAATCGATCGGCCTCAAGTGTGCCCATTGCATTGGATTGTTCGAATCAACATTTTGTCCGCAGCACTCTCTCATTCCTAGAGTTGCCCTAATTCCTAATAAGGAATATTTCACGCTAGCCATGGCGAATCTAGGAGCACACAGGGAAACGCAGAATTCGGAAATAAAAGCGGAACACAGCAGAACGAAATCGGGACTTACCGGGTAGACGCGCAAGCGGCTTTCAGACGACGTCGAAGACGATGGAAGTTGAACGACGGCAACAGAAAATGAAAATCGAGTTGACGTCGACGTCGCAGAATCTTCCTCTTTCGTTCGTTCGCCCTGAAAACCCGGAAATCGATGTCGACAAAAAATAAACGGCGCGAAACGAGCAAAAACCAACGCGGAGGACAACGATAATAATGAATGGCGTGTTTTGAGAGACGCGGAGAGAAAAAACGATGATCAACATAGAAACAATGTATTGATTGATTGAGATGAGATTTGAAATCGGCGGCTACATTGTAGTGTCTTGCTTTCGCTAAATTGGCGACTTCATTTTTAAACTCGATAGATCAAAATATATTTTAAAACTTGAAATTTAAACAAATATTTTGAAATTAATGGTCCCATTCATGCAATAAAAATGTTTTAAAAAATTACACATTTTCCAACGCGGGTTTTGTAAAAAAATTCAAATTGGTCTTTAAATTTGCTTTTCTCAATCCAATTTCAGTTATTTTTAATTTGAATTAGCTTTTTTTAAATTGAGTTTCTGCTTCATCTTACAAATTTTTTTTGACAATTTGTTACCAAAAAATAAGAATTGTCAATTTTACGATTGGCAATTAAGTCTCAAATTTCTGTTGCATAAAACATTCTTCAAAATGAAACGATTCTCTGGTAACTCAAAACCAATCGGATCCGACAAAATTCGGCCCCGGATTCAACCTTATCCGATTGGTTTTTTGGGTATTTTCGGATCCGATTGGTCTCGCACCGAAACTTTCTTAAACAAATTTACGTTTTCTAACTGTAATACGTAATATCAGAATTTCATAAAAAAATAAATTAAAGTATCTTGGATGTTACAAACGGAAAACTTTAAAAGCGGATTTCAGATGGAGTCGATGCAGGATGCCGGCGAAGACGGTTGAAGTTGAACGACGACAAAAGATGAAAAAGAAGTTGCAGAATGATCTTCTTTGTTCGTCGTCACTTCGCCCTGAAAATAATTGGTATTTTAAGAGAGGAAGAGAGAAAAACGATTATCAAAGTGGAAAAATGCATTGAGATGAGAATGTTGCACAACCGGCGCCTTTCTTTTTCAATCTTGCTGGATCAAGAAATATTTTAAAACACAAATCATACTTATTCATTTATTAAAAATTCGAATTCCAACAATACACTCTCCCGGGAAAGTCGTGCACAGACATTCAGCTAACTTTTTGAAAATTACGCAAACTATGCTAAAGGTGCGCAAACTTTTCACGATCTTCCGGAGGTAATCGTACCTTGTACATTCCGGACGGGACTCAAAGAAAGAAAAGAGATTATTGTTCAGTCTTGGCGGATTCGCCTATCAATCATTTTGATCTGAAAGCCGAAAAATAGTGCTTGAAAAACAGCGAGAAACGAGCAAAAACACGGGGTAATGAAAAAAATATGAGTGAAGTCTCTTAACAAGAGACAAAAATCAAATCGATGATAAAATTAGAAAAAAAGTAGTCAAAAAAAATTACTATGATTAATTATTTATTATCGATATTCAACAGAAAATAATTCGCTTCATTGTAGTCTTGTTTATTCGCAGAACTGGCGTCTTTTATTACTAATAAAACACGATAGATCAAGAAATTGACGAAAAATACATAAATTTTCCGTCCACATTCGATCTATTGTGCATTTTTTGTATTTTTAACAGCAAATATTTACTTATCTATTAATTTTCCATTTATAAATTTGAGTTGGGAATCATTGTGAAGATTTTTCCGCTCTAAAAATTATTTTGTAAATGAAGAATAAAAAACGAAATAATAGAAACGAGTATTAAGTGCAAAACACGAACAATTGATTTTATTAACGACAAAAAATGTTATTTTTTTAAATAAATGTTATTTTTACCAAAAAATATCGATAAATATTGTTTAAAAATGCATATTCTGAAAAATAAATAATTAAAATCGGTTTCTACAAATTTTAAATAAAAAAATTCAAAAGAAAATTGAAAAATTTAGCGAAAAAAAAGAATATATTTACGAAATTTAAAAAAGTCCCCGTAAATCGGTTCGATGATTACGGTAACTGCCTCTTAGTATTGCGTACAAAACGCAGGATCCTACGACACCTGGGTACATTTGTCATTTTTCAACAATAACATAAAATATGGGAAAAATTATTTTTTAGGGGTTCCCAACACATAAAAATTTAATTGCGTTTCGCGGTCGAATGTAGACAACCATTTAATGGAGACATGACTACAAAATTCAGCTTTCTTATTTTTTTCTATTTTTGTCTTTCTCTTAGCTTTTATTTCGTTTACGTATATTATGATTTACGCTTAATAGTCAAAACAGAAAGGTAATTCTATTTAATAATTAATAGGTGTACACTATAATAAGTGTTAAGATCCTATCTGCTTGGTGTCAAAATAGATGACGGAATAGCTTTCTTGGGGATCCCTTTTGCGAAACCGCCGGTTGCAGAGTTACGATTTCAGAAACCCGAAACTTTAGATTCCAGCAAATACTTCATATACGCTGACAAATATAAGCCGGGTTGTATGGCTTACAAAAGGTAGCTTTAATAAAATTCAATTGTCTTATCTACAAAGAAAACTGATAATATTCAGTTTTTCATTACAAGAAAACCACTGTTATTTTTTATTGAAATCTATTTCAGAAATCCAAAAGATGTTATTTCGGAGGATTGTTTATACTTGAACGTGTTCACAAACCTACAATGCTTGCAGTTTAAAAATTGTTCCGTTCTTTTCCTAATTCACGGTGGTCGCTTCCTGCTAGGATCTGGATCTAATTACAATCCAAAAATTATAATCAAAAATTTTCTCGGTTCTCATCGAAATGTGGTCGTCGTAACAACGAATTATCGATTAGGCGTTTTCGGATTTTTGAATTTTCCAAACGCTGCAAGAAACGTCGCACTTCACGGTTTTTGGTTGCATGAAATGTTTTATATAGATATTCTAATTTTTAAAGACGTATTAATGGCTTTGAAATGGACCAATGCAGAAATCGCGAATTTCGGAGGTCTGCCAAATAAAACTACTATTATGGGGCATAGTGCTGGTGGTTTATTGGTATCCTATGTACGTTCAGCTGATTTAAGCTTTTAGAATAATGTATAGTTTCAGATTTCCTTGATTCCTGAAGCACAAAAATATTATCAGCAGCAAATTATTATGAGTCCCCCATTAAATGGTTTTTCTAGAGGTAACTGATATTGAATATGTTTAAATAAACCAAAAATACAGATATGAACTCAAAAGCTTCAAAACATATAGCGACAAAATTGGGATGCTCGAATATTACGTGTCTGCAGAAAATTAAAGGAATTGAGCTATTAAACGCTCAAATTGACACACTTCGCGATACCCCTATGATGATTTTAGGACCATGGTTAGATGATGACCTTCTCATTGCTAGTCCCGAAAATTTACGGAAAATGTCTAAAACCCTACCTAAAACTACAATGATAGGTTCGGTTGCTGCCGAGCTGCGAGATCCTACTTTTACTCATTATCCAAATGGCTCATCGATTATCGAAAGGCTGCGAGAGTGCTGCTATTACATTGCATTTACGGCAAAATATCAAAGGCCGATGAAATTTGTAGAATCTTGCATACAGCATTATTCCAAATGTATGTAATATCAGATTTTCGGTTTAAACGGACAACATAATTTTCAGTAAACCATGATCACTTTGTATTTGATGATTACATGTTTCACGTTCCAATTTTGAAAATGGCTGACGATTATTCAAAATTTGGAACAGTTTATCTTTATAGGTATAATTATATGTATGATTTTTCTTTCTCCGACCTTCTGCGGAAATTCTGTTGCATGGAAAACTTTAATCGAACATATATTCGGCGTCCGGCGATTGTTGTACGCGGGTAGATTTACGGGGATGCTTCTTTCCCTTGGTCTCGCGCGGACTTACAGATTATTTTGCATTTTCTGGGTCTGTTCGATAATTTTTAAATCGAAGGACGTTCGAAATTCTAATAAATGCCAAACTCATCAAGAAAAAATAAATTATTATTCACGTGAAAACAGCAAAATAAGCGTTCACACGTGGCGAGACATTTTCAAGGCGCATGCGCGTAAATCTACCCATGTACAGCAGTCACCAATCACCGACTATACGAAGTACATAATTTCTAAATTCAGTTATTCTTATAAAAATGCCGGAAACGCGTTTGATCACTATATTAATGCATCAGCCAACCCCATACATGCAGAAGAATTAGTAAGACATGTATTTTAAATATATAATGTGAATTATTAAGACGTATGTGACAGGAGAGCATCGAGGACCAGAATTTCACTCAAAAGATGGTATAATTGAAGAAATATTTTCGAAGATTTTTGTCGATTTTGTGAATGAAGGAAAACCAATAAGTTCAAAATGGGATCCATACGTGAAAGAAATTAAAAATTATTTTAAAATTGGTATGAAACATTGTGACACGATTTAATAAATTTTAATTTTTAGATTTTGATGAAAATTATCGAATGCCCGGTATGCGAGATCGCTATTATAGGGATGCCGACGAATTTTGGAATAAAATAGCTGTTCGGTAACAAACGGAAGACTTTTGACCCTTAAAATTCCTATTAAGATTGGGTGGTGATAAATTAGAATTGACGGAATATCCGAAGAGCTGGGATGCTGTTTCTCCTTTTATTCTTGAAAAAACGTTAAGTAAGATTACCAAAAACTTCAATAATTGAATATATGTATGCATTTCTGTATTTATTTAGTGAGTAAATGGGCAAACCGTTCTGAAGATGGATTGAAATCTAGTGCAGCAGCTCTTCAAACTGTCAGAGAACTGGAGATGTTTCTATAGTGATTACATATATCTAAATATGTTTACTACTAGTTGACAATTCTTAATAAACGTGTAATATGAACCTTGATATATTGCGCTATTTAAACATTTCATTATCAACATTTTGTTTTGCTCATAAGTTTGAACTAAGCGGGGATGTGAAATTGTGAAAAGTATGAAATCAGAGTGGCATACACAATTATTCATCTTAGTTGAGCCTCCTGATTAAAAAAAAAACAAAACAAATCCCGAACAGTCAGAAATAAAAAAAAACAAAAACACGCAAAATGCACAAATTTTAAATGTTAAAAACACAAAAAAACGCGGCCATATAACCTCGGCCATTACTGTTCGGCTATGTTTCTGTAGAGGAACGAAATCAGATGTTCCTGTGGCAGGCTCTTCTAAAATATGTTTGAGGCTCAACTAAACTAAGCAACTGTGTTAATACGTTTTATTTTATTTCCTAATTACTTGAGTGATATTGCTCACCACACCGAGTCATGAATTTTTCTCTCACTACAAGTTCATATTATGATCATTTCATCGAATTCTTTTGTTCTTCTATTCCCTCGAATCGCATCATTTTCCGGCCCAATTAAAATATACCCATCTTTCCCATTTTTATTTACTCTATTTTGAAGAATGCATTGCTCATTTTTCATCTTTTTTCCTTACTAATCATGACTGGTGAGATAGTACGTGTTTTTTCTTTGTATTCGAATTATCATTGCACAAAATAAATACAGAATAAATTAATAAAACAATAATTACAACTCTCATAATAACATCAACGATTTAGTTGGCGTCTTTTAGTTATTAGTTGGCTTCTGCGTTGGTTCATTATACATGTGTTGTTGGTGCTTGTTTCGGATTAGACCTGAAACCAATTTATTATTCGTCATAAAACAACGATCGAGGGTTTCAATATTGCCTATTTTATATCTTCTATTCTTTTTCTTATTATAATTTTGTATTTCATTAAGAATAAGTCAGGTACTTTTAATTAGCGTGAACATAAATGATTTTCTTCATTAGATTGTATGTTCGAACAAAGCTTACCTAATCCCACGTCAAAGAGGAGTCAGCAATGAAAATTGGAATTCCGAAACATTTTATTCAAATGTATTCACCATTTTGCACGAGAAAAGTTACAAGTATTCTAGTGAGCTAATAATATTATAACATGCAATTGGCTCTGGTGATTCTGTTGTGTTGCTCATAAAGTGTCAATTATTCATAAAGTAACATAAGAAACATTTTTTATTGCTTTATGAATAGGATTGACTCGATTAACATTTCTGTTTTAATAATGTTATCCAACATGGTTCATTTAGGATGAAACTTTTAATATTAAAAAGGTAGGAAAAAATTATTCATAAAATTAAATACTTTTTCTTTTTTCAAATTTATTAAATTTTAAATGAGATCATAAATTCAATAAAAGAGCTTCTTACCTATCTACTTGCCTTAGTAGAATATTCATGAGCTAATATCGTCATTCACATCCGTCAGATAAAATAACGCTATAGAAGTTTCTCACCTCCTGAAAAATTACTAACAAAATATACAAAATTTTTACATTATTTTCAAACCAAAACTTTGATTTCTTTCTTCAACATTTAAAAAAGATCCCAAAAGTGACGTTTTCTTTTTTAGTTTGTTCCGAATAATTAATGAAGCTCTCTTCTAAACGTGACAGACAATTGTGAAAATTGTTCCTAATAAGACACACCAATGAGAAGTCGAGAACTCAAAATCACCCGTTGTTCTCACATTTATGTAATTTCGCTTCTCTCTTGTCGAGAGATTAAAATAATGAAATTTGGACAACATTGAACCCATCTAATTCCTCCGAATTTAGTGAAAAACGCTCTTCTTTGGAAAATTGTCTTCATATTGTACACGCCTAGTCATTAAACCACACACACTGAATATAACTCTTATATCATAAATCTTTAAGCCCCTGCAATTTTCAGACTGAAAACAAATACCGCAAAAGTTTTCTCTTGACATCCGTTCGAAATTTTTTGCTATATTAAATTCCTCGCGCTTGTGGTGGGAATCATGAAAAACTTTTGTTTTTTTTGTGTTCAACTCAACACAAAATTTCAATTCTTCGTTCTGCTCGTGCCCATTACAAACGGAACATAAAAATTATGGCAGCAACTAGGTAAAAACACGCAAAAATTACATATTTTCTGCAAAATAGTCGAAACAATCGTACACAAAGCGTTATATGAAACCACTATGGTTAAGAAAACAAAAAAGAAAACATTTATTCGTCATATCGTTTCTCAAAACATCATTCTGCTCAAACCCCATGCCAGAAATCCTTCATACTCATTTATTAAATCTTTCAGAAAGCATAATATTTGCTAAGTGCCAAGAACAAATAAACGTCCCTTTCTCAAAGAAGAAAATGAAGAATACGTGTCAATCAACTCAGAAAAATCATTTAAGGCACATTTTTGTTCGTCATCAACCACGATAAACCCCTTCCCGCTTTCCACACTTCATGCTCGTTTCCTTCTCATTTGCATTCTAATTAATTCAGAGATTTTATTATGTGTAGAAAAAACGAAGGTACCGTAGTCGTTGCTGACGGATTGCATTCCTCTCGCGACGCTCGCGACACGCCCACTCGCTCTTTATATTTTAACTATAACGTTTCGATTCTGACGTTTGATTTCAGGTTTCAAGGCGACGCATCTAAAATCAGAGTATGAGTAATGAATCGATTGACAGTAATGATATGTTTAATTCGCAGATGTTTTTTGATATGGTTCGTTTTTTTTACACTGCCTTATTTATTCCTTTAGTGTCAGACGAGTTATATTTGCGCTTCGTTTTTCTTAACTAGAAAATATTACCATAAAATGTAATATTAATTATCTATAAGTTTAAAAGATATATATCACTCCTTCCAACATTTCTAACTATCAAATTTTCAGAAAAATTACAACATTGTTACTGATGTACTACCACCACCAAACCATGAAGATCTACATGTTATGATAATGGCAGTATCCTATTTATTACTATTTTTATTAGGTTCTCCATTTTCGACTTCAAAATTACTAAAATGTTTTAAAGGTACATGTGGAAATGTCGCCGTTCTAACAACGATTTATCACGTTGTGCGATCATCTAGAGCTACTCTTGACAACACTCTAATATACGTCATAGTGCTCTCTTGCGTTGATTTCGGCGTTTGTCTTTCATTGCCGATTACCGTAATTGACCAGGCAAGATTTTCAAGATCTTAAATCCGTTTTTGGGCATATATTCATTTGTACATATGATTTAGTAAAAAAAAGAAATAATTATTTGTATTACTGCTTATAGATTCTCGGATTTTGGATGTTTGGCAGCATTCCATGCAAACTTCACGCTGTTTTCGAAAATTTCGGGAAAATTCTGTCAGCTCTTATTCTAACCGCTATGTCATTTGATCGATATGCTGGTAGGAAATTGAAATAAGAATCTAAAACTTTAAACTAACGTTCAGGTGTCTGTCACCCACAAAAAAAGTTTTTGAGATCTCGGAAGTTGGCTATAACAATTCTATTAGGTTTATTCTTATTGATGAAAGTGTGGAATAGTAAAAACCTTCAAAATTGCAGGTTTAGCAGTGTATGCTTTTATATCTCTGTGCCCATTATTGTGGTCGTTTTCTGCTAGAGAGATTATTTTATATGCGAGAGAAACCGGTAAGCAAGTGTGTATGCAAATTAGGAAAAATTCGAATATCTTTAGGGCCGGGGCATCTAACCAGAATGCGAATTGAAAAATGTACTATAGATATTCAATCTCATGTATTTACTGCTTTCACGATTTACCAGTTTGTATTCTGCTACTGCACACCTTTAGTTTTAATCGCCTACTTTTATATCAAATTATTGAGCAAACTTCGAGAGCACACTAGAACATTTAAGGTATGCGATGTTCAAAAAGCACAGATTTATTAAATATTTAGAGCTCACAAATTCCGTTTCTTCACATATCTCTCTACACCTTAGCCGTTGCTTGCTTCTACTTTCTCTGTTGGACTCCGTTTTGGATGGCTACAGTTTTTGCAGTTTATCTTGAAAACTCAGCGAATCCTGATAGCGTTCCTCCAGTTTTCGTATATATTATGTACTTTATTCATGCTCTACCGTTTACAAATTCTGCTATAAATTGGATTCTTTACGGTAAGAAAGTATCTTAGGAAAATTTAATACCACAAAAATCAAGGGGCCCTAAATAGCCAACTGCAACAACGATGCCGGAATTCCAATCGATGCTCATCGACCAAAGTTACGAACAATGCCTCCTCAGTATGCCATCCTGTTAATAAGAATAACCCGCTCGTACCGCTAGCAAGTTGTCAAGTAATTAAAAAAAGGGTCATTAGGAATAACTACACTCTGCAGATCAACGAATCAATTGCTAGTTTAGCGTGCGCAACTGCAAATACAAATGATATATTGCTCGTGAATTCATCAAACGATGAAGAAGTCGATACAATTAACGTGCGTCTACTCCATTCTCATAATCCTACGTTTTTGTAATTTTTCCATTTTCGGGTACTTCAATAAAGAATGCATTCGCGCATGAATCGCAATCGTCGAAATGCAATTTCGTATCATTCGTATCAAAAAATGTAGTGTATTCTTTTTTGAATAGAATCATTTTTAAATCATAGTTACTGTCGGAGTCGCGCGACTGCGGAAAAATTCCAAATAAAAGAAATGGAAGTGTTTTCCTTTCTTTTCGGAAAATTATGTGAATATTTACGGGCCTAACAATAAGTATAAAAATAGGTAACGGTGCACCGAGACCTGTTTTTAAATATTTTGCAAAAATATTAAAAAATTTTCAGAAATCATATACACTCTTCAGCGATCTGGATGGTGTATGCTTTATTAAACTAAGATATGTTCAGAAAAAACGGATTGAAACAGTAACTAACAGAATTATTCGTGAAGGGTGTGGGGTACATGTGTCAAATTCAATTCATATTAAAAGGGAATTTTAGGGAGCCGAACAATGACTCAAACAAGAGGCTGTAGAATTGTTTGTTGGAAAATTTGAGAATTGACTTATGAAGTCTTTAAACATACTTTTTAAAAATGGTCATGATTATTACATAGAAAACAATGAGACAGGGAGAAACAGAGATCCACATATGAAAAAGTCGAATCGATAAGAAAATGGAAATTTTGAACAATTTTGGAAATTTTAATTCTTGGCAAGGATTAGGACTATTAAAATTATAAGAGATTCAAAAAGCAATTTGGTGAGAACGGCTAGGGGCAAGCATTTGTGAAATGATTAAACAGAATGTGTTATGCTGACGGAAACGGGCGTAATTACTGAAAAAAAGTATATTGTTTGAATCGAAAGTTTTCTAAACTCACATTTCCAAATGGACGTGAAGCAATATTTTGTTTAGCGAGTCTCGTCTTAATACGAACTCGTTTGCATGGCTTTTCCTCTTCTTCCATCTCATCATCGGTATCTTCATCATCTCTCACTGGTGGAAGTTCTCGATTGTAGTAAAAATGATCATCACCTCGAGGGCCACCGCCGTTTGGAGGCATTCCCGAAGATCCAGATGCGCCGGAAGTGGAAGACGAAGGTGAGAACATGGGCTCTTCATTGGTATATTCTGGCATCGAATAGGAAAACATCTCGTCTTCGGTGTCATCATTTAATACATTATCCTCAGCTGAAGAATGAGCCATATTCTGAATTGTAGGAATCGGCTCTTCGTCATAGGCTGGAGCCAAATCAGCAAGCGTTATATGCATATCCTCAAAATCGCTTTCGTCTTCCACAACACGAGCATTAAGGCGAGCCTCAACATATTGAAACAACACGTCATCTTCGGCTATATCCACTGTTAATTCGTCTAAGATGGAGAGATTATTCGTTGAACGAGGAGGAGGTGGGGGAGGAGGAACAGGGCCGCCTAAAATCACCATTCCAAATAGACAAAAATTATTTTATAATACCTTTCTGTGGAAAAGTTCGAGCCATATTATGATAAGCAACACTTCTCATCATTGAAAGACCTTCTCCGTCAATTTCATCAGTTTCATTTATTCTATCAAGACTCGGTGGTCCGTCTTCTGGCGCGTCATTATTCTCGTTAGAACTTAGGCTAGGCGACGATTCCTCGTCGGATGACGAGAAAGCAAGTTCAAGCGATGGGTTGTATGTTTTCTTATGATCTTTTTTATGGACTCGTTTGAATTTCTTTTTCATAAAATCATGAAATTCGACGCCAAAATCCGGAAAATTGTTTCGGAGAATTCGGGCCACCAATTTTGACAAGTCATCTCTAGGTTTTATTTGGATATATCCCTGAAAAATAATAACTCATATATGGAAATTAATTTAAAACAAACCATTTTTGTCCAGTGCGAGCGGAGATCTCTACGAATTTCGTTAAGTCTATCAAGAACTAGTATGGCTGCTTTCCTAGAGGTTACTTCGTTGACGACGATTTCAAGAACTGAATTACATCAATTACTTCAATCATTATTGTAATTTACCTCTTCCGAAAATATGTGGGCAATCTGATAAACGTGCCATTTCCAAAATGTCTTTGATGTTAAAGCTCAAATACCGTTCTGTAATTTCTTTATTTATTTTTAAAAAATATTAGAGGTTTTAAACTTTTTGGTGGTTCTTCTCCGGAAGAAGAACTGACGCTACGAACAGACACGATCTGTCCCGACACATTGCTCGTATTTACTTCAATTCCGCCATTTGTATCTGGACCATTAGGAGGCTCAAAACGATCCTCGGAATGCGGACGCTTAAGACTCTTTTCGGACTCTTTTTTCTTTCTGATTTCCTCTTCTTCTTCATCAGATTTTGTTTCTTTCGCTAGCATTGGCGGTGTGCAGCTCGAATCGGAGAATTCCAAACGAGGAGTGGTTGGGTTTGTGCTTGTCGAAAGTGGTGATTGATCAAGTGTGAATGAATATGCAGATCCATTCGGCGCAAGCGGTCGAATGGTGGAAAGAACAGGGATTTGCGGTGTGAGCACACCAGAACCAAAATACATTGGTTGAGTTTGCAACACATTTTGAGGCGTTTGTGGAATGTTTGGATAACCTTGAAAATTGATCATCCCAGGAAATCCCACAATTCCCAGGTTAGAAGGAATAACCATGTTATAGCCTCCACCACGTCTTTTACAGTTGTTCGTTCCGCAATTTGGGCGGGCTTTCTTAGCGCGTTCGTACTCTTCATCTCCGTGAACTGCTTTAATATGCTTCCGCAAAGACGACGGATCGGTGTAAGACTTCGAGCAATCTGGGATTTGACATGCGTAGGGCTTCTGCAACTTATGAAAAAAATTATTTTTAATAGTTGATATAGGCCTAACCATATTGGAATGAGTTCGATTTTGATGTTTCGCGCGATCGGATGCATTCGAGAATGCTTTTTGGCATTCCGGAAACTCGCATTTATACGGTTTTTCCCCAGTGTGAGTGCGGCGATGTGTTTTCAAATTCTCAAGACGACTGTATTCCTTTCCGCAACCCGGATACTAAATGAACAAATTTTTTTCTTTCAATCAAATACTCTTACATCACACTTGTTCGGTTTTTCACCGGTATGTCGCCGAACATGAACAATGAGCATATACAATGCTTTAAACGTCTCAACACGCTCACATCCCTCCCATTCACAACGCCATGAATGATGAACTTGAGATACTGATTGGACATGCACATCATGAACGTGATCGACAAGAGCTTGAAGCGTCGAAAATTTTAGTCCACAATCTCGCCACTTGCAGGTTACATCGATGAGAGTTTCGACGTCAATATCTTCTCCTCGGTCGGCTTTTTGCTCTTGGCGATTCCTGAAGAAAAAATATTAAAATCGGATCATCTAAAAAATTTTTTACGGAGGTCTCTTAAAAGTGCCTGGAGGACGACCGACACGTTTTCCATTTGCTGTTAGGCGAATGTTTGAGTGCCCGATTGAAGTAGCAACGCGCCCATTCGGAGTCATTTGCTGTGCAAAATTTACCACTGGAACAGTTGAATTCCCCGTCACTGGATTCATCGTGTACTGCACACCTCCTGCGAAATTGGCGGGTGGTGATTGATGCAAGATAGCCGGTGAGATGGGAACAATTCCCGGCGACATAAGGACTGGGGCTGAAAAAAATTTAAATTCAAATTTTCTCATATATGCAGAGACAAAAATTAACTAATGCCGTTTTTCCATACTATTTAAATTTTAGGCTCTAATTATTGTTTTCGGAATAACATCAATAAATTGTATTTATATGGTTTTTTTCCTGCTTGTTCATCTCGGAAATAACGCAGAGGCCTAAAAAACTTGAAATAGATTGTTTATAAAATCTCGACTATAGCAGGAAATTGATCGGAAATGAAGTCGTTCGACTATAATTACTTCAAAAATAGATTTTGAAAATTAATGTAAATTTAATGTTTCAGTTTGATTAACAGAAAAATTTTAACAAAATCTGCATAAATCAACTGTTTCATTTCTTCATTTTTAAACATTTGTATTCTCTCAGTTGTTATATTTGAATAGAACCTATTGGAATTAAGTCAGCGATTTATTATTATTATTATTATCATTTTTTATTGATTCGCTATGTTTGACATCGATTAATTATTTGACGGTTATTTTTCAATGCCCATATCACTAATAGAAATGAAAGTTCGGTTCGATTTAATCGATTATTGTCTCAAGGAAAAAAACGGAGAACAGTTGACGATGATGAGGAAAGTTAGGAATGGACGAGTATCAATGGACAACTTGCCCGATCGCTATCGCCGCTTCTTTTTTTTCTTGAATTCCATACGATTCAACTAACAACTGGCATTCTTTTTTTTAAGAAATGGAAGGGGGGGGTGTTCGTGATATGTAACACTCACATTGCTGCATGTTGAGCCCATTGAGAACGTTTACCATGCAGGTTGTATTCGTGTTATCGACAATCGGTTGTGGTGACACTAAAATCAATATAAATTGAATTCTTATAATCACAGAAAATTTCGCAATATTTCTCTTCTACTTACACAAAGTGTTAAAAGCGTTAAAAAAATTCCATTCTGCCGATGTTGGGGCGTCCATGCTCAGCGCAGATACATTAAACTCCAGGGAATGTGGACTTGTTTCACGATAATTTATATCTAGTTGCATCATTGGTTCAATAGTAGGATCAGAACTAAGCGGTACTTCCCGTAAGTCTGTACTGTTAACAGTTATCAGACGACGGAATGCACTCGGCTGGTTTCCATCTTCATAGGAAGGTTTTGATTCACAAGAATTTTCGCACATAAGTAATACTAAATGACAGTGAGTGACGTGATATTCAAGAAAAGCACGCACACGAAGCGATAAATGAAAAAAAAAGAGGTTTGAAAAGAAGAAACGTGTAATATATGAAATAATGCAAATATGAAAAAGCGAATAATTAACGAATTAAATACAAGTAAATATACCTAAGCGTAAATAGGGTGGAGTAAAATAATCTACTGGCAGCAGCTCTATCACAAACACCGTATTACGCCATCATAGCAACATAAACGGAATGCAACAACCTGTGTGGGGGCCACCCACATTCAAGTGTGTAAAGAGATCGAAGAGGAGAGCAGCAAATGATGATGTGCGCCGCCGTCGACGACGACCGCGACAGCCGAAAAAAAGCGAATGGTGCAGTCCTTTTTTGCTCATGGCCTCGAGGCAGGGCTCACATACACATACACGCAACAGAGCTGTCGTCGCAACCGCTGCCTCTAATGAGCACGTTCCAAGTCCGCACACGAGAATTTAGCATAAACATAATAACAAACAGATTTAAAAGCGAGAGAGGATAAGAAAGAATCAATTCGCTTCGAACGTGTTCGATTTTACAGGTGATTTGTAAATTACAGGGTGTCATTTAAGTTCCCGCACAAAAGTTTGACGCCATGTAGAGCTTCGCTAACGCACTTTTCGTACACCAATACAATTTATTTTTATTGAACAAGGTATATTTTACTTACTTTCCATGTTTCACCTCATTCGGATGTGCTTCCGAGAAACGGCGAAGGCTAACATCCATCGCGCTTCCATTATCGAACTTCATAAGCAAAATGTGAGCCCGAGAGACATCATTCAACGGGTCGGTGTGCCTTGTAGAACGGTTTATGACACCATCAAACGATTCAAGGAGCTAAATACGACCAGTGACCGTCCCAGACAAGGAAGACTCGTCTCAGTAACCACTCCTCAGAAGATCAACGCCGTCAAATCGAGGATCAGCCGAAACCCCCACAGGAGCATGAGAAAGATAGCGTCAGACATGGGAATGAGCATCTTCGCTTTGGAACAAATCGTCAAAACGAAGCTTGTACTGACCCCATATCGTGTCCAAAAAGCGGCAATTCTATCGGCCGTCAACAAGCAGAGACGCTTCGAAAAAGCAAAACGACTTCTTGCTCGCACGCGGTCTGGACAAGATCTCGTCACTGTCTTCTCCGACGAGAAGCTATTCACTGTGGAGACGGCATTCTACTCACAAAACCATTGAGTACTTGCCCAGACATCCCAGCAAGCTTCTGAGAAAGGAAAAACAATTAATCGAGCCTCACATCCTGCCAGTGTGATGGTTTTCGGTGCCATCTGCTCAACCGGGATGTGCCCCCAGGATTTCGTGGATCAGGGAGTGAAAATGAACAAAGAAGTCTACGTTCGGGACATTTTGGAGAAGCATGTGATGCCCTGGACCCAAACGCATTTCGGTGGGCAGATATGGGTCTTTCAGCGGGACGGAGCACCCGCCCACACTGCCAAAACTACTCAGGAGTGGTGCCAGACCCATTTTCCCGACTTCATCAAGTCATCCGAATGGCCTGATTGCTCCACAGATCTGAAACCGCTTGACTTTTCCGTGATAGGGTCTTGCAGGAGAAGGTCAACGCAAAACCCCACTCAAGTGTAGAGGCTCTGAAGAGGACATTACTGGCGGAGTGGGACAATCTTTCCATCGAATACCTGCGTACCACAGTCACATCCTACCCGAAGCGTCTCCGTGAAGTCATAGCTGCGAAAGGAGGCCGAATCGAAAAGAGTTAATAGATAATTATTTGTTGTACTATAGATAAATAATATTTTGAGTCTCGTTTGATTTGGACTTTTAGTTTCAGAAATATACGTCTTCAAAGTTGTGCGGGAACTTAAATGACACCCTGTATGTAGACTTGCATTGGTAAAAGAAACAAGTTACCGTCTTTTTTATATGAATTGAAAAGCATAAAAAATTAATAGTACTAACAAAGCAGGAAGTTAATATCCAAAACCTAATCTCAATTAGTAAAGAATATTGTAAACTTGGATAGCCTGCAAGCTCCGCCCCCAACAAGCTGTTCTGATTGGCTGACGATAGTAGTAATATGATATTCAGTTATTACGTGGAATTGCTCACAGAAATATGAATAAGCTATCAACATGTAACAAAATTTGTAGCGCGCCGCGTACAAATCCTTGATAGTCTTGGGTTTCGGAAGAGCAATTACTCAGAATATCACGTTAAAAGGAAAAGTTGGATTATAGGAAAGATACGCGAAAATGATAAACAAGGTACTAACGAAAAAAAATTAAACGTATATCGGAAAAACATTTAGGGTAATTGATGAAAAAGGTTAAAAAAAAATTAATATTACAAACTATAAACATCAAAATTAAATAAACGATTTTCAGAAGCCAATAAAATTATTTTCATATGTATGCTTAAAGGGTCGAATAACGAGATGACATATGTGAAAAATTTAAGGGCGTTCCAGTTTAATTTAAGTTCGGAATACTTTTCTTAAATTCACTATTATAAAAACTATCATAAAATAAATTGTGATGTAAACTATTTGTGTAACCATTGACAACCTAAAGGAAATCGAATGTCGACGAAGAAAAACTAAATATCTTGCTGAAAGAAATTATATATGAGCAACTTCTCAAAGAACGAAGGAGTGTGAGAAATAAAAAATTTTCTTACATATATTGAAAGTCAAAACCTAACTTCACAAAATTTTGACAACGCTATAATCTCTATTTTTATTGTCGGAAACATGTGATTATCGAAAATTTCAATAATTTTGGTCAATTACGTTGAGAGAAAAACATAACATTTTTGTTGTCCTATTTGACGAATACCGTTAAGCTAGTAGTTGCATCAAAGGATTGAAAGAAATTCGGTTTATTTAACATTACGTGCGAATGCCATTTCGACACAGTTTTAATTTTTTAAAATTTATTTTATATGAATCATATATTCCAGAAACTCAAATTATAAATGTACTTCATTTTATTATCTAATCGCCGGTGGGATCCTCAAGATGTGATGGATTGGTTCCAGAGGAAAAGAACTGTCACTTTCACTTTTTTTTAATCATTGACATCTTCATCAGATAATAAATAACTTTACAACGTTATTGACAACCTACCCCTACCGTATTCTATAATACCATACCCAACCTTACCCTGCGAGTTGAAATGATGATTTGATGAGGGTGCAGAGAAAAATGTGGATGTCGCGGTCGTTTGAATGATCGGAGCAGTGAGTTGACCGTAAAGATCGTTTTGGGCACACTGCTGACTAAAATTAGAATATATTTGCTTTATCATCAATAATATCCAACTTACGTGTACATTTGTTCAGTGTTTACTGCAGCAGGAGGCATTTCAATCGAATCGTATAATTTTCTCTAGAAAAGTGTTACAGCATGTTATTTTTAACAGGAAAACACTTACTTCTGGGTTTGGTGTCATCATAGGCCCACGGTTTAGGAACTGGTGTGACACATTACCTGAATTAAATGAGTAGAAATAGAAAAAAATGAACAAGACGAACGAAATGGAAACATAAATGATAAGAAATAACGAGCGAAAGAGGCAAAAAAAAAGACAGACAGACATTTTTTCATAGTTTTACCTCTTGTAGGCCTCAATGTAAATGAGATAGCTTCGAGAAGAAGCGCAACTCAAGTTTGATAAAAACTCGCAACAATTTTATCAGCAGTCGCAAATTTTGTTTTTTTGGCACACGGACGCACTTCAATTATCATTTTGAGGAAAGACTCGTTTACGGAGCCAATTAATGTGTTCGTTATGCATGGTTGCTGCTACCAATACAGAAATAACATTAAAGGCAAAATCACTTTGACGGCCATGAATAATTTATAGGACCCGCGCGAGTCACAACAATGAGGAGTGCAACTGTGCGGTAATGACACACGGTTTTTCTTTCTCCATGGGGTCGCAACAGGCGGGACCAAGTGGGAGTGACTAACGAGGCACATGAGCAAAGGCTGCTTCGTTGGAGAGCTCCGAATTGATATAAACAATTCTACGCGGTGTCCAAAGACACGCAACGGATCGAATTGTTCAAACGATGTGCGAACATATGGTAATAACGTTCTTTGTAAAGCTCTAAATCATCAGTTGTTTATCTATTGAGGCCGCTAAAAGCCTTGACCGACAGGCGGCAATATAATAATCGCATACTGATTGATATGAGAAGTTTCGTAGACGCGTGGATAATTACGCCTGTGCTTTCCGATAAGAAGGTTAACGTTGTCGTTGACTGAGTTACATTTAATATTGCACGCAAACATTTTCTACTACCCAATTGCCTCCAAAACGTTAATATAGTTAACATAATCGGCGGCGTATTTAATTCTCTTACTTTTACCATCACAAACTCAAAAATTGTTTGATTTCGAATAATGATGCAACATTGCTAATTAAAAATGAGCTAGTTGGTTTGAAACGGTAAAAATACTACATTATCTGAGTAATTTTTTTTAAACCATACAAACAAAAATTTAAAAAAGATCAGCGTTAACATACAATTCAGTACATTTTCATCGACAAAGGGGGTGTACACGAAATGCAAATTTTGTGTGTTTCTTGTAAAACGTTCCTATCGCTCTCATCGAGTCGCCTCATCGCTCCCCGTGCTACCTAATCGCCCAAATAAACTATGGCGGGGACGATGCAGAAACGATTTGCGACGCCGAATTTTTTATGGGCGATTCGAAGTGCTTTTCAATGTTGCCAAATCACCTCTTTTTTTGCAGCCTCTCTCCCTTCCACACCACGGGCAGTTCAAGATTTTATGGGTATGCACTTTTTCACTTCACGATCTTCTCTTCCGACGCAAACAGAACATAATCGTTTGCAAAAATTTTCAATCAATCAAATTCAATATATAATATAAAATCAAATCGAACAAGCGTACTCGCAATCGGAAGGCACACTCATCATTCAAAAAACAGAAACAGAAGGAAACACTCGGACAAGAAAAAAACTATCTGCTCTCGGTGTTTCTTGTTTCTTACGAGAGATTGGCGACTAGGCGCGAGCGAGCTGAGTGGCGCCAACAACGCAAATGTGGGAGGCCTGCCCGCGCCGTCGGACGAGGACCCACTGGAACCGCAACACACGGAGAGGGCAAGTATTACATTTAGGATTCGAATGAGCGTCAGGCAAAAGCGCAAAGCAAAAACCTCTCAGAAAATTAAACTAGGAAAATGAAGGAGGGGGTGAAAGGCTCAACACGTTTTTTAATGCCTAGTCGTATTGCAAGGCATACGATTTTCGGAGGAACTCTTTTAAAAAATATGCGAACCCATTCGAAAAAGTCACTATTGAACGTTTTGTCAATGCTTGTTAATTGGTTTTCAATATGTTTCCGAACGTACTTAAAAATGTTTTGTGTAAATTTTTTTGAAATTTTTACGAAGATACCCAACGCAGATCGTCCCAAATCGAAGGAAGAGAGGCCGCCCAGTGACACTGAAGATTTATAGGCCTGCTCTATTACGTACAATCGCTGTATACACAATCTGATTTTTCCTATTTGGCGCGCGCTATTGAACAATATTCTTTCACACAAGAAATTACCGTATTCTTATTTTAATATACATATAGACTGTAGTTTGAACATGAGACCGAGAGACTAAACGAACAAGAGGACACACGAATGTGAATGTTGCGAAGGGCAAAACATTGCAGACATTGGGGCTCAAAAAGTGCAGCGAGTGCCGCCGGCGAGAAAAAAAAGAAGAAAGGAACGCAACATTCAGCATGTTCCCTCTTTCCCTCTATAAAACGCGAGAAAGATGGAAACTCGAGAGATCGAGCAGCGGATAGAGGACGGGAAAGAAACGAGGAAAAATGACAGGCGCAAAAAACCCTCGACAACGAAATGGGAAGGCAAAGGAAAGAAGACGAAGAAGAAGAAGCCCGAGGTCCTTCCTTTTGGAATGGTTATACACACCGGGGTGGCGCCGCCGCAGTCGCCACCGCACGCTGTGAATGTGAGAGGGACAGAGAATGCAGCGATTCGCAACGAAAGTACAGACCACCCAAGCGTTTTTTTTCGCTTGAGAGCGCCCCGCGGCCGAAAAAAAGGATTTCAGGGTACGGGAAACGCAGGCGCGACACACACGAGAAACATATGCCTCTAATGAGAAGCAGATGACATGGTGACACCCAAAGGTTATCGCGAAACGTGGTCCGCTGGGGACTTTTCAACTCTAGGCATTGATATAGGCAATGTAATGATTAATGCGCCCACAAGCCATTTTAAAATGTTAAATCGAGGTGTTTTAGATTAAAAAAAATAAAGCCACACGAAGGCCACACGGGTTTTAAAACAGTGCAGCTGTTTTGTTTGTTCTCTTAAGATTTGTTCTCCGCGAGTTCGCACAAAAGGTTCAATTTTTTTAACTACACATCTTTTATAGAAAATTTGTATTCAACGGAAACAGTAACATTTCACATTGCTATGTTACTTAGTCACTCATCACCAACAAATTTATAATTCAGCATTAGATATATATTTTTTAAAAGAAACTCTCATTATCACACTGGAAACGCTGTCAACAGCGAAAAATGGGAGAAGTTACATCTTTCCACTTTTTTCAACCAATACACTCTGGAAGATGGATAGATGTTGAATCTTGTCAACGACAAGCATCCGATGGAAGACAGAAAAACAAACTCGGGTTGATAAGGATAAAAGTTTATTTATTGTTATGCTCGAAATTTCTTTAAGTGTGCGGCGAAACCTAATCATTCGTTAAGTGCATATCGAATATTTCAAATGCGGTTCATCTATCTTTATTCCTCGTTGCGCGCGATTCGCAAATTTTTAGTGTTCGCTTTGCGGCGTTTTCGTGTCGCAGACATAGGCGGAGTGTTCGCAACACACACAGCCATTTTTTTTGTTCGTGGTGTGCTGACTGAACACGTCGCTTCTCAATCCAACACACTATTTGACGGCGGCCCGGCAGTTAAACGAAGAGGAGGCATTCACACGCATACACACCGCCCCAAAAACCGAAAACTATAAATGTTGCCTCTTGCACCGACAGATAATTCCATGAGACGAGAGGACGAGTCAAAAAAAGGGCGCAGACAAATTTCGAAGTTACTCATTTGAAAACCAAAACCAACGATTTTATTTAAAATGTATCTGATGTTCCAAAAGTTCAATGAAACCTTTAAAAAATTTGAAATTTTAAAGGAGATATTATAAAAATCATAAAATTTTTAAATGCTCAAGATGAATACTTATTCTAATTGAAATCTTAGAAAATTAACAAAAAATTTTTTAAATCGCAGATTTTTCGAGATGAAGACGCTGCAAATAAGTGTAGGTCGAAACATTTAATATTTAAATTGAATTTAAAAATTCGAAAATCTAAAGTCAAAGTCATGCAATGTTTTTAAATTCACGAATTAAATTGTTATCAGACCCTTTTTTTCAGTAGGCAAAATTTGGCATTTCCAAAAATATGGGGTATTTTTGCCTGTACTACTGACAAACACGTACACATTTTGCTGATACGTAACTTCGCTATCAATCCACAAAAAAGACAAACCAACCCATGTATCGAGTAGTCGCCAACCTAGCCGCTGAATACAACCGCCCCAAGTCATCGCTGTTTTCGAAAGGTTTTTGCAACGCATCACGTAGAATAGGCATTTCAGTGGTGTTTTGCTGAAAAATATTTAATTAACGACAAAAATCAAACTTCTTTTGAACACGACATAAGCGACAACTTGTTCACCTTACAACTGAGCCAGATTCAATAGAGCTAATTGGACATAAGCTCTTGTTATTGTTATCGACACGTTCTGTGCGCGCAAAGCAATAAATCAAAACCATATGTTCATCACACGACTTACTTATAATAACAAGTAACTTTTTTGAATATTAAATTTTTTTTCAAAAACAAGTTTTTATTTATGTACCACCCGCGAGCGACATTGTGGAGCCAATTCAGTGATTTTCAATGATAACTCGCGAGTGCCGCCGCTCGTTATCGATACATCATTGAAATCGGCAAGAGATACAATAATAGGTTAAATGCACAAATGTTATTAAAATATGTTATTACTACATAAAATATAAGTTTTCGACATTAAATCTCCTACTATTCATTCTAATTAGTTTTTTTGTACGACTGTGCACTCGGCAAATTAATCAGGCGAAAGAAGGTGTTTTCCCGTTCGGTGAAACAATTGTACATTTTAGGAGAAACATCAGCATAGATATAGCAAAAATGGGTTGTTTTCCTCAAAACGGCAAAATAGTGTAACCTGTGTGTTTCGCCAAAAGCGAGGTGCAATGTTTCACCCAATGAGTTTGCCGAGCATAAGTATAAACATCTGAATTTAAAAAAATTAAACATAAAACTCACAAGAAACAATATCGTAGAAACAAATAAATCGAAAAAAAATTCGAAATCCGTTTCAGTCAAAATAGTTCATCTGTGAACGAGTGCCGGGAAAACTGAACAAAATCAACGCCTCATGAGAGGCGAAGATAATAAATTGATGATATCAAAACATTACAAATGGTGAATTTTCGCGTATTAGTGAACTCCTTTTGACGTCTACCGTAACATTTCTCAACTATTAAAAATAAACGCGTGGATATTTTTTTAATGCTTGAAAATCTGGTTCTCAGTTCCGATTTTCGGGTTTTTTGTGAAAATGTTATATTCATGATGGGAATCGAGCTTGGAATATTTTTTTCCCTATTACTCTTTTACCATTTTCTAATATTTAAAAGACGATTGGTTCGGGAAGTATTGAAAGCTGTAACTTGTCTTTTAAAAATTAAATTATAATTTTTTTTTTCAGAAAGAAGACGGTGAAAAATTGGCAAAATTGTCGGTCAATGAAGATGTTGATTTGGTATTTTTACTTTGTTTAAATGTTCAAAAGTATATTTAATATAATCGTGACATAAAATTGAGGGAGGTGTATCTGAAAATTTGTTTTCTGTTTTTCTTCAATGAAATAAAAAATCACGAATAATTGAGAAACGTTCGTTTGACTAATTTCAGACACAACAAAGCAGTATAGAAGCTGAAAAAACGCAATCCTTCACAGAGGAAACTGAGAACTTGGTATTCCGTCGAATTGCACATAGAATTGCCCAAGTTGCAGCCCAAAAAAAGAAACAGAAAGCAAATATAAATGAACTAGAAGCTGATCGAACACAAATCGAAGAAGAAATAGCAAACACGTAAGATAATTTTATTTAACGACAATCAAATTTTCAACAACACAACAAAAAAATTGTTTAGTCTCAATCGTGCATTGAAACCAGATCCGACAAGAAGTAATAGGTCAATGCGAAACACAGATGGAAGGGGCGGAAAAGTTTGAGATAAACGTCTAGAAATATTTTTTCATTTTTTTTTAGCACAAAATCGATGTTGCTCAAATATTTTTAGAATCTGATAATGATTCCAAGAACGAAAGATCTTATAGTACACTCACCCATGAAAAACCAGCCATCGTCAGTGGAATGGAAGAGCATGAAGATTTAAAAACAGCAAAAGAAGATCTTTGGTATTGAACACGTCAAATAAACTCGTTATTTTCTAGACATATCCTCATCACTGAAAATTTTTGAAGGCTTCCCACAACAGTTATGGAGAACTTTTAGGAGTGTATGTCGAATGGCTGGAGTTTTGCAATTGGATAGAGCGGCATATAAATCATTACGACGAATTTCAATTAGGCGCTTCTCGCATGATCTCATACTCCTTCCTAAAAAAAAATTCGGAAATTAGATAAGAACAAACAGTACATACCTACGAAAAGCGTTTTCAAAATCATTGGCTGATTTCCAATTTTTAATATATTTGGCAAAACGGCTCCGAGATATTTTTCACCTGTCTCTGCTACTCGAACAACATAAACATCCTCATCAGAAACTCGAATCTACGAAGTACCAAATAATAATTACAGCAAAAATAAAAATCTCACCGACAAACTTAGTTTGACAATAGAGTATCCGAAATCACCAAACATTTCTTGTGCATGCTTCGTTATCTCGGAAAAAAACTTAAACAGTTAATATTTAAAAAAAATGATAATCCTTAGGAGGGAAGAATTTATTCGGCGTCTTTTTGGTTTGTTTAAACATTCAAAATTCGGACACCCTCGACAATATAAAAATACTAACGTGGTATTTCGAGACATCTGGCTCCTTTCCATCATTAGTGATCATTTGAACGAGATAATAACGATTTTTAACCTTCACCATGTTGAAATCTAACAATAAAGTAAAAAACATGAAAATTATCTGCTTTAAATAATACTTTAAATGCCGAGTTTTTGTAACGGCTGAAACAAATCAATTAATGAATACAAAACAAAGATTTATCATTTCAAACATTTTAAGCCTAGCATTGACAGTGCTTGTACCATCGAGGAAATGCTACAGTATCTTTTATATTTCGAATTGAAAAAAGAAACTGTAGTAATCGTTCGAAACCAATTCCAAACCCGCCTGTTGGCGGTTGTCCTCGGTGTCTTGTTTCCAGATACCATTCAATGGTGCATCCACGGCTTTTTAATTTCTCCGGACAAATTTCTCGGATTGATCCTCCGGCAAGTTCTCCAACAATTGGACAAAGTAGATCAAAAGAAGCAGTCTGACAAAAGAAAATTTCTTGCTAGTGTAACTTTTATAGTAAAAACTTACATTTTCTCCAATAGTTTGCATATAAAATGGTTTCTGTACACTTGGAAAATGTGTAACGAATACAGGGCTATTAAATATTTCAACCAACTTTATCTCGTTTTGACGAGAGAGCCCACTTTTCGCTTTGACTTCTTGACCATGCCCTTTTAAAATTTCAACAGCTTCAGAAAATTTGATTTTGTGAAATTTTTTCGAATCAAGGCACTTGGTTAAAATTTTTCCGTATTCCTGAAAAGAATATTTCCGAACATTTCCGAAACGCGAAAAAAAATAAACATTCTTCACATAAAAACAAACTTTGTTATGGTATATTCCCATTGATGAAATAATTTCTTTAAGCTTTTGATTTTCGAGTGTAATTCTGATCATTGCTTTGACATAATCTTCGACAATGTCACAGAGTTCATTTATATCCTGAATTAAGAATAAAATTAATGAAAGAAAATTTTAATTCACCTGAACAAAGGCAACTTCCGCTTCAAGCATGTTAAATTCAGACAAATGAGTATGGCTTTGTTGTTTTTCAGCGCGAAAAGCGGGTCCTAGCGTGTAAACCTTGGATAATCTGCTCGCCATAGCTTCCAAATGTAGCTGTGCACTAACAGTTAAGTAAATTGACGAGCCAGCCTCGTCTACTGCGTACGCATTGCCGCCACCTTCACAATCGTTTTTCGTTAGTTTAGGTGTTTCAATGTGAATGAATTCTCGGCTCTATAATTGTAATTGTAACAAACAAATCGATCGGTTTGATCACAAAATAGTCTACATAAAAGTTTTCCACCAAGTGAACCAACGATTAAAGCAATTAAATAATACGAAATTTCAACAAGCGAATCGCAAATATGACTTGAAAACCTAACTGCAAAAAAATGATGAGTTTCTTGAAAAATTATAGATCTTCCTGTCAAAACTGAAGCAAATCCCACTGAGCGAGCTCTTAAGTGAATCTTCAAATTAATTATAGTTTATTAAAAATACTATAAGCACCTTTTTCCTCAAATCATTTTCTGAAATGTCGTAACGAGGCTGAAAAATGAAATTTGCGGAAAATTTTAATTTTATTCAAACATACATTTGCGTCAGCAGAATAAACTTCCAATTTTTCAGCGAACAACTCCATTTCTTGCTTGGAACCAGTACTTTTTTGCCATTTTCCAGTTACTGCTAAAGACGATCCAACGCGAACTAAAACATCTACGAATACTTCAATGGTTGGCGACCGGCGACTTATGGATGGGGATAATTATATTTACGAGCGTTTTATTCGTTATTTCCGCATTTGAAAACTGACGTTATGAACACAACACATATCAGTCGCCGGACTTCGATTATAGCCAATTAATATGTACTGATGAATTTCGTACCATTCCTACATAATTCTTTTGGAGCAATTATTTGAACATCATTAGTAAATCTTCCATCTGAAACTTTGATAAAAACAAGATTTGCAAGTTTATGAATTGAATTCGCCCATCCCTAAATCGTGAAAATTTATAATAAAAATTCCGATACTTTCAACCTCAATACTGATGTAGTCTTTTTCCATTTTCGGAAGATTCCCTATAGAAGTTGCAGCAACTGAGAAGCATTGCGTGCTCGTTGCTCGAATTAGACGTCTGAGCATTGTTCGATGCACTAAAACGGCGAAAAGATTGACGAAAACTTCGTAGTTAGAGGGCAACAATCTCTAAAATCAGATATGTGCAATGCATCTTTTCTATTGCATTCGCGCGTACAAAGTTTCCTTTACTCTGTGCTTTCATATTCTGAGACATCTATTCACAAATTTTGTTCGAAAAAAAAATGCCACTTGCATTGTTTGTTCAAATTACGAAAGAAGCGCTGCGTGTTGAGAACTCGCATCGCACACCCAACTCACACAAGACAACTGGGTAAACAATAAAAATCAATTAAAATTACGAAACAGTTCTCCGTTGCCGATTTTATGTTAAATTTGTAAATACTTCTCGATAATATTTAAATTATTAAAAAAAGAAGATATAAATGCTCAATTGTTTGGTTTATGTTTTCCGCAGATTGACGATACGTTCCGGTTTAAAAAGCCAAACTCTTTTTTTTCCTATCTTTTTAAATCTTTACGTTTGTTATGGAAAGTCTTCATTGGTGTATGAAGAACTTGAGATTGCCAGAAGATTATTTTTTAATCTAAAATATTTCGTCTATTTTCCCCAATTATCGATTATTTTTTATAATATTGGCAAGACGTGGAAATGGAAATACTCTTGGTATTGAATTACATTCGCGCACACTGGTAGTCTCATTTCATTTTCATGGAAAAACCTAAAACTCCGCTTTTTATTTTAGACTACCCTCTTTCTAATTACATGCTTGTTTCTTTTTTTTTTGCATTATAATATTTAATCGATTAGTTTTCTCATCTCTATTTATAAAACCAGCGTGGGTACAAAGTTAAATACACCGTTTCGTCAGCACTCAGTACAGTTTAAAAACAAGAGAGATGAAGAAACAAAAGAATCCCAGAAGAAAAATGCGATAGCGGTACTGTGAGCGTGGCATTTTTTGCGGTTTCGAAACATCATTGAGGTCATTCCTGTCAAATTCACACGGCCATTATCAATAAACTTTCGGCGGCGTTATCGATTTTAAACTTCTCCGTCTCTCTCCTTCTTTATCGTTAAACGACGATGAAAAACTTTAACGAACTAGATCTCTCATCTAGTTTTCTAATTGTGAAACTGTTGCTAAGAGCAAAAAGAGATAGCCACTTAATCTCAGCTATCTAAATCCTACTGTTACGGTACAAATTACGGTGCATACGCACACTAGGGTTGATGCGTCATTACACTGAGTTGTTGAGTTTTTTGTCTTAGTCCCAAAAACCGTGTTGTTTTTCTTCGTGCATTTATATTTATTGTTAATCTATTGTTCGTTTCTCTGCACATTGTTGTCTAATATATCATTGAGATAAATACTCATTTCACGGTTCGACTTTACTACAGATACCAATTATTTAAATCAATCCTTATCAATCATTAAGCTATAGATTTTCTCTTGCCGGATCATTATAATTTTCACTAACAATATATTCTTGCTACAGAAATGGGAAAAGACTATAAGTATAACGGTGGTTATCGCAGTGGATATGCCTACGCTCCGGCTCCAGCTGTACCTAGTATGGAAATAACGATAAACCAGGTTAGATTTCAAAAAAAAAAACTTTTAACAGGAATCGATGAAAATTATTTTCTTGCATCTATTCTATTTCAATTTTAACAGAATGGATCTGGTCACTCTGCAAATGCACCTTATAATTCATCACTACCGCGTCGTAGTGCGCCTCCATCAGCTCCACCACCGCCTCCACCATCATACGTACCCGAACAGTTCAATCCTATGTGGTTTGATAAATTTCCTAGACGTGAGAATCGCGGAATGTTTCGACTGTGCCTCGTTGAATTAATGCTAGCAGGTGTTTGGTCCACAAAAATTATTACTAATTTAAAAATTGTTTAAGTTGTGATATTGGGTGGTGGAATTTGGTGCTATAGGGACACATCTGATTATTGCCCGTATTATTCAGCAATCTGGACGTCATCAGTCTACGTGATAAATGCTTTAGTTGGAAGCGCAGCTGCCAAAATAGGCTCAATTAATCTTTACATGGCTCATCTGACACTTTCGCTAGTTTCTGTTATGATGTGTCTGATTAGTGGTGGACTTTCTGCAAGAAATTGGGCACTCGTGGGAACCTATCATCATCCAAGAATTGATAGGGATGAAGCATTTTGTCTTTTAGGAACTCATGACACCTCAAGGTACGTAGATGAAGCTAGATTAAATTCAAAACAAAATTTTTTAGAATTTCGTACATTTTCTCGCATATGGATAAGTACGATTTTGCTCAATGTCTGTGGCAGCTTAAAGTTGGAGTGGCAGTGAATTCGGTGCAATTCGTCATTGCAGCTTTAGAAGGTATAACAGGACGAGATGAAAATGTAAATTTTCTGGCAAATTAAAATCGCTAGGTTTTGACAAAATTTAAATTTAAATCGATCGTATTCTAGTTTAAAGTATGCTTTTGGTTCTAAAATCTTCGATATCGATTAATTGTTTTATTTAATTTAAATTAGAAGTCTCTTTTCTGAATTTTGTGAGCAAGTATACCATGTATGGGACCAGTCTCTAAAAATAAAAAAGGAATACAATTAATTTCGGTATCGAGTAAATTTTCACTTTTTTCTTTATAAAGAATAGCCTGGTCATACTAATATTGTATATTCCAATTTCAGTGCTACTCAACGTGCTTTCGGCGATATTATGCATGAAGCGCGCCTGTACTTCTTGCATTTAATTCAGAGTCCATATTATAAAAGAAAATACGGTTCACACTCCTCATTTGCTGACGCATAATGCTATTATAACTTGCTTTACAATATTTTAGCTTACCTGATATTATAGAATCTATTTTGAAATTGTTGTTTTCTGCAATAAAATATTGATACAATTCAAGTTTTCATATTAAAGAGTTCATTTGGGCGTAAACCACATCTGCTTGATGTATAATACGAACACTGATTGATAGGTATTTGAAAAAAATTTATAAATCAATAAAAGAATTAACAACCAACAACAGCTAAATTCACAATTACGAATTTCTAAAATGGAACAAGAACAACTATTGGGCCATTTTTTGAAGCGCAGCTTCATCTCCCTGAGACATTGACGTCAAACGTTTTCCCAATTTCTCGTGAACGTCGAGGTACTTTGCAACACAGCGATCAAGACAAACAGCTTCTCCCTGGAATGATAAACAATATGTTTTATAGCACGGCGAAATCTATATCTTCACTTTTGTCAATTCCGACTCTTTAAATGCTGTGGAAATACATTTGCTTTGGCAAGAGTTCGTCATTTTCTTGTACATATCCGACATCATTTCAACCTCTAACTCAGCTACTTGTTGCATCTGTGCTTCTGCATTCATATTCGTAGATATCTATAAATTCTCATAATTTTAAAAGACAAATTCAAAACGATCAATATAAATATATTAAGTTATGGTCTGAAAACCAATAAAACACAAAAATAATAACATTTGATTAGTTATGAACATTCATTGCACGTGTAAATGGAATATTCTGTATTCGTGTCGAATAGAATCGGGCTGACTTTTGGTCCATAATATGCCATGAAAAATGAGGTTCCATCTGCTGGGCCAAGAAGTTGCAATGCTATCAAAATCACATCAACGAGCCATAGGATAAGTAAACCACCAAATGAGAACATTTTGAATACTCCTGAAAAATAAACAGTGTTGTGTGCTATTCACACGGCGCTCTATGCGATATCACCACCACTTTAAAACAGATTTACATATATATATATAGTCGGCGTTCGGCGACTGCTGTACGTGGGTAGACTTGAAAAGGTATATATTCGAAATCGATTGATTTTCATTTATGGGTACCTATTTAAGAGATGTAATTTTTTACATAAAATGTTAAAAAAAAATACATTAAATTCACATTTATTTACAACCCTGCATTGAAACAAACGTCTAATTTTTACCAGCATGAATAGGTAAATTACCAGAGTTTGAGAATTTTAATTTTTTTATTTTAAATTTAAGGAATAACTTCTGAAAACATTGGTTTATGTATTTTAACTTTGAGCCACGACAATTCTTGAATAATGTTTTAATAATATAGAATAAAAACTTTACCAATAGCATAATATCCCAAGTAAATCCGATCAAGCCCAAAAATTCCGAAGAAAATTGAGAGCAGAAGTGCTGTTGAATACTTTAAATGTGCTCCGTAACTGCATCCATTTTCAATCTTCATTTTGACGTAGATAAAGATAACTTTTTACTGCACTTACGGTCATATTGAAGAAACCAAATTGATCTTTCCCTATGCAATCGATATAAGCTGGTGTTTCACACATTACTGAAATATAAATATTTCATCTTAAGGTTTAAACATGTATTACTTTGCACAGAATTATCCGGTGCGCACGTTATAGATTGCTGAGTCTTCGGATCAACTGCATAGTTTTTACATTGGAATCTGTAAATCGATTAATGGAACATTTATGATAAAACAAAAACTCACTGGTATTTGTTCAGTTCATGACATTTGATTGTCGCGTTCAGGGATTGAATGGAAGTACAAAAAAATATAAATATAAGTAAATAATAAGTTATCAACCGAATAAATTCCATTACATTTCCTAATGGCTGAAAAACGCGTCTGGAGAGCGTGCGCACACTAGCAGTACTAGCAAGTTACATCATAAATTAGGCCACGTTTTTTTCGACCATAGCCAAAAGTTAGGCCATATAAAAAGTATTCAAAAAGTGAAAATCTTCCGTGCGCGTGAACAAGGAAATTAGAGATATTCCACAAGGTTGTGTTATTTTGAATAACACCATGGTTAATGATGAGCGTGATTCGCACGGGATGCCGCAAGCTGGATTCATAATAGAGCATCAAAACAGTGACCTTAAATGGAAAATTCTTCGAAATATTTACTCTGGACCATTTTCTGATGTTTATGTTATAGCCGATGTAATATTTCTATGAAATGTACGAAAACGAAGTTTAGGAGCAGGTTAAAACTGAGACAAAGTATGCAATGAAGTGCGAAAGGCAGGAAGGAAATGCTAGACCAGTCCTCAAATTGGATGTCATGGTTTTAATGGCTACAAAAGGAGTTCCAGGATTTCCACAGTTCATTGCAGCGGGTCGTACACATTTATACAGGTCTTATTTTTAAAAAAATCAAAAAACATCATCTGCAGAATAATTTTAAATTACCCAAAATTTCAGATATTGTATTATGCAATTAGTTGGCCCAGATTTGGGAAGATTACGTAGAACGAGACCAGATAGAAAGTTTTCGGTGTCTACAGCTCTTCAAATTTTAGATCAAACGCTAAAACGACTTGAGGATATGCACGATCGGGGGTGGTTAAATCGGTAAAATCGTTTCCTGAAATATTTATTTTTTAATTTGAAGATTTTGAATTATATTTTTAGAGATGTTAAAGCTCCAAACTTTGCAATTGGTGTTGGTGCTGACGAACGAACGGTGTATATGCTGGATTTTGGATTCGCTAGAAAATTTAAAGATGCCGATGGAAAAATTATACCGCCAAGAAGCGCTGCCGCTTTAATGGGAACATTCCAATATTGTGCAGTCTCTGCTCATTCACACAAAGATCAATGTGCTAAGGATGATTTGGAAAGCTGGTTTTACATGGCTGTTGAGCTTCTTAAAGGTCCCTTACCATGGGCTTCAATTGATGGTCATAAAAACCACAAGCTTATCGGAGAACAAAAAATGTTAATAAGATCTGAGCCAAAACGTTCAGAATTCTTTGAAGACGTTCCGAAGCAATTTATTAAAATATTAGAGCTTATCGATAATACTGGTTTTTTCGACCGTCCAGATTATGCAAAAATTCGTCAAATTATTTACGACGTGGCCAAGGAAAAGCATATTACTATGCAAGAACCGATGGATTGGGAAAATAATAAACGAATGCAAATGAAAGCGAACTTCGTTGGTGAACTCGGAGAATCACATCAGGCATCAAGTCGCTTGGACCAGAAGGAAGGCAACACAAATGATACAATGGATATTGAATTCGAACTTGCTGATGAGACTCACCTTGACAAGGAGGAAACACCGCGTGAAAATGATAAAACATCTTCGAAAGAGGCAAAACACGTTGAGAAAGGTATATTATACATAATATGCTAACACCTAACAATAGCAGTTTATTATAATAGGTAGTGCTAATACGAACAACGAGGCAACACCACCTCTTTAGTTTTTTTTTTAATTTTCATAAAAGCGATTCAACCACGTTATATTACACAACATTTATTGATATAAAAGCTTCAAATTCTTTGAAATCCTAATTTTTTGACTTATCATTTTTTATTTCGCAATTGTCAATAATTGTCCAAACTGTCTTTACAATATAATCGAATAGATGTGTCCCGGATTCCAAAAATTTGCTAAAATAAAATAAAATCATCATTCTTGTTATATTCAAAACTTACGCGGTGTCAAGCTTCAATGAATTTTTTTTGTGAATAAAGCGTGTAGAATTTCCGACTGGACTAAGTGCAATTCGCAATCCCCATTCTGGAGCAAGGTTATTATGCCGTTTGTCGATAGAGAGTTTCAGCCGAAAACAGTTACGTCTTCTTTTAGTTTCAATCGTGAGGCATCCGCTACGAATCGATCGATCAATCGAGCACGAAACAATGGGAACATTCATCCTGTCCTATACGCAGAAAAAATATTAATAACCTTTAAATTAATTTCACTTGCGTTAAAATTTTCGTAATTATTCTCAACAAACTCTATCTCAAGTGCTTCCTTACAAAGTTGGTGAAAAACAGCAAATAATTCTCCATGCATTTCATCACCTCGAAATTCTAATAGGGAAGGATTTTCAACGCACTAATTCAAATTCAAACCTGAACACGAAACTCTGGACAGAACTTCATTACGCATTGTCATTTGTTTGCTCCAATTAAAAATCTTCGCCTAAATTTTTCTATGTTTTTAGCATGTAAGAAAACAAACCGGTGCCATTGATTTAAAAATTTCAATATGATTGTTCTTTTGTAATTTCTCCAAATTGATATTCGGCAATACAAAATTATTTTCTCTCTTGAAAGACATCCTGACGTGTTCTGCAGTACATATGTTCCATATGGAACTCAAAAATTGAAAGAAGGAAAATTAAAATTAGAAACAGATGTATTTTGACAATCCTCTACGATTTCAAAAGGACAAACCGTTGTTCGTTTTTGTCTAAACATTGTGGCTCCAAGTTACCAAAAAAATTGCCGGCTTTTCGCACGATGACGATTTGCAGGTACTCTTCGGGCGAAACATGGGTTTTCTTCGGTTTTGACAAAACAGGCACGTAAATCTGTTTCGCCGCTTTGAAGAAAAAACAAAATGTCTATTGTCAACGACGAAAAACCGTGTTTCGCTCGAGGAATCTGCCAAGCAATTAATTCAGTCACAAACCGTGTGGGTGGAACTGCGGAGCTTTTCCATTATTAAAAAAAAGCACATAAAACACCGTCGTAAGCAATATAAAAATAATACATTTATTTCAACACAGGGTTGTGAAAACATTTAATCTAATTTTTAGATTTTTTTTTTGGAAAAAAAATGTAACCAACGAATGCATACGTATATATAGTTTATTGTTGAAAAATGACAAATATATCCAGGTGTCGTGGGATCCTGCGTTTTGTACGCAATGTGATGAGCCAGTTACCGTAACCCTGGCAGCGATTTACGGGGACTTTTTTAAATTTCGTAAATATATTCTTTTTTTTCGCTAAATTTTTCAATTTTCTTTTGAATTTTTTTATTTAAAATTTGTAGAAACCGATTTTAATTATTTATTTTTCAGAATATGCATTTTTAAACAATATTTATCGATATTTTTTGGTAAAAATTTTTTTTTTTTGGTAAGACTTTTAAATTTCGTATTTTCAAATTTTTTAAATTCTTCGCTCAATTTTTCTATTTTCTTTCGAAAGTAGAAACTTATTTTAATTATTTATTTAGCAGAATATGCACTTAAATCGGCACTGATTTCGCGAATTTGATGGCCCTACCTCCCTTCAGTCGTTTGACGCCGACAATATACATTACATATACACTGGCAATATACATACATTATACATTGTATATATCAATGTGGATAAAACAATTCTAAAATTTGATACAGTTTGAGGAAAACAATTATTTACTTTGATAAACTTTTATCACGCATATAAATTATCAGAAATAATAATGGGGACCATTTATTTAATCGATTTACTTTGCAAATTGCGGAGAATATTTAAAATAGCTTCTAGAACGTTTTCGACATTTTTGTCTTCGGTAAGCATTGTATAGTGACTGCCAGTGATTTGTAAAACCTTTTTCACAACAGCGATATTTTTCCAGCCAAGATCTGATCCGTCAATTGATAATACATATACTGGTTTATCTGATTTCACAGGTTCGTAAAATTTGAGTAGTTGAAGAGTTTTCCAGGAACGTTGGCAAATTTCCTCTAAAGTTACGGCATCAACATCGTACTCCTTCAAATTTTTAACCAATTCCTGAAAATAAATTAATGCAATTGACTGCCTAATTTTTATAGTAAATAAATGCCACTCTAACCATTTTATGTTCGTCGAAATTTAACTTTTCGATTAAATGATAAAATGTTCCGGAATCGATGAGAGCAATGTCGATAGTAAAATTTTCTTCAAAGAGCAAACTAGTCGAATAAGCAAATGTTCCTCCGGAAGAAGCTCCAATGAAAAGAAAACGGCCACTATTTTTTTCTAAAAAGATATTTTAAAACGATCACTGAAACTATATATTACTTTTGAGGATTTGTTCCTTATAATTTTTGGAAACTTCGTAAACATCTTTGCAATCCAAGCATTCGTTTAAAAAAATGGAGCTAATTTTTCTATCGCACAGTAGAGATTTCAGCTTCATGTATGCAGCGCATTCACCATAAAGCGTGGGAAAAAATACGACTAGAACTTCGCTTGAAATTAATTTTCTCATAAGATTGACCAATTGGCCAAATTGAAGATTCTCCAAAATTTCTGACGCGGGAACGCAAATTTTGAACTCATTTTCCAGTAAGAAACGCATTTGAATAAGAAGTAAAGAATGTCCGCCGACTAGATAAAAATGATCGCCATTCGTTGGATACGTGTTTTTCAACTTTAGCACAGTATTCCATATTTTTGCACAACGATCTACAATATCATCGTTTTGGAAGTTACCTAAAATAATAATTTAAAAAAAGTTATGTCGGCGTTTATTAACTCACTTTCATAATAGATTTTGTCACCTTGTTGAGCCAAGGCTGATCGATCGATTTTTGAATTTTTTGTGTACGGAAACTCGTTAAGTCTCATAAAACGAGAAGGGACCTTATATGTTTCAAGCATCTTTGCACAATATTTTTTAATTTCATCTTTATCTGCGCTCCCGATATAATACGCGGTTATCGATTGCATTTCTGTGTTGTATATCGCCTGACACAATATAACATTGCGATGAGACTCAATAACTTTCTCGATCTCAACAAGGTCTACACGATATCCGCGCATTTTAATCTGAAAAATATAATTGATGTGATTTGATCAATCACATACCTGATAATCATTCCTTCCTTTGAAAATTATTGAACCAGTTTTGTCAAAACTACATTGATCGCCGGTGTTGTACCAAGCTCGCTCTAAATATTGCTCGAAACACTTTTCGTTGTGAATGTAGCCTCTCATGACACCATTTCCATATATTAACAGGGTTCCATTTCTTAGAATAGCTTTAGTATTGCACGCGGGTAATCCAATATTTGATGAGAAATCTCCTTTGAACATCCGTCGGTAAGTTGCAAAGGTAGTAGTTTCTGTTGGTCCGTAATTTTGAATTACGCAGATGCCCATGTTTAATGCATTGTCCAACAGAATTTGATTCAAACGCTCTCCACCAACTATCCAATAAGGTAATCCGGCTAACTTCGAAATAGAAAAACTGAGAACCAGGCTGGGGAACAGTAATGAATGAGTAACATTGAATGGATTTTTCAGCAATTTTTGAAACCGACTAATGTCAAAGAAAGTATGGGTGCTCGCGTCGTATATTAGACATGCGTTATTTGCAAGAGTCATTGTAGTTTCGAGAACTGAATTATCAAATATAAAATTTGTAAATTGATATATTCTGCTCAATGATTGAACTCTCATCGACAATGTGCTTGACACACATAAATTAATCAATGAATCAATGCATACCTGTTTTGGTGTGCCGGTAGTTCCAGATGTTGTAATTACGTAATCAAGGTCAAAGGTAGTGCTAGAATTCCATATTCTTGTTTTAATCACTTTATTGGAGTTATCAAAGTCCGATGTCAGAGAAAACTCTATTGGTTTGCTTAGGATTTTAGAAACCCTTTCATCTGGAGTATTTTTGTCGATAGGTGCGTAGGCGGCATTACTGAACTGAATTGATAAACACTTTATTGTTGTTCTAATGCTTTTTTCTCCAATAATTCCTATTATTGTGTCTGGCCGCAGACTCATTATTCGGGATATCAAGAACTCTCTGTGTATGTTTTTCGAGTTCATGATTACATCCTCGTAGGCAGTACCATAGGACATTGAACTATGGTTAAAATATTCATCCACTTCTATTCCAAATTGGAACTTTGGCGACTCTGTGAAAATATTTTTCGTCAATTGTGGCCACGAGAGATATCTAGGAATATCTTGTCTTGGCCCGGATAATACAGAAGAAATTCGGCGGGAGTTAGAGAAAGCATCTATTACATCATTCAAAATTTTCATGATTGCACTTTCATCCAATATTTTTGACCTCATTGTTAATCGATAATGATCTTTCATCGCATCAATGTCAATTTCTATAGGATAATGAAGCTTCATGGGAACTATATTCAACAAATGTTCGTCATCACTTTCGTCGAATTCTAAGTCATACCGGCAATTGATATATATGTCAGAGAGTTCGTTTATATTTGACGCACCAGATTTTTTGCGAACTTCCCGAAGAAGATGGACATAAGGAATATTATAGTCGATAGCTTCTAAAATGTCTTCTGGAATTGTGTTCAAACTTGTTAAATTACAGCATATTACCAAGTTATTTAGAAAATAACCACAAATGTTATTTGTTTCCTCACTACGGTTTAGCACAGGAAAGGCGATATTCGCCACAGATTGTCCACGATAGGCTAGGATAGCTTTTGTAATCACTTGGACGAAAAGAGAGAACGGGCTGCGTTTCCTCAGTTTAGTAGCAACGTATGTTGCTGAAATTTTGCAGCTTCTTTTGCAAGGCTTAACCTGCATTTGCTCATCGGTTTTCGGTATTCCTTCTAAAGTTTTCTTCAGATAGCTCTCGTTGATATTAAAGTTTTCTATGAGTTTTTCTGAATATTCAAAGTATGAATAGCGTTGTCTCGCCGAAGTAATGTTTCCGTTAATATGCATTTCCATAGATCTATTTGTAAGTTGTGTGGATTTCGCATCACTGATGATATGATGAAGATGAAGGAATGCAATGCATTTTGTAGGTGTCTTCAAGAACGTTGCTCGTAATGGAGGAAATCCGTCTAAAATGTTAATTGTTTCATTGCATAGGTTAATGATTGTTCGGTCTACGGCTGCATTATCCAATGTGCAAAGATTAGCCGCAATAAAACATTCTGTTATAGAAAGTGCTTGTTGATAAGGTTTTCCATCTGCGCTTAAATAAAACTTCACTCGAAATATGTATTGTTCTTGGATAGTATGGAGCAGAGCCTGATGTACCTTTTCAACGGAAACACTATTATCGAATGCTTGAATAAATGGTAGTTGATACTCTGTTGCATCAGTAGATGATTGAGAAAGATAAAACATTTGCAGTTGTTGTTGGCTGAGTATGAAGGAAAATTTACGAACTTCCATCTTTTCGCCTATTTTTGGGTTTTCGAGATCATGACGTTTGATATGTTCACAAATAACTTCTGCAAGATCGGCTGGCCTTGGGTATCGAAATATAAGATTGACAGGAAGTTCGATTCCAATTTCTTCGCTAAGATAATCGATTAGTGCCATACCTAATAAAGATTGTCCTCCGAGTGCAAAAAAGTTGTCGTCTGGCTTTGCTTTATTACTTAATTTTAGCACTTTGTTATATGCGGTCAGAACCAATTCCAAATTTATAGATGAACTTGTTAAAGATTTCATCTCTTTAACTAACTGATTGATCTTAGACGCTTCTATTACACTTTCGTCATAATCGATTATCATCTTTTTTCCTGTGTTAGCAAATGTTACACATAAAGGAAAATACGCATATTTTGGAGTTATGTCTTCTTTAGGATCGTATGATTTGTGAAAATTGACAGCAAAGTCGAAATCCGCACCGGCAAGGACTGAGTTCGAGTTTTGTTCTAATATATTTATCTTCCTTGCAATCACTTCGATGCCATCGCTTCTTTCAATGACAAGAGGCAGTGTGTTTGCGCACATTGTCACCGTATTCATGTTTTCAGATCGCCTGTTGCACAGCGTAAAAGCAATTGCTAGAGAGTTTTCAACGTGAAAAACATTTCGAAGAGTTTTTACATAGTAAAAAGTTAGCACTTGCGCAACTGTCATTGGTCCATTATAATTGAATTTGATGTGTTCAACTATTCTTGTATTATTCCTTAGACTTCCTCGGCTATCTCCCAACAACGGTTTGATGTTGTTCTGAAGTACTGTTCCATCTTCTAATTCGAAATTAGCTTCAAATATCGGTATGGATCCATCGAGGAGTTCACATAACTGATTGCGGATTATATCCAGTGATCGACCATCACAGTATATATGATGAAATGAAACGACAAGGTTATTATCCGTGATATCAATTCGAGGTGACCAGGCGTTCCATGAAGGGCCATGGCTGTTATTGGTAATGTAATGAGACTCAGTAGCTGATAACAAAACAAAAATATTTTGCCCCTCGTGTCTTTTAATTATGCTTCGAAGGAGTGGATTTCCTATTGTTAGAGCATTCACAGCTTGTCTTAATTCACCTCTTTGTTGTTGGGAAACATTGAACTTAAAGTTCAAACGATATAAGTCGTCCGATTGGTAGAGTCTAGATACAAACAAGATTCGCCTCTGAATGTGGTTCAAATCGATTTTTAAAACTATTGAATCATTTTTGCATTTAGATTCCGCTATTTTGACTTGCGGAATAGTGGGTGGACAGATATGCGATCTTAACTCGAGGTAGTTAGAAATTTTTCGAAGAGTTCGCAATTTATAAATAATTTCAATGGGGATGTCTAATTGCATATCAGTATTCATTTTCTGGATGGTTAGCATTATAGCTATAGAATCGACACCACACGCAATAATGTCGCTGTCTTCTGATGGAAGCTTGGCGTTAGAAAACTCTTCGAAATAGTTTTTGAAGTTAGTTGTAATATTTTTAAAACTTTCTGAGAAATAATGATTTTCACGTTTAGTTAAAGCATCCAGTAAGTTTTTTCGATCAATTTTTCCCGTCCTGTAAAAAAGGATTCATTTAAAATCTTTTATAAACCTACTAACCTTGTTAAAGGGAATCCATCAATTTTTATGAAGTTTTTTGGTATCATGTAAGATGGTAATCTGCTCTCCATAAGCCATTGTAAGTCAGGCAAGTTGCGATTAGCGATGTAGAAAAGTGTAAGTTTGTTTTCATGAACCAAACAAACACATGCTCTTAAATCCTTGTGATATGATGCCACTGATTCTACCTGAATTAATTTTCTTTTTAAGTTTCTCACAACATGCTAACCTGTGACAGATCAATTCGGTGCCCACAAATTTTTATTTGCGCATCCTTTCTTCCCAGTAGCTTAATTGCAGCGAACTTTCTACTGACTACATCTCCTGTATTCAACTCTTCAATCCTTGAAGAGAAACCGTAATAACCACGCATTAATCCATTTCCGCTAAGAAAAATGTGCGCTTTTAAACATAATTTTGGTGCTGGATAACCATAGAGATCTTTAAGCTTTAATTTTATGTTCTTATATGGTGCTCCAATAATACGGTTTTGAGTTGCATTTCGTACACGAAACGAAGTTGAATAAACCGATTGTTCCGTAAGTCCATATTCTTGATATAATTGAAGCTTGGGATAGGTTTGAATTAGTTGTTCAATCGTTTTTGAATTCAGCGCTTCTCCTCCATACTGAATTCTTTCCACGTTCTGAAAGCAATCGAATGAAGAAAGCCGCGAAAGGAATGCTGGCATCACATATGCGTTCGAGCATTGCATCATTTCCGATTCGGTAAATATTGAGTTCTCGCATAGCAGAAGTTGGGAATTATTAACCATTGCTTTTGTCATGTCAGCGAAAAATATGTCAAAAGATGGGTTGACCACTTGGCATACTGTATCTCTTGCATTTATATGGAAAGTTTCCGTATATTGCCTAGCAAGATTGGAGAGCCCTTCAAATGGCGTCGCCACAAGCTTGGGTGCTCCTGTACTTCCAGATGTATATGTCACATATGCGATGTCAACGATACTCGATTTCCAAAAATTTTTAATTCTATAACATTTAGTTTGCCGATTCTGCGTTTCATTTAGAACAATTACGCACTTTCCCAGATATTTTTTCATATTTTCGAAGAAGTTGGAGCTTGATTCAAAGTGAAGCGGAACAGGGATACACCCTAATTGCCAGCATGCAAAAATTGCTGCAAGCAAATTGATAGATCTTGAGAATGTAATAACTACAGGTGTCTCGACACGTAAATCACCATATGTTTGCAGGATCACATTTTTCAATTTCAAACTTGAAGCCATATCGTACACAGTTTGATAGCTGAAATTCAGAGAACTGAGTGAAATATTTCCATCTAGTGAACTGATTAACTTCGATGTCGGTTGCGATGGCACATCACTTCTACGTACACGACTGCAAAATTCCGGCATACTTTTATTTTTCGACAATAGAGTTAGTAGCTTAAGCTGTGTGTCCAATATGCATGCGATCAAACTTTCTGAGTACAAAGACTTTGTGTATTCGACCTCAATCGTTAATTTCGTATTACTTCTGCTTTTTCCCTTGCGGAAATAAAATGTGATATTGTATTTACTGGAATGATCATCATTTTCTTTTGACAAAAATTCGAGATTTCCTTCTGAAAAGCTGACCGATTTCTTTGCAATTTCCGTTTCGACAATATCGTTGACGATAAAAACTTGAAAAAGTGGTGTCGCACTTTCGCGTACTTCAGGACTACATAGACTGACTATTTTTTCGAATGGCAAATTTCCATGTGATCGGCAAACTTTAATGTTATCGATAATTTCCAAAACCTGGTCACTGATGGTTTTCGTTAGATCAATTTGAACTTTAAGAGGTAGTATATTAGTGAAACATCCAACAGTATGCTTAAATTGCATTGGTCGCATATCGACGGCAAAGCCGAGAAAAAATTGGTGTTCGCCAAAAACACGACAAATAGCCATTGATAATGTTGCAGTCAGAACTTCAAACTGCGTAAAATTTCTCATAGATTGTTCAAATGAACCTGATACTTCTTTAGAATAAATTGCTGATGTCTTATCATTTGAAAACTCATATTCCGTGGGAATTGTGTTCAAAGGTGAATCCTTTAAATAATTCGACCAGAACGTAATATCACAATCCTGAATTGGTGAAGGTTTTTGGCAGTACTCAAAATATTGCCTTGTTTGTAAACGAGGCGTATCGCTATTGTTGTAAAGGCTTTGAAAGTCTTTGAAGAAAATTGAAAGTCCCGGACCATCCGTTGAAATGTGATGAAAAACCATCCGAAGATGGTTTCCGTCGACAAAGCAGCGTATTGGACAAATTCCAACATTCTGCATTGGTAGCATAGCGAAATCTCCAACAAAGCATTCTGTTGCCGATAAAACAACTTGATAATCGAAATCCGTTGAGAATTTAGATCGAAAGATTGTGTGTTCCATAATCAATGAATTTAAGTGTTGGCGAAGTTTAGATAAATCGCTCATTTTAATATAGCATGTCTCATCAAACTGTGAACTGTCTTCTGGATGAAGATTCATCAGAAAATTGATCCGACGTTGCTCCGAAGAAAGTGGAATAATAAAGCTCGCTGGTTTCTTGCTCGGAGTAAGTGAAAGTAGCTGGTTTGTTATTTTAGGAGTATTTTTTTCACAGGTAAGCACATCGCAGACTTCTCTTATACTTCTACACTTAATTAAGGATGCTGGTTTAGCGTTAAGATGATATTCTAACCCTGCAATCTTAAGAGAATCCACACCAATATATGGTAAGTTTGTTTCTATAATCTTCAAAACTTCTTCTTTGGTTTCCGGAAGTTTTGACAGAACTTTCAAATCATAATACAATACGTCAAGTATTGATTTTAAAATAGAATTGAAGCACTTTCTTTCTACTTCACAGTCGATGTGATCTTCAATAATACTTCTTTCTTTGGCGTTCGTAAAGAAGAATTCAGTAGCAATTGAGACTGTTTCCTGATAATAATTGCTTCGAATCCCTTCAATAATGCCAAATAATGATCCAGAAAAATTGAAAAATTTCACATTGGTAGATGATCCGTCGAAAATCATATTGACTTGAATTGGGCCAAAGTGAACGTACGGCAAGACAATATTGTCGATTGAATTCACCGCTATCGAATTTTGGCTCAAGAAAGAATATAAAATGGCAATAAATTCAAATAATATCGAACGAGGTGTGATATGAGATGATTCGAAATCAACCATTGCGTAAATATTATTCACACAAGACTTGAAAATTTTGATTGGTGCATCTAGTCCAAAGAGGTCTTCGATCTTTTCCATTATCGTCGGATCGTTCATGATATTGTTATAAATTTCAGTGCGATCATTTTTTTCTGACAAAAGCCACTGGGCTTTAATTTTTCTTGCTCCGTCTTTATCCACAAGTGTCATTCCATTTCGCGAGTTAAAACCGCACATCATCGTTGTTTCATTGAAGCAAGTCAATTTGCATTGCTTAATGTGAACACAATTCTCGAAGCAAAACGATATTTTTGTTCCGAAAATATCAGTGACGACGAGGTTGCTGAAACTTCAAACTTTATTATTTCATTTGCAAAAACCGAGAACCCTCGTTTCTGTAATCTTTTTTTGAAAATCTGCGAGTTTGATTCGCGATTCATCAAAACGTGAAAATAATTCGAAAACACCCAGAATGTTAGTTTTTTTTTTCGATGGCAGAAGCGCTTTCCCAAAAATATCAAACGAAAACGCAAGAGAACCACACCGCGGTGAAAGTTTTGTTAATGGCGAACCAACTTGGTCATTAATGAACTAACCTTTCTTTAGAGATAACATCAAGGTTGATGTTGCGAATAAATATGCACAAAGAAGATCCAAAATTTTCGCTTTCATACTTTCTAGCTAATTCTGGCAGTATATTGCAAAAAAGGTGTTCGTTTTTTAGGAATGCCATAACTGAAAAATTATTTTTCTGCATTTATGTATATATGTAATATATTCATATTATGAATTCGTAAAAGTAGATTTGAAACTGGACATTGCAACGATTACTGTATATTTACACCAATAATAACAATATAATTAGCTGTCATTATGCGAATACGTCAATAAGCTACAATAGCTCCGTGCCTTGCTCGTCTTGTTGTCGTTTCTTCGGAGGCATTTCTGATGGGAGGGCCTGGTTTTTAGTTTCTGGGATGAACAAGTGGAAAACTAAAATGTCAACCAAACAAAGTAAACCGAGAACTAAATAAGGTGCCCCTTCAAATCCGAATTTCTAAAATTTAAATTTTAAATATTTTGCTGAAAAATGTAAAGCTCACGTAGCTAAAAATCATGGGACCAAATACATTTCCAAGGCGTCCGCATACATTGACGTGTGCTGACGCAATGTTCCTTATTCCAGTTGGGAACAATTCCGCAGTAATTAAAAGAATTTGAAGAAATAAACACCCAGTAATACCAAATGCTAACAATGTTAATGCCCTGATGTAAAATTTATACTCTTGTTGCATCCCTAAATTATATTAATGAATTGATTTTTTCGAAAATATTACCATGGTATTCAATAAAAAATATTCCAAGCATACACATCATTATGAGACCAACTGTAGCAAAATGCATTACTTTTCTGCCAATAGTTTTTCTTCCAAAATGATCAAGAAGAGCAACCTAAATTTAAGACTATATGATAAGAAAGCAAAATAATTACCAATGCTCCAACAATGTATCGAAGTAAGCCAGAAATTGCGGAATTAATGTAAATCGAACCGGTCAGAACATCATAGTTAAATAATAGTCCGTAAGTAACGTAACTCACAGAAAACCTAAACACTTATTTGAACAACTTTCTATCGGGGAAATGATAACATTGAGAATGAAGTAACTAATGTCCGAATAGCTATTTTCGAGTTCGTATAAAGATGTTTGAAATGATATTTCTTTGCTTTCTGTCTGGCGATTTGGGATTCTTTTATAGAACTGTCAACAATCTCCGCGATTTCTTCACTGCTTAGCTATGTTTCAAAGAAATTGAAGAAATTTTAAAGAAATTTTTTTACCTTTTTCCTTTGGGACTTAAATTTATTAATGTAGTGAATTGCCTTAATAGCATGTTTTCGTTTTCTCAATTGAATGAGATATTTTGGACTTTCTGGAAGAAATCTGAAAAATAGTTTTAATTCTTTTCGTTTGAAAAAAAGAGCTTAAAAAATTATTGAGAAAGAAAAACGAATTTTACACTTACCCAATGCATAATATAATGGCTACCAAAGTCATGCAATTTCCAAAGCGTGCCAAAGAGCTAAAACAAAATTGCATTGAGATTATTATTCAGTTGTAAAATTTATTCAGATATCTAACCGCCAATCTTGGGCAATGTATGCAAAGAAGGCAAAAAGAATATAGTTTGGAGCCCACGTAACGACAGTACACATCCACATACGGTGAGCTGAAGGGAGATTTTCCACTATGAATATTTGGCCAACTCTGTTATGTAAAATTTTGATTACTAAAAAATACGATAAAATTACGTTGATAAACCACCACAGCATATTCCAATGAGAAAACGAAAAAGTATAAATATCTCAATAGACGTAGAAAATGATGATCCCGTCGAAAAAATTAACATAAAAATTAAAACAACTTGAGTGACCTTAATACAAATTTCTGTTAATAAGAATTAAAATATGAAAACCATTTTTCGTCCGTATATATCTGATAGTTGTCCAGAAAGAGCAGATCCGACCATTATTCCTACCATCTGGGATGTTGTCGAGAATCTTGCAAGGTTTGATCCTCCGAAAATTTGACTTATACTATCCATGAATGAATTTTCATGTCGAGAGCAAAGTTGTGAGAACTAGATTGTTTTTATTCAAAACTGATGGGCCCCATCCTTCTTACTTCAACAGCGACCGATTTAAACTCATATTTCAGCATTGGGTCTCTACATTCAACATCGTTATCGTAATAAAGACATTCTTCTTGACTAGTCGTCGCATTGTAAATTATGCCATCGCACCCTTCAATTTTTGGGGCTACTGCTCCAAACATGTTAAAAACCTTTAATCCCACGGAATAAATTTAAAATTGGTATATAAACTAAACCGAATTTGAAAGCATTGTAAATATGAGAAATTCATTGAATACGATTACAAGAACCTGGTAAAAATCCAGTTGAAATACATCGTCTAGTTTTAACATCGTATGTTAAGAATACAGACACCAAATAAGTGTGCAGAACTGTCTGTTTTTGCCCGAATTGATAAGAAAAGGCGATTTGTGCTCTCTTGATAGCAGGGTTTGAATATTCTAGTGTGTTCTTATAGATGTATCAACTATGTGATAAGGAATCGATTTATTTTATATATGTACAACATAGCATCCCTCTCTGAACAATGAAGCTGAGTTGTTAAAATAAATTACTGAAATATGAACGCCTATCAATTATTTAAAAAAAACCCCAATGCTTTATTATTTTAACACTTATTTCGAAAAATAATGTTCTACTGTGAACCAAAGGAACCGCTTTTCGCGACGCCATACGTAATCGATTGCGCAACCCGTGCCTCGAGCGTGCGATCGTTTGTTGCATCATTCCGTCGGCACATACAAAAAAGATTGCAAACATGAAATTCGAAGAATTGTGTTTGAAAAACATCTTCTTTTATCTCATTTAAAAAAAAACGATTGTTTAGAAACAACCAACCTCAATTCAAATTGCTAATTCGCGTAACGTCAATGGGTAACGATTGTTAGAAAAAATTACCAACTAGTACCATGTTTGAAAAATAATTGACGTTCTATTATATTTTACGTTTTTATTGAATCAAAACCGGTCTATATGCGCTAAAAACAATAGAAATAAAGATATTTCTAAAATTTAAAAATCTGATTTCGGAAGCTATAAAACGAATTATTCCACCAATTTTAAATTTTAAAACTAGTATTTTTGCATTCCTCAATTCAATTCAAACAAATTTGAAGTGGCCAAAATATGATGTTTCAAGAATACGCCCTTGTCTCTTCCATTAAATATTCTTGTGTACATGTTCGCCGAAGCTGACCAATTTCCCAACCCGAGAGGTTGTTGTCGTCGAAATACAGAAAAAAAAAACGGAAAAACATCATCACATGACAACAAATAGAATACAGGTTGGTAAAATGGATGATGCTGCCGGGTTGCCTACTTGATGATGCTGACGACAAAACCGGGCTTGAAAATTTCTCCACAGAACCGACCAATTACGGTAACGGTGAGGGTCATCAGACACGAAAAGTCGTCTAGTTCGCTTCTTTTTCTCTTGCTTTTGGCTCATTGAAGGTCAGCCGATCGACAGAGGAAATCGTGCGAAGAGATGGCGCGAGAAGAAGAAGGCTTGACCTTCAGCTTTTGTCGTTGTTCATGACCGCATGTACGCCTGGTCGGTTGGTCGCCTGCCCCGACTGTATGCGTCGCTGAGGAGAGGTGAAAAATTTTAAAGTTGAATTTTCGATCAATCGCCCATTTTCAAATTTTTCGGCCAGAGATGCTTGACTAGACAGATCGAAACCATAAGGCATGACACGAAAATCATTTAATGGAACACTATTCTCACTCATCACTCTTTTGGGGTGATAAGAACGGGATTATTCATGACTAGTTATACTTATAATTGATATTTTGGGCTCATCAAGATGTATAATGATATTTATTAATTTTCGTTTCACAACGATTGAACAATTTTAATTTAGATATTTCGAATTAATCAGTTCCTGCTAGTAGAAAGGTTTATTTAAAGTTTTGGAAAACCAATAGCTCAATTTATTGTTCCCTATTTGCTTGTTTAAATTTTTGTTTCCAAATTGGGTAGGTAACTCAAAAACGGCGAGTTTGTGTATTTGATTTGCCATCGTCTGTCAAAAAACTATTTCGTTTCAATTCGCCTAAAAAACGAGAGGCTTTGAATGCGGGGCGCAATTTGCCGGGCGCACATTTGGCACTCTTTTGCTTCTGAAAACCGGTATTCCGGGCCGCGCTGCGTCTCTTCACCTCATGCTCGCCAAAGGCTCTACCGTACCTCAGGCACGCAGTGTTATCAATTTTTCGCTGGCGCGCAGTTGTTAAAATAGTGAGAGACTTGGTAACACGCAGAGAGGCTCGCGTGTCCTGCCGCCACCGTTTTTCGGCAAGAAGAGTAAGTAATGTAAAATTGCTAGTGCGGCTACTACCATTTTTGGGAAAATAGAGAAAAAGAGAGACGTACAATGATTCGACTGGCTGCGCGCGCACACACAGGTCGCCAGCATCATCATTGACATCAACCTCGGCCCAGGCAGCAACAAAAATGTTTGTTACTGTGCTATTTAGTATTTTATTCGAATTTTCAGCCTCAAAAAACGATTGAGGTTCGAAGTTTTTCAATTCTAATTAAATTCTATTAAATTCTAATTAAATTGTCAGCAAACAATCGAAAAGCTCAATTTAACATGCCCGCGAACATTATCAATATTGTAGATAAAAAGAGAACTTTAATACGTTGGTTATAAATTATTGGAAATATAAAAATTGTTATTTAAACCGACGCTGCATCCGCTATCTAATACTTTTTTGCTATTGCAACTCTTTTTTTCAATTTTTTCTCGTATATCGTACTTGCTCTTTCGATAGTTTACAGTCCCATTCATAATAGTATTTGGGTGGTGGTGGTGATAGAATTGCATTCCGTCGTCTTTCATTTACTGTCATTTGGTCAAATCAGAGGTCATCATAGCTTTAAACGGGCATACGCACGTTGCGCGTTGTCCTTCTATCGAATGGCCCGGCGGTCGTTCAATTTTGAACAGTCTTCACCATTCCATTTTCGTCGCAATTTTTTGTCACTTTCGGTTCTACCTTCGACCCCTCCCCGATTGCGCGTCGCATCACACAACTACCAGTACTCGAAGTAGCCGTTGAGGCTTTTGTACTGTGGGTGGGGCGAGGACAAAAATGGGGAGGCAAGGTGCATGTGCCAAGGTCGCTCGTCTTCGTCTCCACCGAGGCCTTTTTCCACCAATCGCAGTGCTTACTTGTACACTTTCGGTATTTTAGGCCAAAGTTTTTGTTCAAATAAAATTTTTAGAAAACGAAAATTTCAAAATTAACCGCAGGAAAGTACATTTTTATAATTTTTTGGGGTAAATCAATGACTTTACTTAAAGGATTTTGCTTAAAAAATGGATTTAAATTAAGATTTGCTAATATGTATTTTCTGAGCAGAACAATTATGAAGAAAAAATGAATTTTACAATCATTATTACTGTAGAAGATAGTTCAGTTCACCGAAATGACTCGTTACGTACTCTAATTTTTGAATTTTAGCATCAAGTTGTCTACGTTTTATTCTGCACCTTACGTATTCTCTCGGTTAATTGCCAATAACTCATGAGACTTCTTTCTGCTTCTTTTTATTTCATTATATCGTGAGAAGGGACAACCTGCTCCGCATTTATTTTTATGGCCTTATACATAAACGTGTCTATGGAATGAAGCTTCCCAAAATTTCATGTGCTCCTTTCGTGATTTTATGGTTCGTCTTTTTTGTTTGTGAAAATTTTTATTTAGGAATTCCAAAAAAACTGAACTGTTTTAGTTGACCTCGTAGGGTAGGCATACCGTGCGCACTTATTATCATTGCGCAACGCAATGCGGGGTCCTCGGCTTCTCCACAATCTACCAGCAATGGTGCCAAACACATACTGTTGCGTGCCTTTGTTTTTGCGCGGGAAGCAGCACGCCGGATTAGGCACGATAATCGCATGCGTACTACTACCTTTCTCATTCACTCTCGCCTGCCTATTCTCATCCATTCCCACCGAGATTGTTCGCCATTTTTGTCACCTTGACCCTGCCATTTTGCGCTTTTATACTTTTGGTATCTAATTAGAGCATTTTATGGATATATGTTTGTCATATATGTACAATGGTTATAATTTATAACGGCGAAAATACCATGTTTTTACAAAACGTATATTTTAAAATTCAATATTTGTTAGTTCTTAGAATAAATAAAATTCTACAATATTGAATTTTGGAACTAGGCCATTAAGCATGTTATACACAAAATAATACGTTTTTATGCGCTGACAAATTCACAAAATTGTGCCTAATTGAACATTTCTTTGCCGAGTGCTGCATACAAAAAACAGTTTTGTACAGAAATGGATGGTGTTGGCCGCACAAGCTTTTGTTTTCGATATCCAAAGTAGTTGACCCCGAAACGTTCATTCATGCACACAACTCTTCTATTGTATTCTATATCTTCTATATTAAGGGAAAGGTGAAAGTATCAAAAGAGTCAAGTGTTCTCTCAAAACATAGTTTTTCATGTATCATTCACATTTTATAAAATTTGTGGAAATGGTTTTAATTTTTACCAGCTTGCTACGGCTTTTTTCAAGCTCAATTTGACCTTTCAAAATTAGGTGTATTTTCGATCTATTAAGTGGTGGAAAATGTTTACCAATTATATCTATTCTCTCGTTCTTTCTTCACACCAGCAACACATCGTCAAAGCCGTCATACTGTACGCGTTTCGCACAAAAGGCAGAAATTAGATGTGCAACAATTGGTGTCACATTTACGGTGCTGCATTGTTTATTGGTGACGATTATGGGTTGCACCATTCTTATGCGAAAGCCCCACCCCCTTGAATGACATTCATTCTACCATCGCGCATCATTATGCTCAGCGTATCAGCTTATCAAGCTTCATTGTTGATGTGTTTTTGCGACCCCGTTATATTTGCATACCCTTTTCGCTTATCGATGAAAACTTTTTTATTACAATTTTGTTGTTTTCAGCGTCCAGTATGCCGTACCGTCCAGAAGCTGAGCTGAAAAGGCCTGATTTGAAAGGTACGAACATTTTTTAAAGGATAAAACATGCATATAATTTGTTTAGGAGAATTTCTTTGTGGCCACTGTGGCAAAACATTTTGTCACGCGGCTTCATTGAATCGTCATCGTTTGAATTTTCATGGCGATGATCAACAGTGCCTTTTGTGTATGCAACAAATCCCGCCCAACGACACCGTTCGCCGACACATGTCAGTTCATCATGGAATCGCTCGCGTCTTCACGTGCGGTTGCTGCAATTGGACGTTTCCCGACAAAAAAGAGCTGCATTCGCATAATAATAGTATGCTAAAGACGGGCAAGCCAGGAGAAGCGAAAGCGATTGCGATCAGCAGTCGACCACCAGGTATGGCTCCTTTTTGATGATTATCGCGTATTGATGAAAACGATTGATAAGGATAGTAGTGCAAATAGTGCAGGACGTATAAAATAATGGGGGACCATATAAGATAATGATAGAAAAATGTAGCACACAAATTAAGAAGACGCATTATTGAAAGTTAGGAAATGACAAAAAAATAAAAGAAACTTTAATAATAAAATTACAATTGCAGGCTCTCTATCTCAACACGAATTAAAGGGAGAGGAACGAACCCCTTCTCAAAAGATGAAGAAAAAACAATCCAAAGTTGTGGAAAAATCAAATCCTGTTGTCGATATCCTTTCTATGATATCGTCGTCATCAAATTCAGCAACAATGGTTCCAGGAACTCAAATTCCAGCCAGTTGGCTATCAACGTTGTTCCTCACAAACCCCAGTTTTCTTCCGCTCCTGCAACAACAACAACAGAATTCACAAACCGATGAAGAACATAGTTTAGAAGACAAAACGAAATTTGAGCAAATATCACCGTCGTCTTCTTCGTTGAACGAAAGAGCGTCAACTTCCATGACTTCGGCATCGGTCAACAGTGTTACTTCTTCTGTATTCCAGAACAACAATTTCAATTCACGAGAAGATGATGAAACACTTAGTGAATATGGAATCAAGGTAAGACTTTTAATATTTGACATGCTAAAATTTAATTGTTTTAGAACGAAATTGATGACGATGATCACATTCTGATGGCGAAAAACTTTGCTCGCGATCTTCTAATTGTGAAAACTGAGCCATCAGAATCATCAAGCAGTGGACCAGAGTCCGGAATCGGGTCATCTGGAGATGATGCTTGTACGCCTTCTCCACTATCTGTACACTCAAAGGAAGGGTCACCCGACTCTATTGACGACCACGAGGCGCAGAAATCAAACTCTCCTCTAGACGTTGCTAACATTCTCTCAAAAAGTCGCAAGCGAAAATCTGTCGACGCCATCGCTTCGCTTCTCTTCAAGAAGAAGTGCATGATGAAGTAATTTTACCCTAAGCATCCTCTCACCTAATTGTATCAGGAAATTATTGCAGCATTATGAATATTGTCTAATAACCCCAAAATGTAACCCAAAAAAATTTCCTTATAAACTTCGTTCTCTGCAACTCGTTGCCTTCTTTTGTCTATCCGGCAAATTTTTGTGATAATTACCTTATTACCTGAGATTTGTTGTTTTTCAGCGGCTTTATCAACATGATTGGTCAAATTCGCTTGCCAATTGATCGTTTTCATTCATCTGTTGTTTTTATTCGTGTGTTTTGTTTTTTTTTTAAACTACTCATTGCTTCATCATACTTTTGCACATCTGTAATAAAGACTGAGAGAATTCGAGTGAGATGTATAATGCACAGATATGTAATCATAGGGTATTAATATTTCACAGTGGATTTCTGGATGCTGGTAGGTAACGAATGTATTCTCGTTGAGTTTTGTCATTTTTAATAAAATGGTCAGCTGATTTATGAAGCCATCGAACCTGAAAAAAGGAAATAAAATGGTTCGTTTAAATTTTAGTTGTTTAAAAATTCCCTTCTTTAAAACTAAAATGAAGATTGACTAACATTCTTATCTTCCGCGACGAGTTTTTGAATGGGCCTCGGCCAATTGTTGTTGATGCCCTTGTTTGTTGGATGTTTTACGTCAACTCCTTTGACAATCTGCATAGTTGAACATTTGGGAAACATCATTTTAATGAAAATAACCTGTGTGTAATACTGTACAATCGCAGGATATTCTTGCTTTTTCGCGCAGACATGTTCTATAAGACCACTAACAGCGGATTGTCCCACCGGTAAGAGTAGATCCGAATGAGTTTCATTAAAGTAGTAACAACCTAAACATGTGAATTAAAGATATCTGATGAACGCTGATCAACCAGCCCACCGGTAATCCATACACCTGTCGAAAGGCACAACCATTGAAAATCTCCATCTCGGAACACGTCGCCGAGTTTATGCTTTGAATTATTAAAGTTGCAAAATGGTTCTGAATTTATTTAAGGACATAAAATAATTTATAAAATGTTTGTATACCTATTGAAAATTTTAATTTTGTTTCATCCTCTTCACAACTATGCCACAGTTGATCAATCGTGGTATTTCCTCCTACTCGTATCTCGTTTTTTCCCGCTTGACATCCAATAAACTTCAACTTGGAATTTTCACAAGAATAAATCCAAACGTCGTCATCAAGCCATGTGTGGCTGTTTTGTCGGCATTCTCCATAGTAATCACGACAGTCACAGTTTTCTAAAACCACACACCAATTTCTCAAAAACATGATAAAAATATTATTTAAAAGTAAAAATTTTCTTTCGAATGCAGCTATTCAGTGATACACAAAAATGCCTGTTTACCGATATTTTGATCACAATCAATCTAAGCCGAATTATCATTTTTTTTATTTCGCACATTTTACGTGATTGAATTGTCTAAAAATCACAAATTCGACAATTTTGGATGAACAAAAATGGTCGATAAAAATTATTCAAATAAACTAGCAAAAAACATACCTACCTGGAACAAGCTCTATGTCATAATCAGTTTCGAGTGAAAATCTAAAAGAAAGATGTAGAAGCAGAAACAATCTGAGATGCATATTATTCAAATGGCAAAACTTGTCGCCGTGAATGCCATTATTTATACGCAATTCTTATTGGAGGAGACGCAGAAGAATTCTGTCAAAACACCGGAACGATATGATTAAGGGTGTTTCGTAATACGATTCATTTATGATTTATTGTTCTCCCATTTATCTAGTTTTTTTTTATAATTTGCTTGTTATCTTTTTTGCTACGTCATTTAATTTATTTTCTTGTAATTCCACCTTACCACAGATTAAAAGCTCGAAAACGACGAACTGAGCTGCACGACATAATGCGAAAAATGCAGCCAGTGTAGTCCCCTGGCTCCGCCCAGTGCAAATTCCTCGTCAGAGCACATATTTCTGTGCCCATCCTCTTTTTCATTTTTACTGCTTCGGAAACTAAAGAAATGTTCTCGAAAGGATTTTCTACAATTGGATTTGCCTGCCTAAGTATGTTGTTTTTATGTTTTTCATATTTTTTTGAGCAAATCTACAGAAAATACAGTTTTGGAAAACTAATATATCAATTGTGCTTTATTAAAAAAAATCATTGGGAATTTTGGAAAAAAAAGCTTTTGGGGATTTTTTTCCTATTTCACTATATAACACATTCTTCTTCGTAAACAACATGTCACACTAATTATTCGTTTTTGGAGGAAACACATCCACTACTTTCCTATTTACTGCGGACCTAATTACGATGTTACTGAAACGGCTTCTGGGAAGAAAGAATTACCCAATTTTGCGTTTCCTTCTGAATTATCCCCCTTAAGGTAGCATTATAGATTTTTCTGAAGGATATCCACAAATATAGCCAATTGATGTAGAAAAATTCATTCTTCACAAAATATTCTATAGCAGCAACCCATTTAGGCATTCATATATTCAAGTTACGAATTCAAGAAATAAAATATATGCATTCGATAACCCAATTTCAAACTTTTCGTTTAAGAAACGCTGCATTTTGTTCAAAATGTAAACGTTTTGCAATTTCTCTCGGAATGGTGTTTGCTCACGATACAAACACATCTTCCCTATGGTAATTTGGTCCCTGCAACTCCTAGAAAAAAGATAAGAACATGTTTTATATTTGTCACATTGTGACGAGGCACTTTATTTGAAAAAAAAATGCCGATTTTGTATGATCTAGCTTATTCTAGAATATGCATAAAAATTATAAGAACCGATAGTCGGCGTCTGGGGACAGATCTATGCAAGAAAAAAAAACAGCTCACGTGAATATAACAATCCACAGAAAATGACTTACAAATCTACCCCCATACATTAGTCGCCCGACGTCAATTATATGTCGATTTCAGTTTTGGCAACTTCCGCCCAGATTCAAGATAATGATGAGAAAAGAAGTGGCGCTCGATCGTTCCAATTTGAGAAACGTGGAGGAGCTCGCGGTTTTATTCCTGCAGAATACGAGGAGAAGAGAGGAGGAGCTCGTGGGTTTAATCCGGTAAATTACGATGAGAAACGAGGAGGAGCTCGTGGATTTATTCCTATAAATGTCGAGGAGAAGAGAGGAGGAGCTCGCGGATTTATTCCTATAAATGTCGAGGAGAAGAGAGGAGGAGCTCGCGGATTTTTGTCGTTAACAAATGAAGAAAAACGAGGTGGCGGACACGAATTCGTACCATTTAATACACAAATCAATGAAGACATGTCATCGAGTGGATTATTTGGCGAAAAACGAGGCGGCGCTCGTTTCCTTCATGGCAACACGCGCGATGAGGACTGGGTTATTAAGCCGATTTCGGATTTTGAGGGATATCGTCTTGGTTTGTACTAAAACGCTTCTATTTTATGTGTCTATCTTTTCCTCTATTCTGTACTTATTCTTCAGTTATCCTCTCTATAACAACGTTTTGTTGGTCAGTAATGTAATTTTTTAGAAAAGCGTGGAGGTGGCAGAACATTTCCAGTTAAAACTGAACAACATGAGAGAAATTAAACAAGCTTCCCCTTTCTTTTTCAGTGTTTGTTAAATAATAAAGATTATGTTTCGCGTTTTCTGCTCAAAATGAAAATATGACAGTTTCTGATTCGGACGAATCAGAGTATTATCTTATCAACGATACATGTTTCACAATGAATTTGTCTATTCTCACCCCTCCAATTTTCTCGAATTGCATACAGTATTATAAAAATGAATATGCGGATTTTCAATTTTGCACAAATGATTCAAGTGAAGCGTGTAAAAACCTTCGACAAATGGCATCGATTAAAACCATATACCAATGGGCAATAGTTTTTTTGCCGAGCAACTTATGTGTTGCTTCAATTGCATTAAATATTTATTATTTATACAAGATATTGATGTCTTACAATCAGTTAAACAAAAGGTAAATTCGAATGGTCAAAAACGTTTACATCGTCGTCATTCAAGTTTTAAGAAGCGTTGCATATTTTCATTCAGTCGATCCGTATCTTCTGTGTTATCAGCTGTTGCTATTTTAATACAACCGATACTAACTTGTATTTCAAAATTTCGTTTCTGGAATCTATTTATTATGATAGTTCTTAATGGGCTTAGCGTTTTCGCTTCTTTAGGTAAGCTTCAAGTAATTGCGTTTTAAAATGTTTCATATCAAGATTATAGGAAATTTCGGTTGCTCCGCTGTTCTAACTTATTACGCAGTCGCACATCCAGTAATTTTCCACTCTAGAATAACCATACGAAAATGCGTCCTCTTTGTGGTAGTAAATTGGTTATTATCATTAATACTGTCAACTAGTAGCGGAATATTTCAAGCAGCTTTTATATCAATCGATTCACCGTTTATGTGTAATTATGACAGTTGTGAATATCCAATCCTTATTTGTACAGGTACAAACAATTAGCATGGAACCATATAAAACCAACAATATAATTTCAGTGTGCATTGTTTGTTTCGTGTTTACGGCATCGTTTGTAATTCAATTCATTGTATTAATTATTCTTATAAAGAGATACAACCACGAAAAAAAAGTAAGAAAACTTGAAAGCATTTTATAATTTTGAATTCAGTTTGCCAACTTATACACTTCTCAGACAAAGCTTATAATTACAAAACAGGCAGTAGCTCTATTCGTATCCACTGCTGTAGCGTTATTTGAAGTCGTGTTGTCAGTGATTTTGGTGTCAGATTTTCGCAATTTTCAATTGTTTCAAAACGAGCATGAGGAGGCGCGAAGGCCTAAATCAGCTGCGCGTTATGAGACTAACTGCAATATTTTTTTGAATAGTGCTATACTTTTGGAATGGACAAAATTGGCATCTGCATTTATGTTGATTTGGTTAGCAATTCTATATACTTTTCACTCACGCATACAAAATTACAGGTCTGTTGCGCTTTTCGTCGATTCAATAATGAACCTCATATATGACAGAAATGTTTTAAGATTCGCCAGATTAAAAGTTTGAAGAAGTTTTTTTTCAACCGTTTAACACAATTTTTAAAGCTTACATCACTTTTCGAGACATTAACTAAAACTGTTTCACTATTGACATAATCCTTGCTTTAACATATTTAACGCTGTTATGCAAACATCAGCTATCAGTTATAATGCAAAGAGAAGAAATATTTGAAAACTGCTCTTTTCATTCATTGGATGAAGAAAAATATGCACAATGTACAAACACGTCCACACCTTGCGAATTGCTCCAGGTAATGTAGGTTTTTTTAATAGTTAAAATTGGTTGATTACAGTCGATTGCATTTACAAATGACTTATTATATTGGTTAAATTTTATTGTGCCTCTTATTTTATTCATTATTGCTGGAATAATCAACTTATATTCGTTATGCATATTAACAACGATATACAGAAAGATGAATGATCAGCAAGTTATTAATCGTTTTATTTTCACTCAAGCTAACTTACAGAACAAAAAAGAAATACGTGCTAGTCATTAGCAGAAGTATTTCATCATTTGTTTGCGTAATATCAATGCTGATGCTTCATCAATTGTTATACACAGATTCGAATTATTATTTACTCGTACTTTTCACAATTTTAACAAATGCTTGTTTCTATACTATTTTGGGATCATACGTTGGAATGGCTATTTTTATGTACTTTGCCGTAATTCATCCAGTTTGCTACACAAAAATACAGCTTCGAAGTCTCTACATATTCACAGCGGTCATTTACATTATTGCGATAACATTTGCTTTAATTGGAATATTACAAGTTGCTGTTTGTCGACCCGGTCCATTTACCTGCGACGTAGAAAAATGTGAAAAACTTGTTGCTTGGATTAATAGTAGGTTTTAAAGATATTATAATCATGTAATTATTTTTTAGCCGGAATCGTTATTTTTGTTGTTGTAACTACGGCTTCGATAGTGTTATTTGTTATTGGAGCGCTTCAATATAATGTGCTACAAAATAAGAAAGTACTCTTTCACTTTATCTTTTCAAACTGTATGCAAAAAAAAGAAAATTCGTTTTCTTTTTAATTGTCTTGAATTGTTTCGAAATTGTATATTATTCTTTTTAGTCTGGAATAAATTCGAACAGTTACAATGCGCGACAAGCACAAAAGATCCTACTAGGAAGTTTGCTCGTATTTACGTTGGTCACTGCTGCTGAATGTATCCCGGCATTTTTGTTATCGACTTTTGTCATCGGTAAGATTTTGCAAAATGCATATGTATATGCAATCTGTGTTCATCCAGCAAAAATAGAGCGTGGGTAGATTTACGGTCACGTGTTTTCTGGAGTGGTCTCGCCCGGATGAATTAATCGTTTAGTATTTTAAGGTTTAAATCAAGTTGTTAAATATCAGAAACGTGCGAAATTTAGGAAAAAGTAAATCGACCTGATAGAATGAGAGATCATTAAAAAAGAGCCTCCGATATCTTAGTTGAACCCTTATGTTCTTTCTAAGCGAAAAAACAAACAAAATCTGAACACTCAGTGATTAAAAAAAAAACAAAAACGCAAATTTGAAATGTCATCTCAGCAGTGTAGTGTTTAAAAAATCCGGTCATACAAACTCTGCCACGACTGTTCGGCCATGTTTCTGTGGAGGAATGAAATCATTTGGACCTGTGGGGAGGGGCTCTACTAAGATGTGTGGGGACTAAGTTTCACCTAAGTTTATTTCGTCTTTTATTAGAAACTTCTAAATGTATATTGAATGTTTGCGAAAGAACTGCATGACTTTTCCGAGGTTCCTACGTTTTTCATTTGTCGGACACAAAAAATAATGAAATTTCGTGTGTAGCACAACAACGAGATTCATGTTATCTCTTTTATATGGGATCTGGATCATTGCTACCAGCATTACTGTCTTCATGGAACACAACGTCATGGGCTTTGGCACAATTAATCGATCCTCTGGTTAATTTTTTTTTCGACAGAGGTGTGTCGGACGTCGTCAAGAAGCAGGTATTTTACTTTTGTTTCCAACAGTTAAAAGACATGTTACAGACAACTTGGATGAAATCAAAAATGAATGGGTCATGGAAAAATGTTAAAAATTACTTTGTTTAATATATTTAATAATCGATGTTTATTTAAAGTGTAATGGTAACACAACAACACAATTAAAGTGAGATGAAGAGCAGGAAGCAGTGAGATCCAATTTTGTGCTCCACATAAAATGGAGCGGAGCATTTAAGCAGAGATGACAAAACATTTGATGACTACACGATAAAAGAAAGAAGCAAGGTTTACAGAAAAATGAAGCGTAAGCGAGATTCATAAATCCATACCAATACCAGAGTCGGAAGGATTATAGGTTTCACTGAAAATAATTGAAATTAAAGTTATGTACGTAAACTTCTCACATTTTAAGCGTAGGATCACTTTCATTTTCCACTGCTATCGAAAGTCTTTGAGATATTGAACCACTACGGCTTGAAATGATCTCATCAGGGGCGTAAATTACGTCGGTTGCATGGTTTTCCGGCAACCGAATTTGACTTGTGTACATTGATAGTGTGGATCGAATCATTGGATCCTGCTCGCCTGGCATATTCATTGACGGTGGTCGACTTCCAGACGTAGATGCAGAAGACTTGGAGCGAAATTGAACTTTAGTACTAAAAATAACATTAGTTTTCGAGATTGTTTTCATAATTTACGGAGTTCCAAAGCGACTATCTGCCGGTGCAGAGCAGAAGCTTAAAACATTTTGGTCATTTCCATTTTCATATTTAAACTGCATCAAGTCTAAGCTTCTCTTCATAGCTTCTTTTTCTTCATCGTCGTGAATTTGCTTCTTTCGCAGTTCCTCTATTTGTTGCACCAGAATTCTTTCAATTAAATGAATATAGATTCGTGAATAATCTCAAACCCTACTTTTCACCGTTTATCTTTTGATCTAGAATTTGCTTATATTCATTAGCCTTGTGACGCCATTTACTGATTTCCAGTTCTTTCAAAGGAATTTCATCAACTTGCAAAGATAGCTGCAAACAAGTGAAGATTGTGCGTGTTTCCTTCAGATATATGTACATTCTGATTTTTTTGTCTTAGCTCCTTCATTTCTGCTGATTTCATTTCCATTGCCGTTTGGAGTGATGAGATTTCTTTTGTTAACATTTGATTCCTCTGATCGCAATCATTTGAAAGTGCTGTTTGCAATGTTTTTTTGTCTAGTTTTAGTTGCTCGCACTGTTTTTCTGACTCGGCAATTTTCTCATCGAGACATGCAACAACCTAAACTGCATTTTTTGAAACGTATTCCATGAAAAATTAACCTTCTGGTGTCGATTACTCATTGCGAACATTTCAGCATCCCGGCGTGCTTTTTCATCGTCAAGAAGAACTTCGAATTCTTTTATTTTTTGTGCCAACTAATTTAAGAAACACTTCATTTTCAATTAATTACAAATCCTCACCTGCTGCTCATTCTTCTTTTTCAGATTCTCGATTTCTTGGGCATGATTTTTAGCAACTACAAATAGCAGGATTAGTATCGGACCAGCTCCAAAAACATGTGCTAAGATACTCCATGCTGTCAAGGGTTGGCAACTTTTCAAAGAAAATGAAGCGATCATTCCAGCAATAATAGATAACCAAATAAGTTGAATAGAATTCATGGGTTGAAATTTTCGTAGAAAAAATCCGGCAAGAAGCCGAATCTCGGACACTGTGCGGCGTGTCAAAAATCTTTAGATGGCCGCACGGATAACGCGGCCGACTATCTCGCTTTTTGTTGAAAACGCGTTTCAAGTTTCCCGGAAACATTTTCCGCGCTCTCGACGACAAAACAAAAATTCATTCACCTTGCAAGTGAGTCGCCGCCAGTCGATCGACGTCTTCCTGGAATTTTCTGGTTGCTTCATCGATCCGTTTGCGAAGATCGGCGACTTCCTGCGACTTATGTTCTGAAATTACAATGTACCAGCGGTTTAAGTAAAAAAAAGTTTAAGTGAAATATGGTTACATATTGTCGAAGTCAAACGACTTGACGAAATTAAAAAAAATTATTGGCTATTTGCCAATGCGTCTCGAGGCAGCGAGATGGCGTACATTGCATTATAGCGTACGCGCATTTAATATTCAGTCAACGAAAAATTTAAATTTATACTGATTAATTTGAAGTCCACGCCTCCCTACAGTCGTTTGACGCCGGCAATAAAACAATTTCAACTGTCGTCAAGATTTGGTAATTTTCTATTGATTGAGGAAAATAAATGAATTTAAAGGATGGTTCATTCTCTTAGATTCACGAGCTCCATTAAATGAGATCATAATTAAAATGCCACATTGTCAACTAAAAAATGGAAATTCTGAGAAAATAATCAATTAAGCTGTGAAAAATATTTATAAAAAAAGCGTATTTTCAAGAATTAATACCTAATTTCTTAATGTACTGCTCTATGGCTTTGGTGTTAGCATCATTGAGCGAGGATATTACGATAGATAACGCCTCGAACCCCAGACACGATTTCTGCAATCTGATCAGCTTTTCCTTCTCATCTGAAAAATGTTTAAATTGAAACCAATTTGGTTATGTTTACCAATTAACTGCGGTTTCACTTTTTTTGATACCGACAGAGCTGGAGTATTTTTATTAACAACTCCTTGTGTTTTTCCAGTACATCCGCTCATTGGAATCTCTTTCTTAGTTACTGGAATGAAATTTTGCTGCGGCTTCGTGATTTTTGATGCCAATTTTTCCTTTTCAACTCTTTCTACAAAAAATCGCATTGGTTTTATTAGTTGTTTTTTTTTCTTAACCTTTCGGAGGCGGTGGAACATATAACGGTTTTCTTTCTCGTTTTGGTCGTTCTACTGGAGCCGTTGATGCTGATTTTATTTTATGTACACTTTTCAACGGTTGCCTTGTTGATGATTTACGAGGAGTTTCGACTGTTTCTCCTGAAGAGGTAAACAAGAAGTTCGTTTTTAAAAAATTTTATAAAAAATATATATATAATATATGTATAGGTTAAATCAATTACCTTCTCGGTTTTCGTTTTGCTGTTTTGGTGGTGGTGGTGGGGGAAACAAAGAAACACGACTTTTTATCTCTTTTTTCGGTTTATTCTTTTCTGCTTCAATTGACGCCTGAAAGCTTTTCGTTAATTAGAAAATTTTCGTCGTCGCATTGGCTCACTTTTAATTGCTCCATCATCAGTTGATGCTTACTTGGTGGTCTTGGTTTTACTGGGAACTTTGGAGCCGGTGGGGCAGCAACGTGAGCAGTTTTCTTATCAGCCTTTGATGACATCGTCGTTGATTTCTATGAAATAAATAAATTATTAAACTGTGCAGTTGTGAGATTAAAATATGACAAAACGAATAAAGAAAAGTACCTTTTCTGTAGCACTGGGTTTATCTTCTAATGATGATGTTTCGCTGTATTCATTTTTTATGGTTTCTAAAAATATCCAGTCATGAAAAAAAATTTATTATATATGTAGATATTGACCGCAATTTTTGTTTTCGTCAATTGTTTCCTGGTTTTGCTTCAGTTGTTCTACTATATAATCATTTTGGTTTCGATCTGAAGCACAAACGGGTCTGTTCTCGACTAATGGAGTTTCCATTTCATCAACGTCTTCAATTATTGGAAGATGCTCAACGCCAATGCGTGATTCCCCAAGAACGAATGAAGACTGCACTGAAACAACTGCACATAAATTGCTCAATTAAGGCATGGAAAGACATTTCTCTTTTTTATTCTACTCAACACTGTTTTTTTTTAATTTACCAATTTTTCTGCTGAAATAATATTGTCGGCGTCAAACGACTGAAGCGAGGCGGGCATTCAAAATCGCGCAATCAGTGTAGATTTAAATTTTTTGTTGACTGAATATCAAATGCGCGTACGGTATAATGCAATGTACGCAGTCTCGCGTAATTCTCGCTGCCTCGAGACGCATTCGCACACAGCCAATAATTTTTTTTAATTTTGTCAAGTCGTTTGACTTCGACAATACGAAATATTATTTCAACGAGACAAATTTCATAATACGAATAAAATCGTTCGCCCTTGAAGGCGAATTGACGATAATAGTAGCAATTAGCTACAGCCGGCAGTCTTTTTGGAATAATCTTACGTTGTTCTTCTCTTCTCAATGCTTCGCGATCAATATTCAACACGGATTGAACCATAGGAACACTCATTAAATCCATATCGTCATCATTCGGAAGGCTTATCTTAATTTCTCCAAATCATGATTATGGTTTCAATGAAACGTACCCCTTTTCGTACTGTAAATGTACAATTTGAAGTGATCATCGACTCTGCGATATCACTCCACGAACCGTTGGAAAGCTAAAACAAAAGATATTGATAAATGTTGAAAATCGCATGAAAGGAGCAAAACCAACTTTACAACGCGATACGGCAGGTTAGAAAAATATCTCTCAAGAATCGGTTTTCTCTTTTCAATTTTTTTATATCTCTTCTAAAAATCAACTTTTGAGAAATACAATGTTTCGTAAAAATTTAAAGATGAAAAAAAAGTAATACACATGGAAAAATTGTTATTAAACTGAAAGAAAATTGGTGTAAGCAAGATTGAAGGCGGCGAGGCGAGGTGTTGGATATCCAGAAAACGCAGTCAAGCGGAACAGTGTTGGTGACGAAACATTCACAAAGATATTTCACTTACCATTGAGCCGTCCATCATATCGGAATACATAGACATTTGCATGGGATCTGCTTCTCGACGCAGAATTGAAATCGGCTCTGCCGCCGCCGATTTCATCATCACGTCTTCATTGGAAGACGGCGAACGTGTTAGGGGGTTACATAGGTCAAGAGCAGGTAATGCCGAACGGGAGAGCCGCTGAATGGATTAGAGTGAACAAAATTGATTTTAATTTTCAATTTCAAGCGAAATTATTTTAAACTCGGTCAGTAAAACATAAATAAAACGTGTTAATGTGATAGTATGATATTCCTGTTAAAAAACATTTTCAAAAACATTTTTCGACTGAAATAAAACAAATACCAACTAACATTTTCCGAAGGCGAAACTTTTGGCCGTCTTTCTTTGTGCTCATGGCGATCCAAATTCACCCGAAAGATGGGCGCAAAAATGCCATGTTGTGGAGTGGCAATAAAATAAGAAATTCCTAAAATTATTTACCATTATTACATTTTATGATTTTTATTCGTACCTTGAAATGTGCCGTCGTGTTTACCATTTGGTTCTAATAGTTCGATTCCACAGAATATTCCCTCTTTTCCGTGAATACTACCCACATATCTCAAGAATCCTTTTCCAACATTCGAAACATCGACGAGTTTTCCAACGTCCTGTGCAGTAACGAGTTCTTGTCCTGGATTGTTTGCCTTCAATTTTGAATTATTTTACATTTGTCAACATTGTGTAAGATTACCTGACACAGAAGTGATTTGTTCATTCAAATCAGCCTGAAAAACACAATGAAATTTTCTTCAAAAGAAGAGAATTGATAAGAGAACAAAAAGGAAAACGTAATTTCGGAATTTTTGTTTCGCCGATGACAAATTTCTCGTTTTTCAATTGCTAATGCAACAAAGAACGCAATTTTTTCCAACAAACGAATTCACTTTAATTAACTTCTGAAATTTTTGAATCGAAATATTTCACTTTTTATTTTATTATCAAGATTTTAATTGAGTAAGTGTTCGTCGCGAATGAAAATGTAAATGATTAGAACAATAATAAATGGAAGCAAATCGATAATAAAACGAGCATTTGTTCATACAGAGAAACGAAAACCACGAATCCATATAATTTCGAAAATGCCAATTGTGCCATGGAATAGTGTGTCAGAGGAGTCGCATGAGCTGCGCAAAAACACTGCGAAATGCGAGAGAAACAGACATGTCAGTCAACTATGCCATAGGGGCTTGTGCCACACATTTGCGTTACTCGCGCATGCGAAACTAGCCTGCCAAATTTTCGAAATAGTATCCAGCCAAAAATAATGCATTTGGTGCAGATTGAAAAAAAACTGATGATAATCTCGTATCGAACCGGAAATACCTACTTCAGGCTCTCGGCGTTGAGTGCACGATAATTGGAAAAATAATTTGAAGCTCAAACATTGATCAAAAGAGTTTGTTAGTTTCTCGGTTAACAGACAATGTTTTACCTCAACAATAGAGACTCGCTAAAAAAGGAAACTATTCTCCGAATAAGAAACCTATGCGGAAAATATAAAATGATTTTTGAACGGCATTTTCCGATTTAAGGGCAACAATTTCTCGATGTTCTTAAAAATTATTTAACTTTATCCCTAGGTTTCCATCTTCAATCGAAAACCCTTCGTCTAGTGTAAGCTATACTGTTATGCGGCGTTCATAAATCTCAAGAATCACACATGTTTGTTTCGCGTTTCGTTTCGAAACTTCGGCAAACTTCAATTGGACATTAAAATTTAGCGGCAATTTTGAAAAGCTGTGTGGCGTCTGCTCCGTGCGCAAACTGCGCAGTTGACGAATATTGAATTGATTGACGAGCTGCGATTTGGTGGGAAGAGCGTGCCATTTCACAGAGGAACCTTTGAAAGAACTATGACACACTCTTCATCGAGTTTATTGGATAACATTTTAGATTGAAAGAATACCTTTTTTGTTTCAATTCAAGCAAGAGACAGGCTCTCAAGAAAAAAAAGTGGGAATTCAAATTAAATTTATCAAATCAATCTTAAAATTTAATCAATAAATTCTAGAATACGAGATTTATGAGATTACTGAAAGCGGTAAGATGAATTTCTCGAAAAATCCATTAATAGTCCTCTTTTGTCCACATGGCAATTGACGGAATCATGCAAAAAATTTCTACATACTTCTCCAATAAATCGATGGTATAACATAAAACCACAAAACAATACCAAACATTTCAAATCAGTTTTCTTTATGGTGATAACCGCAATGGAAAACGGTCTACGGAAGCTGCGCGAAGGTTAAAAGAAGAAATTTTGGTGATAGCAGTGAGTGTAGATGATGAACGGTGTTCGAATTAAACACCACAAGTGGTTTGATTTCACTGCGATTCGAGAAGAAAAACTGAGAAAAATGAAGAGACCTCCCAATTTCATTTGCCACCGAATCACTCTCCAACCTAAATACACACGGTTCGACGATTTTTTTTTAATTATTCGATTGGTTTTTGCTATATTGGTAATATTCCCATTTTAATTAATGATTCTCAAATAAATTGAATACTTCCGAATGTGCTCATTTAAAAAATAAAATATGTTATATTGACTTTTAACGTTTCTTTATAATTGAGTCAACAGTTTATTCTTAATATATGATGATGGAATCTGCACAGTGCGATAAATTTATTATTTATTAAAATTGAAAATATTGTAAAAACGGCAAAATATTGTATAAACGGAATGATGACCAAATGAATTTTCCTTTCTAAAAGAGTTTTTGCGCTAATTCTACCGTACTTCTTTGAACAAAGAGTGCTGGCAGCTAGCGCGAGTGGCGCCAACATCAAAGCGATCTCAGGCCTCTTTGTTTTGTTTTCAAAGTGTTTCGGCTAAGATTGGATTTATTTATTTATTCGTAGATTATTCATAAGTTTCCCATTGCGAAAAAGGTCATATTGATGTAGTGTGTGTTGTGCTTTATGAAGCGAATAGGTGATGTGGCAATGTGAAACATTTTGATGGGAGTTAACTACCGTATGACCACCAATCCAGGGTCACTGACAGAAAAACCAACCGGAGAATGTTTTTTGAGCTAACTACAGAGTGTGTTCATGTTTTGTCTTCGAATCGGTTGAATTTTCTCTCGGGCTCCCGCTCCACGAGTTAAGCTTCACAATCATCAATCTCGTTCCCATATATGCTCCTTTCCAATGTTTGCGTATCGTTTTCACCTATTGATGCTCGCTTTTTTGCTCCCGCCTCGCGTTTTCGCGCATTCGTGTCGTTTGTTTTGTTTTGTTTTGATTTTTAAGAGACTGCGAGCGAAAACGAAACGAGAGCAGAGATAACATTTGTAGAAGAGTATAATGATTGTGAGTGAGGTAAAAGTTAAGTTTTTTTGAAATACTTTGTTTCATTTATTAGTATTACTTTCACAAACGAAACAAATTTAAAGGCGCGGGCTTCTTAGTGTATACAGCGGTATGATTTCCTCTGGGTTTGAAAATTGTAAGCAAAAAAAACTATTGAAAGACAAAAGTAATAAACCGTGTTCGAATTTTAGCGGGACGAAATGAAGAATTTTTATTAAAACCAATAATCCCTATATACGCAAAGGTTATACATTCATTAGGTTATACATTCATTTATTAAAATGCAAAATTTTTTAGGGTGCGATGACGTGTTCTATATTGACCTTAGTCATCAGCTTTTTCAAGTTTTTCTCAACTTACAGTATGCCACCACAAAATAATTATCCAAAATTCCCAATTGTATTAATATGTTCAAAACATAGTATAATGAAAGTAAATGGTAATAAGTGCGCTATGCAACATGCCGACTAACTGGTATACGGTGGTGCGCAACTTTCGCTTCCAGCCAAAAACTTTCTCCACTGTTGCATCTCTGAAAATACACTTAATGTGTTGTTGTTGTTGTTGTTGTTGTTGCTTTTTTCGGTTGATGATGCGCCCAACCAATATGCTAAGAGGATGGCGGATAAGTGAGCGCCAAACTGTGGGTCTGGTTTTTTGTTGTGAATTTGTCTTTGAAAGCTTGCTGTCTTTCGTTCCTTTTCTTAGTTCGCTTCGTTTCGTTATCTACTGTAACCTTTTTGAGGGCATCCATAAATTAGCCAGTTTTTCTAAAGCTAGAGTGCACACAATTTCGAAACATGTGCAAAATTCGAATTTCAAAATTAATGAAACAACAATTATTTTTTTTAAATAAATTGTCTTTAAAAACTCAATAGGCTTTTACTTTATATTATAAATCGATCTGGAGCTTTGGTGATATGTTGCAACACAACTGAACAGTTCCACAATTGCAAATGTTTAATTAACGTTGCAGCGAGGGCGAACCCGAAAACGGTTCGGGCTCAGTTTCAACAACAATAGGCGTCGAAAAAACGTGTGTGGATCATTTGCGCGCGAGCGAGAGCGCGCCGAAGTGCGCAAACCTTTTCATAAGCAAGCATTTTTTGATTTTCATCAGATTCTTCACACTTGTTTTCCAATATGCAGTTTTCAAACTTGTTGCTTTTATGTTTGTAGTAATAGAGAAAATCGAAAGTCCTATGGGCGGAGCCACATCGCCACCGCTGAATTAGTTCTTCATAATTCCTTGCCACTATGTTCGTCTTGTGTAAAATTATATCTTGACTTTTATGAGCTATTCGCACACCTAATAAAAACTCTGTAATAATATGCCAATAAAACACTACTTTCTTGACACTCCATCTCACTACTTTTTTCGGAAATTTTATGCGAAACAAACTGCGCATATAAAACGCGATAGTCATGATTGATTGTGTTGATGTTGTTACGGTAGCGTCCTTGATTTACATATTAGCATTGTATTCTTTTGATTCAATAAGAATAAAATGTTTTGTGTATACAATGAAACGTGGGAGCATCAATGTTATTATTAGTATCATTTCACATTTGTTTATTTTTTGCGAAATGAACCAGCTAGAGGTATTCATTTTTGGGACTCCTCACATTTACTTTCCGCCTATTGTAGTTATTAAAATAACAAAAAATATTAACTAAAAACGTATTGTCTATTATTTTGAAATTTGATATCATCTTACATTTTTTTCATATTATTGCAATCAGCAATTAGCCTAAAATGGAAATTTTAAAAACTGTAAAATTAGCTACTACTTATAATCTTTGAAAGCCTATGCTAATGGGCGGAGCCATAGACGAAGCGATTGGCCGCGCCAACATTTTGTTATAAACCACTGCGGCTGCGTTTTCGTTTTCACAATTGGATTACGGTAGGTGGGTCATGTTTGTTTTTATAGTCGTTCCGCTTACTAAAATATGCGAAAAGAAAATGTATTATTTTTAACTTGAGTGGCGTTCAGAAATTCTCGAGTTTGCCAAAACATAATTAATATTTCGCGGTAATACGATACTTCAATGAGCGCACATCCCCCCATTATTATGTCTTGCCATTTTCTTGAATTTTTTCAGTTTTTTCCAATTATAATGGTAGAATTTTCAGCTGTCAAACTGAAGACCACTGCCAACCACCCACCGTTTTCTATTCATGCTCTGTAAGTCGATCATATGTATACTATACTAACTATATGCATATAAATAACGGACAATTTGAATGGAATTGGCACAGAATCGGACAGCCTTGGAGCGTGTATATTGAGTTTTTGTTGCTTCAGCGCGACATAGTTTGTTATAACACCCCATTATCCATCATTAGACCCGTGTACGACGATACTACAGTAGCTACCGTAATCCTATGCAGTTCCTTCGCTTGCATTTGGGGAACATCTCTTGAGCTGGGCAACGTCACGGGATAATCGTACGATAAGCAGCATGGATAATCACATGCGGTTTGAATTTTCGAAAACGTGAGGCTTCCCGGATCATGATTTTAAAAAAATCAAAAAAAATTTTTCTTTTCATTTATCAGTATTGCAATCAATGTAATAATATCGCTGAAAACCACGCGGGTAAAAAAAGCAAAAAAAAAAACAATCGAAGCTCAATTTTTGAGTTTTCATACAGATATAAGCGCTTGTTATTTTTGTTTCACGTAAACGTAATATTTGCCTTCTTCCCGGCGACCCGAAATCTGAGTAAATACAAGGCGGCGACTGTTTTTGTTGCCAAAACATTCATTTTTTGCACATCGAGGTTTTATTTTTGAAATTTACAGAAGACTTCAAAAACTGAAATTACAGCCTTCATCTCAAAACGTTGCCTTTCATGCGATGAGATTTTAAAGTTTTCGAACGCATTCTGATCTGCTTCAAAGTATTCAAATTTCCAAAATGTTGATTAATCAGCTGATAATGCAAACTTGTGTACATAATATTATCTGACATGCACTTGATTTGAGCAGCATTAATTGCCAAAAATGCTCGGAACATAGAAAATCGAGCGATAAAAAGAGTTTGTTAAGTTTGATAAGTTGTTTACATCTTCTACAGGGAACCAATCAGCATGTTTAAAAAAATATGTATGTTACGCGAGCGTTTATGTAGCTACTTTAGAGATAATGCAGTATTCCCACTTTATCCATGTTTTCATTATTGATATTCATTTTAAAAAAAGATTTAAAATTGGATATACTAAGTTTATCATCTCTCTTAGTCGAGCTAATTATTCCATTTTAAGATCTCTCGTTCACACATTTTTCTTTAATGAAATTTCATACCATGCTGACCACAACAAATCTTTCTATGTGTTGAAGAACGCGTTTTAATGCTCGATCTTTGCTCCAAATTTAGAGGCACTTATGCTGGATACGGTAATTTTCAATTTCTTATGGGCTAGATCGAGTCGGATGAATAAAAAATTATGACGTTTAAATTTTATGATTAAGAAACGCCCCTAAACTATGAAATAAATTTTGAATCGCACAGCTGTTAATTCGCTTTTTACAAATTTATTTTGTAGGCGGCGTCAGGCGTTTCGATTGGCTAGTATATCCGTTGTCTAATCCCCGTTAAGCCCATTATTTTGCCAATTTTTCTTTGGAAAAAAAGTTGGAAACATTGAGCCCAGTAAATTCTTTATTTATATATATTTATTTCTCAATTTTTGCGAACCTTTATTCCCCCCGCAAACAAATAAAGTTTTGAGGAAACATGGAATTTAAACATAATGCCCAAAAATGGGTGTAGGTTTCTCGTAATCCCTCCCGACATAAGCCCTATGCCTTAAAACCTACGCCGCGCGCATCTTCGGCTCCTCCACCTCGTCCAGCTCCCGAAAATGACAAATGAGATATTGAAGTGAGACCGAAAGAACCTAATCCTACTGTGTTGCGGAATTTCGAAGAAGAAGCCGCAAAATTTCGAAAATTTCGGGCTTCCATTCTATTCGCATTGCAGCCACGACTCCATGATGTTGACTTCGGCACCGCCTGCTCCAAGTACTGATGACTGTTCATCGTCAACATCACCTACAAACACATCAGCATCTGAAACAAACTCAATTGATATGCTGACAACACTATTAAATTCAAACGCTACCGGGTTGCCACCTTCAACAAACGTTGCTAAGCAGGTAAGAACAAAACGAAGAGTTTAATCCTACTTTGAAGATTATTCGTTTTGTTTAATTTTAGGAGAGTTCTCCAAAAACTCATCAAATACCTACCATATTCTCTCCGGAAGCGGTCACATTACTGCAATTCAGCCAAATATTTCAAGCACAGCAAGCTGTGGCTCAGGTACTTCAATTGAGAATTTTTTTAAAAAGAGTACCATATAACATATTTCTCTTAACTTGACAATATGCTTAAACGCTTCAAAGCACTTTTTTCTGTCCATTTATAATATTTTTTCAAATTTCTTCTTATATGAATAAGGCCACAAAATTTATCTCAGGTTTTTTCTCAGAATCCTTAATCCTATTTTAATCCTTTTCGAGCATTCAGCTTCAAGCAGCGGCTCATCAACGCCAGCAAATTCAGCAGCAGCAACAACAGCCAGCGGCATCGTCAACAACGCAAGAACGTAAACGAGTATGATGAATAAGCCAAAAAAAAGTTGAACAACTAAAAAGTTTCAGTCATATCCATGCACGTTTCAATACTGTGTGATTTGCCAAAAAGACGTGCATTCCTCGAAATTACCATGCCATATACGCCAGTGTCATGTTGCGAAACCAATGTTTCAGTGCCCAGCTTGTGATTTCACTTCAACATACTCTAAAAACAATGTTAAAAGTCACATGGTGTCATTGCACGGCCTGGCTGGAGATCCAATTAGCTACATGGACAAGTACGCAGGCCAAGTAGAAGAATACATGAAACTTTGCTTTCCAAACGTACGCGGACGAGGAAGGCCTATGCAAGGACGTTCTTCCCCAAAATCGCCAGTAAGCCCTAATCGAAGGTTGTTACCGGGAAGAAAGGCGACAATGACACGATCCGACATTCTTTCAATACCCACAGCTTTCAATCCATTAAGAAATTTGCGATTCAATCCAATTCCATCTATATTCCCTCATCACAACAACAACAATAATGATTTGATGGTTCCGAAGTCGAGTATAAAACAAGACGGGCAAACGGAGCAAAGCTCATCGGCTCGAATTCAAGCGTTTAAACCGGATGAATCGATTCCGCCAAAATACATTGATGTCGATTTCAATTGGTTTCTTTTGAATGTCGTACAAACTAAGAAGACGGTCTTCGATTCTACTTTGAACATTGAACGCATTACCAGGAAAATTTCGGGACATCTTTCTCCGAAATTGCTGATTGATGAAAAATTCCGTGAAAAAATCGAAACCGTGCGCAGACGTGTAAACTTACAACTTTTTGAGATAATGTTTGCGATTCATAGGTAAGAATAATTGTGTTCAATAAATAGATTCCTAAAGTAATTTGCAGGATGGATCACAAAGTACTTGATATTCCTCTAATAGACCTACTTCTGGAAATTACGCCTACTACAGTTGATTCACAAATTTTGAAAAACCTGAAAAGCGTCACAGATCCAAATGAAGAATTTTTGTTAGCAGTAAGTGTTTAATTTTGAATGTTTTAAATAATTTTTACTTCAGCTTACAAAAATTGAAAACCTTGAAGAAAAATTGCGTGCAGTGCGCATTATCAATACATTTTCAATGGACATTGACGCAATTGAAAAAGTAAGATTTTTCAAAAATATTTAAAAAGTTAAACTTACAACAAGAATTATATTGCAATTATCATATCAAATTTCAACTTTTTAGAGAATCCAAATTTTCACAAATGTTTCTCAGTCAATAATTGACAGCTCCACTCTTCAAGAAGTTCTTCAAATGATTCGGGCCATTCTTAATATTTCACTATTCAATGATCCAACTTGTTCGACTGTTGGTGGATTTTCATTGAATCAAATACAAACGGTAAATCAGTAAATTAGTATACCTGCAATAATGTAAAATGTGGGCTAATTTAAATGGCTCAATATTAACAAAATCAATATAAAGTTTTCGAAACTTTGCAGATTTTAAATACTACGACAATTGAGCAAAAGTCGGTTAAGACTCAACTTCTTGAATGTATTCATGAAGATGTTATTAATTTTCGTGATCTGGATCAAATAATGAAAATCATAGAACCCGTCCAACAAGGTTTAATTGATAAAGGGAGTTTTCAATATTTCGAAAACTTCAGATGGCGTCTTCCAATTACTTGAGGATCTGTGCATTATTGAAGAGCGCTTATTACGTGCGGAGCAAGAAGTCGAAAGAAATGGACTTAAAAATCAGCATAAAGAATTTTTCGAAACTTCAAATGGAAAACTTGACTCCGTGAAACAAACTTTCTCTAGTATGAAGGTAGAACTAAACAATCATAAAGTTTCTTAACATTTTATTTCAGAAGAAACTCATCCAGCTAACTGCTTATTTCGGGAACCCTTTACCGAGAAGTTTTGAAATCGTTGATCCAAACGAAACATTCAACAGCCTACAATTTCTGGTCGCAACACTCATAGGTGCAGACAACAGTTCTGAAGGGGAGGATATTAATGTTTCTTCACCATAATTTTTCATTAATATATTGTTGCATATTTATATAAAGGGCCATACAGAGAAAATGAATAAAGAAAAATGGTCGTTTTTTCATCGTTGAAATTTTCTCGGCTTTTTATTTTCTCAGCATTGGCCCTTAAAACAAATATAGGGTGTATTTTTTTAATTGCCAAAAACATCGTTTCGCATTGTTTTTATTTTTATATATATGTTGGTAAATAATAATAAAACGCAATCATGAAACTGAATATACCTTCATTCCTGGCTGTAATTATACAATGCTCTTCTGAATGATGGAGGGGGAGGGGGGGGGGGGGGAATAAACGCATGTGGCTGCAAGTCATCGCGTTTTGGCGAATGGGTTGGCGTCCAGTCTTGCTGAAACCACCAATAAATAAATTAAGTTCACCGGAACAAACTAGCAACCAGTTCCAGCTATTACCTACAACTGATTCTAATAATAAGTTTATTTCGGAATGGGCACTTGTGTGTAAAGCCTTCGCTTTAACAATTTTTAGAAAAAAAATGCCAATATTTCTTCACTGTCGATTTTTCGTTATCATTTTTTACTAACAAAAATATTGATTTTCAACTGCCAATTTCTCACTGATGCTTTTTCACTATCGACTTTTTCTATCAATTTTTTATACTTATCTTCCTGTCCAATTTACTATGGATACCAAGAATCTAACACTAATTTGTATGACGTAGTTTAGTCGAATGTTTCAAGGATTATTGTGAATCAATTGGTTACAAAAACTATTTAAATTCATTATTTTTAACATCCATTTTAAAAACTCGATTCAAAGAATCACTGCTCTGAGGAAAAGCACAGGCGAAACAAATATATTTCCATCAATTAGCCGAGCGCCTTGAAAAATTGTAGGCAATCGTATTTTTTGGACTCTCGTAACTCAAAACCAATCGGATTTGACAAAATTCGAGTCAGGAATCAGTCAGATCCGATAATAGTAATTCTACGGATGAGATTGTAGAATTGTCGAATCCAAAAAAATTAGAGAGAAGCCTCGGTACGGTGTGCGCCTTTAACCTATCCATATATCTAAGCCAGAAAATCTACACTTAGTTTTGCGATACAACTACAGAAATAGTTTTTTTACGCATTTAGCCAATTTAGCGAAGTCACGCGACTTCAATAATATATGTTCTCTTTTCTTTGCATATTGTATAAGTATCTTCCGCGCAGTTACGGTTAAGATTTACCGAACGAATACATATGACCCCTTGAAAGAAACTTTCGCAAAAAGTAGAAAAAATATTGTATTTTCCTCACGATTTTGCTTGCGTGTTTCGCCAAAACCGAGGAAAACAACTATATTGCCGAAGGGGTTTTAAGTACATAATGTTACCCAATTCGTCCATTCACAAACATGAGCAATGGTTCAACGGAGCGCACTTGATTGACTACATCAAACCTTACGTGTTTTTGCATACAGATGTTGTCAATGTGTCGTGTAATAAGTCGGCAAACTACTCTGGTAGAAACAGTGGTTTGTTTCGACGAAAGCAACCAAGTTTTTCTATTTTTATATCAGTTTTTGCTTGCTTGAAATTTTATATTGTTTGGTCGAACGCAAGAAAAACCGCTGTTTCATACGTTGAGCTTGCCGTGGACGAGATTCGGTGAAAAAAATTCCTTCTTTCAAAATCATATGCTCTCAAATACTGTTTGATCGGCAATTCATCCGCGTGTCACCGAAATCTCTGTTTTCCGCGACGTTTATACATCACGATTTGCTGAGAAATTCTATTATTAATAAATTAATCGGGCACGGGGCTTTTCGTTTTCAGCGAAGCTTTGGCATAAAACAGAACAAATTGGTTAAGATTTAATGCATTTTTTTCAGATGAGTATAAAACATGACACAAGTGAACAAAACTCACACCATAATAGAAGCCATGCTTCGGAGGCGATGCATTTTTTAATATGTGCTAGCGGAATTTTAGGGTGCTACTTCTATTTTGGAATTCAGCAAGAAAGAATGTAGGCTTTTTACTTCGCTTATTATAAAAATGCTTTTTAGCGTTCAAGGAAAATATGATGGCGGTGAAAAGTTCACGTTCACTCAAGCCTTAGTGTTTTTTCTATGCACCGCCAACACTATTTTCGCATATATTTTTCGAAGGAAAAAAGATATTGACAACGTTCCAATAAGGTATTATAATTTTAGTATATATTTAAAAAAATTTAAATTTCTAGAATGTATGCTGCATCAGCCGCTAGCTATCTCTTGGCAATGATTTGTAGTAACCAGGCCCTTCAATATCTTTCGTATCCGACCCAAGTCTTAGCAAAGTCATGCAAACCTATACCGGTTATGGTTTTTGGAGTGTTATTTGCTCACAAATCATACAATATTCGAAAATATCTCTATGTTATCTTGATCGTCGTAGGTGTTGCTATGTTTCTTTATAAAGATAAAAAGTCAACTGTTGAAAACCAATATGGAACAGGAGAAGTACTATTGGTATAATTTAAAATAATTTTTCATACTAAACTAAGCTGATTAATTTTCAGATTATTTCCCTTGCAATGGACGGAACTACCACATCAATTCAGGATAGAATCAACAAAAGCTATCAAAAAACATCATTATCAATGATGTTCTACATTAATTTATATTCAAGCTTATACCTATCAGCGGGGTAAGTTAACAATATTCAATTGTTCATTGCATAGCTTTTTTGCTGCACATCGATGTGATATTGTTGAAAACTTCTATTTTATTCACGTGTTTTCCTCTTTAGGTTAGTTGTCACCGGAGAGCTCTACTCGTTTTTCAATTTCCTTCAAAGACATTCATACGTATTCTGGGATTTGGTTTTCTTAGCCGCAGCATCCTGCGGAGGGCAGTATTTTATTTTTAAAACTATTAGCGAGTTTTCACCTCTTACATGTTCTATTATCACCACAACTCGAAAATTATTTACGATAATAATTTCGGTAGGAATTATATTTTGAAATTAATTTTTACTCGTCTTCAGGTTATTTTTATGAATCATCCATTGACTACTCGTCAAACAATTGCAACAGGAATCGTTTTTAGCGGACTAACGATGGATGCAATTGATGGAAAAATTTCAGCTAAAAAACCTACCCAAGCTGAAGTCAAAGTTCAATAAATAATTTCACCACATATATTTTATTAAATGTTTTGCATTTGAATTTCTGTGATTTGTAGAGTTAAAAAGCTTTAAAATAACCAATCAATTTTTTACTGATTTTGTAAGAAATAAAATAAAACTTGTTTGATTTGTGCAAACTTGACGCTTTCAGGAAGAAAAAGACGCATTTAATATCATTGCTTAAGAAAAAGTGTTCTAGCCTTCAAAGAACTGAATGGTCCCTTAACGCAAGCCTGAATGGTCCTTTAATGTTTGAACTTATGTTCACACTGCTAATAATTTTTTTCTCCCAGCATTAAATCATTTTTTGGAGAATTCTCCCCGCATTTTCGCGTCGGTGTACTGTCTAGCCGTCTTATTTCTCATTTAGCAGTGTTGTCTCTCAATTGTGTTGCGTGCGGGGCGTATTGCGTCGCGTGCTCACAAACGCTTCTCGGCAATCCTTGCGGGATAAACCGTCATTTTCTCTCACGGATTGCTGAGTTAATTGTGTTGGTAGCTTCTTCTTTCAAATGTACTATATTTTTGCAGCTATATTGTCAATGACAATATGCCAGTGTCTAGCCATCAAGTATCTGAAAATGAGCCCAAAATTGTTTCTGGGTCATTTGACAGGCCATCAACATCTTTAAACGATGAACAAATGATTGTAAACACAAAAGACGAGTTACGAGCTGTCCTAATTGGAAGACTTCTAGCGAAAATGCGAGATCAAAGGGATTCAGCGTATGCATCTTAAATATTTCAATCTGAAGTGTGATATTTCAGAGAGTCACATATTGTCAAGAAACCTCGAACTGTAACGGATAATGAAAATATTTCGGATCGTCTTGCGCCGCTGAATGACCATATTCTTGATCTCGAGCAAAAGTAGGAACTTGAATGGTTCTTTTTAATTTTTGCATTCCAGAGCATGTGGAACGACATTAGAAGAATTACTTAAAGATGCCCAATATGCTTCTTATACTATTCTTAACGTCGAAAATGAACTTTCTGCAACAATAGAGAAAAATAAAGAACTCTCCTCGACCAAGACTTTACAACCAATTGAAGTAAAAATTGAAGGAGAACTGGACGAAGGACCTAAATCTGTTCTCCTATCGGCAAATCAAGAATCCAATTTTGAACGTGCTGCAAAACGAGTAAACAATAATTTGTTTTTGTTTTCTTTTAACCAAACTTATTGCAGGAAGCACATGTGTTAGCAAGAATCGCAGAACTCCGACGTAGCGGTTTGTGGTCGAATAACCGTCTTCCGAAGTGTGTAGAACCAGAACGGAATAAAACTCACTGGGACTTCTTACTGGAGGAAGTCAAGTGGATGGCACGAGATTTTCGAACAGAAATGCACCTGAAGCGCACAGTTGCTCGTAAAACAGCAGGATCGATTGCTAAGATTCACCGTGAAAAAGAAATTGAACTAGAGAAAATGGAAAAAAATGCAATACGCGTATATTGAAACAGCTATTTTATTAAACTGAAAATAATTCTTTAGGATAAAAAAAAGTTATGCGCCTCTGTTGCAAAAATGGTTCGAGATTTCTGGCAGAATGTCAATAAAGTGGTTGATATACGGGCGAAAGTATTAAAATATTTCACATTTCAACATAATTAATATTAACTTTTGTAGGAAATTATCGATTTACGAGTTAGAAAGTTGAGGAGTAAACAACTAATGAATATGATCGATCATGTTGGAGAACTCACGACTGCGGTTCAAGAAGGTCTTCAGCAATCCAAAACTCCCTCAATTGCATCTCATGATGACGACAAAGAGTTCTCAGCAGGCGACGAATCCGAATCGGACGATGAAAGGACTATTGCAAATGCAGAAAAATCTTCAAGAAATACTGATATAAAGGAAGAGATCGATGCTCTTACCAACGAAGCCAATACGGATTTAGACGATCTTTTAGCATCGGTAGATATTTCGAAAAGCTATTTATCTTTAAATAGAGTCAACTTCAGCTACCACCCGAATACCTTGCCGCATATGGGTACACCGCTGATGTATTGGATGAGATGCGAAAAGAAAACAAAAAAATCGAGGAGAAAACTGAAGGCATTTTAGAAAATATCGTCTCGCAGTGCTCAAAAAATGAAAAAAGCGAATTTGTTCCATCAAATGAAAAAAATCAGGACCGATGTGCTGAAGTAAGAAATTACAGCTGCCATTTTTCTTAATAGAATTTATCAGGACGGAAATGGCGACGGTCGTGGAGTATTCGAATGCGTTGATTATGCCAAACTTAATAGTGTAAACAGCGACGAGCGCCAAAAAGAACTGGCAAACATTGCTGAAGAGGCGCTGAAATTTCAGCCAAAGGGATACACATTGGAAACAACCCAAGTAAAAACTCCAGTACCTTTTTTGATACGTGGAACACTACGTGAATATCAAATGGTTGGTCTCGATTGGCTCGTTACACTTTACGAAAAGAATTTAAATGGAATTTTGGCTGATGAAATGGGTAATGTTTCTCAGAAATATGTGTATTATAAGAAAACGGGTTCCAGGTCTCGGAAAAACAATACAAACTATTTCATTACTAGCTCATTTGGCATGTCGTGAAGCTATCTGGGGTCCACATTTAATTGTGGTCCCAACATCTGTCATTCTAAATTGGGAAATGGAATTCAAAAAATGGTGCCCTGCCCTTAAAATCTTAACCTACTTTGGCTCTGCAAAGGATCGCGCTGAAAAGCGAAAGGTTTGCAACCCTATATTTTCAAAATATCTATTATTTTAGGGTTGGTCCAAGCCTAATGCCTTTCACGTATGTATCACGTCATATAAAACTGTTACTACCGATATTCGAGCGTTCAAAATGAAATCTTGGCAGTATATGATTCTGGATGAGGCGCAAAACATCAAAAATTGGAAATCTCAGCGCTGGCAAGCTTTATTGAATGTTAGAGCTCGTCGTAGACTTCTTTTGACTGGAACGCCACTTCAAAATTCGTTAATGGAATTATGGTCCCTTATGCACTTCTTAATGCCGGCCATTTTTGCTAGTCATGACGATTTCAAGGATTGGTTCAGCAATCCTCTGAGTGGGATGATGGAAGGAAATGTCGAGTATAACGCTCCGCTTGTTCAACAACTTCACAAAGTACAGTTTTGTCGAATTTAGTAACATAATAAAGTTCTTAAGGTTCTGCGACCATTTATTCTGCGACGTTTAAAAAGTGAGGTTGAAAAACAACTCCCCGCAAAAACAGAGCACATTGTGAAATGCGACTTGTCTAAAAGACAACGATACTTATACGATGACTTCATGAGTCGAAGATCTACGAAAGAAAACCTAAAATCTGGCAATATGATGTCGGTGCTGAACATTGTTATGCAACTGCGAAAGTGTTGTAACCACCCGAACCTATTTGAACCAAGGCCGGTCGTTTCTCCTTTCGTAACTCGCAACTTGCAAAAAGATGTCCCTGCTTGCATATTCGAAATGGCTAAAGCTGATTTCGCAGTGGAGCCGATCCCTGACATATTTCATATTAATGAAAGAATTGGATCATGGAGCACAAGTGTGACATCTAAAAAACCTCTAATTGAGGAAATCGAGCACCGAGAAAAAATAATGGATGAAACAAATGTGAGACCTCCCATCGTAGAGGGATTCAAATTTATTAGGACCAGTTATACCAATGTAGATTGCATGGTTCGTCTCCAATAAATAATAAACGATTTTCAGAAGTCTTGGAAAAATGACGGCAATATGGATGTTAACGGTTCTGATGAAGAAGGAAAAACAAATGGAACAGCGACAGTTATAAATAGCGGACAAGTTTTGATGAGAGAAACGAAGTTATTGTCATCGTCTGTGGTAATTTTCGTCTTTTACTAAGTAGAGTAATTATGTTTTCCAGCCTTTTATACGATCACGAACAGTTCTTAACACTGCTCCGTTGACGATATCGACCGAGAGAAGTGGATTTCATTATACGATGTCTTCAAGTGGCTCAAAAACTTATCTTGATCCAAATGCTACACACAGCCCACCTTTGAAAAAACCGAAACTCTCAGGCGCTGCAGTGAACTATGCCGATTATGTCCCGTGTTATGTTTTGGACAGAATTGATGATTCAAAACGCCACCAGCTTGAAATGTTGCGTAGAAGATTTGGACGACTTCGAGAGCCCATCATTTCAAAGGAAATGATTTGTTTATTCGAAGGCGAAGTCGGAAAAGTGATTCATAAACGAATTCCGATTAATATATTCATGCTTCTAATGGATCATATTAAAACAGTTTCGAAGCATTTTGGAATGTATGTGGAACCAGTTTTAACCGATGCCTGGCAATGCCGCCCATCATCTTCTGGATTGCCATCATTTATTCGACAAAATGTCTTGCGGATTGAAGAAGAATCGCGAAGAATATTGCTTGAAAAATCCACCAATCTTGATAATCAATTGAGTATTTCTCGTATGCTTCAGTTTCCTGAACTCAGATTGATCGAATACGACTGTGGAAAATTGCAAATGCTCGCTGGATTGCTTCGCCAACTTTATATTCATAAACATCGTTGTCTTATCTTTACGCAGATGTCTAGAATGTTGGATGTTCTACAAACTTTCTTGTCTCATCACGGATATCAATACTTTAGATTAGATGGAACTACAGGAATTGAACAAAGACAGGTCAGAACTTATATATGATCTATTATTTTTCTTTTATTTCAGGCTATGATGGAGAGGTTCAACGCGGATCCAAAAATTTTCTGTTTTATCCTATCAACTAGATCGGGCGGCGTTGGTGTTAATTTAACGGGCGCTGATACAGTTATATTTTATGACTCTGACTGGAATCCTACAATGGATGCTCAAGCGCAAGATAGATGTCACAGGGTAAAATTTAAGAGTTTTCGTCAAATAAGTGAATTTTTAGATTGGTCAAACAAGGAATGTGTCAATTTATCGGTTGATTAGTGATCGTACTATTGAAGAAAACATTTTGAAAAAGGCAATGCAGAAAAGAAGGCTGGGAGAGTTGGCGATTGATGAGGCCGGATTTACGCCAGAATTTTTCAGGCAGTCGGATAATATTCGGTTTTTATACGTTATTTGTTTTTAAATCTTTATGCCAGTGTTTCAGTGATTTGTTCGATGGTGAGAACATTGAAGTTTCTGCTCCTGTAGATGTTCCAACAAATGAGAAAGATCTTGAAAATGCGATGGCGAAATGCGAGGATGAGGTTGACGTCGTTGCAACCAAGTTGGCCAAGGCAGAAGCGAAAGTAGATCAAGCTGAGTTTGACGAAGCCCTCAAAACACAAGCAGTTACAAGTAATTTGGCTTTGGGTGGCGATGAAGTTGATGATAAATATTTGGAATTAATCAATCAGGTTCGAGCTGTGGTATTTGATTAATTATATTGTTTTTAAATTTCAGTTGAAACCAATTGAACGATATGCGGTAGGATTCTGGGAAGAAGAATACAGGCCCGAATTTGAAGAAGAAGAAAAGGAAGCATTGGTATATATTTAAAAAAAAAAACATAAAAAACCTAGTTTCTGTTTCAGGCACTTGTTGAGCAGAAAGGTGAAGAATGGAGTCAAAAGTTGTTGGAAAATCAAGGAGAACAACATGCTAGTGAGCCTTCTACCGACCGCATTGATGCACTCGATGATGATTTCTATCTTGGTGGAAACCTTTTGGATGAGGTACGGAAACGGCGAAAGTATGCCAAGAAAACAGCTCAATCTAATAAGAATTCTAATACCCCTTCCGTAAAACCTCGTATTCGTTCACCTTCAAAACGTAAATCTAATGTCCCATCTTTCACGCCATATGTTAGTGCTGCTCCTCATGCTCTTGGATCACCGCCGTCCTCACCTATTCGTAAGACGAAACAGGTTGTTGTGAGAATGATAGAGGAATCAGATGCAGTTAACACCACTGTTCCTCGAAGGAAAAAGAAGGTAGAACCGCGGCCTGTTGTTGTCAATCATACTTCGCCTTCTCCTTCACCGCAAAATTTGCGGCCTCCTGGAACTTCTCTTCTGCAAACAGAGCAGAAATACGTTGTGAAGAAGTTAACAATACCAGCTATAAGAACTGCGCCTACGGGAGTTCAAAGGCGAACTGTGTCTCAAATGACATCAAATGTGCGTGTAATACCAATTTCTCAACCCCATAGGGTAGCAACAAGATCAGGGCCAGTAAATCACATGTATCGCCAAGTGGTCACCGTCGGATCGAATGTAGCACAGAGGGGGCGACGCCTTTACGTAGTTCCAGGCTCCATGAGAAGGGTTACCTCATCTGGAACAACGTCAAGATTACCTGTTCCAGGGGTAAATCAGAACCAGCTTATGTTACCTGTTCGCATACTTCCTCGCAGTACGCTGACAGGACATCAAATAAGAGAACCGCGTCCAAATTTGGGAATTTACGAGAGACCGCGATTATCATATCGCGGCTCCGAGTCTAGCCAGCAACAGAACACCTGAAATATTCTTTTCATATATTTAAACTGACCGGTTACGCCACATACCAGTACGTTTATCATAACATACGGGGTTTTGAAATTGTTTATTGTTTTCCTACAAATTGTTGTTTTATATTGTATTTTCATTTCTTTGTATTGTAGATTGTTTCTCGTTTTCATTACCGTGATTTTCACAGTTCTTGCTTCATTTTGTTGAATGAATTTTTCGCGCTTATTTGACGTTGAGTATCCCTAATAGTTTCCTCACAATAAACAGTTGCAGCTCATTTTTCGCAAATCAACGTTCCCACCTCTCATTTCGAACCGCTACAATTCTATCGTCCGAAAGAATTTTATCGGAATTTTTTGAAACATTGCACTAAAAAAGGGCCGGAACGATTGAATTGCGAGAATGTAGCGTGCTTCGAAGTGAGAGGAACGAATGGTATACGCGACGGCAAAGTAATCAAAAGAATTCATAATTGGAGGTTTTTGTTTATCGCTTACTGTATTATAGCGATTAATTTGTTTTACAGATCCTTGCTGAAGGATTTGATGAGACAATGCCATCCTGGTTCCCACCGTCACCTCCGCTGTCCGATAGCGAGTGCGATTTAAAATTTGATGAAACTTTCGATTTAATATATGAACTCGATCCTATGAATGAGGCTCGATTGCCGTCGCAAATTCACGAAATGCGAAGACCACTTGCCGAAAAACGCAAGCAGAGCAGTATAAATGGTAAGAATATAAATAGCAGGCATGGAAATTGGGTCCCACCAGTCGTGAGGTCGGTTCAGCCCTGGCCCATAGACGACAATGTGTAAATCTGGCATCCCAAATACGTAATATATTGTCTGAAATGGTAAAGAGGGGCTCCAAATTCGAAATGTTAAAAACGATTTCAAACATCTTAGCCATTTGTCACAAATTGATAATAGGTGCTGGGGCGGGCATCTTTTTGACTCCATTGTCATTCCTATATAAGAGAATTCAGCACCAGTATAATATATCTACAAATTTTTTAAAGATTTGCTCACACCGAAAGAACACGATCGGATGTACGACGCTGTGGCGAAGTGCCTGCAAATGCCACCAAATCAACCAATTGGATCATCACCATCATACACTGAGAATTCGTTCTCAATGGATGATAGCAATCTGGATGTGAAACCAGATATAACAGAGATTCGTCCACAGGTCAATGCTACTCAAAAAACTCAAAAGAAGGAAAGGCGAAGAGATACAAATAAAGTAATCAAATGTCTTGTGCCATTAATGTTAGTCTTCTCATTTAAGAATGGAAGATACGCAGAAAGCAGCGTGAAACGAGGTATTACGCCACCACCTCCATATCGTGAAGAGCCCGATTACGATGGAGCCGATTGGTCTATTATCGAAGATTATGCTCTTTTACAAGCTGTGAACAATGAGATTGCCAATAAACACGAGTTGGAAAAGTCACGGCGCGGTGACGGAATGGTTTTTAATTGGGATCTCATATCAAGTGTGGTGAACAGGACCACTCGATATTATCGGTAACTATTTTTATTCAAATTAGATGGAGCCGGGACTATTTGTGATGTTGTGTCAGCCCAAATCGAATGATCAAATTCGAAGAATTTTCGAGAAAATTAATTATAGCAACTTTTATAAGAAAAAAAAAATGATATATTAATCACTAAATTAACCATATTGTTCAGTTCTGCTCGGCAATGCAGCATTCGGTATCAAATGTTCGTTCGACCGAAAGAACTTGGCCAACTTGTTGCGTCAGATCCAATAACAAAGAAAACGGTCAAAGTTGATTTAACACCAACTGAATTAGGCAAGTTTTTAACATTGTCGGTGATTGTTTAATTATAAGATTCAGTACATTTGCGAAAGGGGCGTGTCACCACTGAGGCACAATACAATTATGATTGTGGTGCAATTTTGGACAAAAAAACATTTAGTCGTTTTAAAATGGTTAAAAGTTTGGCGGCACGGAAGATTGGGACATTCTGGAGAGGACCCAAAGATGCAAGAAATTTGGAATGTCTTTTGGGGAAATTGCCACAGGCACACGAGACTCGACTTCATGATTTTGAAGTCAAAATTGGCCAATTATTAGACGCTGAGGAAGTATCGAGAGTTCCTGAAGATAAGATTATCTTTGCTGAAGCTAAGAAGAAAACTCTAAATCCGAGATCAGTGAGTAGTAATAGGCGTATTAGCTGTCAATTATTATTTTACAGTCATCGCCTGAAATGAAATGCAATGAATTTTTGAAGAAACGCCCACATGCTATTTCCGTTGCGAAAAGCAGTGAACCTCTTCCAGCGCGAACTCAAAAAGTAATTATAGTTCCACCGCTGCAGAACTTATTTGTTGCCAATCAACCACCACAACACAACGTTATTCAATCTCAACAACAAGTTCGACTACAAGGAATAGTCGATTCAACTCTACCGCAAATGGTGCAAAGCCAGCACCAAATGCAAGGAAATTTACAACCACAACTTCAGAGGCGGACAACACCCATGGGAAGCGTTCAGCAGCATTATATTCAACAAGGTACTGCGTGCACAAATTTATATTTAGATGAAGAGTTTCAGGAGTTCTGAACCAGAACCAACAAGGACAAAGCTTCGTCGTTGTCCACAGCTCCGCCCCATCCAGTGGCGGTACCCAGGAAGGAAGCGTGCAAACGATAGCAGGGCAAAGAATCACTCAATATATAACCCCGCAGCATCAAATGCAACAACAGCAGCAACAGCAAATCAGTCGCGGAGGTTCGCAAACTCGGAATGTCAGTGGCGGAACAATTTACTCTTCGAATCCTCAAGTTGTCGTACAGACTGCCGCAAGATCAGGACAGCGCGTTATGAGAGTATGAAGTTATTTGCAGAATTGATTTACATATGTTTTTAAAGGGTGGTATTACAAACCGAATGTATGTTCAACAATCTGGTGAGCGACAGTACGTCATGCAGCAATCACAACCAGTGCGAGTAATGCCGACTGGTCAGCGAGTAGTAACACAAGGTTTGGGACAGCGACGTGGACAACCTCAACCGGGTACTGTTGCCGCCATGGTGATGCCAGGAAGGGGAGGAGGTGTCTCACAGCTGAGGACAGTTCCGTAAGTTAGACAAAATTTATGTTTTATATATATATATTTATTTTTAGAAGAACTTATCCCACCCAAGCTGGTCGTATAAATGTCATGGTCACATCACAAAACTCTCTTCGCCAGAATGGAGTGGCAGGCCAACTGGGAACTACTGGACAAGATGGTTCTACAACAGTCAAAAGACAGTTGATTGGAGCTGGCCGCGGCATCCCACCCATCGGTTCCTCTAGAGTTGATTCTCCACAGACTGTTGCTCAAGTCGTTCTTGCCCCGCCGTCGAGTTCAGGAACGTCGATTTTACATGTACAGCAAAGACATCAACATCATCATCAACAACAACAACAACTTCAAATACAACCGCAACCAGTCCAAATTCAACAACAATCGGCCCAAATCATACAGCAGCAGGCTCAAGTTCAACCGCAGACATCGACACAGCTGCCTGGAGAAACGCTAACTACAACGACTTCAGAATCTACACCAGTTTCAGCTCATCCACCCACGGTGTCCTCATCATCAAATTCCGCACAATCTGTTCCAGTTTCTACGTCTGCCTTCCCTCCGATAAGCTCACAGTCTTCCCAATGAACAAGTACGGGTGTGCATTGTTATGAGAAATTATATCTTATATGTATTATGCAAAACGTACAACGAAAAATTGAAAATTTTATAATGTATTGAATGGTCTGTAGAATGGATCATTGGAAACAATTAAAGAAATAGTAAACTATAGGCAAGCGATATAAACAGGTTACGGCACTAATTTCTTATATCCTTCGATCAAAAGAATTGAAAATGCCTCTGCAATTCAAACTTTTAAAAATCTAATCTAAATTTCATGTATACTTTACTATTTCTTTAATTTTCCATTGATGTTGCGGCTATATTCGTTTATATATAATTCCTTTAGTATCAATAAACGGCATTCTTTCGATTAACATTTGTTGATATTTTTTCGCTTCTCATAAATCAGCTGAGAATATAGCGAATTAGGATTCTTCAGTAATTGAGATGGTAAGCCGGATTCTGCTACAGTTCCGTTGTCAAGAACAATAATTCTGCAATAAAAATTATCAACTCACTTAGTATGGTGACAATTTTACTTGTCGGAATCTGCTATAGTGTCTAATCTATGGGCAATTGAAATTGTGGTGCTGTTAGAGAAGTGCGCCCGTATCACATTCTGTATTAAACTATCAGTAACAGTGTCTACTGAAGACGTTGCTTCATCCAAGATCACTATTTTTCCTCCACGTAAAATTGCCCGACAAAGGCACAACAATTGTCGCTCACCAACACTGCAAATATATGCTTAAGTTAGCACTGTTTTGTCTGTGGCCCTATAAAACTTCTAAAATTGGATAAATTTTTAATTTTTTGGAGTGACATGTTATGTTTGTAACAATGATTAAAACACAAAATATGTAATGTTCACCTCATATTTTTTCCGCCTTCAGCAATTGCTCTGTCCAGCTTCAATGAATCCTCCAATGCAAAATCCTTTAATTGGCACATTTCTAAACAACTCCATAGCCGCTCGTCGGAGAATTGCTCAAATGGATCCAAATTGAAGCGTAATGTTCCTGAGAAAACGACTGGTTCTTGGGGTATAATGATTAATTGACGTCGAAGCTGGTGAAGACCAGTTGTAGAAATGTCAACACCGTCAATGATGATCTTTCCTTTTGAAGCTTCTACTATTCGATACAAAGCCATTGTTAAGCTACTCTTGCCAGAGCCTGTTCGTCCCACTATTCCAACTTTTTCTCCACCGATAATATTTAGGTTAATGTTTTCGAGAACATGCGGCTGATTTCCTGAGTATTTCATGCAATAATTTTCAAATTGAATTTCTCCTCTTTCTGGCCATGTTTTTCGTACCGTAGGTTCTTCCCATTGCGCTTCGGATTCAATACATTGGTATTCGCGGATCCTTTCAACAGATACAATATTGTTTTCAATTTCGCTTATCATTCGCACGCATATGTTGAGAACTTCCGTGATCTAAATACAAAACTAAAAAAAGACCTCTGACTGACTACTACAGTCAGTGCATAAGAAACGGATAATCCCGCCATTCCAGAAGTGAGTCCTAAATATTTTGTTGACACAGTAGCTGACAATGAGGCGAAGAAAACGGTTGCGTTCCCAAGTAGTTCAAGACGAGTAGCTAGCCAACGGTTCGCCATATTATTTAAGTAGCGGCACTGAGAAAATTTATCAACCTTCTTAGCCAGCTGCTTACATATGCTTTCGGTCTAACAATAAGAAAATATACATTTTTATTTTCTGAAAATACCTTTTTGAATGCACGTATAGAAGAAGTGCCATGAATTGACTCTGATATCATTGACATTATAGGACTTCGGTGTGCACTTTCCAATCTCTTAAGTTGACGAGAAGTAGGAATAAAATATTTCTTAAAAATTTTAGTTATTAGCTGGTTAAAAATAAAACATTACCATAATATTATAATAAACAAATATAAATGGTATAACGAACACCAGAAATATTGGGGTAGATAATGAGACTAAAGCAAGAATCATGCAGGCCTGTCAACATTACTAATTTTGCATACACATTTTTATAAAGTTATACGTTTAAAAGGCATTGCATCAACATTCGAAAACTGTCTTGCAACTTATCAACAACATCGAGGTCCTACAAACTCTAATGATTTTTCTTACAAACAATTTTACCCTTGAAAGTCTGTTAATAATTCTTCCCAGTGGTGTTTTATCATAAAATGCTAAAGGCGCTCGCAGTAGTGCCTTAATTACGGGAGCATGTAATGCGTACGACGCCTGAAGTGACCCAATAGTCAATAGAGCCAGGGCTGTCGACAACAGAACAACTGAAAAAGAAATTTAGAAAAACCTCAAACCGCTGAAGCCTACTTTCCAAACCCCCAAATATTGCATAAATTATTAAACGATATTCAGTATTAATAGTCGAGTCAGTAATATTTTTGTAAGTAGTCGCTTGTGCATTTGCATTGGACCAATCCGAGAGCCACAAAGATCGTAAGCCCTTAATATGTATGTCTGTTTAATAAAAAGATTGCCCCAATTTTTTATATATTATATGTTTATATATGATAATTATCGTTCGAATTAGGCCGATGTTCCCGGTAGGCAACAAAATGGGGGGAGGGGTAAGGCAACGAGGGAGGAACGTGCTCTTGGGAGTCATCTTCTCCAAGGGGGCAATGTCTCTTAGGAGTCAACCGACGGTGTGTCTCAAGTGGGGCATTCTATAAAGTCTCATTGGGGCAACAGCAATTTGGCGAAACACGTACTTTGAAATGTCGATATTCAATATTTTTTCCATGTAAATCTAAAGGAACCATAAAATTGAGACCGAGTGTAATGTGACAAAATAGTAGATGCATATAATTTACATTTCATAATAGCAATAATAAAATTGAGGAAAATATATAAACCCACATAACAAAATGCTCACTGAAGCATTTTCGTTGACCCCTAAGAGAATAAATCTGTTGCCATCTATGAGACTTTGTACAATGCCCCCACCCCCCACTCTTGAGACACACAAGAGCACGTTGCCCCCTATTTTGTTGTCCCTCCAGGAGCATCGGCCTTCGAATTACCATGGTCATAAAATGTAGAATGTAAAACAGAAAGAATCCATATGTATTAGCTAAACCCATTGTCCGAAAATATAACATGTAAATTCCCGTGCCGACCTGAAGTAACAATAATAATCAAAATAGACGTCTCAAGACCATTTACAGATATAAAGACTCCGCCCCCCCCTCCCCTTCTGGATGGATTCCGCCTATACGGGCAACTTACCCTTCCAATTTTAACTGTTTCAAGTTCTGGCTTCTCTTTCACTAAGATAACCTCTTCTTGTTGGGGCCGAATAGGATGTGTCATAATTTTTGACATACTTTCCGTTTTTTTATATTCATTTTCTTTTGTAGAAGCTTCCAAAATAAGTTTTTTAAATAGACCGTCCATTACCGCCAGGTCATCAAACTTTCCATGTTCCACAATGCGCCCGTCTGAAAAAAAAATGAAAACGGAAAATCGCTGTTCAGCAACGATTTTTCATCTGAGGCACCTTCAATGACATATATTCGATCAACGTTTCTGGTGTATTGCAAATTGTGGGTGACTAACACGCGTGTTTTTCTATTCAGAATTCCATTCGGTCCTATTACGTGTTCGAAAAGATCCCAACCAACGTGAGCATCGATAGCGGAGAGCGGATCATCCAGGAGATATATGTCTTTATCCTAAATGAAATATTGAATAGTATGTATTTAACAAACACTGGTGTGGAAGTTTTCAGAGAATTCTTCAATGGAAAAACCCGTTTCAAAAATATTTACTTGGTAAACCGCTCTGGCCAGTGAAATTCTTGCTTTTTGGCCTCCAGATAAGGTTATTCCCTTAAAAAACGTAAAGTAGTTTTATTAATTATCCCTTACATTCTCTCCAACGATTGTTTCGTCTCCATTTCGCATTTTTTGAAAGTCAATGCTGAGCTGACATGCTTCCACCACTTTTTTATAAAAATCAGGACAGAGGGTATCGCCGAAGAGCACATTTTCTTTTACACTATTGTTAAAAATCCACGATTGTTGCGGCACATAGGCAATGCTACCTCCGCTCTTGACTTTTCCATTAATTAAATCCATCTCGTCTAAAATTTCGAAAAAAATTTCTTATGAATTTTATATTTTTCAATACTCAAAATTGCTGACAAAACGCTTGATTTTCCGCTACCAACACTTCCAACAATAGCTATTAACTCTCCTCTCTTTACGGTAATATTTAACTTCTTCAAAATAGGCGCATCGTTGGAACCACTCCAGTTGAGAGTAGCATCTTTAAGCACTATTGCATTTCCCAATGCCACTTCGGTATTTTCCTTTAACTCATTCTCGTTCATAAACCTTCTGAGCCGAATGTTTGATACGCGAGCCTTGAAGATCATAAAAATGACATTATTCGATGAACGGCATTACCTGCATTAATGTGTTGATCAAGTTAGCAACCATTCTCATTGGCTGTCGAAGTTGGTTAAATATAGTCAATGAAACAAATGCAACGGATGGCGTGAGGCCTTTAGGATCGGGAGATATAATTATAAAACATGTAAACGAAGCGACAGCAACCTAAATAGTCGCAGATGTATATATATACAGTGCGCGTCATAATGATACGCCACCCCCCAAATTTCGCAGTTTTGAGAAAACCATATAAATTGGTGACAAGAAAATTTCTTTTTCGAATTCAGGACCATTGAAAACCTATACACGCGTATTTTCATGAGGGTCCGATGGTCCGTATCCGCACAGCCCGAAAAAGTTGGATTTTCAAGCCGTCATAATGATACGGCACCCCTTATTTTTTGTCTTTTCTTTCGACATTTTTGCATGTTTCTCGCTGATTCTTCTGTATTTTGTACAGTTTTTCAACAATCTTATTATTTTATCCATAGAGCGATCGTCCACTTTAGTTTTGGCTTGAAATCGGGCCGAATTCGGGCCTTCGAAAAACATAGTTTTGTTTAAGGACTAAAACGCAAAAAAAAAGTCTAAATAACCATAAGACAACAAGTTTGAACGCGAGAACACAACATATTCAATAATTAGTAGTCTCTCCATAGTTTTGGATCACTTCACATGTTCGGTTTCGCATTCTGTCGGCGAGTTCCTTGAGGTATGCAAGTGACCCACTGTTCCATTCCAGTCAAATTGCGGCCTTCAGCTCATAAAAGGTTCCCATTCTGCTTGGTTTGTGAGCGAACGGAACGTTCAAGAAGCCTTCAGACGTTTTTGACGGGATTGAAGTAGGGGAGCTGGCTGATCCATCCAAAAGTTTGATACCAAAACCAATTGAAAATGCCGTCGCTCTTGTGAATGACTGGATTGTCTTGTTGAAATTTGTGAAACAAATTTTAAAGCAATTTCGTAGTTAGATTTTTGAGAACGTCCGATACCATCCTTAATTGGCTTGACACTCTGATTGAGTTATACCATAATGCCAATTTGAGCTTTCTCCTGTGAGCTAATGTAAGAGATTTTCCGCGGCCGATGATTGGGAGAAGGACAAGTGAAAATAGTTTATAAGTGTAAAATTATCGGTCAGGCTGTCCGCACACAGAATGCAAGCAGTAGCTTGCCAGCCTTTGATGAGCTGAAGGCCGCAATTTGACTGGAATGGAACAGTGGGTCACTTGCATACCTCAAGGAACTCGCCGACAGAATGCGAAACCGAACATGTGAAGTGATCCAAAACTATGGAGAGACTACTAATTATTGAATATGTTGTGTTCTCGCGTTCAAACTTGTTGTCTTATGGTTAATTATACTTTTTTCTTGCGTTTTAGTCCTTAAACAAAACGAAGTTTTTCGAAGGTCCGAATTCGGCCCGATTTCAAGCCAAAACTAAAGTGGACGATCGCTCTATGGATAAAATAATAAGATTGTTGAAAAACTGTACAAAATACAGAAGAATCAGCGAGAAACATGCAAAAATGCCGAAAGAAAAGATAAAAAATAGGGGGTGGCGTATCATTATGACGCGCTTGAAAATCCAACTTTTTCGGGCTGTGCGGATACGGACCAACGGACACTCATGAAATTACGCGTGTATAGGTTTTCAATGGTCCTGAAATTGAAAATGAAATTTTCTTGTCACCAATTTATATGGTTTTCTCAAAACTGCGAAATTTGGGGGGTGGCGTATCATTATGACGCGCACTGTATATATATATACTGTATATATATATATACATATATATATATACATATATATACATCTGCGTAGCGACTGTGGAAAATTGGCGGAATGCCAAAAAAAAAACAATGACAGTGATCTTGGCGCAAAAGTGAAATCATAGATTTACGGATCTATAATTTGATCTCATTTGGCCGATTTTCCAAAGTCGCACAACGTCAACAATATATGTATTTAGTATTTTAGTTACCAAGAATGGACTTGTTGCATTTGCTATATCAACAATCCTACTTAAAATGCAAACATTTCTTAGCATTCGCACTTCCTTCAAGCGTAATTCATTTATTTTCTTCTCAAACTTTTCCTCCCATGCATATAACTTCACAACTTTTATCCCATTTAGTAGCTGAATTGACTATTAACTCTATTCTTATAAAATTATATTTACCTCATTGGATAGTTTTGTTCTTTCGTCTTTAACTTTCATTCTCGAAGTTTGAGACGATTTAATAAATTTTGATGTAAAGTAGTTGAGCGGTATGAAAAGAAGCATAATTATGATGCCCGCAATTGCGGCTTCGCCTAGTGTAAGCCATAGCATTATCATAGCTAGTGTAACCTGGCATTAAAAGTAGTAAATGAAAATAAAAAAGGAATATTTGTAAATTGACTAAAATTGTACCTGGAACGGCACGGACCATAAATTTTGAAGATATGGGATAGAATTAACGATTATTTCTATATCGACGGCAGCGTGATTGAGAATTTCCCCAGCGGTGCGACTAAATCTTGCTGACGGGTTAAGTTGAAGAATTTTTAGATGAATAGCATTATTTAATACTGTTTGATAATAAACTGCGAGTCGAAACATTCCAGCAACCTAAAAATTTGTAAACACACACACAAAAAAAGAGAAGTTAACCTGATAATTCTGAAGCAATGACCTTGTGGTAGCTGAAAAAAACATAATTAAAGCAATTCCAATGCCAAACGACATTGGAGGATTTGGTAGTGAAACATAGTCAATAAATTGTCTATAAACGTTTTAGTTGTTTCAAAGTAATGTTCCAATTGATGCACTAACTTCAGAAGAATAGGATTTAAATAATGAAGAATATCTGCAATAAATCGAGCCGATGTTATTGTGATTATAACTCGTTTCTCGATGCGAATAAAAGGCCAAACAATAGAAGTTTCTTTTGATTTTGAAGAATTTTCTAAAGATATTACATTTAAAAGAAGAAAATATATACGAAATAAATCAGTTGGAAAAAATACGAATGTTACATACCCTTCATGTGATTAAAGTCTTTCATAAAAAGACTGGTCAAATTTTCAGATTTAGCATGTTTCTCTATCTCTAGAAGATCTTCATCTGTCAACGGTTGATGAGCTCCTGTTGATATCAACTGATTTATCCAACAGAAAAATAATTTTGATATGAAGGATGAACTCTCTTCCGCGGACTGGCCATCCTTCTGAAAATAGATAATGCACGATATTAATATTGCCAATTAAAAATTTCCTTTCGTTTTGGTGACAATCCTAGAAGAAATGTATCTGCCATCAGCAATACAAACTCGATACACACGCCTATATCAAACTTTTCTTCAAATGCCTGCATAGTTACATTAGTAGAACTTAAAGTAAACTATTTTACATACTAATACCACAATATGAATTAATTTTAAAGTTGTTGTGATCAGAAATATCAGAAAAAAGCTCGGATGAATTGAGTTTATTCTCTTGGATAATAATGAAAACCAAAGCGAACACGAGGCCTGAAATCAAATTATTATTCTTGAAATATTGCCTGACAAACAACTTTATCATATATAATGAGATTTTTACAACAAGAAAAGTATATCCGAAAGAAATATGAGATGACAATTCGTATACTATTTCGTTCAAAAATATCTAGTTTTGCGTTTTAGTGCTAGAGCAGAATTGTAAGGAAAAGTATTTATAAAGTGAGCACCTGAATAAACTTACGTATGATAGAACGTTAAAAAAGCGGAGAAGTGGAAGAAAACTGTTAGATTCACTAAATTCAACCGCAGCAAAAATTGAATTATTAACCATGAGAAGTGCTAAAAATATCTGAAAAAAAAAACGTAGGGTTCGTTGATGTTTCAAAAAATTACCAAATGAAGCCAAAAAAACTTGGGAGATTCAAAAATTGGTTCGTATTTTCGCACTATTCTACCATAAATCGGAATCATTAACCAGAAAAAAATAAGCGGCACCGATGTAAGGGCATCTCGATATATTACGCACAGTGGAACCTTATAAATTCATAGTAAATGATGTTCATGATAAAATTCTCCAACCTTATCGCGAATTCCGAAGCAAAGTTCTTGATAACTCATCATGTTTGCATTGTAATTACTGTTCAAGTGTTCAAAAATAGTTGCGAGTGGACGACAAAGAGAATGTTGGACACTTTGAAACAGAATTTTGAATTTTAATCTGTTTTGAATTTCCATATGTTTAACATGTAAATATACTCATTTATCAAGATCATAAAAAAGGGTATCACAGAATTGCCAAAAAATCGCAAATCATTCTATTCGTCCTCAAGGAAAAATTCCTTCAACAAGGATTCGTTCGCACACTGATTTTCAATCAATCGTTTAGCCTAAAATGCTCATTGATTTTAACGATTTCGGAGAACTAAACTACCTTTTTTCCCACTTCCAAAAGCGTTGGAATGCATGTAAGCTTTATGTTCTTGTCAGTACGAAATTGACAATTTGGATTTTTCCAGCTGAAAGCCATTAGAATGATGTTAAGTTATTGAATTTTTCATTAAGAAATTTACGTTTCACGATTTCCCACAAAGCACGTAATAAAATGAATGTCAGAATCTTTCACAGAATCGTCGGCGAGTGTCTTATCGATAATTGGCTCGGCTAAAGACAGGCAGTAATAACTTTGACACTTATAATATGTATTTACCTTCGACACAATCGGGACACCAACTTTTTCCTGTTAACAATTCTTTCGATCCAGTGAAAAGGGCAATAATACGTTTCCCGCTACCAATTTCTTTTAACGTTTGTTGAAAAGCATCATAACCCTGAGCGGTATAGTGTTTGATAAACATCTAAAAATTATAGACAAATTATAAAAGAACGTAAGTCAAATATCGAATTTAAGAGAGTTTTACTCGGAACGAATATAATTCTTTAAGGGTAAAAATACAAATAATTTATTATCAGAATAATCACTTCATATCTAAAAGTTTTTGGAACTCAGGTTTGCTTTTCGCATAATCTAAAAGAGTTTGTTTCGCAGTGGCACCAATTCCGACCCGTACAGCTGTGCGCGATAACCAATGAGTGCTAAATTTTCAATTAAGATTCATTCAAAAAAAATATGTACTTCGCAACAATTCTATCACAAATAGCAATCATTGACCGCATTTTCCAAATAGTTATTCCAACTAGAAGAAGTGATGCAATATTCATTGCAATTGGGAATACAGCAGTCAACTGGACCCAGTAACCCATCAGGCCAATTACCTAAAATCCGCATAAGTTTAAGCCAACTATTATGCAAGTAAATACCTCTGTACATGTAAACTGAGAAGATGAACTTGCCACCATTTTCTGTTTAGATTTTTCATGCAATTGAATAATTTTTATATGTTAGATCACGTTTTAACAACGAAACAATAAACATTTAGAATAAAATAAAAGTTTATATTCTCCATACCGCATTTACTTGATCTGTACGATAACGTTGCGTAAACGTTGCTTTCGAAATAGGAATGTTTAATCCGGCAGAGAGCATTAGTTCGCCAGCTCTCGCGATCATCGCTCCGTTATCTATACAAAATCGTTCATCTGTTGCGTAAAGATGTGCTCCGCGTTCCAAACACATTGATTGCGCCATTTCCTGAGATTAAAATTAAAATTCGTCATTTCATGTGTTATATTGTTTGACAAAAAGTTGTGTTACTTTATCGAAACGTAGAACTTATTTTTGAAGCTTAATCAGACTAAATGAACTCACTAGGGCTACGTGAAAAATTCGTAAACAATTTTTCGAATAATTTTTTCGACCTTTTTACGTCGAAAAATGGTACACACAACATCAATTTAGACGGTGAAAACTAAACACAACAAACCTGAAGTCGCAAATTACAACCCACTCCACCAACTATTAGAAGCTGAGAACTACCGGTATGAGCCATAGCTCGCTCTGTGATTTCAATAAGCATAGCAAATACAGTTTCCTGAAATATTAGACACATACTTTACTGAAATAATATTTTTAACCTGCAGAGAGAAACAAAGATCTTCTAAAGTATACTCCATACTTTCAATTAACTCGGAGGCCCTTTTTTCCATAATTGAGAGAATTCCGGAAAGTGAAATATCCATTCCTTTAACTGTATACGGTAAATCAAAAAGTTTTTTTCCATTCTTCGCTTTCTGTTCGATATTAAATCCCGGACTCGGGTTGTTAGGGAGTTTCAAAACTCTTGCAAAACGATCGAGGCAGTTCCCTACGGCAATATCTATCGTTTCCCCGAAAATTCTGTATCTTGAATTCGAATAAGAAATAACCTAAACTATGATTAAAATTATACGATTATTAGTATTGTCTAAATTAATTTCAAATTTTTATTCGTAATAATTTTCTTACCTGTGTGTTTCCTCCACTAACATATAAAATCACAGGATTCTCAGCACCAGTAACAAGTCTTCCCATTTCGATATGCCCAATACAATGATTCACCGGGATTAGCGGAATTTTCCAAGCTTGAGCCAGTGTCCTTGCTACTATTGCCCCAACTTGTAACGGCGCTCCCATTCCAGGACCCTTGGTATAGGCGATTCCATCAATTTCTGTTCCAGGATCATGGATATTCGATATTATTAGAGCATCACAAATAAGACGTAGAACCTATTACTATGAACATTTTCAGGTTACCACAAACGATACCTGTTGTCTATGGTGTATAGCTGTTTCAGTTGGTCTGAATCCTTCGCCTGGTGGTGCATTAAACGTTGATCTTGGATTAGACAGAACTTGACCATTTCGAATTATTCCTACCTTAAAAATTAAATGATTATTTTTGACATGGGGGGCTAAGAATAAGAATAGATTAAAAGCGCACACAGCGCACCAAGAAGTTTCACTAAATTCTTTTTTGGAAATTATTCGACTTTCCGAGGTCGCGCGACGCTGAAATTTCATAATTACCCCAATTTTGTTTGCGGATCCCTCAATGCCTAATATGCACGTCATTGCCAAAACAGGTAGCTAAAAATGAATTTTTTAAATGAAAATTTTTTTCCAGTTAAGGTAAATGAATTCGAACTTTCTTTATCGAATTTGCGTACAAAATAACAAAAAACGTGCAATATTTTTATTTATTCACAACAGTTCAGTTTTGTGGCGGATAGCACCATAAATCGCATACAAATGAATCACTTTGCAATCTTAAAAAACTAAAAATATTATGTTTACAATTCAAGCGGGTTGCGGATACCAGATCGGTCTCATTGGTTTATCACAGGAACATGAACAACTAAATGAAATATTTAAAATAACGATAATACGAAAATAAATAATTATATCTGCTCATTTCAAAGATAATCATCAAAATAAATGTACAAAAACCTGCGAATGGAGATATTTTCGGCTAATTTATAGCCCTTCGCTGAAAAATACCTTTCGTTAAAATGAAATAAAAAAATATCTTTCGTTTAAATAAAATATAAAACTTACATTGGTCCAATGACGTGACTGTTTCGTACCATCCAATAACTAAATGACTTGTAGCCGCAGTAGATTGTCACGCAGTAACATATCAGCCAAACAGGAAAAATCATGGTTAATGGATACTTCTGAATTTTAACAAATAATATAAATTTAAACTTGAAGCAATCAATTTTGCTTTAGCTTTAAGATTGTTTCCGTTTATATAAAAGCAAAAATTACAGGTTTGGTCATAATGGTCACCAGAACTGAAAATATGGCCAAAATTGCAGCCAAAATAAACAACAAAATCGATCGACGTCGAGCGAATGTTCCAACGGAAGAACTACAAATAAAGTTTCGGTGTTTGTATACGAAGAAGAGTTTTACAATTTTCTGCAGTGCGGGCAAGTAGCCAATGCATTAGTAAGGGTATTGAATAAGAAAATTTCGTTGCAATAAACGCAAGAAACTCTACAACTGCCAGTTGGTGCTCGAATAGCGCTTCCAGATGGATCTCTCTGACCTAAATCTTTAATCATGATAGAAAAATCATTGAAAGTGTGATACCCAGTGTGATAACTCTGCGACAATTGTTCCGTGGGCAAGCAATTCTTGTGGAAGAAGCCTTACAAATCAAAAGACAGTTACACGGACAGCGAACGTATTTCTTTCCCGCTGGTGCAGGACGAATGGGAGTAGCTTCATCGCATGCATGACATTTAACAACATGTTGATTACTACGTCCTTCAAGAAATATGTTGGCATCACAAACTCGGCAAACCACTGTGGCTCCTATAAATATTAAAAATTCTATTGTCGAACAGTTGCGCGAAGTCGACAATAAATTAATGTTACGTCTCTTCAGCCATGACGTTTTTCACATTTGACAATTTACCTTGAGGTCGCTGTGCTCTTTGAGCACCTTCGTTACCATCACCGTACTCGGTAATATATTCAGGTTCGTTTCGGGAAATTTCTTCGGTATAGTACGACATGTTCCTGAATATAGAGATTATTTATGTATAGGAGCATTTAGTACGTTTCCTGCGCACTATCATCAGGTAGGAGTGGTTGATTTTCTTGATTTTCAATATTTTCCATATCTGGAAATTAAAAAACGTATATACAAATCAATAATATATTAAGTAAAAACGATGAACTAAATTACTTCTGAAGCATCTTTGAAAAATCGATAATGTTAATATTTTTGAAGACAATAATTTCCATGAGTTATCAATTATGCTGATAATGAATTGATTAGTAGACAACTTTTCGGCAAAACTTAGAGATATACATTTTTGAGGAATTCTAGAGACTTTAATTTTGAGAAACGATAAACGTCAAAAATATAGCAAAAATAAACATGAATAATTAATTAATTTCAAAAATTTCAAGAAACTAAATAATGCCAAAGACAAGAATTTCTTGTTGAAGCTGAAATAATTCACAACAAATATAATATAATACTTAAAATATTAAGGGTGCAAGATATGAGGTGAGTAATGGATCTGAACCAAATAGTATATAGATAGTAACTTTTTATGTGATTGCGTTGGGTAAAAATGACTAATTCTTCAATTTTCCTTTGACTGAATAGATCCAATGGATCATCAATAGAACTGCGATAACACAAATAAATGAAAGCAACTAGTCATATGTATGTTACGGTCAGCATTTTCAAAAACCCAAGCGGTGCAAACTGTCGTCAGTTATAGTGTAAGCATCGGACAACTTGCACATACGTTTAAAATTTTGAAGGATTTTAATGTCTTTGTCCTATTTTAACTAACGAGACTTCGCAAGAAAAATGATCAATGGACTTATTCATGCAATAAAAACATTTTTTTTAATTACACATGTTTTTTTTTCAATGCTGGAATGTGAAAAATGCACATTTAACGTAATTATTTCATTTTTTGTAAAAGTACATACCATGGATAAGTCCAAAAGATACTGATTGTTACTCTGGTAAAGTTTCATAATTTTTCTTTCAATTTCTTCATATACGTTTTTTTCAAATATCAAAATCGTATACGATTTTTTTGATTGTGATTTTGAGAATTTACGCCATTTTTACTACGCGGTTTGTTGAGAATCGTATATGATTAAGTACCTGATCTGGTTTACTTTTAAGTAATTGAAAAAATTGTTGCTAAACTTTCAATAAAAATTGTTGGCATTAATATTTGTTCAATTAATGAACTTTTCTTTCAGAAAAAAACTTGACGCTTAGATTGAAAATGCGGATCTTCTCTGTTCTAAATAAATCTGTGTCTGGCACATTTAGTAAGGTTTTTGTTTTCAACAAATTACATTTCTAATTTACCAGAAGCATCATCGATATGTGAACGAAACATGCAACAAATGGTGATGTTGCAAGCGAGATATTTGGCAATTCCTGGTGGAAAAGCTGTTTTTAAAGTAATATCTTTTTTTTGACTGGGTAAAATTAACGTAACGCGGATGATTTTATATTGGTACTAGAAAATAAGTTATTGCTGGTGTGTTTATTTTTTGTTTAATGTAGCCGTGTGCTCGTTGTATGCGATATACAGAAAAAATCTTCCACGATTAGGATTTTTTCAAAATCTTCTACGATTAGGATTTTAAACTTGAATACCATTTTCAGAGGGATAAACCCCATTTGAACGTTGGTACGATTGGGCACGTGGATCACGGAAAAACAACCCTTACATCTGCTATTACAAAAGGTAATAATTATAATTAATCAATTTTTGATCAGTTAATTTAGTTCTTGCGGCATCGAAGGGCGCTAAATACCGAAAGTACGAAGATATTGATAATGCTCCAGAAGAAAAAACTCGTGGCATTACCATTAATGCTTTTCACTTGGAATACGAAACATCGAAGCGACACTACGCACACATTGATTGTCCTGGTCATGCTGACTATATTAAAAACATGATCACTGGAGCTGCTCAAATGGAAGGAGCGATTCTTGTAGTTGCAGCTACGGACGGACCGATGCCACAAACAAAGGAACACTTGCTTCTAGCAAGGCAGGTTGGAGTGCCGCAAGAAAATATCGCTGTCTTCATGAACAAGGTTGATGAAGTAACCGATGCTGAAACTCGTGAGCTAGTCGAAATGGACATCCGCGAGCTACTGAATGAATTTGGATATCCAGGGGATACATGCCCCGTAATTTTTGGATCGGCCTTGTGCGCGTTGGAAGGAAAGCAGTCGGAGATTGGTGAAGAAGCGGTTAAAAAACTCCTTGAAGTTCTTGATGACAAATTTATAATCCCCGAAAGAAAAACAAACGAGGAGCCAATGTTTGCTGCAGAGCACGTTTACACTATTCAAGGTTAAATCTTTATATTTTGTTCTTTTGTACAGAATACATTTTGTTTAATTTTAGGACGGGGAACTGTTATTACTGGAAAATTGGAGCGCGGAATACTCAAACGGGGAGACAAAATCGAAATTGTTGGAGCCAGCAAAGATGGAAAGGCTATTAAATCAACGATATCTGGTCTTGAGTCATTCCGCAAAACAGTTGAACAAGCTGAACCGGGAGACCAGCTTGGAATTTTGTTGCGGGGATTGGGGCCAAAGGATGTGCGAAGAGGATGTGTACTGCTTCCGCAAGGGCATAAACATAAAGTCACGGATAAGGTGAAAGCTCAGCTTTACGTTTTAAAAGAAAGCGAGGGGGGAGCTAAGACTCCAATTGCTAACTACTTTAGCGAACATGTTTATTCTTTAACATGGGATACTGGAGCGATGGTTAAAATAATCGGTAAAGATTTTGTCATGCCAGGTGAAGCTGCCGAGTGAGTTTGAATGGGTGGATTTCTTTAAAAAACATTTTATTTTCAGAGTTGAACTTTCTTTAAATTATCGAATGTTCATTGAACCGCAACAGAGATTTACCATTCGAAAAGGATCGAAGACAGTGGGCACTGGAGTCTTCACTGATCTGTTAGAACCAATGTCAGAAACTGAAAAAGACCCAAAAAGCAAGAAAAAATTGATGAAAGCGGAAATGGAGCGACTTGGCTTCAATCCATATGGAGAACTTGCTGAAAAGCGACTCAAACCAGATTTCTCTAATTCTCCAAAGGACAACCCAGCTGCCAAGGCTTTCGAAAATACAGATGCCCAGAAATAAACCATATATCTTCTTATTGTTTGTTAGTTAGGTTTTTTTAAAGTTAACGTAGTCCATTTTTCCACTTTTTGTTTTGTTTTATTGTTGACTTCTGGTTCTTTTCCTTGTTCTTTATTATCTATTTATTAAATATCTTCGCATATTTTAAAACCTTCATTCGATGCAAAGCACCAAAATCGTCTAACTCTCCCACAATCTCTATTTATTTAATCTGAAGTGGAAGATTAAATGAAATAAAAAATTAAATCATTAATATCTTCATATTGCGCTAAAATGTAAACCATAGCTGAAAAAATGTTTAATTTTCCACCTTTGCTCGCCTACAACAATTATCAATAATAAAAAGTTCTACAATATCGCAATAAAAGCTAAATATGATCATCAATTTGTAAATATCCAACGAAAAATTGACCGACGGCACGACATGCTGGCGGCAATCGTAAACTGCTTTGGAGAAGCATTTGGACAAGCAGCTGACAGCAAGATAGCGGTATGTCTACAATACCAACTGAAGTGTCTTCACCATTAGCTCGAGGATCACTGAAATTTTTTCTCTTATAAAACATTTTTCTACCGTGGCAACCTTGTCACGCTCGTGTGTGTGAAAACTTTGTAAAGAAGTTTGATGGCAGGAAATGGATTGAGTATCAAACCGTCGTCGTCCTCATTCTTTAAGCCTTGTAAATCGCCATTTGCTACAACTATGTAGGAGTCCAGGAGCCAAATCTAAAAGCTTAAATGATATTGAATAAGCTAGTAACATGTTACCAATAAATGTGGAATTTTATCTAATGATCGAATCACTAATTTCAAACTTCCTTGCGATTCGCAACAGGTTGTGATTAGCTGTGACATATATATGGATGTAGAAAACAATCTGGAAAAAATACTAATTATCTGCCACGGTGTTAACTATATTGGTAGATATAGAAAGCTGAATAATACTTTCAACTTACGATTTCTGTAGAAATAACGTGTTTTTTGAGCCTGCCGTAAGAGTCGTAGCAACATGATTGAAACAATAAAGTTTCGAGTGATCTCAAGAACAAAATTGTTAACAATTTTAATCAAGACACTAACTCTTCAGAACAATTCCAATTTCTGATTTGCATCCTCCACAGTATATAATGTTTTCACAAGTTTTAATATTGTCAATCAAAACACTGGACGCGTGGGCTGTGGTATTCACGTAGCTTATCATAATACGCTTCTCGTGCGGCAACCATTCAGGTGATGGTCCTTGTTCTTTTTTTGAGCTGTGATTATGTCTATCAGGATCACACGCAGCTCCACAAGCATCTCTACAGCTAAATTCGACACTTTGCGAAGTGGAAAACCAGTTGTCGTCTGGAAGAACTCCAATCGTTTTTCTGAAAAATGGGGAAAATTTCGAATTTAATATTTAAAGCCTACATGTACTCTTCAGAAAGAATCTGCAACGAACACTTAGAACATCTCAATTTTGGATTTCCTTTTTCAGCGAATGTATTCAGACTCTCCTTTTTACAAATATCTGTGGCTATTCGATGAAGAGTTTTCGAAACTGAAAAAGAATAATAATGATAAATCAGAAATCATAAGTAACCTAATGGCAAACGATCGGGTTCCACTTGAATTTTGCACATAAAAAGCCGAGGATTATTTTCAGCCCATGTTGGAGAACATAAAGTGCTAACGTTCATTGTTGCATATTTAAGAGTGCCACCAAATCGAATGAATTTTACATCTCCATTTTTCGCCTTCTTCTTCCCGATAACTTTTTTCGTTGGTGTAGATTGGTTCGATGATGTTTTTGGATACGAGTCATTCGAAATCTTTTCTGTTCCCTTTTTATTGTTAATTGAGATTGCCTTTGGCACCTCTTGTTGGTTTTTGTTAAGAAGTTGTGCAGATGGAGGAGCCCCAATTCGAATTCTCTTTTCGGTAAGGCTAACCACATCGATGTTATCATATTTTCTAAAAAAAAAAACACAGAATCGTAATTTAACTTGAAACGTTTACATTTTCTTCTTTTCGTTATTATCAGGTTGATTTGATCGATTTTTTTCTCGAAATTCCGGAGGAATATCGATGAACAATGACGCCAACTCGCTTCTTGGTTTCATCTTAAAATAATTTTGAAAAAAACGGTGTCTGCATAATAGCAATGGATCTATTCATTTTTTTAAATGTAAAAATTACATCAAAATTACATTTTTTTTACAATCCAGCATATGAAATATGTGAATTTTTTACACTGTTTGTTGCATGAATAGGTTCATAAAATTTTTAATTTAAAAATATTACCTCGAGAAAAACAGACATGTCTGTCCATTCTGTTGATGAACAACCAAGAGGAAAGTTCATAGCTAACAATCGGAACAATAAATCTGTGAAATGCAGTTAAAAATATGAAATATGGCATTTCGACAATAATAGTAATTCAAAAAGTTCAATAAAATTACAAGATTTATTGAGTTTGAGTATTTCATACTAAAGTCACATTATGGCGGAACTTAACAGAAATGAGCCAATTTCTAATTACCACACTTCTCCATCATCGTCTTCTTGCAATTGTTTTTCAACATATCTAAAAACATATCAAAATTATGAATATCGCAAAAAGGATCCGATAAGTTTTGAGATATCAGAGATTGTTCTTCATTAGCGATTTTTCACTAACAATTTTTAAAAACTCATATTTCGTGCCAATTTACTATGAGTCCGTATGCAAAAGGATATTATTTTGGCTTCATGTGTCAATAGGTAATTTGTGAACAAATGGGTAAACAGACTCTCTCTATTAAAAAAACTTGAAATTTTTTACAAAAAAACTTTGGTATACATTTTTTTTCAATTCAGCTGTTCGATCAGGACGGACATTGGTCACTTTTGTTTTGGATAACCCGCGAAACATTTTGGAATCAACAGGAAAAAATTCAATTAGTCGAAACAAACATCGCCCTCGGTTTATCCCTTCTTTTGACTTAAACGTTATTGTTCAACGCCACTTACAGTGGAGATTCTCGAATTTTTTGACAGTTTTGTCGAACAAGACGAATGCTATCCAAAATCAATAGATTCAAAAGGCCAATAATTTCTAATTTCTTTCTTTCGCTCCACTGTTTCCTTCGCTCAAGAGAAATCTCATACTTGAGATCATTTTTGTCTACATAAAACCTTCGAATAATTTCTTCTGTAATAGAGAAATACGGGCCAAATATATAGTAAGAAATATTACCTTGGTTCAATTTTTCAGCATTATTATTGGTTAAATTAAATATTTTTTGTGCTAAAAAATGTTCAGCGTCCGCAGTCTTTACATTTATTTCGTTCTTGTTCATCGCTTTCCACTCAATACCAATTCTGTGACTGCTTACCAAGTTATTATACCTTTCTTGTTGAGCCTTATGGTCTCTGCAAATCACATTATATTTTCACTCCCTAAAGTTTCATTATAATATTTATAATTTCTTTTGTTTATTAAAAAAATCTAACTTGAAATTATCAGATGTCACCACAACTCCGTTTGTCACAGCTGCAAATTCCAAAGCGACAATGTCATCAAGATTGGATTGGTGTGTAACGATGCAAAGACTACAATCAACCAATTTCTGAATAATTTAATTAAATAAAAAAAGATTATAAATAAATAGCTGAAAACATTAATAGCTGTTTTACAGTTGGTCACATTTGAATTCAAATATTTTGGACTTATAATTGCAAAAGCCTCAAAGTCGTTCTTATAGAAATATCGTAATAACGATACTAGACCAAGAACATCGGGAATGAAATCTGAAAAAAAATCTATGAGTAAAATACATACAAGTTTTATTTAAAACTTTTTCCATTTGGAAGCCTTTCATCTGTTTCGTTTGAGCTGCAGTGCATCACATTAGCACCATCAATAACGACTGTGCGTGGAATTAATTCATTCGAATTCTAAATTTTAAACTGTTTATTAATACAGATATCTGATTTATTTAGATGATTACTCATTTTAATATAACTGCTGAAAGAAACATACTGAAATTTTTAATGATGGCAATGCCAAGGAGCAACTACAAGACAGCTCATTTATAAACCGATCGTTTGCTTCGTTTAAATCTTCATTCCGCATCTCCCTTAATTCGCAACACTCTATGTGCTTTAAATTTTTCAAAACAAACCTTGAGAAATTTTTATAGGAAATTTTATGGTTTCTTTTAACGAGGTATTCTGGCATACACGTGCCCATCTAAAACAATTTTTCTAAACTCTTATAAGATGAGCGAATTCTTTCGTTTTTAGGATAATTAAAGTTAATTGAGAAGTAATTCGGAAATTTTTAACGATTATACCATTATGTGCAACGGCGATTTCGTAAAAAAAATCTCAAAAACTGAATAAAACTAGATTTTTTTGCGCAAACTTCATATTATTTTCAAAATATTTGAAATGAGAAAAAATGACTTTTTTTGGGGTTTTTGTGAAATCTACGATGTGTCACTAACGCACCTATTCATAAAATGTATGTTTTTAACAAAAAATGTAAAGAAAATACATTAAAGTTACATTTTTTACGACACTGCATTGGAAAACTTGTATTTTTTTTCATTTATTATTTCATGAATAGGTTTATTTCAGGGCTGTGCGGCAATCGGAAATTTCGGCAATTCGGCAATTCGGCAAATTGCCGAAAATCAAAATTTCGGCAATCCGGCAATTCGGCAATTTGCCGAAAATCAAAATTTCGGCAATTCGGCAATTCGGCAAATTGCCGAAAATCGAAATTTCGGCAATTCGGCAAATCGGCAATTTGCCGAAAATAAAAATTTCGGCTATTAAATGTTTTCAACAAATAAAAATTTCGGCTATTAAATGTTTTCAACGATAATTCGAAATATAAATACCGAATTTTCACGGTATCCCAAGTTATTCAATGGACATTGATTTTGGTTTCGCCGATTTTTTTTTATATCAAATTGCCGAAAATCAAAATTTCGGCAAATCGGCAATTCGGCAAATTGCCGAAAATCAAAATTTCGGCAATCCGGCAATTCGGCAATTTGCCGATCGAACGTTCTCTTCGGCAATTCGGCAATTCGGCAATTTGAAAAATCGGCAATTTCGGCAATTTCGGCAATCGGCAATTCCATTGCCGCACAGCCCTGGTTTATTTCATAACGAAAAGGAATAATAATAATAATAATTTCGAATATAAATACTATGCATGCAATGACGCTCCGTTGATAAAAACAGCAATGATCAATACAGGCCGTTCCGTGAGGGGCAACGACGAAGGTTTTCCAAACCTGTTTAAGAACACAAAGTCTGCACGACGAAATATAAATGAAATATTGAATACCGTCTCAACGAGATGAACATTGCGCGCAAAAATCAATGCGCTTGAGTCGATTTACGAGTGCCTCGGAAAAATGAGATGGTCCAAAATTAGTTAAAGTGCTCGTCCTCTTGCGATTGTAATATTTCCAAAAAATACTGGAACGAGGCGATTTGGCTTCAAAACATAATGAGGTTTCAAATATGGGGGTGGAAAATCGGGGGTTGGGGTACAAGAACACTTCGACAATATGTCAAATACTCTTAAAACTCTTGGGGCCATTCTTTCATGTCTTCAACTCTTTTACAAACGTCTTCGCTACACACTATTTTTAAAAGATATTTTTCAAAAGCAACTAAATAAGTTTTTTTAATTGTACTGTGCAGATATTGCCTTTTTTAAATCACTATTCAGGTTGCGCAAAAATGCACAAATTTTTTTTTAAATTTAAAACTTAAGTCGCGTTTTTTAAGTTGTGAAAAAAAGAATTTTCCAAAATCTGCATAGTCGCATCAGCATAATTTATTACGACAAATTAAATACGTTTGACGAGGCTCAGCGCAAAAAAATACGCCTTTCCTAAACGTATCTAAAAAATAAATTCGAACTTTGAACGTTCCTCAAATTTTCTTGCAAACAATTTCAAGCTTTTTTCGTGCAGTTTTCCATTATTTATTTATTTTTGGTATTTGAATATAAATAAATTTCCACGCTTAAGCGGACAAGCGGGGGAACTCAGAACCACTAACTCATGCGAGCAATAAAACTCTTTTTGACATTCAATCTGATAGTAGATGGGTTGAACAACAATCGAAACAGTGTGAAAAGAGACGAGACGCCGAAACACTCAATCGATGCTCCACCCATTTTCAATAGTTGATCGTTGTTAAACACGTAAAATATTGGATGCATCTATACTTTCTGCTGCCCATTTTTATAAATATCATTACTCAACATGAGGACAATTAATGAGCGCCGAAGAGGGACGATAATAACGTTTTTCAGGTTTGCTGAGAATTTTCTTGTCTCATTTTTTTTTTAAAAGTTTAACCTGCTATCTCATAGAAATATTTGAGCAAACAAAACGGTTAGAGCAATAATTTTCCGATAAGTGCTTCACTTCACATCGGACAATAATTTTTTTAATGTTGCAGAAAAAAACTTGTGTAGTTTACAGAGAAACAAGAAATGAAAATGACTAATGTTAGCATTTCACTTTAAAATAAATATAATTCTTATATTCGTTGTACGGACACCAAATTCAAAAGTTTTGAATTTTGTTGGCAAAATAAGTTATAACACCATAACTATAATCATGGCACTGGGAAAAGGACAAAAATAGATTAAAAGTGGATGAAAAATGGTTCAGACTATAGAAATATCTGCTTTCATCCACTTTTTAAACTTTTTTCTTGTCCGTCTCCCAGTTGCTGTGAATGCTTAGAAAATCAACGGAAGTGTGTCCATACTAGGAAATTTAGCGTGCCCGCACTTATATTTCTCCAAAGCTACTGGCAAATTTGTAGATCTACACAGTTCTTGCAAAAATGAATCCCCCACCCCTCCCGAAAAAACATTCGAAACCGAAAATAGTAAAATTTTACCATAACATAAAAGTCAAAACCGAGCAGACCATCAACAATGATAAATCAAATTATGTCCTGCTGTCAAATGCAATTTTTCAAACTATATAGGTGCTAAGCCAAACAAACTTTCTTTTATTTCACCTTTCATTTTGGATCAACTGCTTTAGTAATGTAGTACATTGCTAAATTTAGTTTTAAAAAATTTTTTCGTCTGTTGATTTTTCCATCGAATTGATGTGAGTTGTGTCTACTCAGCTCGACTCTCGGCGCACATGTGTCAAATATCGATTTCTTATTCTTCCTCTTTTTCACCTTTTATTTAGAAAATTAGAAAGACAAAGCAAGACTTTTTTTTAAGAATAATGTAAATTGTGTAAATGATTGATAAAAGATGAAAAGTGATTCGCAACAACCTTGCTTTCAGATATTTCTTATATACTTTTTAAGGATGATAAAAAGGAAACTCCAAGACCTAGCTGTTTGCTGTTCTTATCAAGTCGATTTCCTGCACGAAAGAAGTAAATTTTCCTATTCATGTTCAATTAGTATTTTTGGATATTTAATTTTTCAAATACAGAATTCCTGAAATAAATTAAAATAATTATTGGATCCTCGAAAATAAGAATTAATTTTCAGAGCACTCAGTTAAAGAATTCAAAAGACAATATGACGTGCTAGACGAAATTGGGCGAGGTGGTTTTGGTATTGTCTATGAAGGTACCAGTAAACTTGATAACGGATCAGTCGCTGTCAAGTTTGTTCAACATAAACATGTACGATCATGGACTATGGTAAATAATGGAATATCGATAAAAATTATTGTAAATATAACAGACATGTCGCCACTTGATACCTTCAGAAGTTTGCCATTTAGAAACATGTCAAGACATCAAAGGTGTTATAAAACTTATTGATTGGTTTGCAAAGTTAAATTAACGAAGTCATATAATCATAGTGCTGTTCATTTTTTTTTAGCTCGAAGGGATTTTTGATAGTAATGGAGAAACCGGAAAACTCAATGGACGTTTTTGACATGTTATCACAATACGGGCCACTGGTAGAAGAGCTTGCCAAGTTTGTTTTTAGACAGGTTTGAAATTTAGAACAAAAAATAAGTTTAACTAACTTTTAGGTAATTACCATTGTGAACGATATATACGAAAAATATAACTTACTACATCGTGATATAAAGGTAAGTTTACATTTCTCAAAAGAGAAAATGTTCATCCACGTGAAAATTTTACGTTTCAGACTAACCGTAGAATAAAATTACGAGAATATTAATGTTGTTTACTCGATTTTCTAAGGGACGAATTAACGTCGGCTTTTGTGTGATCGTTGAAGATTGCGACTGGTGTGCGCGTGATCCGTAAGAACACGTAGTTGAATTATGAGAGTTTATTTGAACTCTGCGGAGAGAAAAAAAAAACAATCAATACAAATGCCTCGGCAAATCACATCTGACGCCGCGCGGACGGTTTTCTATTGAAAAAATTGACGGACTCCGCGCGGACGTTGTAACGGACGAGCAGTAGAGTCGGAGCGGACGCGGATGATCGAAAATTTGCGGACGCTAACCGAGCGAACGATATCGTCCGGCGGATGCATAGCGGAGACCGCTCGGAAGCTCAACGGATGAGCAGTAGCGTCGGAGCGGACTCCGATGTGATTTACCGAGCGCGCGTCTTTATATACTAGGTTGACGTGCTTCTAGAAAACTCGTACTGTCCGAGTCAAACGACTTGACGAAATAAAAAAAATTATTATTATTATTATTATTGGCTATGTCGTCTGCGTCTCGAAGCAGCGAGAAGAACGCGAGACTGCGTACATCGCATTATAGTGTATTCGCATTTAATATTTAGTCAACGATAAACTAAAATCTACACTGATTTCGCGAATTTGAGTGTCCCGCCTCCCTTCAGTCGTTCGACGCTAACAATACAATTTCTACTAATGAGTGAGACCTTGTGTGTAATAATTAGGAAAATATGGAATTTTGTGGAAACTCCCACAACAGTATCAATGCAATTCAGGAAAATTAAAATCAATTGAATTCGAAGAAAAAATAAATATTACTTAACCTGATCTGGTTAAGAAAACGCTTAAAATAGTTTGAGAAAGTGGTTTAAATACGATTAAAAACTTGGTTTCAAATAATCTTCGAAATAGTTTAATCTTTTTTTATTTCAAAATCGTATTCTATTGAAATTTTTGTATACTAACAAATTAATTTATATTACGTTTCGATTGAAAATGAAATTATTTTCGAATAATTTTGTCAGATTGATTTTTATTTACCCAATACAACGAAAAAATATTTTCTAATTTGCAAAATCAATCTGTTATTAAGCCAAAAATATTTCAGGATGAAAATCTAATAATTAATATGACTACCGGAGAAGTAAAGCTTGTTGATTTCGGCGCAGCTGCCTACGAAGAAAAAGCTTCCAAAAAGGAATTTCAAGGAACGAGATCGTATTGTCCTCCTGAATGGTTTCGGGATAGACAATATTTACCACTTCAAGCTACATCATGGTCCTTAGGAGTTCTCTTATTTATTCTATTGACTGGTAAACTGCCATTCCGAAACGAAATTCAAATTTGTATCGGAAACGTGAAATTTCCAAGCTGTTTATCTAAAGAAGTGTGTTCACTTGTCAAATCTTGCTTGACAACTGCTATTTCAAACCGTGCTTCTCTTTCACAAATTGCATCACACACGTGGCTGAGAGGGAAAAACGTACTTTTTCAATCACCTACTTTCGAAGAGATTTTAGTAGGTAAGTTAAGTAGGTTATCAATCATATCAAATTTTTAAACATAACGCACTTGTTTGTTTGTTGTTTCGTGAAATTAGGCGTAAAGGCAAAAACAATTTGTCCGCCCGGGAACGAAAAAAGGAAACCCCCTGTTATTTATAAGATTCGGTTAACAACTATCGAATTACCTTTTCTTGTGGTTTCAGTACTAGAACAATTATCAAATTTGCCGCATTTATCAATGAAATCACATCAAATTTGTCAAATCTTATGCTAAAACTACCTGTTTCGACCATTTTTTCTTAGTATATTTTTTTAGTGTATTCAAGATGCAGCTGTGAAAAAAAAAAGAATATTTTAAAATTTAATTTCACGTTATTTTTTATTTGTTCGAACTTAACATTGAAGAAACCAAAAATAATAATTATTAAAAAAGGTTTTAATAAATGAAAAACCTCAATAAACTTAAAAGAAAGCTGAACAGCAAAAAATTGTACGATAACTTTTCAGAATCGAATCGAATAATTGATATAGCTGAATTCGAAGAAGAGCAGGAATTAAACGATATAGTACTTACCAGAAAAAGGGATAGCATGGTAAATAATAACAAGGACATGGAAAGCATATGCACGATGGCCACAGCGTGCGAAGAACTGTATGGCGAAGAAGGCGAAAACGAATTGAGAAATGAACAAAGTAAGTTTTCTAGTTTCTGAAAAAAAAAACGGTAATCATACGGTTTCGCCGAATGCAACGTATTATCATATAGCGGTCGATTGTATTTGCCGCTTTTTTTACAGACTATATCACAGCGGCAATAGAGTGTAGGACTAGCGTATTTTTTAAGCGCAATAATAAAAATTTAGTAAAACATGTAGTTTGAATAGAACTTTTTGAAAGCTTTAACTCATTCCGGAATCTAATGTAAATCGCTTTCTGTCTTGTTCATTACGTTTTGTATTTAAAAAAAAAGGCCAATGTTCAGTGACTCATACTTTTTGACTTGACTCATGATTTTTGACTAGTGATTTTTGACTAATTCTTTTTGACAAATGATTTTCTAAAATTTTTTTTTTCTTGAGATTCCTGTATTTTTCTTCTTGTGCTCAATTCTGCTTTTTTGGCCAATACTGAGGGGTAAGAAGCTAAATGAGGGGAGAGGTGGAAATGTTATTACTGAATGGGGGAATGATTATTACTGAAAGGAAAAAAGTTCTTTTAACTGTAAGCATGAAAAATTGATTTTTTTTTTTTGGAATTTTACTGCTTATTGATTTCAAAGAGAAGCTTAGGTTCAGCTGAGCGGATCCACCGAAGGAGTCCACTGTAACGTTAAACGAAATTTTTTTTACAAATTGAAAAAAAAAACATTGCCGAATATTTCTGATTTTGCTATTTTTTCATCAAAATTTAGGAAAGACGTTATATTAAAAAAAATAAGACATTGTTATCCTGTGAGAAGTTTTTTGAAAGCTGTTTTGTTAGCAGTATAATTTTGATACAGTTTTGAAGGTATAAATGACCAAGGCCAATTAGTAGTGGCTCGTGAAAAGTGGCTTGGCACGTGATTTTTGGCTCGTCCTTACTATATTCTTTGGCTCATGAATTTTGTCTCGCGAATTTTGGCTCGTGATTTTTGGCTTGTGATCTTTGCCTGGCATTAACAAGAGAAAGATAATTGCCAATAATTTTTTGCTCCGCGTTTCTTACTCCCCCCTTGATTTTTAGGGTGGCACCCCGGAGTGAAACTCGCCGTGATAGAACTCGGCTGTAATAGAACTTGTGATATATATATATGGTTAGATATTTTTAGTACTCTCCGTCAGTTATATGAAAACAACATAAACACAGTTTTTATTCGAAAACATATTTATTAAAAACACTTTTAAAAATTAATAAATTATTGAAATTTTTCGATAGATCATTTTTACCGTAAAATCTGCGTCAAAATAGTACTTCTAACAAAACAGCTCTCAAGAAACTTCTCACAGGATAACAATGTCTTATTTTTTTTTAAATATAAAGTCTTTCCTAAATTTTGATGAGAAAATAGCAAAATCAGAAATATTCGGCAATGTTTTTTTTTTCAATTTGTAAAAAAAAACTTCGTTTAATGTTACAGTCGATTCCTTCGGTGGATCCACTCAGCTGAACCTAAGCTTCTCTTTGAAATCAATAAGCGGTGAAATTCCAAAAAAAAAATCAATTTTTCATGCTTACAGTTAAAACAACTTTTTTCCTTTCAGTAATAATCTTTCCCCCATTCAGTAATAACATTTCCCCCTCTCCCCTCATTTAGCTTCTTACCCCTCAGTATTGGCAAAAAAAAGCAGAATTGAGCACAAGAAGAAAAATACAGGAATCTCAAGTAAAAAAAACTTTAGAAAATCATTAGTCAAAAAGAATTAGTCAAAAATCACTAGCCAAAAATTATGCGTCAAAGAATAAAAAATCATGATACAAGTTTTATGAGTCAAAATTCATGAGAAAAAAAAAGTATGAGTCCCTGAACATTGGCTTTAAAATTTCAGTTTTTGCTAAACTTAATCATTTTAGAAGAGAAAACGTTAATAAGAAGTGAATCTCGATACGATAACATTTCTTCGTCGTCATTTTGTGATTACGTTTCTTTGGCATCATCTTTCGATGATTTTGCGTCAACTTCAGACATTTATCAATCGGCTTGCGAGATTTTATCTTCAAGGTGGGGTTTGGAAATATAAATCAAAATAAAATTTTCAGTTCAACCCGAAGTCTTTCTGCTGTAACGAGCGCATCGCTGTATAATCTTGCAAAAGTGAAAAAAAAGTCAAGCATTTTCAAATCATTCGACAACGAATTGGATCCGGTTGAGGAACATGATTTCACAACGACTAGTTCGATGCAGAACAACACTATTATGTGCGAGTCGACATCTAGTAATGACGACGTTACAATTTGCGAAGATAAAAAAATTTCGGAAATTGTTACACCATCGCGAAAATCTCGAGAACGCCCATTACAGTTTGGAAATTCTTCAAAAACGCTCGCCGTTTTCCAAGTTTCTCCAGCGGTTAAATAATAAGAGGACATATACAGTACAATCTACGCAATGAAAAATTTTAATAAAAATTTCATATTTTTTATTTTCATTTTATTTCTATATACGATGAAATAATAATAATATTAATGCAATTTATAACTTGTCACAAATAAAAAAAAATCGGCAGAATAATATGAAAAGAATGTACTTGCAAGACATCAAACGTTAACTGAACCTGGCGGATTTGATGTTGAAGGTGGAGTCGATTCATCGTTCAAGGGATTGGAAAAAGATTCGAACCTTGAAAATTGCATAAATCATTTGAATATCATAAAATTTACGGATTAAATATTACCATCACAAAAAACGAGCGCCTTGCATAATTGCGGACTAACACAATTTTTCGAAGCGGTAGTTCAATTTTGAATTCTCTGGATAACCTGAGAAGGGTCTATTAGAAACCACCCCGACTTTTTAACCTCTCCTTTTATTTATGATACCACCCCCACTTTTCCATCCCCAATTTTTAGGTTTCACCCCCCACTTCTTCACCGCACTTCAAAATTTGCAGTTTCAAACAGTAATTTTTAACAGAAAAATATTTTAATTTTTTTTAAACTTGCACCAATTCAAGTTATCAAGAGGAGATGCAGGTCTAAATTAGATGTTTCAGAAATTATGTAGTGTTTTTATGAAAGGCTGAAAATTTTAACAATTAATGAACTATTCTCTAAAAACCCAGTTCAGAAGGATTTCGTATTTCGTAAGATTTTCGTATTTTCCAACAATTGTCAATATTTCAAGTCCAATTGTGCATTTTGATATCAAGCTTCTTTGCAAGCCTACATAGTTTCTGAAAAATCTAATTTAGACATCAATTTTGCCAATTTCCTCTTGATAACTTGAATTATTGAAAATTAAAATATTTTTCTGTTAAAAATTACTGTTTGAAATTGCAAATTTTGAAGTGCGGTGAAGAAGTGGGGGGTGAAACCTAAAAATTGAAGGTGAAAAAGTGGGGGTGGTATCATAAATAAAAGAAGGAGTTAAAAAGTCGGGGTGGAATAGCAGAGGTGGGCGTTAAAAAGTCGGGGTGGTTTCTAATAGACCCCTGAGAAGCTAACTCGCCGAAAATGGCTAACAAGGGCGCTCGTTTTTTTTGCAAGTTCAACACTTAGTAAAGAATTTTTATATAAGTAAACTAAAATCGAAATTCAAAGATTGCCAACAGTTTAAGTTTTATTTCTAAATCAACCGAGAAATTTCTAAGAGCGAAGAAATACCCGGACTAAAATTGTTAGGTTATTTTTTTGCGAATTTGGCGCGTTTTTGCAATTTTTTGCGGAATTGGCGCAGTGTGCAGCTCCATTTCCTGGACTTCTTTTGTTGTCGTGCTGCGGATGGCACACTATACTATATTGAGGAGGGTCCCGTAACATATGCTTCTATTCACGGGCTTGGATATGTATGGAGTACACACACGCAACTCTTCATGTCCACTCCTGGGTTTTTTGCCAATTTCTCGCAGTCACGTGACTGCAACAATAACGGCTCGTTTACTTTGGATTGGATTCAAGCAATGTAGGCATCAAAGAAGAATAATTCGAAAATGTTATTTTTTTTTGACATTTGCTTTTTGCAAAGTTAGCCATCACATAATTACTAAATTTCCGTCTTGCGTAGTTTCATTTGAAAGAATAAATATTTCCGCCGCAAAAATAGGCACTCTGCGTCGATCTACGGTGAGTTAGATTAGCTGATTGTACATTGTACGGTACCCAAATTCCCATCGGCCCGAAAAAAAAGATGGTTCACAAATTCTTATTTTTTGCGATGATTTGGCCGGCTTGATTGCGAAATATTGGCGAAATGTCAAAAATAATATAAAGGTCTTTGTATGCGGTGTACGCCTTTAACCTATCCTTATGCTCGCCCGTAAATCCGTAAGTCATTTTTAGTTTTGCGCTAAGACCGCTTCAGGCAAATGAAAATAATCGGATTCGAAGAAAAATAAAACATAAATTAAACCTGATTCGATTGAGAAAGTGTTTCAAATTCTAGCTTCTAAAAACTTAGCTTCAATTCAAAACATAAAAATACCTTGAACTGCCTCGCAACGCATTAAACCAATCTCTTGCATTATCAATTGCGTGTAGAACTCTAAGCGCTCTCGTTGAGTCGTTGCCAGCCGCTGTAAAATAATTAATAAACGATAGCTGCTGGGACTACATTGCCGGTTTCGTGCGACCAACAAGAGTGGTTTTCTGACCGTCAGGGAATCATCTCTAATTTTGCACACACATTCTACCTCCTTCCTTATATGAAATAACCGTCATTATCCCTACTTGCACAACGTTTTCGTTTTTTGGGTATTCGCATGTGAAGATATTTGAAATTGTGATTTTTGAGCTGCACGCTATGAGCCACCACACCTCTAATCTTCGGAGTTTAGATTGATAATGTCGCAATTAAAAAAAATTTGTTCTGTTTTTTCTATTCATATTGTTTTTGTTATTTTTTTTTTTCAAAAATACCCATTTTTTATAAATATAGTCATTCTATTGATGGCGGAACTCGCGCGGGTCCCGAGAGCTACCAGCGGAAGTGTCGCCAACTGTGTGTGCGCAAAATTAGAAGAATACTCCAGACGGACAATAAAAACACTTGTAAGAATACACAGGCGCAACTCTTCGCCTCGAGGTTATTACTGGCTTTTTGCCAATTTCTCGAAGTCGCGCGATTTCGACAATGAAAAATTAATGATTAAGGTGTTAGTGAAAGCGATTAATTTCTGCGAATTATAGTGAAGATTGCTTGGAAGGTTTGCAAAAATTGGATGACACATTTTCTTTAATGCCCAGTTAGTTCGTGAATTTGATCACAAAATAATGATTTGTGAATATGAAAATTTGCAAATAATTGTTTAAAACAACAGTAAACTATTCTGAATAAAAAATCAATCTAAGCACGTTTTCATGCAAACAGAACGGTGAAATATTAAAGATTAGTATCACAAGCACGCACCGACCCAAATTGAGCAAATTAGCTGGTGCATAAGCGGCCTGCGTTGCAGGGGAAGATAGTTCAGAAGGCGGAGGGCACATTGACAGAAAATCTTTGAGGCAACCCGTCTCGCGCGTTTTCAGTAATCCTTCAGAATATCGATCCTAAAATGAAACATTTTACTTTTTTCCTAAATACCCAATGATCTCAGTTTTACAATAATATTGTCGATGCCACGCGATTGCGTAAAATGGGCTAAATGACTAAAAAAACCAATGACAGTGGTCTTGGCGCAAAACTAAAAGTTCAGATTTGCAGGCCAAAGTATAAGAATAAGATTAATTTGCCGCAGACACGCAGCGCCGATAATAATAGTTCTCACAAGGGAAGTCATTTTACCTCCCGTCTTAGGATTTTTTGTAATTTTGCACACGTAAACTAGAAGATATTTTGAGTGTGCTCACAAAATTCCAGCCTGCACTGGGGGGTTACAGGCGAGTTATGGCCGTCTGAAAATTCAAGGTGTTTTTACATTGTCAGCAACCATTTGGGCAAGGGGTTACGCATACGCCTCTTGGGGGCCCAATTTGTCATCCAGGGGAAGTGAAGTGGTATGTGTGCGGGGCAGTGACTTTATGATGAAGGTTCGCACCCGGCTCACGCATTTTTGCTTTTTTTCTTTTTGCCACAGAAAATTCCGCTGCAAATTGGTTTCAAACGCATAATTTCATGTAAAAGTGTCGTTTCAACATTATTTATTATTTTTTTTTGCATTTTACAGTTTTTCGTTTTTTTCAAAAATTTCCTGAACTCTATTATTTTCCACTTTATTGTTTGGTTCTTGGAGTGGATGTCGAATTGGATGTCGAAAAACTCACTTCTGATCGTTCAAACGCATAATTTCATTTTTTAACATATTTAACAATTTACTCTTTTTCGGAGTTTATTTTGCAAGACCAGGTCAGTAGCGGGCCAGGCAACCAACAGTTCATGTGATTGCTAATAATCATGAGTTCGAAACAAAAGAATTTCTCAAAATACAAAAAACGAATAAATGAGTTATATCAATATATTGCTACATTCTGGCGTTTGGCATTCTCTGGCAACGTCTCTCGAAAAGAGTTTCTGCGCTGGAGTGAGGTATGGTGGAGGCCGTGAAACATATCCACTCGCAGCCCAACTATGTATGCTTGATCCAATCTTGAAATTTCGGAGAACACAATTTCCTGTACACGACATAAAGAATGTGTAAGAAAATAATGTTATAACATTTTCATTGCTGGTTTTTACCAAAAGAATCGACTTTCGCTTGTGGACCTTGAATGAATGTTGCCAAAAGTGGGCGTATTCTCCGATGGATTTGATAACTTTTCTGGACCCTCCGAACACTCCAACATCGAGTGATTTCGCGAATCCCGTATATCCAGTTGGAATAGAACCTTCGAAATGTTGGAGTTGTATTTGTGTCCTTGCAGTCCATTCATTCCTTTCCATCCACTCCAAGAACCAAACAAGTGGAAAACAATAGAGTTCAGGAAATTTTTGAAAAAAACGAAAAACTGTAAAATGCAAAAAAAAATAATAAATAATGTTGAAACGACACTTTTACATGAAATTATGCGTTTGAAACCAATTTGCAGCGGAATTTTCTGTGGCAAAAAGAAAAAAAGCAAAAATGCGTGAGCCGGGTGCGAACCGGCCAATGTTCATTGACTCATACTTTTTGACTTGACTCATGATTTTTGACTCATAAAAATTGTATCATGATCTTTTATTCTTTGACTCATGATTTTTGACTAGTGATTTTTGACTAATTTTTTTTTGACTAACAATTTTTGACTAATGATTTTCTGAATTTTTTTAGTTGAGATTCCTGCAGTTTTTTCAGTATTCGATTCTGTTTTTTTGGCCAATATTGATGGGTAAGAAGCTAAAGGGTGGGAGGAATTGGAAGAAATGTTATTACTGAATGGGGGAAAGATTATTACTGAAAGGAAAAAAAGTTCTTCTAACTTCTGTAAGCTTAAAAAATTGTTTTTTTTTTGGCATTTCATCGCTTATCGATTTCAATGAGAAGCGTAATCCCAGCTAAGCGGATCCACCGAAGGAATCGACTGTAACATTAAACGAATATCCGTAGTAGGCCAAATGATATGTATGATTTGATATTTTTTAGTAGTCTCCGTTATTTTAATGAAAACAACTAAACACAGTTTTTATTCGATATCATTCATTATTGAGCGTGAATAAAAGAGGGAAATGGATGGAATAACGCGATAAGTGATTTTTTATTAATTTATTTTGCAAATTATTTTAGCTTATACGGTCAGGCCTGTTTTAAAACGACATAATTTTCGATTTCTCATCAAAATTCAGGAAAAACGGTATATTCAAAAAATAAGACATTGTTATACTTTGAGAAGTTTTTTGAAGGCTGTTTTGTTAGAAGTACCATTTTGATAAAGTTTTAACGGTATAATGATCTATCGAAAATTTCAATGATTGATTAATTTTAAAAGTTTTTAATAAATATGTTATCGAATAAAAACTGTGTTAACATTTCTCCCAATTCCTCCCACCCTTCAGCTTCTTACCCATCAATATTGGCAAAAAAAAACAGAATTGAATACTGAAAAAAACTGCAGGAATCTCAACTAAAAAAATTCAGAAAATCATTAGTCAAAAATTGTTAGTCAAAAAAAATCGTCAAAAATCACTAGTCAAAAATCATGAGTCAAAGAATAAAAAATCATGATACAATTTTTATGAGTCAAAAATCATGAGTCAAGTCAAAAAGTATGAGTCAATGAACATTGGCCGTGCGAACCTTCATCATAAAATCACTGCCCCGCACACATACCACTTCACTTCACCTGGATGCCAAATTGGGCCCCCAAGAGGCGTATGCGTAACCCCTTGCCCAAATAGTTGCTGACAATGGAAAAACACCTTGAATTTTCAGACGGCCATAACTCGCCTGTAACCCCCCAGTGCAGGCTGGAATTTTGTGAGCACACTCAAAATATCTTCTAGTTTACGTGTGCAAAATTACAAAAAATCCTAAGACGGGAGGTAAAATGACTTCCCTTGTCAGTATCGACGCATGCGGAGAATAAGTGGTCGCCCGCTGCTCTTCACCCCGCACTTGGCCCCTGGGGCCGTAGGACAATGCAATTTCGGTTGGAAATTGTATTTTTAAGAGACATACAGTCGGCGTCCGGCGACTGCTGTACGCGGGTAGATTTACGCGCATGCGCCTTGAAAAGGTCTCGCCACGCGTGAATGCTCATTTTGCTGTTTTCACGTGAACTGCTTCATTTTTCTTGATGAGTTTCGCATTTCCTTGAATTTCCAACCATATTCTATTAAAAATTATCTATAATTTCCTGCGAAAATCGCATCTTTTAAATTTGGAAGATAAACATTGTGTAGCCCCGTACGAACGATGTGTTATTTCTGTTTAGTATTTTCGTGGGTGTTTTTTCGTCCTCATGAATGCCTTGTTACTGCCCAGCGCTGTGATCTGCGTTATAAAGCGAAATAAAGAAAATTACCTTTACCACTTCATAAGCATCCATTATTATCGCGATAAATAACGAAAGGACTACATAAATAAAAAGAGAAACAAACATGTAAATATAAATTGTTCCAAAGATCTACAATTCTCAGAAATATTGCACGACTAAGATTAGAATCAACTTGCTTTAATCACAGTATTTGAGTCGTTAATTGTATAGAATGTTGCAAACATGTCATCGCCATTAAGTAGAGAAAATAAAGCTTCTGAGGATTCGGATAATGTTCGGAACTGTAATTTAAAATATTTTATAACAAATTGAATAGTACCATACCTTCATGCTGTAGGGGCCAATGATTACCCATCCAGCAATTAAAAACCCGACATATAATACAACAGCGCAAGACATAAATCGCATAATATTAGGGAGTGATTTTTTCAGAGTTAATATTAAAATCTAAATAGAATGACAATCATTTATTCTCCTTCCTTTTATTTTATACATTGTATTGACTAAAAAATCCGAAATATCGCAATACTCCAACGTAAACCATTAGCGCACCCATTCCTAAGAAGATCGACGTTAAGGTGAACAGTGAATTATCAAAATCCTTGAGAAAAAAAAATTAAATGCTTTAAAGTTTAAAAAATACCCGAAACTCAATTGAAATTTTTGCAATCGTCCCCAGTGCTATCAAAATATCATTGACGACGATCATTACATACCACAGGTTCAAAAAATCAAGTTGATCGGTTACAGCAAGTTTCACATGGAGACAATTCTCAAAATAATCAGCAGTTTTCTGTAAACAATTCTATGATGAAGAGATGTCTCTGCTCGGCCGAAACGATTAGGCTTGTTTCTTTTATACCTAATTTTGGCCCATTGCCATCAACCCCCAAATTTCAACCCTACCCTTGATTTTCCATTCCCAAAATTTAACCCCGATTTTTATTTTTCTACCACCCCTTAATTTCCACCCCCAGATTTTAGCCTCCATTTTTGTTTTTTAATTACCAGTCAATGTTCATTGACTCAAATTTTCGACTAGAGTATTTAATTATGTTTTTTTCAGCCAATACCGTAAATTTTAGTAGAAATTGTCAGTGTTATAGGGGAAGAGGGTCTTAAGGGGTCCGAATTCGAAAGTTTTTAAATTTCAGAAAATGATCCTAAGTGTCCAGTGTTTCAGAAAATGATGCTAAAACGTAACATTTTTTACCAAATTTTCTGTTCTGGCCATCGATATCCGTTCTTCGATTCGCTGGTTTTTTTTTGTAATTTTTGGTAAATTATTCCCATTTTTTGTTCCCTTTCCTTTCAAATTTAATATTGTTTTTCTAAAATAAATTTATATTTCTCAAATGTGTTAAATTGTACTAAAAATTCAAGCTTTTTTGGCCGCCACTATTGTTTATAGGAATTTGATTTGCGCAAGGCTTGCAAAGAAGCTTGATATAAAATTGCACAATTAGACACTTGAAATATTGGAAATTGTGGGAATAGATACACGCTTACGAAATAAAAGTCTATCTGAACATGCATTTCCGAGAATAGTTCATTACTTTAATAAGAATAGTCTACATAGTTTCTGAAAAATCAAAATTAGATAACAATTCTACGAATCTCCTCTTGATAACTTGAATTATTGCAAGTATAAAAAAATTTAAGGTAAAAATTACTGTTAGAAACTGTAAATTTTAACCTTCGAGCAGAACAGAAAATTTGGTAAAAAAATGTTACGTTTTAGCATCATTTTCTGAAACACTGGACACTTAGGATCATTTTCTGAAATTTAAAAACTTTCGAATTCGGACCCCTTAAGACCCTCTCCCCCTATAACACTGACAATTTCTACTAAAATTTACGGTATTGGCTAAAAGAACATAATTAAATACTCAAGTCGAAAATTTGAGTCAATGAACATTGACCGGTAATAAAAAAAACAAAAATGGGGGCTAAAATCTGGGGGTGGAAATTAGGAGGTGGTAGAAAAATAAAAATCGGGGTTAAATTTTGGGGGTGGAAAATCAGGGGTAGGGTTGAAATTTGGAGGTTGATGGCAATGAGCCCTAATTGTTGATAAAAACCAATGGAACTTACTAATTGTAAAAGATGTGCTTTAATGAGCGCTCGGCAACACAGAATAAAAGAAAAGGCGCATAAAACGAGCACAGTTACATCAATAATTAGAATGAATAAGGCATCAAAAGACCAACCAACTCCTGAAAATAACGAAACTAATTTTTGAAGATTTGACTTTGGAATTTAAGAAAAATTAATACTACATAGATTGCCAAAAGCGATGATAAACTTATAGTGTCAGTGTCGTGTAACTGTGGAAAATTGGCAAACAATGTCAAAAAAATTAGAAAGATATATGTGCACATTGTGCGCCCATATATATTCATATGCTAATTCGTAAATCCACACTGGTTCCATTTGTCGCCAGGACCATTCCCTAATTTTCCACAGGCGCGTGACGAAAACATTAAACACCTTTAATTATTCTTCCATTGCAAACGTTTACGTAAGAGGCCATTGTGCTCAATGTTACGTGAATTTGGCCAGTATGGCGCGAATTATCGAATTTAATCGAAACCTGAAAATGTTCATAATCATTTTTTTTAACGGTTGATCTTACAACAATTTTGTAGCATTCAGGCTTTTGGTCTCCAGCTGTTGGAGAGTAATGAATGGTCCTCAAACGAAAACGGATTGTAACAATTGAAATTTTAAGAGCATCACTAGGTAAAAATGTAACACCGCGTTTCGCGAACATTTCACGAACCGCTTCATCCGAATCCCCAATTTTTTGAACTTCTTCGATACTGAGGTTAAGATACTTGGTCTCTGCAAGGTTAGCCATCATATAATTACTAAATTTCCATCTAGTGTAGTTTTATTTAAAAGAATAATTATTTCCGTCGCAAAAAATTAGAACGCTGCGTCGATTTACGGTGAGATAGATTCGCTGATTGTACATTGTACGGTACCCAAATTCCCATCGCCCCGAAAATTTAAGTAAACGTCTTCGTGTGCGGTGTGCGCTTTAAACTCGTCCTTATATTATACTTAACCCATAAATCGACACTTTTAGTCTTGTTGCAAAAAAAAGACGAGCACCCTGCGCCGACTTACGGTGAGTTAGCTTTGCAAGTTAATGAAAGGAGCATCTGCCATGATACGGGCCTACTTCCCTTCGAATTTTCTCCTATTAAAAATACCTTTCACTTCGGTAATATCAAAATCATAAGTGTTGTTGTTGACAGTGACATTCGCTATCCTTTCAATATCAATTTCAAGAAGTGGAATTGCTTCAAAATTTATTGTAGGGTTTATAATATCCGAAGTAGAAGATTCATGTGGCTTTTGTACATCATAACTAAATGAGGCGAAGCTATCGTTTTGAATTCCATAGTACTAAAAAAAATATGTATTGAACAATTTAAAAAGTAATACCGAATTAACAATAAAAGATAAGTGCTCGTTGAGACCTTGATCATCGTAAACAGAATATCGGCCTTCTGCCGGTGGATATTGAATGGCATCCCGATCATCGTTCCATTCTTTTAAAAAACGATGCCTCATAACTGTGGTGGTATCTTCAAGAAAATCCACATGAGACATCCGCATTTCCGCAAATAAAATTAATTGTGCAGTGACAAATATTATTTTGAAGACTTGAAGTAAAAGCTTGTATGGCAATTGCCGTCGCACTCTCCATTTTTCCATTGGATTCATGAAAAAAAATTGAAGATGCCTACGAAGACGCTCGCCGGTCTCCCTTTCATGTTCATTTAGCTCGTTCATTATTTCCTGAAACTGAATAGTTGATCTTCGTGAATCCGTCGTTTCATTGTCATCCCTAGAAACATTATCCAATTAGAAAACAGTTGTGAAAACTTACTTACGAAAAATGAGTATTAGTTCTACTCCGATCTTCTCGACTTCTTCTTGACATCTGAATAAAATTTTATAATTTTGTATTATAGGAAATATTATTTTTATTCGCGTGAAAACATTATTACTCAGCAACTCGTCCCGTAAACTCCGATTAAAAAATGTCTCGGTCTCTTACAATCTCTCACTATCTTATGGTACTATGCAGATTGCGCAAAAACTAGTTTTTTTTTAGTTTTTCAATTTTCTTCCCAAAACCTGCACAGTACCATGAAACACTTTTTAGCAGCAGTTCGCTGAAATACTATTAACTGCCGTCTATACTGCACAACTTTCTGAAAACTAAAGGCATTAGTAGACAATAAAAAGTTTAAAACGTTTCCAATGTAGAAATGTAAAAACGTAAAAATTAAATGTAATTTTAAAACTTTTTCATTTCATGGCCAATAATATGTAGTATAACTGATGGTACCTCGGAGTTGAACTCGCCGAAAATGAATCCAATCGCAATATAAACCGAAATAAAATTAGAGGTAAAATAGAACTCTCAATGGAGCGCACTTTCATCATTTTAATACATTTGGAAATTTTGACAAATCGTCTCGTAGCAACGGCGGATAAACGCGTGATTCGTTGAAATGAGAGTAAAAATAATCTCTATTCACGACCGTTTCACGATTTGTTGAAAATTGTTTGAGTATATGTCACTTTTTCGTTAAAACAATAAACTATAGTTAATATATGCTTTTTAACTCAAAACCAATCGGATTCGACAAAATTCGGCTCCTGAATCAATCTTGTCCAATTGGAAATTCTACTGATAAGATCGTAAAACTGTTATTATTCGAATCCGTTTTGAAACAAAAACAAAACTTTTGTTTTAATTTCTCAATTTCTCTCTATTAGAATCGGATCCGACAAATATCCAATAGGATCCGAAAATACCCAAAAAACCAATCGGATCTGGAGCCGAATCCAATTGGTTTCAAGTTACCGGACTCGCCACAACGCACGTGTGGCCTAGAGAAAATGCCCTTAAAAATTAGATTCCGCCGCGGCCACACTTGATGAATTACTCAGCGACTCGAAAAGGACGAACCGTGGTTGGTTTTGGTTTGAGTGTTCTACGGGAGTTCTCCCGAAACTTTTACCCTATCAATACGACATTTCAATTACACATCGCCCTCAATTCAGCGTGTCGGGGAGTTTTTTTGTTTTTTTATCGGCGTAAGTGTGTAACCGTGGAGTTGCGTAAAAGGAAGTACGTACACATCTAGTGTTTCCACTTAAAAAAAACGACAAAAATAACAGACTATGAATCTACAACGTTTTATTCGTACCTTTCGCGACATCTAAAAAAAGTGGTGAAAAAAAAAGAAGAATTTAAAAACCAAATATAAGTAAAAAAAGAAGTTCGCCAAAAATTTTAAAAAATACTATGGCACACAAGCCAAACACCAAGAATATACGTTTCCATTTTGAAAAATGTCAGCTACTTCAATTAAGAGTTCCTTTTTTTCCTCCGTTGCTGCCCAGAAATTTTCCAGCTAGTTTTAATCCCTTTGAAGCCATTTCGCCCGATGCGCCCTTTTTGAACGTTTCAAAAAATGTCGAGAGCATTTTGAAAGCTTGAATCGGTTCGACGTTAAATTTTTTTGCTGAAAGAATGTTTTGGGTTATTATAATTAATGTGTGTCCTTACCTGCAGCATCAAACAATTTGGTCGCTTTTGGAACGTGCTTCATCATATCATTTTTGATTTTGTCATCAAGCTTTGTGTACTTATCAAGGAAGTTGCGGAAAAATGCTTGAGCAGCAAGATTTTCAGGTTTTAAAGATGGAACTCCCATAACTTGCTTTGTCACCTACAACCGAATTTCTTAACATTTTTGTTTCACATCACGTGTACATCGAAGAAAAACTTTTTTCCTTGTCCGGATAGTGCTGCCACGTCAAGCCCTTCCATTGAATAAGCCACGGCCATAAGAACCATGAGAATGAATACAGTTTTCATTTTGAACGATAGTTAGGAACCAATAAGAATGTAGAAAATCAAAAGAACGTTGAATGAGTTGAAATGTGATAGAGAAAATGAAGAGAGAGAGAGAATGATGAAAAACTGTTGAAGAAAGTGTGTTTATAACATCCGACACATTACACTTTCGGTCTTCTTTTTGTTTCATTAAAAACGGACAGATGGCGATATGTGTGCTTATTTAATCAGTACCGTTATGAGGGTTAAATTTTGTTCAAAAAATTCGTGTGAAGTATCAACATTCAACACTTCCTTCCAAACTTAATTTAGTACGAACAGTGTAGATGGATTGAAATAATTCATTCAAGTCCCTTTAAAGGTAAACATATTGTCAGCGTCAAACGACTGAAGGGAGGCGGGGCATTCAAATTCGCGAAATCAGTTTAGATTTAAATTTATCGTTGACTGAATATTAAATTCGCGTACACTATAATGGAATGTTCGCAGTCTCGCGTACATTTGCTTCGAGACGCATTCGCACATAGCCAATAATTTTTATTATTATATTTTTATTTCGTCAAGTCGTTTGACTCCGACAACAATATGTTAAAATCTATATATGAAAATATTCTTAGCGAATCAATCGGCACAAACAGGGGACACTTTTGGTTAGGGATAATCGTCGGAACATTTTAGTACCTACATGGGAAACAATATAATTAGTCGAATTAAGAGTCGGCCACGGGTTTGCAAAACGCGCTAAATTGAGAGCGATGTGTAATTGGAGTGTGGTGTTGGTAATGTAAAAAATTTTGCGACAAACCGCGGAAGTTTATGAGAACTCCTGTGGAACCCCGATGTTCAAACTAAAATCAACCACCGTTTGTCCTTTTCGAATCGATAAGATGTATTATCGAAGACGGACAAATTTGAAAAATTTTAATGATCAAACGGGTTAGCCATTTTTGATCTTGTTAGCGCGAAATTAACAAATGCTCGCATGCGCCTTTGATATCTGCTGTAATTTTCAATGAAATTCGTATTAGATAAAATTGAAAATGTTTATAAGACCATGGCGCCAACATTTGAATAATAAGAATCGCTGATCTTTGACAATATTTATATTGCTTTATTTAGAAAGGAAACGTGTTTTAAGGTTATCCAAAGAACCAACGAAAAAAACTGCATTTTTGAAGTTTTCGAGTTATCCCAAAACCTGCATAGCACCACAATATTGAGTCAGGTGAAACATGACTTCCGAATCCATATTTTTTCCAATTTTTTTGAGCTGTCTATTTTTCATTACCAATAAGAAACAAAAAATGTAGAAAAATTTATTTTACGATTTTAAAGTTGCAAATGTAAGCTATTCTTTCGTGGTAAGAACATTGTGCATATCAAAGAGTTTAATTGTATTGAAAACTTGATCGCGATCTTTTTCACAATCAAGGGTCTTCATTTGCTTAACAACAATGGTATAAGCCTCGTATTCCTTGCTGTGCAAGAATTTTTGCAATTCTGGGAACTGCTCATCTATTTTTTCTGCTTCATCCGAATCCTGGAGTAAGCCTTGAAGCTCTGATACAATAGTTGGAATATTGTTGAACAAATGACAAGCCCAAAGAATTTTATCTGGGTTCGCATCAGCGTATCCTTGAGCCTCCCATTTGTTGAAAAGTTCTTGAGCTTTTGGTCCGAGTAAAGCAAGTTTCTGACGATAGAAGTCATTGATTCCAGTCGCAGCAGGGGATATGAGAGGATAATCTTTCTTAATAATTGACAAAAGTCCATTGACATCCTTCGGCGTCTCAAACTTTCCGCTATGATAATCATTTATCATTTGCGCTATTTGAGCCTTTGTCTCGTCACTCAGATTAGCCAGAATATTGTAAACTGACTCGGGTATAAACTCTGAAATAATTCTTGTAATGAAAACATATTATTTCCGAACCTTTATAATGTTCATAAGCTTTCAAAATGTCAGAAATTTTTTCTGGTGTCATTTGATATTTTGCGAATTCCTCTTCAATCATTGATTCAGCAGGTCGACCAACAGAAAAACCAATACAAATTGCTGCGATCAAAAAGGTGGACTTCATCCTAAAATGTTGCGTAGAAATAGAATGTAAAAATTGCATTCAGACCGAAATCGTAGGCTTTTATACATATCCTGTTGGGCTGAACTAACGGTTTCAGTTTTTGTATGTTGTTAATAAATGTACAAAGAGCGGATTATCCGTTAACGGAAAAAATATAATTGAAAATTTTTGATCATCGATTAAAATTGATTCTATAAATGTAATATGTATAATATAAAATACAATAATCTAAAGAAAACGAGAAATGGTGACGATTTACGGTGAGGTTGATTCGCAGGTTATCAGTCTCGGGAAATCACAGTGGCGTCCGCTCTGACGCTACTGCTCGTCCGCTATGCGTCCGTCGGACGATATCGTCCGCTCGGTTATATGTGCGTCCGCGTGGTGTCCGCGAGTTTTCGATCATCGGCGTCCGCTCTGACGCTACTGCTGGTCCGTTACAACGTCCGGGCGGCGTCCGTTAATTTTTTCTATAGAAAATTTATATTTAAACAGTAGAAATTTGGGCACCGTAGTCTGGATAACCTGCAACGTTATCTCCGTAAATCGGCTCAGGGCGCTAGATATTTGTGCTAGTTTAACACTCAGTACGAATTATTACGGAAATAATACGAAGTTTGATATACGTAGTTTAAGAGTGTTGAAAAAACATTTTTAATTAGTAAACTGAAAATAAAATTTAAAAATTGTGCTCGTTTTTTTGCGAATATAATAATTGTATTGTTGCATCGCCAAGTGATCGTAAGGAACTCGGAGTCGGTCCAATATTCGTTAGGAGTGTGGACCCAGGATGAAAAGAGGAGATTGAACGGATCGAAAGTTAATCAAGACTTTTAGAGGATTTTGAAAATTTGTATGCCTTTTTTTTACGAAGGTGTACTTTCTTCTCGCCACCTAACAGAGGCTTCTAAATGCGCTATTCTGGTTTCATCACAGGTGCTTCCATGGCATTAATTGTTTCTTTTCAAAATTGGCATAAATCATAATTTTTCAAATTTTATTGTCGGCGTCAAACGACTAAAGGGAGCGATGCCTTCAAATTCGCGAAAACATTGATTATTTAAATTTTTTGTTGACGGAATATTAAATGCGCGTTCGGTATAATGCAATGTACGCAGTCTCGCGTATTTCATGCTGACGGATTGGCGCATAGCCAATTTGTATTTATTTAATTATGTCAAGTCGTTTGACTCCGACAATATCAAATTCAAACGATCAAAAATATTAACAAGAGAAATTTTAATTTAAACATCTGCGAACATTTTTCAGGTTGTTAATATTGCACTATTATTTAATGTTTCGAATACAGATAGATTTATTGTTTGAAATTTTACATATTCTTCTCGCCTTCTATTACAATTACTTTCCATACTGCGTTATTATTAGTTTTTTCCTAAATTAATTTCGTTAAAAACTTTATTCTAGTACATATTAACAATTTTTCCAATACGACGTGAGATTCTATTATCAGTTTCTTCACTACTTCTTTATCAAATGTTCTATGGTTTGTAGAATTTCTTGATTTCGGAGTCAACGGGGTATCCATATGAAAATTATTTTATCTAATTGATATGTAATCGCTAATTACATGAGAAAAGTTGCAAAGCATCAATAGAATGAGAGAAAAAACTACTACAAACGACGCTCCGCGGTAACGCTGCTTATTGTTTAGTGTATTTAGCGTCGGCTACTATGTTGGTTTGTGATCAATTTCGGCAATTTGTGCAATACTAATATGTCAAATTCAATAGGTTATCTTATGACGTAAGTAAAATTTGAAACTTCTACATTTATTTGTTTTTTTTATATTTAAAAAACATATTTCGTGAAATTTCTGATCCGGAAAATTCCGAACTTTGGTTCTACACCGTTCTACATCATAATGGAAATTATCTCTGATAAATATATTTTTTAAACATTTTGCTAAGAGGGTTTCATAAATTAAAAAAAAGTTTATATTTATGCTTCATTAAAAGATAACCAGCTTGTCTATTAAGCTCAGGACCACACATGCCTCGGAACGACTCCGATTGGGAGATGATTACAATTGCGCTCCATTGTTATTGCAGAAAACATATGTATATGTATTGACAACAACGTAGCTGTAGTTCGATATTTTCGTTTCCTAAAGGATCTATTCAGTGAATTGCAAAATTTTACCCAAAAATTATTATTACGACTATTTTGTATGTCGCCGATCTTATATATTTTTTTAATTCCTGAAAGGGCTTTTACAACGTTGAACATAAATAAATATCGTTGATAAATAAGAAACGTAGAAAGCACGACAATCATCACGGCGGTTGAGTTGTTTTTTTTTTCGGAATTTCTCGGCTTCAGTGATGCTGCTATCTATCTTTCTCCGTCTCACTCGTAACGCATTGCCCGTCTTTTAATTTTTTTAAACAAACCTCTGTTTTATGCCGTTGGTTTATTAACTTTATTTGTTCTCTGTGTGTTCAAAGATAAATTAATAATTTGTTGGATATTTCAGCCATTGACAATCAAACTAATGGCTCTTTCGAAAGAAATACCATATGGCCAAAAAGATATCTCATTCGACCATCTTCTAACGTCCAAACGTCGCAATGAGCTGTTATCTCAAACTTTCACCTCATCGGTATATATGTCCATCACATCAATTCTTATTTTGAAACTTTGAAGTTCAATCCATTTGTTCGCCAAGTGAAGTGTAATGCGGAGACCGCCATTAGTCAAAGAGGTAATTATTGTTTAAATATTTATGGCACTATGCAGATTTCACAAAAGAAAATATAAAAACTATTAACCAATGCTGATTGCGCGTAATAAACTTTAAAAACTTCTGTTTTTTTTTCTTTTAAAAAAATCCTGCAGAGCTTTATTATTATCGGTATCGCGCGACTGCGAAAAATTACTAAATGCTAAAAAATTAGGTTAAGTTTTTAGGGTTCGGTTTTCGCCATCAACCTGTCATTATACATATTTAGGCTTGAAAATCTGCAAAAAATCTGCACTTTTAGTTTTGCTCCAAGACCACCGTCGTTGTTGTTTGACATTTTGCCAATTTCCGTAGTCGCGATTGCGACAGTGTATCGATTACAGTGTGAAAAAAATTATTTATTAAAGTGGCCCTTTCAATAGCTAAAAACTATAAACCTGTCTAAACTTACTTAAAATTAATATGAATTATTTATCTGAAAATCCTACGTTAATCACTGTTTTGAAATTTACAGCAATACTACGGGCTAATCCAGTCCATCTTAGACCAATTTTTGAAAGATTCGCATCACAAGAAAAAAATGGGAAAAAGGTGATGACTCCAGAAGACTTCATTAGAAGGTACGTTGAAGTTTACAAAACTATGTTGTTAGTGTCCGGCAATTGCTGTAGATTTTTTTCCGGAAATTCACGAGATGCGTCTTTGCACTGGTCTTGACATGTGTTTATTATTTTCAAAGCTCGTTCCCAAACCAAATAGGTACCCTTAAAATATTACTACTGGTAATTTTTTGTCCTTGAACTGCGGGGGGGGGGGGTGGCAGCTGATTTATTAGTTTCGTAAAGTAAAACCCGTTACCTTCATGATTTGACGCTTTAAAAATAAGCAAAGATGTTCATAGGAAATTATGCTCTTTTATATTGTGTTGGTTAAATTAAGTAAAACCGGATCCTTAGATTTTTCCATACGATACATACAACAGTAAATCAAAATGAAACAGAAATCGCTCTCAAAAATTTTTCCATCCTTGATTATGTTGAAATTTGTTTTTTTAATCTTCAACATGCTTGTTTTCAGATATCTCGGACTTTACACCGAGGAAAATTATAATCGAGAAACTGTTCGCCTACTAGCATCTGCTGCTGACACTACGAAGGACGGGATAATATCATTTGAAGAATTTTGCGCGTTCGAAGCTCTTCTCTGTAGTCCAGATGCCCTTTATCTGACAGCTTTTGAATTATTTGATAGAAATGCATCAGATTCGATAAGCTGTGATGAATTTGAAGCAATAATTCGTCATACACAACCTCTTCATGATCAGGATTTCGATTTCAACTCCGAATTCATTAAAAGATATTTTGGGGCGTGAGTTTATACATCGTCGGCGTTCGGCGGCTGATTTCATACAAAATTGTTCAAAAGAGGAGGGTAGCATTAAAAACTATAAAAACATCCTTGAAACTTGATAATAATTTGTTTCAATAACGTGAAAACTATACGATTTAGAATAGTTATAGAATAAAATGCATTAGGTGTAAACACGCGTCATTTATTGAAATTCGTATTTTAAATAATGAATTTTTGTTTTTATACATATTCAGGTCCGTTAGGTATCGAATGACAACAAAGAAGACCTTAATTTTCGAAGCACAAAATTTTACTGTGAACTTGTGCCTCTTGAGACCACTTCCCCTGTTTTTTGTTTTTAATTTTAGTCAATTTTCTACAGTCACGCCATGCAGAAAATGTGATTATTTCAAATTCAGGGATAAGAAGCGAACGATCAATTATCATGCATTTTGCCAGCTTCTTCATGATTTTTATGAAGAGCAGGGAATTCAAGCTTTTAAAAAGTAAACGATTTTTTAAATTTTGTTTTTCATGATCTTCTAGATACGACAAAAACGGTTCTGGTGCAATATCCTCGATTGATTTCCAACAGATTATGACAACTGTAAAAGGGCACTTATTGACTCCGTTCGTGCGAGATAACTTGATTGCTGTATCTGGTGGAGGAGCTAGCGGCCACAAGGTTATTTCGTAACACAATTCATCCCTCGATTCACATGAATGATTGTAATCTTTAGTAGTGGTGTTCTCTTAAATTTAAACAAAAATAACAAAATTGTGCTCCTCCTTTGAGGTTTACTGTTATTTTGTATTTGTTTGATACTCAGTTAAAACATAGATTAATGCGAATCAAAATGGGTTAGGTCCAATTTTTACGCCTCTTTCTTATTTTTAATTACTATTATGGTCGACTTTGCGCGACTGTGAAAAATTTTCAAAATGCTAAAAAAATATAGTGAAAGCTCTTGGTGCGCGTTGTGCTTCTTTAACCTATTCTTATTTTTAGTATATCTACAGTTTCAATTTTGCGACAAGGCCCCTGCCATTGTTTTATTGGCATTCGTCTATTTTTCGCAGACGCGTAACGTCGACACATCGTAAAAAAACCGAGCGCTTTTCTAACTCACCGTAGGGCGCTCCTCAGCAATTCGAAACTGACGAACCGCGGTTGGTTTTGGCATAAACAGTGCGACACCGCAGGAGTTCACGAAAACTTCGTCTCAAAATTTTTTACTCTACTAGTAACACTCCATTCACACAACGTCTTCGGTTTAGCGTGTCTTGATAAATCGTGGGCGACTTTTGTTTCCACTAATTAAATTGTTTTCCTGTTTTACCAAGATGATTCCAAGGTTATTCCGAATCCAAAGAATTCCGAATGTCCGCTGATCGTTTCGATCAAATCGCTGAGTCGTTTTTTTTTGCGAATTAAACAATTCTAAACTTCCTTTTAACAATTCTAAACTTCCTTTTCAAATGCATGTTTTCAGTTTGTTGATTGCCGCAATGGCTGCGTGAGTTTTGTGTACCTTTGCATGCTGTGTGCTAAACCGTAAAACGCTTAAAACATAATTTTTTCGCTAATTTTAACTTTAAGTCTCTAATTTTTGAGGTCACATTTCCATACTATGCTGCGTTCAATAGTCTTCTTGCGAAAATGGAACTAATCAAGCGCGTTTATGTCTCGCAAGCTCGAGGAAATTTGGGATTGGAAATGACGAAAGAAGATTTCCTCCATGCCACACAGAGTTACGCTCAAATCACTCCATACGAGGTATAGTATAGATGATTGCAGAATGATATTAATCATGAAATGATGTTTAATAGGTAGAAATATTGTTTCATTTGTCCGAGCTTGCCCATCCTGGTAAAAAAACTCTTTCACTTGACGATATTGAAAAAATTGATCCGGAACGGTATTCCGTTTTCTACTTCTACTAATTTGATATGGTTTCCAGACTGAAGCGAGTATCTCAAATGGATCGTCTTATTAATATTAAAGCTGTTCATAACAAAGAAGAAAGAGGAGTTGGCACAGCGGTGAGTATTACAACAATTTTTAGTAAAAATGTTAACTTAAGTTCTTGGAATCTGCGTATCGGTTTACATTGGGTTCAATTGCTGGCGCATGCGGAGCTACTGCGGTTTATCCCATCGATTTAGTAAAAACTCGAATGCAAAATCAGCGGTCAGGATCATTTGTTGGAGAAGTAATGTATAAGAATTCATTGGATTGTTTCAAAAAAGTTGTGAAGTTCGAAGGTATTTAATTATAAATTCCTGAAACGCACTACAGTTTTCAGGCCTTCTTGGTCTTTACCGCGGTCTTCTACCCCAAATTGTGGGGGTTGCGCCGGAAAAAGCAATAAAGTTGACGATGAATGATTTTATGCGTGACAAATTTACGACGGATGGAAAGATTCCACTGTACGGGGAAATTATTGCTGGCGGAACCGGAGGAATGTGTCAAGTCGTTTTTACCAATCCACTCGAAATTGTCAAGATTCGTTTGCAAACTGCTGGAGAAATTCCGAATGCTGGAAGAAAGGTTACTCTGTGATAATTATGAAAATATATTGTCGGAGTCTAGCAACTTGATGAAATTTAAAAAAATTATTGGCTATGTGCCAATGCGTCTCGAGGCAGCGAAGAAGTACGTGAGACTGCGTACATTGCATCATAGCGTACACGCATTTAATATTCAGTCAATGAAAAATTTAAATCTACACTGATTTCGCAAATTTGAAGACCCTGCCTCCCTTCAGTCGTTTGACGCCGACAATATTAGATTTACAGAGCCATGGGAGGGGGGGGGGGTGGGGGCGGTAACCTCAAAAAAGAAGAAAAATATATATAATACACTAAAAATTGAACACCTTGTGCAGATTTTCGGGTAGATTGATTCACAGGTTATCCGTAGTACTCTATCCAAATTGTAACTGTTCAAATCAAAATTTGATAGATTGAAGATATATACGTATAAAAATTAAAAGTGAAATTTAAACAACATGGGTATTGTTGTCATAAATGAAATTTATGAGTCAATAACCCCAGCATAGCGCATTACGGGCCTCCCAATGCAATAAGTAAAAAAGGGGACCCATGTGAAAAAAGCACAGAAGTGGAAAAAATATTTTTTGAAATAACGGTATTTACCTTATTAACAATTCTGAAAAAATGTGGTTCGAACAAGAGTAACGCCCTATAAGCAGCAAAAAAACAACAAAGAGAATATGGGACCTTTTTTATATAACTTTTTTTAAATAATAATAAAATGGCATTTTTGTATCGTACTTCGGATATCCTGCGAATCTAATTACCAAACACAGTTTCGTTAAAAATTTTAAACTTTAGATCGGAGTAACACACGTCCTCAGAGAACTCGGATTCATCGGATTATATAAGGGATCCCGTGCTTGTTTCCTTCGTGATATTCCATTCTCTGCCATTTATTTTCCAGCATATGCCCATGCAAAACTTGCTACTGCTGATGGAGATGTACCCAAAAAAAAATCGGCAAACAAAATATTAAAATTTAAGGGAATTAATTATCCTGGTTCCTTGTTTGTTTCGGCGTTAATAGCGGGTGTACCAGCTGCCGCTTTAGTCACACCGGCGGATGTGATAAAAACAAGATTGCAAGTTGCCGCAAGAGCTGGGCAAACCACTTACAGTGGTGTTATTGGTTGCCAAAATTACTTCTCAGAATATAACCTTTTTAGCAATTTCCAGATTGTGCCCGTAAAGTAATCAAAGAGGAAGGTCACACTGCACTTTGGAAAGGAACAGGTGCAAGAGTATGCAGATCCAGCCCACAGTTCGCTGTAACTCTTCTCACATATGAGGTCTTGCAAAGACTATTCTATGTTGACTTCGCTGGATCACGTCCAACAGGATCAGAGGTATTGCATTTTTTACTTAGTCACTTTGTCCGTTCGTCCTTCATAAGTAAGTGAAGTGATTTTCACTTTAATCTTTTGTAGTCCGCAACGACAAAAACCATACAAGATGATTCGTCAACAAACCCTGATCACGTTGGAGGCTACAAGCTTGCTGCAGCCACTTTCTCAGGAATCGAACATAAGTTCGGACTATTTTTGCCAAGATTTGAAAAACATTAGCGCATCAGTTAATATATAGAATTGAAATAATTTGTGATAGTGAATAGATACGTATTTTTTGTTAAAATTTGCAAAAATTTTAATAATGTTATAGATCTTAACCCGGTATTCTAGAACAGATTGGCTATAATCATTTCGGGTTAAGCTTTTTACTTTATTGTACACCTAGCATTATTAAGTGCCTATATTCTTCTATGAGCTCAAACAAAATAAATCTTTGCATTTATACACTTTATTGAAACTAACACTTAAAATTTCTATATCGAATTAATTGTCGTAACTTCATCTACTTCGATGGCAGCAAATGCTTTGGAGACTTTTCGGCAGCAGGGGGAGGTGCTAAAATAAGCAAAGATATATGTACCTTTTAACGGACTGCTCACAGTCTTGAAAGTTTTGCCAAGCCTGTTCAGTGTGCGCAACGCCAACTTTTATGACGTCAACAGCTTCGACAGGATAACAAAACGCTGCCATTGTTGCTAGTCCAACACTAGTAGTGAACGTGCGTCCCAAAACACCCCTGAAAATTTTCTGCAGGTAGATGGTAGTTTGCATTCTTTCGTTAAACAGCGGAAGGAAAAAATAATATAATGCCGATTCCAAATCACTGATCGAAATTTGAAAAAAAATAAACATGGTTTTGTGCAACTGCCCTCTGGCAAATTATTTGAAACACTACACTCAAAAAATGAGCACCCTGCGCCGATTTACGGTGAGTTAGCTTCACAGGTTATCCAGAGTACGACAACCGAATTTCCACTGTTTAAATTCGCATTTGAATTACCTCCCCGAAAATGTGCGATAGTTAACAATTTGTCAAGGTGCTCATTTTTTGCCATGGCAATATTTTAATATTCCCAAAAATTGAAGACTAAAAAAATAGAAGAAATTGTAAAGTTTAATGATATTTGATAAAAATATTACCAGGCGGTAATTCAGGTTTTTGAATTTAAACCGTGAGAATTCAGGTACCCTACTACGGATATAATAAAACCGACTATGAATAAACTCGCCGTGAATCGCGGTTTTTGGCGAATAAAATAACTAATATTGGCTGAACTTAAAAAAATGTTTAGAAAATCATCATACTAATATTAAGTGGCAATGGTGTGTGCTTGTATGTCATGTTACGAACCTTTTCAATCCCAACATGAATCCTGCCATTCCACCAACGGTTATTGCTGCTGCTTTTGGAAGTGCAGTCCATTCCTCTGTTAAATATGCGTTAGTTTTACTGATCGCATTCTTAGTCTGGTTTACGGCCGAGTCCACAACTTTGAATCTTTCCTAAACTCGAAAATTTAAAAAAGATCGGCCATGAATTGTCGAACTAAAAATTACAAACAATTGACGAGATATATCGTAATTCTAGCCATTTTTTTCAAAGAAACAGTCAAAGGGTTTTACCGGCCACGTTGAAATTTCGCTACTGCGAATAATTTATATGTTAAAGTGTGATTTTTTTAGAGTGGGTCACGTCACAATGGCAGCTGGTTTTCCCGAATTTTCTATCTTTGCAAAAGAAATAAAACATATAAATCTATATCGCGTCATTTTTTGTAATTTCCGACATGCATTCATAGGGAATTGAGATGAAAAAACTGATTAAAAACATTTTTTAATCGCATGAATAAGACCATAAATCATTCTTAATTTTAGACAGATGTCTGTCTTCGACAATATATGGATACCACGATTCGATATATAATATATGGATACCACGATTCGTTCGTATTCACGCTCGCAAGCAATTCGGAGTGTTGCGAATTCTCGTTGTAGTGGTAACGGTTCATCAGGAACGAATTTGACTTTTTCACCAGTCTTGTCCTCGGCGTATAAAGGCAACTAGAAACATAATTTATATGTAGAAATATTTTATGGGTGTTGAAAAATGAATTTGAATAATTTTTCAAATACATAGTTACGCGAAGCTTTTACACAATTTTCGCATTAATTTTTTTTTAAATCAGATTCTTCTGAATAAGTATTAGACCGAATTATCCAGTTAACCGACTCAACCCGTTTTCTAGAAACGAGTTAAAAAAAAATAGTATGTACGTAACGGGCGCTCAATGCAATGAACGAACTCCCTTTGAATTGAGAAGCATTGCCAGGTAGCGAATATTTTTAAAAAAATTTCGTTCAGTCGTTAAAAATCTCGTAGCAATTTTTTAGAAACGCACTATACCTTACTAACAGAAACATGCTTGGCGTCTCTCTCGATTCTAATAGATGGATTCGAAGTTATCAAGTTCCAAAACTGGGAGACTGCATTTGTAACCTGAAAGAACACTTATATGTAGTCTGTGTCAGGTGACTAATGTAAGGATGTAAATTTACGAGCATGCGCCTTTCGTGATGGAACGTCGACAAAAAATAACGGACCTATTCATGAAACGCAATTTTTTACAAAAAATGTCTAAGAAATTACATAAAATGTGCATTTTTACAAACCGGCATTGAAAAATGTTATTTTTTTCATTACACGAGGTCCATATAATATTTTTGTACATTCCTTCACTGGAAAAACGTGTATTTTACCATTGCAAAAGATACCCCCGCAAATCTATCCGCTTACACCAATCTTCGAAATCCGATTGTATTGTTGATGTGGCGCGAAATTGACAAAATAGCAAGAAAAATTTAAGGAGAGGTCTCGGTACGAGCTATGCAATGCGGCATTAACCTATCCTTATTCTTATACGCCTCGTTAGGCCCAAAATATAAAAAATTACAGTTTTGTCCCAAAAACTCTGCTATCGTTATTTTTTTGCATCTAGCCAATTTTCAGCAGTCTGTGACAAAAATAATAACTGATTCAACAATAACTGTTTTAAAAACTTCTGTTCTTGTTGTTTCGGTCGGTCGCAGTCAAAACAACTTCGGCCCGACGTCGAAACAACAAGTCTGATAACATTATGAATAATAGATATTAAATTTGCATTATTTATAACTGTAATTTTTTACATTTTTTGGAATGAATATGTTTATAATCGAAAATGAATATTGATACCCCCCCCCAAATTTTGGCGAGACCTTTTTAAGGCGCATGCGCGTAAATCTACCCGGCTACCGCAGTCGCCGGACGCCTGTGCGTATTTTCATCAGTCCAAAAAATTTGGACTTTCAAGCGCGTCATAATGATACGTCACCCCCTATTTTTTGTTCTTCCATTCGGCATTTTTGCATGTTTCTTGCTGACTGTTACGTATTTTGTACAATTTTTCAAAAATCTTGTTATTTTATCCTTTGAGCAATCGTCCGCTTTAGTTTTAGTTTGAAATCGGGCCGAATTCGGGCCTTTGAACGAATTCGTTCTATTTAATGACTAAAACTCAAGAAAAAGGTATAAATAACAACACGACAACAAGTTTGAATGCAAGAACACGACAAATTCAGTAATTAGTAGTCCCTCCATAGTTTTGGATCACTTCAAATATTCGATTTTGCATTCTGTCAATGAGTTTCTTGAGGTATGCAGGTGCATGACTGTTCCATTCCCGTCTAATTGAGGCCTTTAGCTCTTGAAATGCTGGCATACTGCTTGCCTTGTACGCGAACGGGATGTGCAAGAAGCCTTCAGACGTTTTCAACGGGATTGAAGTCTGGAGAGCTGGTTGATCAATCCAAAAGCTTTATTTTTTGTTAGATGAAAACCAAATGAATATGATGTCGCTCTTGTGACTGGATTGTCTTGTTGAAATTTGTGAAAAAGTTTTATTTTCTAGAATTTCCGATTCCATCCTTAATCGGCTTGACACTCTGATTGAGTTATACCATAATTCCAATGAGATAAAAGATTTTCCGCTGCCGATGATTATGAGAAGGATAAGTGAAAAACGATCAGCCGGGCTGTCCGCACAGAGAATGCGAGCAGTATGCCAGCATTTCAAGAGCTAAAGGCCTCAATTAGACGGGAATGGAACAGTCTGGCACCTGCATACCTCAAGAAACTCATTGACAGAATGCAAAATCGAATATTTGAAGTGATCCAAAACTATGGAGGGACTACTAATTACTGAATTGGTCGTGTTCTTGCATTCAAACTTGTTGTCGTGTAGTTATTTAGACATTTTTCTTGCGTTTTAGTCCTTAAATAGAACGAAGTCGTTCAAAGGCCCGATTTCAAACTAAAACTAAAGCGGACGATTGCTCAAAGGATAAAATAACAAGATTTTTGAAAAATTGTACAAAATACATAACAGTCAGCAAGAAACATGCAAAGATGCCGAATGGAAAGACAAAAAATAGGAGTTGACGTATCATTATGACGCGCTTGCGCTTGAAAGTCCAACTTTTTCGTGCTGTGCGGATACGGACCAACTGACACTCATGAAAATACGCACATATAGGTTTACAATGGTTTTCTCAAAACTGCAAAATTTGAAGGGTGGCGTATCATTATGACGCGCACTGTATTCCAAAACGAACGGGGATTTCAATCGAACACTACTGCATAAATCAATCGTCAACAAAATTTTATAAAAAATGTATAAACCTTGTCTCCTGTGTCTTGAATAGACTTAACAATTGGCTTATCTCCTCCATCCATACCTTAAAATTTTTAATTTCAATTAATTTTGCAAAATAGTTGAATATACAATTGGCTAAAAAGTGGATGAAGCGCCACAAACCAGGGATGTTCGGCAATTCCTATGCCGCCCTAGTTCTGACTGGGACTGCAAAAAAAATCGTTTTTCAATATGTCGAAATGATTGAAAAGTTATATATATGTGTGGAATGCCAATGGATACCGTGAAAATTCGGTATAAATAATTCAAACTACATAGTTCAAAAAATTCAATAGCCTAAATTTTTATTTTCGGCAATTTGCCGAATTAGCCGATTCCGCACACCCTGGTTCAGGCTATAGATACATTTATTTTTCATCCACTATTTATTTTTGCCATTTTCAAGTTGTAGTGTAATAAACACTTTAAATAAATATGAAAGTAATGCTGATGCAATTGAAAAATAACAATTACAAGATCATAGGTTCAGTTAACTCAGTGGAACGCTTTATTCAGAGATCGAAGCATGAAAAAAAAACAATTAATAAAATTTTTAAAATGAAATAATTATGTTTTTTTAACGGTTTAATTTTGTGCATTATTCATTTAAGATCGAGATCGCCCACGACGAACAGCTGGCGACCGAGAGCGGCTGCGATTGAATCTTCCAGGCCCAAGAGGCATACTATTCGCTCCGGAACCTCGGAGAGGTGAGTTACGACGGCGAGATGGTGATCCGCGACGAACTGGCGACTTTCTTGCAGGTGATCTTCTGCGTATCGGGGATCGACGCGCCCCAGAAGCACTGGCACGGTTCAAAATCATTTCAACCGATACGATTAAGCCATCAATTTGCCCACCATCCATGTATTTTATAGCCTAAAAGATTTTACGTAAGTTTCCTGAACAAAAATGTATACATCTACCTTTTCAGCATCTTCCACGTTTTCGTACTCGATATATCCATATCCACGATGAAGGTATTGGTGATTTCGGTCTGGCGGCAAATCGACCAGCTTGATAGAACCATAGATGGCAAAAATTTCTTCGAGATGACCTTTTTGTACGTTCTTCGATAAATTTCTTATACAAATTCTTTTCGCCGGAGTGAGAGAGCGTTTGCGAAGAGGGGAGCGGCGCGGGGATCTATTTGCAGAAACTCTACGTGGAGATCTTGTTTGCGGACTTCGTCTTGGGGAACGTCTGCGACCACGGCTTCCACTCCGATCACGACGTCTAGGCGATGGGGAGCGTCTGCGACGCATCGGCGATGGTGAGCGACGAGCTCGAGCTCGAGCAGGAGAACGACGATTCGATCTGCTGCGTGAGCGACGACCACCACTCATCTAAAATAATAAACTTTATATCTTAAAGATGCCCCAGCTCGAAGCTAAAATAAAGTTCGAGCTAGGATTTACGGATCAATTCCGCGTTTGCAAAATTGTCGATAATACCCAATTAATATTTTCAAAACAAAACAATTTTTTGCATTACGCTAAATAGGCCTATTAGATTCTCATTTTTGAACATGCCCTTCTTTCGCGACGTCGTGGCGATCTTGAACGGGAAGAACTAGAAGAACTGGACGATCTAGATCCAGAAGAGCTGCTTCCAGAAGAAGACGATCCCGAGGAACTTGAAGATGAACTCGAAGGTGAGCGGGCACGTTTCTTTTCGTCGGTTTTTTTATCAACCATTTTTCCTAAAAACAAAGGTTTCAAATATTAAAAGAATATTTTTAAAGACAAATAAAAAAGAAAAGAGTAAAGCAGTTTTGTAATATACTCGGCAAACTCGTCAAACAGTGGAAAATTTTAGGTTTATTCGATTTACCAAAGTAAAACCCCTCAGGCAAATCAAATCAAAAATTTTAAGAATCAAATATTCAATAATAAACTAAAATAATACACGAAATTCTAACTTATTGAAACTCGATAAACTTAAAAATACTTTTTAAAGTCTTATAACGTGCACGAAAATTTATTGAGTAAATTTTAATCTCAAAATTCTAAAATCTTCTATTAATTTCTGAAGTTCACTGAGGAGAATCTAAATTATTATATAGACACGTTAGTTTCTCAATGGACCTCAAAATAATTTATTCGAGTTACCTGAGCAATTATTATTCGAAATAATTAATTTATAGAACATGGTAATGTTCTTCGAATCCGGTTGATTTTAACATAACTCATCGGAATCAAAATAAAAAAAATTGGTGGTTTTCATCGAACCGGCGAAACCAGTGTGTTTCGTAAAAATCAAGGAAAACCACGGTTTCGCCCAATGATTTTGAAATTTAATAATATAATTAATTAGCAAATCTCGCCGTAACAACGGCGGGGAAAAGCAAATAAAATGACGGTAATTGGTCGGTGAATAGAACGGACACGTTCCCGCGCGGTTCTGCAGAACGCCCGATTCGAAATGCGCTTGTAAAATAAACAACGGGCATGTGTAAAAACGGAGCAACGTACAATTATATAATCGACCATCCGCTTGTTTCAATTCAAAGTGAATGACGAACAATCTGTTTCGGAAACAATTTCGTTTTAAATCCAAAACGAATTTCTCAGGTAAATGAAAATCAATCGGCGCCGTATGCACAATGCCATTTCCGCAGACAATTCTATCTCTTAACCACACGTTCTAGTAGTTCAAAACCAATCGTTTCCGACAAAATAAAAAAATTTGGCCCTGGAATAACCCTTATCCGATTGATCATTCTAAATATAAGATTGTAAAATTATCGGATCCGATAATTTTTTTTAGTATTTTCGGATCTGATTTGCTTTAATTTTTCAATTCAAATCAGGTTCGAACAATTACCACACGTGGCGTGCTTATTTATGGAAGTTCGTATTTCGTTTGCGGGTTTTTCTGTCAAAAATCTATTCACGTCTGTTAGGTAATGAATTGCACATATAGAAAACGTTAAATATCGAATTTAAGCAGAAAGAACTGTTGCGGACGTGTGCATTTTATTTGACGGCAATATACATAAGTTGTTTACTTCGCGGCAAATTGACGTAGAATTTTCAATAAGTTTTTCGATTTCCTATTTTTTAAAATCATATTTTTATTCTTCTAAAGGTAACTCCATTCGATTGATTTTCATTTACCAGAAAACCTGCGAATTAAACTCACTGTAAATCTGCGCAGAGTACTCGTTTTTTGCGACTATAATGTGAATTCTCGCCAACTGGATTTTTTCCATAACTCCAGTTGGGTATATACACAGAAAAATCTCAGTTGTTCGTCCAAACGCGAGAAACGCTGTTGCTTTTAATGCCGCACGGATTTCCGGGTTATTAAACATTTTTAAAAAATTATCTTAATGGATCTATTAATGCAATTAAAATATGTAAAAAAAAAAAACATTTCGTGAATAGGTCGATTAGGAAATTACTACAAATTAAAAAAAAATGCATATTTTCAGGTTTATAAATGTTTGATTCTATAAATGATAACGAGCTGCATGAACACGACTCACGTGTAACTTTCCTTTTCGATATCAAATGCACATATTTCATGGAAAATGATAAAGGTTGAACGAGTAACCTATATAAAGCAATAATATTTTTAGAAACTCTATTTTTTCGGGAATTGCTGCGTGGGTTAGCCAACCTATTCATCAAAGAAATACCACAGGTTTAATAAAGAATTTATAAGTATAAATGTGAAGGAAGCAATTGTATTTGGAAAACAACTTAAAAGAAACGGCATAGCCTCTGGTGATTCGTTTCGAATTAGATCTCGGCCCCGAAATTGATCGTTTTAGGTTCGAAATTCATCGTATTCGATTGTGAAATTATCGTACGCGATTGCTCTTTCTAGGTCGATTCGAATGTGTTTATATACGTTTCGAATCTGGGCGGATTTGATTGTGAAATGTCAATTCTTCGTTTTACAATTCAATACGATCATCCGAATCGAATTCGCCTAGATTCGAAACGAATACGAGAGCGTTTGAATCGATTTATATGAATGATTTCGAACCTAAACCGGTCAATTTTGGAACCCAAATTTTATGTACTCGATTCGAAACCAATTTACAAAGACACACGAAAAAATCACAATATAGCCAAGCTGTAGATAGAAAATTTCAGAGCGTCGCCCGTTTTTATTCAGAAGAATTCTCTAGGCATGGATTAATGCTTCTCCCTGTTATTCAAGATCGAAATGCAGAAATTTTATATCGACCTACACTGCTAAGAAGCATACCTTTCTCTGGAGGAAATAATCTCTCAGAAATGTTTCACTACTATAAGACCGTGTATAATAATAATTATTATTTCAGTCTTTTCCGAGTTTCGAAAGTTAACAAAAATGTAAATATGCAAAGGTTTTGCGTTCACCATCTCCGCGAAGAGAAAACTGGAATGGAAAGTAAAACTTTTAGGCTTGCTAAAAATCAATGTTTTAAATTATGGACAACTATAATAAATGATTACTCACCAGGAGCAGAATGGCATTTAGGTACAATGTATATGTCATTATAGACTAATAACTTTTTTGAAGAATCGAATTGCTATTTACGACAGCTTGCTCAATATAGACGATATCGAACTCAACAGAGAATGCAGTACCAAAACTTTGCAAGGCATAATTCTAGATTTTCCCAGATTCCCGTAATTACTTATGCAGCTGTGCAACTTATCTTGGAAAATGAATCAATTCCATTTTCTTTTAAAAGTCATCAACTGATTCAGATTTCTTATAACCTGGTAATTCAAATGATCTTCATAAGGTAATTTTCGTTCCCATTTCATTCATTATCCAACGCGCAGTATTTCTATGGCTCGTGTTTGACCGGGCCGAAACGACAAACCTGAAAAATTCGATCGTTTCAGATTTCAAAATGACATCTTAATGCATCTTCTCGAACTTGCATTAACCACTTTGGGGTTTGGACTTACACGAAGTGCATCAGAAATATTAAATTTTGAATGTTTTGTGAAGCAAACTTCCAAAAAACCAATGGTAAATATTCCATTAGAGATCTCAATTACTTATCCTTTAGTATGTTATTCCTTGGGCAGCCTGGCATAACATTTTTCAATGTGAAGTAACTAATAAAACCTTGGGGAATTTGGAGATTATTGCTAAAAAAATTGCTGGCTGTACTCAAGAACAAGAAATTGGTCCGCGTGGATCTGTTTTCGTTGAAGTTGCCTGCATCATATATAGTATATCAGCGAAAAATCAATCAGACATGTAAGTTTCTAGTTTTATACAAATTCATTTGTGTATTTAGTGTTGATGCGATAACAAATGCGTCAAAATGTTTTCCATGCTTATGCCCAAGGATGATTGAACTTTCCAGGTTTTGCAATGTTGAATATGAGATTGATGGAATTGCGGAAGACGTAAGTTTTATTACGCCAATGAAAAGACAATGTGAAATTATAAAAATATTATATAACAAACGCGGTTTAATCTAATAATCAACCCCCCATATCATACAACACTGTAACTGGGAAGCAGAGCTGCACGGAACTTAAATTTTCTAAAAACGAAAGACGGAAGGCGGAACAAAACATATTTTACAGGAAAACGGAATACGGAACGATTTTTTTCTGACGGAACATGGAAAACGGAACACGGAACAATTTTTTTTTTAACGGAAAACGTAACACAAAGTTAATCTAACTCGAATATTTTGAAATTAACAGTGCAGAATGTGAGATTTTCCAAGTGCTCATTCGAGATGGACCTTCTTTTTGTCGAACAAATTTCTCCGGCTGTGGTTTTTAAGCTTATTAGATTCGCTAGACGTGCTAGGTATATCAAGCGGAACACGGAATACGGAAGTCGGAATACATTTTTTTTACGGAATACGGAAAACGGAACAAATTTTTTTTTGGACTGCACACGGAAACGGAACGCGGTACAGGAAAATTTCATGGAATACGGAAGACGGAATTCCGTGCAGCTCTGCTGGGAAGGTGGCAACAAATTGTTAAAAAGCGGGTAAAAATTTAGATTTTTCTACAGTGTGAACGATTTTTCATTTACTTTTGATTTATTTTTTGCCTTTTTACTAGTTACAGTGAACAATGTACCCCAGGTGTAAGGGGTAAGGATGGTCCATAATTCGTGAGGGGCTTTTTATATGCGACGGTAATGCATAAGAAGATTAAATTTTAATTTTAGGCTTGTTCATCAAATAAACTTCATCCGAGCGAAGAGTTATGGCTTGATTATGTTGAACGCAGACTTCACCGCCTAAACAGATTTGGAGCTATAGAAACAACAATATCGCATTGCTTGAAAGCACTCTTTGAATATTTAGACTTTCACAAAAACCGCCGGTCGACGAAAGCATGGACTCTTCTTCATTCTTTGATTCAATTATCCACGTGTGAGCTGATATTAGTGGAATGGTCATCTCGATATAATTGGTGGCCCAAGTTTCATAAAACTAATGAAAAAACAAATAGAGATGCTCGAAAAGTGGAAGTTATGAGATTTCTTGTTGAAATTAACGGGAAAAATATTTTGAATAAATCTTCTTTATAATTACATCGTTCAATCTTTGTTTTTCGTAGAGTGCGATAAACTGGTATACTTACTTTTTTATAAATATTATTAAAATAAAATTTTAGCAATCGAGGTGGGATGTCTTCGAAATTTTTATTACAACTCTCTCAAATAGAAGGAGAAATAAAAGCTTTGGATAGTGAAATATCAATATTAAAAAGAAAGCGTACTGAACTTATAGAAACGCGGAATCGAGTTTGATTAATTCTGTATTCCGTGAGTAGTAGTTTATTTAGATCAAAAGAGACATCGAAATAGGGGAAGTATTGAGTGAGGAAAATACTGTACAAGAATGGGACAGGGATGGTTTCGAATGGTCTGACGAACTCTATTTAATATTACAGCAAGTAAAAATACATATTATTACATAAGTAAAAATACATATTTTGTGTTTTAATAACATTTTTCTTAGACTTAGATAATAATTATTATGAAACAGTATTAAAAAATGAGATTTTTAAAGGTGTTCAAATTAAAAGACTTTCGGCCTTTGCAACGTGCGGCGATCAATGCAGTTTTGAGTAAAAAAGATGCTGTTGTCATTTTAAGCACTGGAGGCGGAAAAAGTTTGTGCTATCAAATTCCAGCAATTTTCACGAAAGGTTTGTTTCTATTTGAAGATAAGATGTTGAAACCGCGCACTGAGACTCGACTTGGAGAAAAATATGTATTTGCGAGGAAATACCAAAAATATCAATTGTCCAAAAACAATGCCGTTTTCGGTCTATTAGAAACCACCCCGACTTTTTAACCCCCACCCCTGCTATTCCACCCCGACTTTTTAACCCCTCCTTTTATTTATGATACCACCCCCACTTTTCCATCCCCAATTTTTAGGTTTCACCCCCCCCCCCCACTTCTTCGCCGAAATTCAAAATTTGCAGTTTCTAACAATAATGTTTAGCAGTAAAATTTTTAAATTTTTTTAAAATTTGCGATAATTCAAGTTATCAAGAGGAGATTCGCAGGTCTAAATTAGATTTTTCAGAAATTATGTAGTGTTCTTATTAAAGGCTGAAAATTTTAACAATTAATGAACTATTCTCTAAAAACCCAGTTCAGAACGATTTCGTATTTCGTAAGATTTTCGTATTTTCCAACAATTGTCAATATTTCAAGTGTCCAATTGTGCATTTTGATATCAAGCTTCTTTGCAAGCCTACATAGTTTCTGAAAAATCTAATTTAGACATCAATTTTGCCAATTTCCTCTTGATAACTTGAATTATTGAAAATTAAAATATTTTTCTGTTAAAAATTACTGTTTGAAACTGCAAATTTTAAAGTGCGGTGAAAAAGTGGGGGGGGGGGTGAAACCTAAAAATTGGAGGTGAAAAAGTGGGGGTGGTATCATAAATAAAAGGAGGGGTTAAAAAGTCGGGGTGGAACAGCAGGGGTGGGAGTTAAAAAGTCGGGGTGGTTTCTAATAGACCCCGTTTTCGCATCTATTCAAACAACACATTTCTTTCACATTTCTTGGAAATTTCGGATTTTCGATGTTACAAAAATTATCTATACCCATCTCAATAGTTTTCCCAGGTTCCTCTTATCTGTGGTCTTCTTTGACCTGGCATCAAAACAATTGTGGCAACAAAGCGAAAACAATTGTTCGGAAAATTTTTTAAATTGAAAAATTTTCGAATTAGTGATTAAAAATTACCCGTTTTAATGCCCCTAGGTAAAATTTTACGAACGGATTTAGAAAAAAGAAATCGTGAAATTAATTTTTATTTTAAATTTTCTAAAGCAACTTAGCAACAGGACTGGGCAATTTTCGTTTTTTTTCCATTTTTTCGATTTTTCGAATGCTTTCGAAATTTATTTTTCACAAAACCATACCGAAGTATACATATTGCGAAAAATGTGTTTTATAGCTAAGATTTTCATCAGCAGCTTTGCAGGTTTGACATTGGTAATATCGCCGCTGATATCACTAATTGAAAATCAAATAAGCCAGCTCACGAAGTTGGGAATTGAAGCAGCATCACTAAATGCCAGTAGCTCAAAAGATGAAATAAGGCGAATTGAAGCTGCAATTACAAACAAGGATTCAAATTTTCGTTTGTTGTACGTAACTCCTGAAAAGCTTTCGAAAAGCAAGCGGATTATGAACAAAATTGAAAAATCATTATCTGTCGGATTTTTAAAGCTAATTGCAATTGACGAAGTACATTGTTGTTCTCAGTGGGGTCACGATTTCCGACCAGACTTTGCTTTCTTGAATGTACTGAGGCGGCAGTTTAAGTATATCATTACTTAAGAAAACACTAAATTTATAAATTCAGAAGTGTTCCTATACTTGGTCTGACTGCTACAGCAACGAACAATGTACTGAATGAAGTTAAGGAAATGTTAAACATTCAATCAGCTCTAACTTTTCGGGCTGGTTTCAATCGGCCAAATTTGAAATATGAAGTCAGAGCTAAAAAAAACTCTGACGAACAAGGAATGAAGGAAATTGCTGAAATAATATCAAACAGGTTCAAGGAACAGTCAGGAATCGTTTACTGCTTATCTAGGAAGGATTGTGAAAATCTAGCAAAGTTTCTGAGGTATATTAAAACATAATTAAGTATATAGGGTGCTAATTTTTTTGCACGGACTATAAGATATTCATTGTAGTTTATAAGATGATAGTCTTTTTTGACCGCCTTTCAATTTATGGTTTCTTATCCTATTAGGATGTTATCTTCAACGTGGGACATTTATCGATTTTCTTAGTTGAGGATGGGCCATAATCATAATTACCGAGACGCCCGGGAGTTTAGCGAACGTTTAGAGACGGTACTCAGATATAAGTTTATTGAGAAAGTTGATATTTGGCTTAATTTGTACAAGGTGGGGCATAAATATAGCGCCGCTCAACAAACGGTATAAAAATATCAAATTAAGAGTTTTTTTCTGAAAATCAAAGAAAATGTTTATTAAGTAACTACGTAGTAAAACTGCAATTTCAAGAGAAATAAAACAAAAAAAAAACGGTTAAAAACATAGGTGAGAATATACTTTTGTGGATCGTCAAATGCAATTTTCGAAAAATAAAACAAATTTTTTTTCATGACTCAATAAATGTAAATCTAATATGCGATACTAAAAAGAACTTCTACGAGCCATATTTCAACAATCCAAGCGTTTTTTTGAAATTTCGTGAAAATATCATTTTTTGAAAAAATATGGATGAGGCTAAACTTTTGTGGAGCAGTGTATATAATATTTTTACACTTGTGAATTTTAGTTTTTCTTAATACACCAATTAAAAATTCAGTTGTGTTCAAATTTTCAGAGACTCGGGAATTAGCGCGAAGCATTATCATGCAGATTTGGATCAGAATAATCGATATGACTGGCAAGAAAGATGGATGTCTGGAGATATCCAAGTTATAGTAGCTACAATTGCGTTTGGTTTTTGAAACAATCTTAGCTGTAATTGAAAATGTTACTTCAGGTATGGGAATAGATAAGCCAGACGTTCGATTCGTCATTCATCATTCTCTTCCAAAATCAATTGAAAATTATTATCAGGTACGTATTCTCGATGGCAGACCAGTTCCGGAGGGGGGGGGGCGGTACAAACCGCTATTAGATTTTTAATACGACAACACCAGAACAAAAATGGTTCAAGGAATTTCTCACCGATAAATCGAGCAAGATTTGTGACCTACTCGTGATGTTTAGAATCAAAATGATAGAAATCCTACCGCCGGATTTTTTAAATGTCACAAGACTATCGCACTCTGATTTTCGGCTACGGAAAGCGTAAATTAGGCGATGAACGGTATCGTGGTGTGTCAGAGAGCTCAACTTCGCATGCACGAGAAATGTTTGCGTCGATTATTTTCTAAATGATAGCAAACCATGTCTTATGATGTCTCAGTATTAAAAAAAATCTTAATACACTGCTCCACAAAAGTTTAGCCTCACCCATATTTTTTCAGAAAATGACATTTTCACAAAATTTCAAAAAACGCTTGTATTGTTAAAATATGACTAAAAAGGGTTCTTTTTAGCAGGGTTGGTAAATTGAAGCCGGGCCGAAAGCTGGCCGGGCGGCTTTCGGCTTTTTTTTTTGAATTCCCGCTTCGGCCGTGCGGCCGTAAACAACGGAGTCGGGGGCCGAATCGCGGGCCGAAAATTTGACAGCGAAAAAAGCCGGCCGAAAGCCGGCTTTCGGCCGACCGGGCCCAAAATTTAACAACTGCTTTTTAGTATCCCATATTAGATTTACTCTTACTGAGTCATTAAACAAAATTTGCTTTATTTTCCGAAAATCGCGTTTTTTTCGATCCACAAAAGTATAGCCTCACTAGCAAAAAAACGCTTGAAAAAACAGAAAATAACAACAGTAACATAAAAAATTGGTTTAATATTCGGATGGCATTTCCTGATTGCGTGCCATTTGGAAGAGTCAGTGTCGATCGATAAATGTGGATCGTCAATCAGTTGTTGGTCGACTTTCTTCCAAGTCTCGATAATCGCCAGTTTCAGCTTTTTTAGAATATCGTACGCCTAATTTCCCTCGGAAATCATGTGATCCATGTATCCTCATACGATTTCGATGGTATTTAAGTCCGGGGAGCAAGAAGGCCAGTCGGAAATTGGAATATTCCTCGTTTATATCCGCGCGATAGTGTTGCGGGTTCGATGAATTGGGGCACCATCCTGCGATACACTATCATTCTGTGACGGTGTCGATGCCAAAAGAGCAGAAGCTCACGGCGCAACAAAAATCGATAGTCCAAGCCGCTCATGTTCTTTACGACGGAACGCAGCTTCACGCGAGTGATCGAACTGATTGATGCCAATATCATGAAACCACATTCTTATGTTAGAAATTTCTCCGCAAGAATCGAATGGGCGGTTTTCTACGAGCATTCCAGTAGCTGCGGTATCCATCAGGACCATCACAATTGAACTTCGTCTCATTTGAGAAGATTACTTGAAATTCAGTTGGCTCATCTTCGAATTTAACCACATCCCATTTTTCTTCAGTTCGTTCTGTTGAATTTATCCACAAACTTCAATCAGTTTTCGCAATGTTTTTCGGTAAACATTGGAGCTCTACGCATCTTGCGTCTTTTCTCATGCTGGGACTTGCTCAGAACAAGTCGAATCGTCTCTGAAGCCTATTTCTGATCTCATTTTGGTATAGGTAGTGAAGATATTCGATGATTTTCGGAAGATCATTCTTATTTCTCGGCTAGAAATGGCAGTTGGACATCCAGATCGTGTCACATTACCATATTCGGATGGATTCTTCAGATAATTATTGATCACTTTTAGGTTGCGTCTCAAATCTCGAGCGGTTTCTCGATTCGAATGAACACGATCATGTTTGACTATAATTTGGCCTTACTCAAACGCCGAAAGTGGTTTGCTTGCTGGCATTACTTGAAACACACATAATTCTAGCATTAAAGTTTAAAAAAATTGCAAATTCAAGAAAAATAATGCGAAAAAAACGGTGAAAAACCTAGGTGAGGCTATACTTTTGTATATCGAAAAAAACGCAATTTTCGGAAAATAAAGCAAATTTTGTTTAATGACTCAGTAAGTGTAAATCTAATATGGTATTTTTAAAAGAACCCTATTTTAGCCATATATTTTCTCGTGTATGCGAACTGATCGCCGCACGAACCATGATGCCTCCTATTCTGAAGACTCTACGTTATGGTTTCCATGAGAGTTGGGCGAAATGAATAATTTGAAAATGTGGAATGCGAAATGCGGAGAAAAAATAAACGAAAATTCTACATTAATTGGTCGCGGAGAAAATCGATCGCGAAGTAAACAACTCGCGTGTTTTCGACAAAAAATCCATACTTATTGATTTTTTGTCTTAAATTCCTATTCAGACCTGTTAGGTAATGAATCACACAGAAAGAATGCGTTAAATATCGACTTGAAACTGAAATTTTCATTGTGGACTTTAGAATCCGATTGATTTTCATTTACCTGAGCTATTGTTGTACATTCAGGAGAGCGGACGTGCTGGTAGAGACGGCATTCAATCATACTGTATTCTTTTTTATCGATTTTCTGATGTGTTTAAACTATCGACGATGGTTCAGCATGAAAGGACCGGTATCAGTCATCTTTACAAAATGGTTCGATATGCTATTGATGTTAGCATTTTTTTTATTTCTTTATTCCAAGATACATTCGTATCATCAGAGATGTGTGGGAAATTTTCCGCATTTCCATGAGGGAGGTGGGTGCAATTTTTGTGGTCTGGACTCCGACCACAAAAATTTTCATACAAATATTACTGCCGATGTTTATAGGCTTTCGTTCTATCTTGCGCTTTTGTTTCAATAACAAAATCTGTCTTTCTGTTAAACACACGTCGAAAATTACAAAAAATTGACGCGATATATCGTAATTCTCCGTAATTTATTTTCAAAAGCGCACGGGAAAAGTTGCGCGGATCAGGCCAATGTTCATTGACTCATACTTTTTGACTTGACTCGTGATTATTGACTTATAAAAATTGTATCATGATTTTTTATTTTTTGACTCATGATTTTTGACTAGTGATTTTTGACTATTTCTTTGACTAACAATTTTTGACTAATGATTTTCTGAATTTTTTTAGTTGAGATTCCTGCAGTTTTTTTTTTCAATATTCAATTGTGTTTTTTTTGGCCAATATTGATGGGTAAGAAGCTGAAAGGTGGGGGGGGGGTGGAGGGAGAAATGTTATTACTGAATGGGGGAAAGATTATTACTGAAAGGAAAAAAAGTTCTTTTAACTTCTGTAAGCATAAAAAATATTTTCATTAAACTAACGGAGACTACTAAAAATATCAAATCATTCATACCATTTGGCCCACTACGGATATTCGTTTAATGTTACAGTCGATTCCTTCGGTGGATCCGCTTAGCTGGGCCTAAGCTTCTCTTTGATATCGATAAGCGGTGAAATGCCAAAAAAAAACAATTTTTTATGCTTACAGAAGTTAAAAGAACTTTTTTCCTTTCAGTAATAATCTGAAGCCAGAGGAAACTCTGGTGGAAGTCCGCATCGGTCTGACCTGCAAATCGATCGATAGACTTGGGTATAGGGGCGAAAGACTTTCCCCCATTCATTAGTCAAAAATTGTTAGTCAAAAAAAATAGTCAAAAATCACTAGTCAAAAATCATGAGTCAAAGAACAAAAAATCATGATACAATTTTTATGAGTCAAAAATCATGAGTCAAGTCAAAAAGTATGGGTCAATGAACATTGGCCTTTTAAACGTTTTTTTTTTTGGAAATTTGTGAAAGTATTTTGTTTAATCAACGCTAAATGTTCATAAGAAGCGTCATTGAGCGAATACTGCATCAAATCAACAAAAATATCATAATTTCTCATAATAATTAGTATCTAAATGACGAAAAATTCGAATTACATCGAATTAGGAGTATTAATACCAATAATTGTTTTTTTTTCCACGTTCTTCAATCCGTTATTCCTTTCCTCTACAAAGTTTGAAAAATACGGAAAAATAGCACACAAAATGAAAAATAAAAAATTCAGTACCGACTTCGCGACGTGACCCGCGCCACCTTCTGCGTGCACCTTTGAAAATAATAAGCGGAGAATTACGATATATCGCGTCAATTTTTTGTAATTTTCGACGTGCGAGCATAGGGAATTAAGATGAAAAAAAAAAAACAGATTTTTCTTATTTTTTTTTCATTGCATGAATAGGTCCATTAGTGGTTAGAAGAAAATATGAATCGAATTTGATCTTTGAAAAGTTTTCCGAATGATCTTTCCCACACATCCCTGCCATTAGTAGACGTCGATTATACATGCGAATAATTGTTACACTACCAATCTTCAGCGCTCCACATGCCGCCGCATCACTTTCGCGGAAAATTTTGAAGAGGCGTGGAGTGAAACGTCGTGCTCTAATCAATGTGACAATTGCGAGTTGGGAACAACCAGAATGGAGAGAATTGATGTTACTGATGATGCTGCGATTATCGTTCAAATAATCTCATCATGGTTGGAAAATTCCAGTGATGGTCCAGACAAAATAACCGGAAACAGGCTCGCCGATCTACTTAAAAGGAAGTTGAAAAACAAGAGCCGAGAATATTGTGAAACACTTATTGTATATCTTCTTTTGAATTCATATCTTCAAGAATACTTTCATTATACGACATATTCTGTAATAAGGTAATTACGAGACTAAGTTTATTCAAAAATAAATATATACATATATATATATATATATATACATATACAGTGTGCGTCATAATGATACGCCACCCCCCCCCCCAAATTTCGCAGGTTTGAGAAAACCATATAAATTGGTGACAAGAAAATTTCTTTTTCGAATTCAGGACCATTGAAAACCTATACACGCGTATTTTCATGAGGGTCAGTTGGTCCGTATCCGCGCAGCACGAAAAAGTTGGATTTTCAAGCGCGTCATAATGATACGCCACCCCCTATTTTTTGTCTTTTCTTTCGGCATTTTTTTGCTGATTTTTCTGTATTTTGTACGATTTTTCAACATTATTTTCTTTATATCCATCGAGCGATCGTCCGTTTTAGTGTTGGCTCGAAATCGGGCCTTTAAACAACTTCGTTTTGTTTAAGGACTAAAACGCAAGAAAAAGGTCTAAATAACCATAAGATAACAAATTTGAATTCGAGAACACAACAAATTCAATAATTAGTAGTCTCTCCATAGTTTTTGATCACTTCACATGTTCGGTTTCGCATTCTGTCGGCGAGTTCCTTGAG